AGCGGCTTAATTATAAACGAGCTTTAACGATTAAAAACGCTACTAAGTTCCTAAGAGCGAGCGGTATTTAAGGGGAAGGTTTAATTAAAAGGTCGGCCTAGGCGCGGTTACTCTCGCGTTAGTTCTAACGTAAGGGATTCTAACGTAAGGGGCCGTAAAGGTCGGCCTCGACGTACTTATACTTACTTTGGTATTAATTTTAACGTAAACGCGCGTAAAGGTCGGCTTCGACGAACTAGTTCTAGCGTTAATTCTAGCGTAAACGCGCGTAAAGGTCGGCTTCGACGAATTAACTCTAGCGTTAATTCTAGCGTAAACGCGCGTAGAGGTCGGCCTCGACGAATTAACTTTAGCGCTAGTTTTAACGTAAGCGTACGTAAAGGTCGGCCTCGACGAACTAGCTCTCGCGTAAGTACTCGAGGAAGTCGCCCCCGGGGCGCTAGTTCTAGCGCTACCGCTAAATCCGCTAGTTATAATTATATTATTAACGAAGAAAGTAGAAGAGTAAGAGAAGGGTTACCGTTATTACGTCGGGTTACCTTATATCGTTTTCGAATTTATTATCGTAATACGTTACCTACGCGTAAAGCTACCTCTTTAGCGTTTAAACTATATACCCGAAGCTACGCGGTAATAAAATATAATCGATAATAAGTAACATTTAATCGCGGAACCGGTTAAAGCGTTTTAAGCGTAGGATCGGATCGGGAATCCTATATAGAATTAGCGGTAAAGTATAAACTACTAACATAGAATACTAACCTAAGTAGGACGGCGTATATTTTCGCGGCAAGAGAGATAATCTTTTATAGATATAGCGTAATTTCGTAAATTAATAAATTACTCGATAGCTTAAATTCTTCCGTAAGTACGATATTCTTTAATTTAAAGCGACTTTATCTTAATTAAATTAAGGATAGATTATAAGGATGGATTATAAGATACGGAGAAGAATAGGAATTATATAAATAGGAATAGAAACGTATAAATAAACGCGTTAGTAAATATACGTAAGGATCTTAAGGGATAATAGGGATACGCTAAATAAGAAAACCTTTATTTATCCCGCCGTTTTTATTAGGTATACGTATTTTTAGGAACCCATAGCGCGTTTTTTAGCTAGTAAAAACAGAGTTTCCCCTAAATAACACCCCTTTATAGGGTTATTTATAAGGTTATTTATAGGGTTATTTATAGGGTTATTTATAGGGTTATTTATAGGGCTATTTACAGGGGTATTTAACCCCGTAATTAATTAGTATGATAGGGGGTTATGCGTATTATAACTATCCTCCGGATAGGATTACCGCCTAGGGAAGTAGAATAAGAAGGCCGATATTTTATTTAGATTACTATAATATCGCCTTAAAAAAGGGGGAGCTAAGGACTAGCCGATAGCGACGGTCCTATAAGAAAAGTATTTTTTAAAAAATTTAGGCTTACCTACGGTAATACTCTCTAGCGTACGACTAAGTAATATCCTAATACCCGTTTGGATCCTAAAGTTCGTTAAATAGGTTAAAACGGTAGCTATATAGGACCCGGAGTACTAGGCTTAGTTAGTTAAATTATTCGGTAAGGAGGTAGAGCTTTAGGAAGGCCTTCTTTACCGGCGAAATCGTTTTTAAATACCTAAGGACTTATAATAAGAAGTAGTTAAATCGGAATACGATATTAAAGTAGCGGGGCATATAGGTATAAATAAAACCATAGAATTTATTACTCGAAACTTTTAGTAGTCGAACCTAGAAGTAATAGTTAGGGAATTCGTTGGGGGATATCGCGAATACTAGTAAAATAAGGTACCCCGATATACCCCGTTCGGATTATTATAGCTTATAAAATTATATTATCGACTATGGTAAACGATCGCGATGGACTTTATTACGGACCTATTAATGTTTAACGGCTACGACTCTATTTAGGTTATTATAAATCCCTTTATTAAAATAGCGTACTTTATTCCGCTAAAAAAGGACGGTAAAAAAGCCGAAGACCTAATACCTATTTTTATTCGTAATTATTAGCGGCTATATAGGATTCCCTTAGATATTATTTCCGACCGAAACTTACGATTTACCTCCTATATATAGAAGGACGTCCTAAAGTTCTTCGGCGTTAAGCTAAGAATAAGTACCGCTTTTTATCCTTAAACGGATAGATAAACGGAAAGACTTAACTAAATCTTAGAAGCATACTTACGTACCTTCGTAAACTACGAGATAAGCGACTAGGAAAGCTTATTACTTACTACCGAGTTTACCTATAATAATACCGCTTTAATAACTACCGGTATATTATCCTTTTACGTTAACTATAAGTAGTACCTAGTAATATATAACCCCTTTTTAGGTACCCCTAAGAATCTAGGAAGTAACCTTTATACTTATTAAATAACTCGGGTATATAACGAAGCTAAGTAGTATTTAAAAAAGGCGCGGTAACGAATAAAAGGATAAGCGGATAAGTATAAAAAAGAAGGACCTCCTTTAAAAGTAGGATAATTCGTTATATTAAATACCCGTAACATTAAAACCAAACGCCCGGTTAAGAAGATAAATAAGAAGATACTCGGTTCCTTTAAGATTTAAAAGGTCGTTTCGTTTATTACCGTAACCTTAACGCTCCCGAAAGGCTAGCGTATTTATAGTACCTTTTACGTATTCCTTATCGAACCTTACCGCGCTAGTAATTAAGAATTACCTAACCCTAATTAGGTCTTACGAGAGGTAGCCCCGATTAAGGTAAAAGATTACGAGGTAAATAAGGTACTAGATTCCGCTAGGACCGGAGAAGTCGTTAGGTACCTAGTAAAGTAGGAAGGCTAGCCGGCTAAGCGCTACTAGACTTAGGAATCATAGGAGTACTTTACTACCGAAGGAACGAAAGGAGCCGTTAAATTATTCTACCGATAGAACCTTAATAAACCTACTAACTATCGAATCTAGGCCCCTAAATCTACGCTTAAAGACGAGCTTCTCCGAAGAAAGGAGATGGTATTATACGGGGATAAAGCCTTATATTAATAATTAGGCTATAAAGGTTAGGAGGATAATATCGGGCATTAAGGTCGCCGCTTCGGCGACCTACTAAAGAAAAGTCCTAGATAAGCTACGGATAACTTCGGTATTAGGGTACCTAGGTACCAGGGTACGAAGGTACTTCGGAAGCTATATTAGGACGAAATAGGGACTAAAGAAACCAAGAGAGGATAAGGACCTAAAAGACCTCCTATAGAATTATTAGTTGAAATTAAACCTATTCTAAGCATATCCCCTTGTTACATTTAGTTTGCTCGGTGGTAGATTGGATCTTTTCTCGTTTCGTTTCCAATAACAACAGGCTCGACAGTACGTCTCATTGTTTCGCGTCCAGTATCGTACCCTTTTACAGAAGTCATACCGTAGTGGATAACAGGTAAGCATTATATTCTCACAGCCCAGGGCGACTCCTAAACAATAGTCACCCACGTTTAGATGTCCCCCCGCCTGCCTGAGGAGCTCACTTTAGCCATATTAAACGGTCCCTTCGAGCCTCAAATCTCTCCTTCTAGTTAGGGTAGCTATCATGTGTGGATGCCCCTCTAGTAATTCTTGGGCCAAAAGCTACTCCTACGTAGAGAGCAACCTAGTTTCCCTAATCTAGTTGAGCACCTATTGCCCACCTAGGTATATATTCGATGACTACATCCACCTTCATTTCCCTCCTTTCTAGCCAGTCAGTCAGCCAGTACAGCGTCTAAGCCGCACTCCGCCTGCTCCCTCCACACGCAAGGGGTCGGTATAACACGTTAAGCTAGCCTACCCCTTTACGGGCCGCCCCCTCCACAGGCCATCCGAATTGAGCATCAATTTTCAATCACCACATCAACAACTAAAAGTATTTACATAACCAAAATCAATTGAAACCTGCTAACTATGGTGTTGCAACAATTATATAGTCTGGCGTGAGGCGCGCCTTCTCACACTTCTTGACAACGCCTCTGTTGATTTTGGTGGTGATATATTCGACATGGGCTTCGGGAGCACACATATTTTCGCCATCCACCCTTCATCTTCAGTTGTCACTATATATCACCAGCTTGATAATAGCTATACTGTAGTGGTGCGTGGGGACTATTAGCTCTCATGGGGTTTGGAATAAGCACTTATATAGGTCTCGTAGTCATACACTCTTTTATCGCCATCCTCGCTGCCTTGCATCCGTACGTGCCCATGTCGATGCCTTTATCCTCTTTTGAGTTGGTTTTCTATCTTCTCTTAGCTGCTATCTATAGCTGGCCGATCACGTATATAGCTGTAGTACTTGCTGTTGCAGCTGTCTTATCTTGTTGATTGGCACCTGAGCCAGGGTAGCTTGGGGGAACAAGAATATCTAAGTATGAAGGGTACGAGAAAGGCATGGACGGCAAACGATGGCGATTAAAAGAGTGTACATCTATCTGGCTCTGTATGGTACTGGCAGACGAAGAATAAGGAATGAAGGATGCATGGTGAAAATTTGTCTGCGAGATCCGTATAAATACTCCTCCGAAACCCTACAAGGACAGTAATAAAAAAAATGAAGTCGAAAACCCGCTGAAAGCATCCCAGGGCACCCTAAAAGGAGCTTTGTGATTGGTTGATTCGTAACTGTATAAAGCTGTTCAATCGCCGTTTTGGCACCTAGATTTACTCCTTTTCAATGGAGAAGTCGGGTTCAGCTTTCAACACGTCTTGTATGCCTTACAATTAAGGCAGTGAGGCCACGAGAGTGAACCGCCAAAACGCACAACGCAAGCCCATTTTCAACCTTCGACGCATATCCGCAAATTGTGGCTGGGTGAGCTGGGGTCTGCTGTGCCTCCTTTGCTGCGCCTCCTATCACCCCTAACACTTAGGCCGATACCGGCCCCCCAATCCGCGCCCACGAAGTATCCGCCTCAGCTTGCGTTGCACATGAGTCTGGGGAGGTTTCGCGAGCTTGGCCGTCCATCTAAACGACGGTCCTCCTCGAGAATAATGTCTGATTGGGACTTGTCAGAGATGGATGAGGAGGAGGAAGGAGAGGAGGAGGACTCGACGCCGCGTCCCCCGTTGATTGTAATCAAGCCGCGCCCGCCGCAAGCAACGAACACGGCACTATCGTCATTGGCATGGCTTGGGAACGAGACCATGTTAATGGTCGTCGGCCTCCTACACGACACATGCCCCCGCTCCGTAAGCTCTCTCGCCCTGGTGTCTTCCCACTACCATCATCTTGCCCGGTACACTCAACATCGAGAGGTCGTCCTGGACAACACGACCCGCCGTAAATCCAATCACTCGCTCGATAAACTAGAATTCATCGAGAAGAGCGGCATCGCCGCTGCTGTTCGGCGGCTGGAGGTCCGTAATGGCGGCAGCGACGCGTTTGAATCCAAGCTTTGCCGTCTTCTCCCCAAGATGACCGGTCTTACCGATCTGACATGGCTGGCCACCGGCGTGCCGCTGCCAGTGCTGGAGATTCTGAAAGGCAGACCCTCGGTCCGTCTTCATACCATGTTTTTCCGCTTGTCCCCAAGCGACGACAATGCGGTGGATGTGATTGAGCGCTTAGAAGGGAATGAGAATCTCGTATCCCTCAGAGCGATTATCAATTACGTTAGGGCAGCCCAGTGCGTGCGGTTTATCAAGCCGGTGAAGCGCGTCATCTTGTCCTGTCCCAATCTTCGCAAGCTGGAACTTGACGTCAGCTTACCGCGAAGTGGATGCGTCGTCTATGGCCTGCCAGCAGAGTACTGTGGCTTCGGTTTCGTGGACGGGGAACGCCCGCCTGCGCTAGAGGAGCTCGAGTTAGGCGACTATCCTTTCGGTTCCCGGGCGCCAGACTATCCGTCAATCAACTCTTACATCAGTTTCAACCAGGGCTACCCCCTCGAAGAGACCGAAAAGGACTATTGGGCCAACGTGTTCGACTGGTCGCGGCTTAAGAGACTCGCGACATACGATATCCACTTTGCCTTGAAAATCGTGCACCAACTAACCTCCCTTAAGGAGTTCTGCTGCATCTGGGATCACGGCCCTGTAAAGACCTTCTACCAGCAGGTCCCAAGCTCTTTGGAGACGATATATGTCGCAAGGTGCGAGACTATCGGCTTAGAAAACCTGCTGAGACACGGAAGCAGCCTGAAGAAGCTCACGATACATAAACAAGAAGACTATGGGGGCGGTTGGCAACAGGGAACCGTCGACGCCAAGACGTTAGCCAAGATCCGCGATGGGTGCCCTCACATAGAAGAGATGACCTTGGACATTCCTCGCAAGAAGAATTGGCCCTACGAAGTCCTCGACATCCTCGCGACATTCCCTCGCCTTCGGAACCTGAAGATCTGGTTCGAGCTCGGGATCGGGGACAAGGACAACCTCGTGAAGCCTTACGTCCGCTTCTCGGAGATCGAAGGGTTCTTCAACCGGTTGCGCGCGAGCGCGCCCCGGGGCACGGTCGGGATCCGGAAGCTGGAGGTCGCATCGGGGTCGCCGCCCGACGTGGGTCACGGCCTCCTGTCCAGCCACGCCTTCTGGCCGCAACACAACTCAACCAACTTCGTCTGCGTGCCGGCCGACCGGGAAGACGAAGCTGCCCGGGGAATCTGCGTCGTCCGCTGCACGCTACTCAACGAGCGGCAGAACGAGTTTCTGCGCAAGGCGAGACCCGGCGTGAAGTATCGTAATTACCCCTTCTCCGGCCACGATGAGGAGAGGTTTCTCGTCGCCCGTGATGGGCCAAAGTCTTGGAGCGAATGGAAGCCCCATTACTAGGGCAACCAAGTCAGCAGATGTCTTCGTGACCAGAATACTCGGGTTTTGAAGATGTCATGGAATAGTGCGATGCTAGAGCCTCGCTGCTGGCTAACCGCCTGCTACTGGCCACCTAATGCGTCGTTCCCGACAGACGCTTCTTCTTCCTTTATTTTCTAGTTATCTCCTCCTCCCTATACCAATTTCAATTTACACTATTATGCAAGGATTAGCCGGCGCGAGGGACAAACTCGGTATGAAATTGGAACCAATTACCTAAAGCCTAATGCATCATATTGTTCTCTCGCCTCGCCCTGTCTCTCTCATAGTCTACGGCCTTCAATGAAACCCACGGTTACGTTTGCTCCGTCCTCGCAACCTTTTTCTCCATTCACAGCCAAGAGTCCGGTTTCCTATAGAACTGTAAATTCGTATGGATGAAGCTCCATTCTATATTTAGCCATCTGCGTCAAATATACATCGTTGTATGATTGTGCGGATACTCTGGTCTGTCTCTCGCGCCTCGCTCCTCCTCGAAGCGCCAGATTATGGGTCGAATTGCTTATCCTAGAGTTTCAATATTAGAAAGGCAAGAGCTCTAGGGAGCCTTGATTCTATTACCACGAGTCCCGCCAAATTACTATCCCGAACTCTGTGGGCCTCGGGACAGGGTAATGGGGTGTTCAGGGGAGTCCAGATACGGCCCAAAGAGGGAATCGTAGCCCTGCATGTCGTTGCTGGCGGTGTAAGCTCATTCGGTAGTTATTAATAAGTCTCGTATCCGCGTTGTCGAACCTGATTTTGGCATTATAAGCCCCAAAGACAGCATGGCTTACTCAATGAGTTCATCCGGCTTAGCTAGCAGCCTGACCATGGCCTCGGTGACATCTAGGGCGTCCACGGGCCAGGCCACCATTGCAACAGCGTATATGGTTGCACCGGTGCATTAGCTTCTTGATAACCCTGATAATATAGGCGATTATGACAGATTTGGCGGTCGCGTAAGCGCGTGATATGCTTACAACCTTGAAGTCTCTTTTAGCGTCCCGATGCATATATAAGTAGGTAGGTATATAAGCGTCCCGCGCGTAACTTCGGTGCTTTCCCTATATTACTCTCTGGAGAATCTGCTTCCTTCTTTGTATCCCGTCAACATCTGAACTTCGTCAAGGCTTACTTTAACATCTAGGGACCGATGTATTAGCCACCCCCCCCCCTGACTTGTATGCCTATCCTAGTAGAGGAATACCCAGCCCATATGAAACGCGTTTGAGTATTCAGTCGGCTGGCTTCCTGATGGGTGCCCTCGGGAATTCCAGAACCCCGGCTCCTGATTTTGAAGTGGCAGCTAATCTGAAATTTACGTCTGTTTCCCCCCGAAGCTGGCTATTTGCTCGGTTGGCATTTCTGTTTCTCGGGTTATTACCTTTAGAATTCAATTTAGTTCAAGGATCAAAACAGCTAAACAAAATCTATGTAATTTTCAACATCAATAATACGAATATGAATATATGTCTGGAATGGTGTAAGAGACGCTGCACAGCTGTTGTCGGCTGAGTACCTACCTATCAGCTGTCGAGGGGGCTTGGTCATGATAAGGGTCGAATTGGCGGAGAGCGAGATGGAGATGATGATATTTCAGTTGGAGATATAAGCAACATCCGCACAGTCCGCGGATGAGATTTTCGGTTATGAATCTGCTATTCTAAGCTCCGGAGAGCAGGGTGACTAGTATTGAATTACTAATTCCCCGAAAAATCTATTGTAATAGCCGGCGTTATGATGTCCTCGGGATCTTAAGACGCGCGCTACTATGACAATAACACAATCCGGCGGGTGTATGCGCTAATCCCGGCTGTCGGGGATTTCCAATGGCACCGCATCGATGGACGATGGGATGCTAGCGTGGGTGATGGAACTGTTAGATTACAAATAGTAACAAAGCCGATTATGCCAGTCGACGGAGGTGTATGAGTAGATGAGGGTTACAATTCGCCATTCTGAAGTGCTCTGTCGTCATGAAGCAGAGCGAACCGCTCAATGAGCCCAGTATATATACCTACACGTCCGTAAATCAAGGATACTATTTAACCGCCACCTCATTCGACGTCCCTCCTAGCATTCTTCTGGCCACAAACACCCTCGAGCGTCTTCGCGGCACAAATTGACCGTATCCACACATAATACATCCGTCTCAGCCATGGCCGATAAGCTGTACATTGCGGAGACCCCGGAGGATGTCAAGACTGCTAAGGGCCTCCACCTCATCACACAAAATACCCCCAATGGACAGGCCGTGCAGATCTTGCTGGAAGAGCTGGCCGAAGCGTACGGAACTTCGTGGACCACGACCCTGATTGATATCTCCACCAACGAGCAGAAGAAGGAGTGGTTCCTGCGACTGAACCCCAACGGCCGCATCCCGGTCCTGATTGACAACAACCAGAACCCGCCCTTCACAGTCCACGAGACGTCTGCCGAGCTCTTGTACCTTGTCCAGGCCGCCGACAAAGACGAGAAGTTCGGCTTCAAAGACGACCTCGAACGCAGCGAAGCACTGCAGTGGACCTTCTTCTGGCATGGATCCGGTGCTCCGTACCAGGGCCAGACGAACCATTTTACCAAGGTGGCCCCAGAGAAGATCGAGTGTAAGTTGCGAACTCATGCCTACCTGCGTACGAGGAGAACTTGGCTAACCAGGCGTCAAGACGCCATCAACCGCTTCCGGAACGAGACGCTGAGGGTGTACGGCGTGCTCGAGATCCGGCTCTCCGGCCAGTTCACCGGCGAGCCGAGAGAGTATCTGGCCGGCAAGGGCAAGGGAAAGTACTCCGTGGCAGACATCAAGACGTGGCCGTGGATTAAGGGGTGGGAGCGCAGCGGCATAACCCGGGAGGAAATCGAAGCCTTCCCGCATCTCCTCAAGTGGATTGATCGCATCGCGCAACGCCCAGCTGTCCAGAAGGGAATCGGCGCCAAATATATCAAGTCTTAGGCTAATACCTACTTATTGCATGTATGTACACATATATAATGGTCGGTAGTGGTAATACCATCAACTAGGTAGCTACCGTCTTACCCGACCCCTGAGTCGTATTGCCCTCAGAGGTAATCATGAGAACCGCGATGGTACATAGGGCCATCTCACCTCGTTCCCGGGTGCTCGTCATGCGAGGGTAAAACGTGGCGGCTCTCTTGACGTAGGTGTAGCATCTCGGATCTTCAGCCGGCTAGCGGTAGATAGAATCCATAGCGCGCAACAGCGGCAACAGCGGTAACGCTATTGGCGGATAAAAACGTCCCGTCCGCGTTATTAGGCAGGCCATGCTCCTTGGGGGAAGGCCAACGAAGGAAGAGGAGGGGGCGCACAAAGAAAGAGGGGGAGGCTCACGAAGGAAGAGGAGGGAGGGAGGGGAACCCAAGGGAACCCAAAGCAGGAAAGATTTCCTGAAGCCGTCTGGACTTGTAGGCACCCTCGTCCCTTTCTAGGTACGAATAGTTACACGCTTCTCTCCGCACGCACGCCGATTCCTACAAGAACCATGAGCGAAGACATAGCAAAGACAGAGGACATCAGGGCGGAGGACGTCTTCGAGCCTCATCTTCTGAAGACGTACGATCCCGAGTTCGTCAAGTTCATGCTCAAAATTAGGGCGTCCAGTGCCGCCTCCGCGTCAGATGAGTTCACCGTCGAAGAGGTTCGCGCGAATCCTGCCCGATTTGAACCTCCGTGTGCCAAGGACACCACCGGATACGAGAGGGTCACCGACAAGGTGCTGACCTCCCAAGACGGCGCCAAGTTTCCCATTAAGATCTACCACCCAGATCCGGTGCGGTTCGGCGAAGGGCCGTATGGGTTACATCTTAACTTCCACGGTAGAGTTGCCCCCATACCTGCTCTAGGGATCTCCTCCCCCTCCCTTCTCCCCCACACCCCCGCAGATCGCTTACCGTTACACTCGTAGGAGGTGGGTTTGTGCTGGGCAGCTTGAGCACCGAGTCCTCGTTATGTCTGAGCATGCGGGACGGCGCCGGCGTCGTCGTGATTGATGTTGATTATCGACTTTGCCCAGGTGGGTTGACCAAGCACGCATCGAACGACGATGACGGGCAACCCTAATTTTGCCCACTAGAAACGCTCTGGGGCAAATGCATGCAAGACGCGTTCGCTGCGTGGGAATGGGTATGAGCTGAGTCGATTTCGTCGTCGCTTAGGCCCATTTATAGGAAACATGCTCACTGCAGGACACAGGCTCGAGACTCCGCAGACGTCTTGAACATCAAGCCGGACTCGATCTCGGCAGGAGGCATATCCGCCGGCGGGCACATATCCCTCGTCCTGCAGCACTTGGCACGAGATGCTGGGATGCCGCTGAAGCTATGCCTAGCGACAGTACCCCCGACATCAGACGCACTTACATACACACACCACACGGATTCGCCTTTCAAGTCCTTCCAAGAATTTGCTTTCGGCCCCATCCTGCCATGGGACCGGATACACTTCTTCGGACGAACATGTCTCCCCGAGGGCAAGTCCGAGGAGATCCTGGCTACCTGGCCCGAATGGTGGATTTCGCCCCTGAAGGCACAGAACGTGCGCGGCCTGGGTGACACGTTCATCAGGACAGGCGGGTGCGATCCGCTGCGAGACGAAGGCGAGGCCTACGCGCAGAAGCTGGTTGAGGGCGGCAACCGAGTTACCGTCAAGCGCTACGTTGGGTCGCCGCACACGTTCCCGTACTTTGGCTGGTTCCACAAGAAGCAGGAGTTCGACCTGGACACGATCGCGGCGCTGAAGCAAGCGCACGGAGTGCAGGTCAAATAGGAGACACTAGTGTTTGACCACGACGGGCTTTTCAGAGCCTTCGCAGGTTCCAAGGCGGTGAGTTTCACGTGGGCTGAAGAATACGGTGCACCATTAGTGCGTATCCGACAAAACGATTTTCGCGAATTGAAAATCGACCGAAACGTAAAAATGGGGCCACCTTATTGAGCTACTATAAAAGTCATTAACTTCAATGATATATTATTAAATCATTTAAAGAGATATAATTAAACGGATTTTATATTTGAATAGTTTATTAACTAATGTATAAATAAATATAAATTATTTATTATGTTATATAATATTGAAAGAATTGAAAGTAGTTTAAGATGGTTAATATTATGAAAGTTATTAGCTTTTATTATATATAATAGCGTTAATTTAAAAGATATAATAAAAATTATATAATATATGGATAGATGAATGCTTAATTTATAAGTAAATCTATATTAATTTTTATATAGAATTAGGTTTATAGAGAAAAGCGTAGCTAAAGTGGATTATTATAATAAAAGTTATTAACTTTAACCTTATATTTATAGATTAACTTAAGTGATATAATGATATATATTTAATATTTTAATAGAAAAATGCTTAATATATAAATAAATATAGAGTATTATTTATATAATATAACGTTTATAAGTAAAAACGTAAATAAAAAACCCTGTTTCAATAAAGGTTAAGGATTTTAACATTATATTATAAAGCTTATTAAAGAGATATAATAAAATAAATATAATAATTTAATTAATAGTTTATTAATATATATATTATTACTTATATAATATAATACTTATAAATAAAAACTAAAATAAAGAAAAGGTTTTTAATAAAAGTTTCTTATTTTAACATTATATTAAAAGGTTAATTTTAATAATGAAATTAAATATATTAAATTTTTTATATTTAAATAATCTATGTATAAATATATATATTATTCTATGTACGAATATATATATTTAAAAAGTATAATAATACTATTATTATTTTTAATAATATAGTATGATATAATATTAATAAAAAGGATTTTATAAAACTTATTAATATTTATTAAAGCTATCTTTAAGATAAATATTACATGATATATCAATTTAAAGAAAAGGCCTTTAGTAAAAATGGCAAAAGTAAAAGTTATATTAATAATTATATATTATATAATAAATATTAAATCAGAAATATATAATTCTTTATTAAGTAAATATTGATATCCATATATATATAAATTATTTCTTTATTTTTTACATTAAATACTAAATTATCTTAATTAAATCTCTTTAATTAACTTCATAATATATAATTAAAGTTAATAGCTTTCATTAAAGCATTTATCTTTAATAATACTTTTATCTATAAATAATAAATTATATAAATACTAACTTATATTTAACCATTAATAAAGTAATCTCTTATGTTAATATTAAATAAGGTTTATTATATCTCTTAAGTTAACTTAGAAATATAAGGTTAAAGTTAATAACTTTTATTATAATAATCTACTTTAATTACGTTTTTCTTTATAAATCTTACATTATATAAATCATAACTTATATTTATTTATTAATGAAGTACTTTTTTATCTGAATATAAAATAAGTTTTATTATATCTCTTAAATTAATCTATAAATATAAGGTTAAAGTTAGTAACTTTTATTATAATAATCTACTTTAGTTACGTCTTTCTTTATAAACCTTATTCTATATAAGGAATAATTTATATTTACTTATAAATTAAGCATTCGTTTATTTAAATATTAAGAAATCATAATTATATCTTCTTTATTAACGTTATTATATATTATAAAAGTTAATAACTTTTATAACATTAACTATTTTTAACTGCTTATAATTTTTTAGATATTATATTACGTAATATATAATTTATATATACTTATGAATACATTGTTTATTTATTTAAATATAAAATTTGTTTAATTATATCCCTTTAATTAATTTAATAATATGTAATTGAAGTTGATGACTTTTATGGTAGTTTAATAAGTTAGCCCTACTTTTACGTTTCGGTCGATTTTCAATTCGCGAAAACCGATTTTCGATTTCCGAAAATCGTTTTGTCGGATACGCACTAATGGTGCACCGTAGAAGAATGCGGGAAAGGGGCTCGTACAGAGATTAGACGCTATTGTAGGCACAGCTATGGAATACAGCCGCATGGTCTGCACGATCCATCTCTCAACACCAGACTTCCGGAAATTCTAGAGCCCATGCAAGGCCCCCTCCGTCACCGTGTATTCTTTGGTAATTACGATCTGGTTATAGTCTGGCGAGATCCCTGCGACTGTTGCTGACCCCTGAGCGCGAGATTTGTTTCTTGGGGCCAGCCCGCCGCTAGTACGCTGCTTCGGGAGCTTGAGGGACGACCCCCCTTCACCGCCCGAAAGAAGATCCTGCCCTCTCTGCACAATATGATCGTCCGAGCCCCAAGATACGGAATTCTGCATGGGGAATCCCCGGCCTTCTCTGCCTGGGGTTTGGGGACGCCTCGACAGGCTACCGAGTCGGTAGCCCCGGCCGTCGTCTTTGCTCCCATCTCGGGACCTCCCGGCACTACGGCCCTTCTCGACGAGGCTCTTGAACAGCGGGTAGATCATCGGCATGTTGGTCAGGGCGAAGGAGACAAACGACTCGCGGACGGACCAGTATCCGGATTGGGCCGGTTCGACGTCGCCTAACTGTATATGTAGACGCGAAGAATCGTCAGTGCCATATTCGCTACAACGCATTTTGTAGGCCGCATTTGAGCGTATTAATCAAGGAGAGCTCATGACCAGAAATGGAACACTTGCCGTCAGAATCGAGACACACCGTAGTAGGCCGAATACCATCTCGAGAAACCCGCCGCTGAACATAACCAGTAGGACAAGCTTTTTCCGCCAGGGCAGATGGACCTTCCATACGACCTAACATGGCATTATAAATGCCGAATTAGAAATCAGTTACTAGATTTGTTCTTGTCTTCTAGCTCTGTACCGAAATCGGAATACGTACGGGGAGTGGAATGGCCATAAGGTAGAAATCAGTGAGCGTATTCATGACCATAACGTAGATGGTCTGGACGGCGGATATAGCAGGCATGCAGTGATCTTCCAACCTGTCAGGGAGGGGCACCGAAAGTTCAAGATAGACCAGCACTGCTTACTGCCAGGCGAAGGTTGGATCTGCCATTGTCGATCGAAGGGGATGCATTTCAAGAAGGCCACCAGCAGGCACGACACATAAGTCACGCCGACGACAACGACACCCCATTGGATCACCAGCCTTATGCGATGAATTCCATTTCTATGAGATAGATTAGCTCCTTGGTACGATGTCCGAGCTCCTCTCGTCCCAAGGTACTCACGTCAAACGCGCGTAGTACACCAGCCAACATGCCTTGAGGAGCCAGAGGAGCGTAGTGTATAAAAGAAGGCCTACGACATGGGTCTTCGAACCATTCACGCGCAGATACCACTCTTCGGACTGCGGATCGAGCGCGGCGCGTTCTTGGTCTGTCATGTTATTATTGGCGAGACTCTTCCAGCGTGCTACTACGAGATACGCCATGATCGACTCGGCAGTGTAAACTACCTAAAACGGCGTGAGTTTAAGAGTGATCCTTGTCGCTGTCCTTAGACGAATCGGCTTATGTCTCCGTCGTAATATTACTCACAACAGCCAGAGCCATAATAGCATCGTCCCATGCGAGGCCCCTCCATCCCAAAGTTGCCACCCTGTTGTAGTAGCGGAGGACAACGACGAGATATGCAGTTCCTTGGAGGCCCCAGACCTCCTGGATGAAGGCATGGTCGGGATCGTGTGCCATCGTAGGGCTTTCAGAAAGACGCTGATGCTTCAACTAAGCAAGATGAGATCGCTTCAGGACGTGAGCTTCCCATATGAGGTCTCGGAAAGGGCCCGACCCAGCCATTGTGATATAAGTAGCATCTGCGACATCCACTGGGCGCTATGGAATAGGAGGTTTCTCATATTAAAGCCAGCATTCTATCGCATACACCGTTATTAGGGGCTCAGCTTTGGATTCTCAGTATCTAAATGTGATAAGGGATCTGGCGATATCGTAATATAGATATATGACGGTCAACCTCGTTAAGCCGCCAGATGGAGATCAGATATGTATATCGTAGCTCTACGCAAGCCCGCAAGTCCATAAGCCACTTGTCGCAGATAAGGAGGTGATTACTCCGTTCAGGAGCGATGTAGCATTCCCCTTAAGTTGAATACTGAGATATCGCATATTGGGTTAAAAACTACGTGTGAGCGAGGTAATAGATAGTCCCTCGTAGCCGATACGATTCATAATTCCTATATTAAAGCTACGTGTAATTCCTCTACTTATCTCGTAGGAACTCGTGTAAGCCTTCACCATTACTAAACAAAGAAACGTAGGTGTATACGTTTTTCCGCCTTGCTTTTAGGCAAAGAAACAGGAGCTGATTAAGTGCACGTGGACGAAGGATCGGGGGTTGTACCTAGGTTGTCATAATACAGCGGAGACATATCAACAAAACCTCATGTGCCTATATCCTCCTCCCACGGCGTGTGGGTGGCTACGTCGCTTCCTTGACGCAGCATACCGTAAAAGTTGGGAATGTGTTGAATCCTAAAAATAACAAAGAATGCCCAGCCTACTCTGCCATGTCGTGCCACGAGATGTTGCCGTCGGTCTCGCCGCCAACGGCCATCCCAAGATTTTACCAAGGCCTAACATCACACATTGCACCTCACAGTTTCACGTAGTGCAAGCGCGACTTCTGAGACGTCTATGCAGCTCCGGGAAAAGTCGCTCTCCCTTCGTAGATGTGAGCGGGCATAGATGAGACACACCTTCACATCATCCTAATGATGGCGCACAAACCAGCGGTTCGATGCGGACGTCCGATGCAGCCGTCCGGTGCAGATGCCCTCTTCAGTAAAGATCTCCGCTCAAAAAACGCTACACAATATGTATGCGTGTAAACGAGAGGGGAGCATATGTGGAAGCCAAAGCCATACAGTGAGGAGTAGAATGCTTAAACCGAGCGTCAACTTCGCCCCTTGGGCAGCTTATAAGGATGTGAAAATGGATGCGTCACGGAAAAATGTAGGCGCTTACACTTATTACCGCTTCGGTAATCCAGGCACCTAGGCATATGGATCGTTACGCGATATTGGGACGACAGGCCATCTGCCCACGACACCCAACCGCTGGCTCATGCAACGCGATAGATGCATACACAGAACGCAAGCCATGCCAACATTTTCACCATAATCTGTCACGTCTCACGGCCGAGCCCGGCCGATTAGACAGAGAAGCGAGGGCGGTGGCATCTGCTGCCCTGGAAGTTGTCGTAACACGTGTTGTAAAAAGAAAAGAAAAAAGGCCCCGATCTCCGCTAGACTAGGTAGGAGAACAGATGATCGTCCATGGAAATACCCTCAAATCGTCAACCCATTGCCGCCAACCCCCGCCCCCTTCTTTACGTCATGCTCCCTTTCCCTGCTTCTCTGCTTAGAAGCGACCCTCGCTCTCTTAGTGGTAAATTGTTAATGATGAGCTAAGCTCGAGTGGTCAGTGTGGATGATGCCGTAGAATCTCGCCAGGGGGCTGATTAAGGCGGACACGCGCGTGTGCTCCTCGCCCGACTAGCCCAGACTTCTCCACTTTGGATGGTATTGCCGCGGTCTGTATAGGTGCGTCTCCGCGTTCTCGGGAACGCACACGGGTAACTAATTGGTGTTAGTCGACAGCCACGATGCCCCTCGAGGTTACATCCAGGTCTGGAGATAGAGTCCACCAACACTTGCCTGCCCCCTATGCCTCTGGACCACTAAGACCAACTTGATATGTCAAGTTCACCGTTAGTCGGGGCACCGTCCCGGTCGGCATCGAAATATCTTATATTGCCTCTCTGTTGCGTTTCTTCCGCTGCGATGATGGGTTGAGCAAGCACCCGATGAGTAGTAAGTCTGGGGCGTTATAGATCTTCCTCTCTCTTGTCCTCTCCCTGCTCCCTCTCTCCACTCGACGGCCGAGAGTCTTGCGTGACAATCCTCCCCTGTTCTTTCTGCATCACTACTCTAAGAAGATCATCGATAAGAAGGGCGTAGACCAGAACGATGGCCACGAACGGAAGCGTACTTGAATCGAACGTCGATGTGTACGTCGAGATAGATCTCGGGCCTCTATACGACGGTGCTAACGCGGTACAGTCTCATAATTGGCGCCGGGCCCGCGGGGTATGTCTGGTGATGTGCCGCGCATCTTGCTCTTCTCCTCAGCGGCTCAACCTCATACTTACGATCGTCTAGGATGATGGCGGCCTGCTGGATGGCACACTGCGGTGTGAAGGCGCGGATCATCGATAAGAGGAACAGCAAGATCTTCTATGGTCAGGCGGACGGCCTCCAGTCCCGTAGCCTCGAAATATTCGAGAGCTTCGGGTTCGGCGACAGGGCTTGGAATGAAGCAAACCATTTGATCGAGGTACTGTTGGCCTCTTGATAATAGTTGATGGAAGTCGCTCGGCTGACATTTGCTGCCCCAGATGTGCATGTGGGTGAGTAGATGTTCCGCATAAGCAGAGGCGCAGTGACACCTCCTTAACACAGTATCCTAGAACCCCGGACCCGACGGCGTCATTCGCCGGTCGGATCGCATCCCAGACACCATCGTAGGGCTTTCCCGCTTCCAGGAGTGCGTCCTAAACCAAGGGCGCGTCGAGCGCTTCTTCCTCGACAACATCAAGAAGTACTCCAAGGGCACGCTGCAAGTAGAACGCGCGATCCTTCCGGAGTCTCTCGAGGTCGACGCGTCCAAGGTCGACGACGATTCTGCTCATCCCGTTACCGTGAAGCTGCGCCACCTCAGTGAGGAAGAGTCCACTCCCCAGCAGCAGGTCAACGGGAGCAAGGTCTCAGATGGACTATTCCGGAGCAGCTTAGTCTACGAGGATGACGAGGAGGACTTGATAAGGAAGAGCCAGTCGCGAGCCGAAACCAGCGAGATAGTCCACGCCAAGTATGTCATTGGGTGTGACGGTGCTCGCAGCTGGACCAGACGCTCCTTGGGCTTTGAATTACTGGGCGAGGCGACTGATTTCATTTGGGGTGTCTTAGACATTATCCCTATAACCGATTTTCGTGAGTGAACATGACCGCCCTGCAGATTTCCCCCCAGCTCACTAGGTTATTTGGAATAAGCCGACATCAGAATGAGATGCGCCGTTCACTCGGCCGAGAATGGCAGCTTGATGGTGATCCCCCGTGAGAACAAGCTGGTCCGGCTCTACATACAACTAAAGGAGGTGACCCCTGACGCCTCAGGGCGTGCGGACAGGTCCAAGATTACCCCCGAGATCATTTTCAGTGCGGCGCAGAAGATCATCAGCCCCTACAAGCTTAGTTACGAGTACTGTAACTGGTGGACTGCTTATCAGGTAGCTATAAATCCGTGTCGACGTCGCCGTTAAACTGGGTATAATTAACTAGAGATGGTATAGATTGGCCAAAGAGTCGGCACACATTTCGACGCCCACGAGCGAGTCTTCCTTGCCGGGGATGCAGTTCACACCCACTCTCCGAAGGCCGGCCAAGGCATGAACGTCTCCATGCAAGACACGTACAATCTCGGCTGGAAGGTCGGCCTCGTCGCGAAGGGCATCGCTAAGCGGAGTATTTTGAGCACCTACCGCAGCGAACGGCAGCAAGTTGCCCAAGACCTCATCGACTTCGACCATCGCTTCAGTAGGCTGTTTTCCGGGAAGCCAGCGAAGGACATCATGGATGCCGAGGGCGTCAGCATGGAGGAATTCAAGAACGCCTTCATAAAAGGCAACATGTTCGCGACGGGCTTAAGCGTCAATTATGGACCAAGCAGCATAGTTACGAAACCCGATACAGCCGTAGACGAGAAGGCTAATAAGGGAAACCACCAAGGGTCGGCGGCTGTGACGAGGATCTCCGCTGATGCCTACGCGAAGAGACAGGCTCTCGCTCCCGGTATCCCGATCGGGATGCGCTTCGATAACGTCCAGGTCCTCAACCAGTCGGACGGCCGGCCCTGGCACTTCCAACAGAAGCTCAAGTCCGACGGCCGATTCCGTGTCATTCTTTTCGCCGGCGATGTATTGAGCGCGCCCCAGAAGAACCGAGTAGAGAAATTTTGCGATGCTCTCGCCTCGCCAACCAGCTTCCTGCGCGCCGCGACTCCCCCTAGCGCGCCAGTCGACATCGTGATCGAGATCTTAACGATTCACTCGTCGAGGAGGGTCGAGACGGAGCTGTTGAGAGATTTCCCCGAGATCCTTCACCCTTTCGATGCGCACGTCGGGTGGGACTACGACAAGGTCTTTGTCGATGATGTGAGCTACCACGAAGGCGGCGGCGATGCCTACTTCAAATATGGCATCGATAGGGAACGAGGATGCGTCGTGGCGGTGAGACCAGATCAATACGTTGGCTGGATCGGCGAGCTTGAGGACTTCGAAGGGCTCCAGGAATACTTTGAAGGTATTCTCGTGCTCAACCCCAAGGCTTAGGAACTGTAGCAGTAGGTCAATCAAGGCATCTCGTATAGATATACGTACGGGCTAGTCCATACTATACCGGTGGCTATATGCGAGAAGAGAAGATATCAATCGTGCTGTCCATATCTACCTATATGCTATCTCTTTGATTACTGCCTGGGAAAGAAACCCCCTTCCCATGATGATCTTAATACTGAAAAGTCCTGCCAATTTGATAAGCAATGATGGTATATTTGAAATGTCCTCATAACATTAATGATCGTCCGTCATTATATATATATCGACACGAATTACCGTGTGCTCGTTAGGCGTCGCCTTCCCTAATATACAAACTTGAAGTACAAATCATCGTGGCTCTTACGTTCGTCATCTGTCATCTGTGACCGAGCCTTCTCGCGTCTCTGGTTAAATATATAGAAGAGAACGAATGCGACACTCGTAAGTACGAAGCCCGCTATCGTGAAGGCGAGGCCCGTGTGGAATCCTGTGGGGTAGCGAGGGCGCTCTGCGAGGATGAATATATTGGAGCTGATGAAGTTGGCGCAATTCCCGAAGCCCACCATCCAGCCCATGCCGACGGCAAGGTACTTATGGCCACGCAGATTGGCACTGAGCCAGCCCATAAGGATCGCCATCTGGGGAAACGTGCCGGCAGACATCATGAACAGAGCGAAGTAACGCACCCCGGGCGCTGGCACGTAGGCCACCATGATCGCCCATCCGACCAACTGAAGACCGACAGCAAAAAGGAGAAATGGCGTGCGGAGATTGAGCCGCGAGGCGACCCAGGAGAAGAAGAACGTGGAGACGATGCCGGACGCCCAAACGGGCATCGTCATGAGCTGCGCAATGGTCGCCGTCCAGCCGAGCTCGGTAAGGATCGTCGGCGCGAAGGCGGACATGGAAGCGGCGGTAATATCGCAGCAGAAGAAGCACATGGTGAGGAGGTGGATCCTCCAGTCGACCAGGACCTTCCAGATGGGGACGTTATCGGCGGGCGAACCCTTAGTCTCGACGCCACGGGACGCCTCGAGCGAGGCCACGAGGCGATCGCGCTCCTCGCTCGTCAGGAACCACGACTGGGCGTGCTGCGGAAAGTTGGGGCAGACCCAGAAGATGAAGAAAGAAAAGACGACAGTCGCCAGGCCCTCGATGATGAAGATCCACCGCCAGCCCTGGTAGCCGCCGGCACCGTCGATGTTCTGGATCGCGAACGCGAGGAGGCCGGAGAACAGCGGGCCAGCGAGCGCGAAGTTGAAAAACCAGGCAAACCGGACGGCCGCTTCGCGCTTAGTATAGTACATCGATATCATGTAAGTCGCGCCGGCCGGGAGGGCGACTTCGAAGATGCCCATCAGGAAACGAATAGCGAGGATTCCACCGTAGCTTTGGGTCAGGCCCTGACACATCCCAAGGACGCCTGCGAACCCGTTAGCATTGTGGGGGGTCAGGAGCGAGACTGGGTCATGTCACGTCGCGAGAGCGAGAGGTGGAGGGGGATGGCTGTACGAACCTAGGAGGAACATCTGCACGCCGAGGAAAACGCCAGGGCGGATCTTGTTGAGGCTGAGGAGAAGATTCGCTGGCACTTCGGCCAGCACGAAGGGGATGTAGAAGATCCAGAGCGCCGTGTTGTATCCGTTCGAGGGCATGTTGAGAGACATTTCGAGGCCGTCCGGTTTCCCGATCCCCAGACTCCGAGCGTTCGCGATGTTCGTCCGATCGAGAAATAGAATCATGTACAGCAGCCCCGTCACGGGTATGAGGACCAAGTCCCGCTTCCATAGGAGCCGCCTGTCGAGCTTGCGCTCCTTTTCGGCGTCAGCTGGGGAGCTGCCGTGGGCGCCGCTCTCCAGCGATCCGTCGCTCTTCTCCATCCTCAGCTCAGACGATGACGGACCCGGTTTGAGGCTCGTAGCCATCCTCACGACACGATCCGATCCAGCGCGACGGCCACTAACTAAGCGGTGCCTAGGGGGGTCGAGTGGGGCTAGAGGTGTTCGTTCGCGAGGTGCCGCATAGAAGACGGCTAGGGAGAGAGAAGAACAGAACGGGTACGGACAGCCTAAAAGCTGGTGAAGCTCGGCAAGCAGAGGACGCGCCGGGAGGACGGGCGCGAACGAACTATTTAGAAAGCCAGCTAAGACGAAGGGGAAAAAGAAGGTTGAGGATGGCAGGAGAATAGAGCCTAGGTAACGTGGAGATATCGAGCTTTTCTCCCTCCTCTCTCCCTCTCTATCTCTGTGCTACTGCGCAGTGCGAACCGAAGTCACCGCGATCCTGGAATGGACCCCCGTCGTCGACCCCAACACACTACATCGAGATTCCCCCTCAAACCCGCACCTAGTCTCATACGCAGTAAAGATATTTTATCGGGCCACTAAGGCAGACCTCCTTTGTGGCTTTCTCTGCCTCTTTCTCCATCGGCTCGGCCCTGGTCGGCCTGAATTACTCGTGGGGCGCTGGCCGGGTTCGAGGCGACCGCATTGCACCAGTTGATTGCCATTAGCTGAAATGGGCAAGGTCTGTTCCTCGAGCGTGGTATCGTGGCATTTCCCGAAAATAAAAAAACAACGTGCCAAGGCAGCCCGAGGATCAGTTCTAGACTCAAAGGGACATGGGTCGGACGGGTCTGCTTCGAGACTACATGGCTTACGCAGTATATATCTTCACCTTTTCAGCTCGACGCCCCTTGGCAATTGAGCTAGCATCGCGGAAGAGTGCCTAGGGGACGGGATTGACCGATTGCTGTCGGTATTTCTCAACAGCCCGTCGTCGCCTACGCGCCCTCTTGACGAGAGGAGAGAGGACGGACCGAGGTCGCTGTCTGGGAGGTCTTGAGATTCGTTAGCCATGCCTGAACAATTTCGTTTGTCGAGTCAGCCCACGCGAGAGCGGTGCCTAGGTAGCAATACTACGTATGTGCCTACATTGATGTGTATGCACACACATCACCCACACCCACTTACACACCACCAAACCACACGCGCACACTACGCGCATCCCATTCTTGGGAACACATAGCAATAGCACCTGCTACCCCTGGCCAATAGTACCATATTGGACGAATGGGCTCTGATGGTCAACCCCCATGTTCGGATCAAAACATCCAATCTACTCTCACATTACGACGTGGGCCACGCGCTTGGCCCAATTTTCCGGAAGCATGAATCCGATGGTGTATGGGAAGAGGTGTGTTACTGTCGCTACCGCCGCTTCTGATGCTGCCTCTAGAATGCTAGGGTCTGGTTAATATAGGTACATATAGTAGCATTCGGGTCCTCGCTACGTTTGCAGCAGCCGTGTTCGATCAACGCCCATGGGGTCGTCACTGAGGGGGACAAGAAAAGCATGTGAGACGGGTTAGTTTATTAGGCCTCTTCTGCAGCCCTCCCTTTCTTCCCCATTCCCCAGCGAAGAGGCATAACGCAGCATGATATGATGCAATATCGGAAACGTTGCTTTTAACGTCGGGTGGACGCATAAACATACAGCGGCATCATCTTCGTGTATATATGTTTATATATATATATATATATATATATATCGGCGGGTTGGTATATCGTCCAGGAACCAGGTAAAGGATAATGACGCGTCATCCACCATCCCGCGAACCAGGCTTAGGACTACTTACATGCGAATTCTACTCGGTTGTATGTCATCGATCTTATATTCATGTAAGTCAGACCTCGGGGGCCTTCCAAAAAAGCAAAACACGCATCTCTACCCGAGACCTTCGACGGCCCGGTTCGTTTTCGACCTCTCGGATGCAAGGCAGGCCGTGAGCACGACTGCGATGTTACCTCGGGGTGGGAACTGAATGGGCTTGCTAACCGCTCCATGCTTCACCTCCACATCTGAAGTAACCATTAAGCTATGAGCCGAACTAGGTGGCACCGTATGTAGACACCTACTTGTCGTCTCTCAGTCTCGAGCACCGTAGTGCGGCCTGCTCCGGCGCGATGGGTCATACCAAGATCGCGGACCACTACCGACGCCGGGAGGATGGCCAAGTCCATATCGTATCATGAGGACGGTGCTCATGAAACACCATTCGATTGAAGCAAATCACGCCCATCTTGTTGGTTTTGCTTAACCGAGTTGAGAGGGACATTGCAACGTCTACACATCTCTCCATACCCAATTCATACTATATGCAGCGTTCAGGTGCTATTGTAAACTTACCCGTTACGTGGGCAGCCCTTCTCTCTCTAGCCTTTATGCCACTTGCGCGATCGGCGATGTGATAGTTCCATTTTGTCCCCTTGCCATGTCGGCGTCACAGCTAAGGGCGGTTAGCACCCCAATCTAATATCTCCTACCGTCGAATACCACCCTAAGCAACGGCCCGGCTCGAGGCCTAGAGTGTAATTCACTCAAGCCTGCCAGGATCGTTGAAGAGAGAGAAGGGGAGAGAAAAGGGGACGGGAGGGGACGGGAGGGGGACGATAACGCTCAGATAAGATACAGTCGGCATATCGCTCGTTAGCACCTCGTCGCAGGAGGAGAGGAGAGACAGAGTGGAAGCCAGCGGGCTTGTCGATATCCAAGTTAGACCAAAACACATGCGGCAAGACTATGCGAAGACGACGCTATGAGATTATCGCCCCATTACCTAGGATAATGTTGGTACCATACGGTCGGTAACCAGGGGTGGTGGGCAGATGAGCTCGAGACAAGGGTAAGCAGGGAGTCATAGGGGGGTTTTTTTTCCTCAGCCGTTCACATATCTATTTATGTATAGCAGCGTTTGCGGGGATGGGCGTGAAGGAAGAGGAGAGATGCCGCTCGGCGGCCGTGTATATAGGATGTGATTAAACAAGAAACGTCTATCTGAGGATATATAATACATCTAATGCATATACCTAACGAGGCCGATGAAAGCGGCACCCCCTTCTCACCCTCGCACATACCCTTCCCTTCCGCCACCCGAGCTCTCACAAGCACTCCCGGCACTCGGAAACGGTTGACCTGGACGCTCTGAGATCCCGAGCGGACGAGGCGGTCGCTCTCATCATTCACACACCTGCCTGTCATCGCCGGCACAGGTTCGATCGTGTTTTGTTACTGCCCAGCCACCATCCATCTTTGTTATTCATATGTCACCGCTCGGGTGCTACCCACCTGCGGAATTGGCGCTCGGCCTCTGCAGCATCCGCTCTGAGGTCGTGCTGCCAGATCCAATGTAGTCTCTGGTTGGCGTTGATGACCAGCTTGTCCATGTCGCTCCCGATCTCCGGATGCTGCCAGGTGTAGATGATGCCGGCCTCGTAGCTGGTGAGGACGACCTTCTGCGCCCGCGGCCGCCTGACGGCGTCGTAGGCCCGGAACGCGGGCTCGATCTCGGCCGGGGTCTTCACCAGGGCCAGCAGGTGAGAGAGGATCGCGGCATCCTCTAATCCCTGGCCCGCCCCGGCAGCTTGGTGTGGGGTGCAGGCGTGCGCCACATCACCGAGCAGACACACCCGTCCGTTATAGAACGAAGACGTCTTGGGGTGGTGCCACGTCGGCCACCGAAGGGGTCTAGCGTAATCAAGCAACCTGAGGAGTCTATCATCGAAGCCATCTAGATCTGCTATCATCTCCTCCTTGGTGCAGGGGATCGCGGTGTCTCCGTCCAGCCAAGACTTCGGATCTGTCACGAAGAACACAAAGTTTTCCTCTCTGCCCTGCGAGATCGGGTAGACGGCGACGGCCTTTCCCTGGCTCATGAAAAACTTGGCGTCCCCGGCATGGGCGCCCAAGATCTCCTTTGCCTTGTCCATCGGGACGATACCTCGGTAGATGTACATGCCGCAGAAGGTCGGCTGGACCTCTTCTGGCGCGATGTCGCTCAGCACGGTCCGGCGGGTAATCCCCTTCACCCCGTCGCACCCGACAACCGCGTCGACCGTCGCCACCTCTCCGTCCCGGAATCTGATGAGGACCTTGTCCCCTTGTTGCTCGACGGACTCCGCGCGCTTTCCGAACCTGACGCTGCCGTGGTCGATGAAGCTGTCCATGATCTCCAGCAGGTCCTTGCGGTGGGCGCTGCTCCGCGTGAAATAGGGGGCGCCGATGAGGCCGCGCGTCCACCCTCTCTTTTCGCCGAAGCCTTGCTCGGCGTACAGAGCGTCGAAGATGCTGTGCTCGAAGTCCGGCTTCTCGTTCGCCGTCTTCACCTTATCGTACTCGCGCCGGAACCTCGGATCTATCAGGTCCATGGCGTTCAGCGAGTTGGGGCCTAGGCCGATGCCGGCTCCCACCATGGAGAACCGGTCGGCGGCTTCGTAGATGGTTACCGGCACATTTCGCTTGAAGAGGCCGATGGCGAGAGCCAGTCCACCAATGCCCGCGCCGAGGATGGCGATAGATGGTGGGTTTTGATTCAACGACTCCATCATATGGTCTAAGAGGCGTTGGCTCTTCCGTCGGGCGCGTCCTAACGGCTACTTCGGTATGATCTTGGGGGTCGACAAAACGATGTGGTGTTCCTTTCTAGGGTTCTGGGAGTGGCTACTACGGCTCGTAATGAGAGGTGTCGGGAGGAGGGGTCAGGTGGCTTCAGTCTATATCAACCTCGTCCGAAGTGAGACCATCGGCCGAAGAGAGAGGGTTTCTACTGCCTTGGCGTAGTTTTGCTATTTCTGCTCTCATTGAAAGCTCGTCCGTTGCGGGCCTTTAGAGGCATTCGAGATGATCACTCAAGATAGGTTTGCATCCAAGGCTACCTCTCCCAGCTTCTAAAGCCGGATTAGATACCGAGGAAAGGGCGTAAGGGGTGCCCTCGTTTCGTATTATCATGCCATATTAAGGAAAGGGGCTCCGAAGAGTGCAACCGAAGATGCCTGTGGACTGCCACAGCGCACTGTATATTTTGTGCAGGATGTTTCTAAACCTACAAGGCAAACCTAGCAGAGGGAGGGCTCGCTGCGCTGGAGAGCAGCAGGAGGAGAGAGACAACTTGCAGCCGTTATGCTGCGCAGCGTAGTTATTCGCTGGCACTAACGGGAGTGGGATTCCGATGGAGGGCCCAGAAAGTCACACGGCCAACGGCGTAATGGGAGAGATACCTAATTAAGCAATTAGCAAAAAACGTGGAAGTAATAGCAGTCGGAAACGCTCTCCCACACGATGATACAGGATAATAGAGGAAGCTCTGCAGGGACGGATAGCTCGAACGACGAGAGCCCTACAGGCTCGTGCCCGAGCCCGAGTCGGACGAGCCGCACTCGGCAGAACACCATGTGGCTTGCATTCCCGTCGCGGGGGTGGATGTTGTAAGGCTGCCGTCGCCCTTGCGACTAGGGGAAGGGGTACGAGTGATGGTTTACGCAGCAGAAGACGGCTGCGATCATTGGGCATCTCGCGGTTCCCAAGACATCCATCCGCCGGAGGGCTACGATCAGAAGCGGTACTTGAAGTGAAGGCTCAGGGTTGTTGCCGCCGACGCTAATACGTATATCCATAAAGATCAACCTAGACTAGGCCAATATCATGCATCAGTGGCAGGTTTACGGGTCAGAAGGGCTAGAGGTGTTGCGAGTGTCGCCCAGGGGATATTCTCGTGGGGCGCTGGAAGCAGGGGAGACGCCTGAGGAGAATTTTCGCTGCGTGGCTCAATGCGACTCAAGTCCCGAGAAAATCCACGGGCGAACCGCATGGAAGAACCACGAGGAGGGAGGGGGGGGTGTTAAGAAATCCTCCGCATCACGTCTAGAATTGCGTGTTATGCATGTGCCCTCTCTCTCTCCTTTCCGCTTTCTAGGTCAATAGCGGGAATAACGCGAAACTAGATCTTGATGAGAGGATCATTGCGTTATTTGTAGGTATCGCCGGCGAGGACATCGCGTATCCATGATTAGTTGCATTGTGCATTCGCGTGCGTTAGGTGTAGAGACTTATCGAAGGCATTCGTAGGGATATCTCGGAGCGATCTTTTATTATCTTGCATTTTTATTTTGAATGTCCCTGCCAGCTTTCGTCCTCATTTTTCCTCGGCTTCAGCCCTCGGCGCTGGACACGATCGGCTGGTCCCTGTTGACGTGGGAGAGGGGGCTACCGCGCAAGTTGGTCGTCGGGAGAGGGGGCATCCATCAGTTCACGACAGAGCGAGAGAGCGAGAGGACTCAAAAGGAGGGAAAATGTGAGCCTCTCGATAACTCGTTGCATACGGGGTTGGATGGGCGACTAGGATGTTCAGATCGACGTAGAGATATCATCATGTTCTCAGCAGGGCTAACTGCACTGGTATTAGGGGGTGTTAGGGGCGCATCCTAGCAGGACGAACACGGATAGGTTCGTCTCCCACTTGTCCACTTGACGGATCCAGTACCGGCCCTGTGCTGATGGAGATCCAAGACTACAGGGGGACCGTCATGAGAAAGGGTCCGATATTCCGGCGCACGGCTCCTGGACCGGCATGGTCCCTCCCTCTCCCTCCCTCTCTCTCGCTATCTCCCTCGATCACCCACTCACACAGACTAAATCACCTAAGTGTGCCTGATCGTTCGAATTAAGACTTTGCGTTTCCTTGGAAATATACCTATACGTAATAAGAGACTTATAACACTACTACGGTAGCCTGCTTTACATACGGTAACGGTCCTTTGCCCCGGGTTGACAACATCACCACCACTGCATGTAGTCGCCTATGATGAAGCGAAGACGACAATGATCCCCGTCCAGCCGCGAGAGCTGGAAAAAATAAAATAAAACGACCACACCGCCAGTCATCGGCCTGAGACCGTCAACCTACGGAGCGTCGGGATTCTCTCCGTACTGAATACATATTCCCTCCTGGTAAGTTACAGTCTTCCTGCTCACGTTCATACGCGGGGAGAGCGGGCCTACCGAGTTCAACTTCGTTAGGGGCAAGTCCAGAGAAAGGGAGAGAGAGGAAGTGTGTGTGCGTGTGTGTTCTCTATCCCCGCTCGCCCAGCCCCATCGGATCGAACCGTCCCGCGTTTACAGTAACGAGGCCTGTCTTGCTGTCACTCTTATGACCAGTCATTATGTGCGCCGTTCCGGGTGTGCCTCCTAATCTATCACACAGCGACGGGAACGGAGGAAGAGAGGCAGAGAGGAAAGCACGGAGATCGTGAAGGGAAAGAAAAAAAAAACCTTGAGCCAGCGCGCCTCCCGGGTCCATCCTCGTGGCTGTTCTTTGTTGATACAACCCGCCCACCCACACGCTCGCCCGCACGTTCACTCGCACCCACACGTTTTTCACTTGCCCTCTTGGGATGGAAGCATCTATACCTGCAAACATACTGAGCTGAGCTCGGAATACTTGTCCTAATACGCTGATCAAGGCCTGAGTAAGCAGTTGGAGGCTACCATCAAGCCGTTTCGGGACGCCGTCGCGCTTGTGCATCCCATCCATCCGCCTAGCCCGTCCGTCTGCTTCCGACGCTATCGTAGCCCGCCATTCTCCGGACGGTCCTACCGAAACCCCTGCTTCCCTCGCCTATTCCCACCCATAACTCCTCCGCCTGTCCCAATGTCTCTCATGGACGCCACTGGATCGTCTCCGGACACGGGCGATACTACTCAGGGTCTCTCCCCGGGGACCCCGATCCCCGACAAGCCGCCGGCGCAGCGCAAGCCAGCCAAACGCGAACGCGTTGCTTTAGCTTGCCAGAGGTATGTTCTGTCTTATGTCGCCAGAGCGCGCGTAGCGCGTTACCCGTCCATCAGCTGACCGCCTACCAAAGGTGTAAGACTAGAAAGCAAAAGGTACGGCAAAGCCGCGTTGGCGCCTTTTCAGCCTCTCATATCTCATCACCCTTCCCGCTGGCGGTTGAATCCGATACTGTGTGTCCCTTCTACTTACTTTTATTATACAGTGTGACGGGCATCGGCCAGCATGTGGTTCGTGTGCGCGCTTGTCCTTGAAGTGTGGTAAGCTTACTCTCCCCGTCTCTCACTGCCGCTAGCTATGCGCTCTGGTCCCTAACCGTGCCTGTGTGCCGCTTAAGTATACGTCGTGCCACTGGTCCCGGCGGCCGGTGAGAAGAAGCTTTATATCAAGGCCCTGGAGCAGCGTGTTGCGGAGCTGGAGTCTTATCTTGCCTCACTAGGGCATGTTAGAGTCGGTACCGATCACCTGACACGTCTGGGACAGTCGGCATCGGCACCGCATCATGCAGCAGTTATGCCGGGCACCCAGCCCAACCAGGTACCCCCTTCGGAACACACCCAGAGGGATCCCGAAGATGAAACCAATGACATATTAGTAGCTGTGAGAGATCTCTCGCTCTCTGCGTCTGGCCACTACGTAGGTGCCTCCTCAAACATCACCATCGGGAGGGTCCTTAGCTCCGTCGTCCTCAGCCAGAGGGCCTCTGCCGTGCCCTCTCACGAGGAGCCAGCGGCCCAAGGAGACGATGATCCGGCGCCAAAATCCATCTACTCCACCAATGAGGGCGACATGATCGGCGTGCCCTTCCTGACCCCCCAAGTCGCCTCGAGGCTGCTGCACGGGTGGTTCCGGCACATAGCTACGAGATATCCTATTCTGCACTCCGCCCAGGTGATGAAACTTCACAACAACCGGGACACTCTTACAGACGAGTATGAGCAGACGATCCTGCATCTCATCTATGCTGTGAGTGGGCGATGGCTGGAGTCGGCCGGCGAGACCGGCCACTTCTTCAGTGACCAACATTACGATATCGCTCTAGAAGAGCTCGACTCGATGCTGCGCCTTCGAGATGTCCGCACGGTCAATTATCTTCTCCTTATGGCTTTATATTGTACAAGGGCCCCTCGAGACCCCGGGGCTTGGACTTATATCGGGGCTGCGATAAGATTGTGCGTAGAGTTAGGTTTACATCGTCGACAGCGGCGACAGCGGCCTAGTGTCGAAGGCGAGATGGATAAGCGCCGGTTCTGGACTGCCTACTTCCTCGATCGGGACATTTCCATCGCCGTTGGACGACCTCCCAGCCTGTCAGACCATGACATCGACGTAGAACTCCCCCTGGATATCAACGAGGACACACTCGACGACGAGATCGTGCGCCAAGCAGCCATGCGCGTCACAAACATCCCGGTCAACCCTCCGAACACCTTGACATCCTTCATTCACCGGACGCGGCTCAAGCAGATCGAGTCCGAAATCCAGCACATCGTCTACAGGGTCGACCGCCCAAACGATGTCTCCGACGCTACCATCAACGTCTTTCTCGACCAGCTGAACGCGTGGAAAGACAACATCCCTTACGAGACGGCGCACTATGTCCATCGCCAGGAGAGCGCGTACGAGGGCGCCGAGTTGTATACCATCCACTACTACCGTTGTGTTCGCTTCTTGCTATACCCGCAGCTCGCCAAAAGCCCCGTTAACATGCACTACGTGAAGCTCTGCGCAGAGGCTTGCATGGGCGTCATTGCGGACTACCGGCGGCTGCACCACACGTTTCCTGTTGGCTTTTCGGCTTTGTCGATTCAATCGGTCTTCCTAGCAGGTGAGTTGTCTTTTTCGTGATTGCCATCGGCTGAGTCGACCGTCTCCCGTCTTCTGACAAGTGGTGTGAACATAGGCCTGACTTTGATATACTGCGCGTGGCTGGCCCCGTCGAATTTCCTCAGCGTCGAAGGCCCGCTCACGGGCTGCCAGATTCTCTTATACGTCGTCGCCGAGCGGTACCCGTCCGCCCGGAAGTATCGCGACCTATTCGAGCGCATCAGGTCGGCAATAATGACCATGATCGCCCAGGGAGAGCACGAGCCGCGCCACCCCGTCCACATCGATCCGAACGTCCAGAAGGGCTTCGCAACCCTCGAGAGCCAGTGGGCGACCGGGATGGGCGCCGACTTCTCCTACATGGTCAATACGATGACTGGAAATGCGCAAGCGGCGCCCACGTTCGACATGGGGATGGATCCGACAACGACGGCACTCGTTGGCGGGCATCCAGACCACGCCGCGCCGGCCGCCATGGGTCAGTACCAGGCCATATGGCCCGGGATACCGCACGATCTAAGCGACGCGAATGTCCTCAGCGGCATCTACCAGTGAACCCATGGAGGTCCTTCTCTTCTCTTTTCCCCTTCTTTTTTCTTTTGTATTTCTAGCGTTCCGAGCGTTCTAGGGATAGGGAATATCGGACGGATGGGGTGGAGGGTATACCATCATTGCCTCAAATATTCTGTTGTAGCTTCGCCGGAGAGCTTCCTCGGGTGTGCCTTGGGTGGCCAGGGCATGAAAAAGATATCTTTGTAGATTGAGAATAGGTAGCTGGAGCATACCAAAGAGAGAAGGCGGTACGGCACCCGCCGTTCTCCATTTGGGAGCTCCCCCGAGTCGGACTCTGATATTTATGTGCATACCTACATATATATGGATAGATATTCAGATATATAGAGATATAACAGTATCTACTGTTACCGGCTTCTTCCTTCCTCCTCAAGCAGGTGGGCAGCCTATTCGTCAAGGAGTAATAAGAGGCGAGCGTTTACCTATATGAGTATACACGGCCGTCTACCAAGACGATCATGTGGAGCCATTTTCAAAATCCCAAGACCCGGATCAATTGATGGTCTATAATAAGGACTGCCCTAAGCTCGCCCATCCGCTCAGCTAGACGAGTAAGCGAGACGAGCCGCTTGTCATCGGGAGAGCTCATCCGAAGGCACGGCGGGGGTCCCGCCCGCGATTCGGATGGAAGGATGGAGGACACCATCTCAACCCGTCGCTGATTGCAGAGAAGCCCGTTTCACGATACTCTCCTATCATGTTCTCTCTTTCCCCTAGGCTAGGGCATCCCCCTGTATTACAGGTTCACAAGGGCGGCCAAGACCGCTGGCCAACTCAGATCCTCGGCACCATCGCGGCGACGGCTATAAGATCATCGGTAACGTGCTCCAACGGACCGCCATGTGGGCTCGGCAAGCGAAGCTTTTACCCCCATACAGCCGCGTGTATGCATGTCAGAATAGGCCAGGTCATAAGGTTGAAATACATATGTAGGTATTATCCTACGTAGGTACGTGTCAGCTTGCAACGGGCGAGCCCCAACTTCTTCTTCCTCTTCCCCTTCCTCCTACACTAATCGGCGGCCCTGAAAAGTCACATGGACACAGATGGACGCCCGGATGAGCAGATCACGTTCGGAACCTCGAACGCACCTCCGAACGCGCGTCAATCCTCACAATGCCTCGGCGATGACTTAGGGGCAATCCATCGTTAGCGGGGGTTGGCGATCTTAGGGGGGAGCATCGGTTCCGCCCGCCAAGTTTATTTTCGGCTATCATTTCTGTTCGTAGAAGTAGTTGGAATATATGCAATAGGTATACGTTACTCAATAGACATGCTCTGCCGTCTTCCGAGAATCGTTTCCCCGTGAAAACGGCGCCGATCGCACTGTTGTGGCACGGTCACGGCGGAAGTCCATCCCTAACGAATACCGATCATGTAGGCATTAGGCAAGTTTCTCCGTAGCGATAGATATACGGGATTTCGCTACGGAAGCACGACGATATCTGCAAAGTATTTCCACTCGCTCTTCGACACATTCGCCTCACGATCGTCCGAATTCATACCGCCGTGCAGAATCTTGTCCGACTGAGTTCCTTCCCACTACCTCCCTCCTCGCCTACGCACCACCCTCCTTCGGCAGCGGCGTGTAATCGCCCGTCGCCGTGACCTCGCCCTCGTACCCGACGGCCTTCGCGAAGTCGGCGAGGAACTTCCAGCGCAGCTTGCGGGTCCACCCGGCGGCCGCGAAGCCGTTCGCCTTGGCGGGGAAGAAGTCGGCGACCTGCAGCAGGTAGTGGTTGTGGGCGGCGGCGACGAGGATGTTGTCGTAGGCGTCGAGCTCCTGCAGCCTGCGGATCGTGGCCGCGGCCAGGGCCGGGTCCTCGTGGACGGCGCGCTGGCCCGGCGGCGGCTCGAGCGACGGCAGGTAGATGGGCTCCTCGCGGCTGCCGTCGCGCAGCAGGGCGTCGAAGAGCGACCCGGGGCACGGCGTCGTCGACAGCGGCGCGAACGGGTGCGGCAGGATCGCGTCGGGCAGCGGGTGCCAGTGGTGCGGCCGCAGCTCGCCGTCGTGGTGGATCACGTCGCCGCCCATCAGCACGAAGCTGTCCGGGCTGCTCGTCACGCGCGCGAACCCGCACACGTGCCCGATGCAGTGCCCCGGCGAGTCGAGGAAGTAGAACGACCCGTCGCCGAAGTAGTCGATGGCCCGGAACTGGCCGATGCGCAGCGTCGACGCCGCGAAGTCGAGCTCGCGCACCTCGCGCCCGGCGTAGTCGCTCTCGAGGAAGCGCGCGTTCGGGTTCGCCGGATACCCCGGGAAGAGTTTCTCCTTGGTGCCGGGACCGACGATGAGAGCGGTGCTGGGCTCGAACGTCGCCGGATCGCCAGTGTGGTCGAAGTGCGAGTGGGACCAGATGACGGCCTCGATGCGCTTCGTGTCGACGCCGTGCTCGTCGAGGACCTCGCGGATGCCCTTGGGCGCAATGATGTCGACGTTAGCCTTCTCAAAGAACCCGAGCAGGTGCGGCGGCCAGTTCCAGTAGTCCTTCCGCATACCGAGGTCGAAGACGAGGGACCGGTCGAGCGCCGGGTGCTGGAGTAGGAAGGCGAAGCACGGCGTCGCTAAGTAGTCGTGCCCAGGGATCTTGGGCAAGAAGAAGCGACTGGGATCCAGCCCGCGCAGGATGCCGGTAGTGTTCACGATGGAGACATCAACTGTCGACGTCGAGGCGGGGATGTTGAGCTCGGGAAGCGTCGCCATGGTTTCGGCCTACCTGTCTACTCTACTAGCGATTTGGAGCAGACGCCGAGAAGCTGCTAAGGGGTGGGGGGTATTCAGTTATGAGCGGCCTCGAATCCAAGCAGCCGCTATTAGATGATCATACCTAGCAGAACCTGCAAATACTATTACTATTCTGCGCTCTCTCAGGCCGCCGAGGACTTCGTGTTGTAATTTAGGCAATTGGTCAACTGTGGTTTAGACGTCGAGAAGGGCGGAGAGCTATGAATCACTTCACTCGGCTTTTTGGCAAATACTTATAGGTTGAAGACCCCACAGTCCGGGCATACTATGCCGAAGGCCATCTAGTCCCAACAAGATTGAGGAGCACATGTACCAACACTCCAGGGGTGTCTAATTAGAACGGGGTGGCGAGAGGAATTACGATCTACGAGTCATGTCGAGGCGGGGAGCGTGTATGGCGACAAAGCCTTGCCGGTTACAAATCGTTGCTTCGATACCACGCCAGCTCCGTATTGCGTCACCTTTAAATATCTCAACTTCAGCTTTATTTTCTCTGAACCATTACTGTTGGTAAGGACTAGCTCTGCCTGGCTGGCCAAGAAACAATACTTTCACTGGTACGATGAAATTACACAGGCCCAAACGGCTTTCTCCTATTTTTAACGGTGGCAGCAACGAACCTACTAGGCGGCTGAAATGAAACGTTGACATAATCGCGGAGAAAGGAATGATAATGAGGCTTATTTTCAAACCCCCTACAGCCCTCTCCCCTAGCGATAAGGGCGAGAAACGCTTCGCAGGAACCGGGTTGATTATGGCGTGTTTCTAACGTGTGTAGGTTGAGTCGGTAGGACCTTATTCTTCCCGTTGCTATTACAATATCATCCACCTACAGATCGCGTAGGCTCGTCTGCGATATTCGTAAGTCTGTTTAACGTCAGAGCAACGCTGAGGCCTCAACGGCCGATGCATACGAAACCCTGTAAACGCTGCTTTTACACTAATTATAATAGACGATACGTAGATGGTTAGACACGTTGGTTATAGTTGTGGTTTTAAGTCTATATAAAGGGAAAAGAGGCACAATACCTGTGGGTCAGCAAATATGTATACAAGTGCATAGGGTCAGGCGACTAATATCACCAACAATAATGTATTAGAACGTCGTTAATACGAGTTGTGTGTAGCCCTCCTCGCAGATGTGCACCTATTACTATCAACAGGCGCTATATATAGTAATGGGCACTATATAGGCAACTATCACTAACCAGGCGAGCTTCTTGGCCTCTTGAGCTCTTGCTAGTGACGTTGAAGCTCTACTCGTCGGTGCTGCTCCACGGGCGGCGGAGGTTTGCCGTAGGCGCTTACAAGGGCTTGAGCGGCCGGAAGGTCACAAGCTGTTGCACAGTTGAACCGGAGGTGCGCGACAGGGAAAGGAAGCATACGATTCGCTTGTTTGAACGCAGCCTCGACATTAGCAAAGGGGAAAATATGTATCACAAGCGAAATATAATGTCTCGACCTAGTTACGGATGGCTTTGATGCCCATGATATGAGCTTGGAAACAGGATTCACGTTCAAGTAGGCTGGCAACCAGATGAAAGACGATGAAGCCACAACCCCCTGATGACGATAGCAGGACTGAATCGGGGAGCACCACCAGCATCTTGTCACACCGGCCATAATAGAACGTTGGTGGAGAACAGTGGTGTAATGAATGTGGGCGATGGTGAGGAGTTGATGGGCACCTGATAACTAAGTATTGACTGAAAGATGCAGGCCTGATAGGGCGAAGCAGGGCTTCCGGAGTAGCAGCAGTTTTTCATTTACCGATTGATAGACCCATTTAGGTGCTAAGAGACAACCTCCAAGCTAGATTGGTTGATATCAGTGTTCAACCCCAATGTGTTTGAATCACCCACTGCCATCTATCAGGAACCAACAGGTTTCTGCTGGGTGACATGTCTTTCCTTCTTATGCCGTATAATCATCACTTATCAGCAAAGTAGAAACATCCGTGTCCCGATAAATAGTATAGATTGTGTAAGGGGCCGGGAATATGGTAGCTAATAAGTAGGGGGGGTAGGTTCCTTGGGGTATTTCCTGACCGTTCTCCTGGTTCTCACAATGGGGCTTGAGAATATTAAATTGTATCGTATACTGCTCGAAATGGCCATTAGGAGCGCCCACCCTGCTATTCTTGCTCGCCCTTTTGGGCATAGTAACCGTGTATTACCAGCTTTAACCAGAGTCAACTCCCAATATGTGACTAGTATGTTCAAGTGTGCCGGCAGAGTTCATACTAGCTATAGCTGCACTATTTTCTAGTGGGTTGAGGTTAGAATTAATATGCCCTATCGACGTGCTCCGCGTGAGTCTGGTTTTCAGCAGCACTAGCTTTAACATCCTTCAATGCTTCGGCCATGATTGTCGTCTTGAAGGACTTGAAATTGCGGACCGAAACACGGTTGTTAAAGAGTTCATCGATTTCCTCTAGGGTTCTTCCCTTTGTCTCGGGAACACAGAGGTAAAAGAATACTAGACAGCACAAGTTCGACCCAGCCCATATGTAACCGTATTTAGCACCCTATACGCCCATTAGTTATCCAGGTCCCCGGAGAGCAGACAACAGAGAATAAGTTTTTGATGCTACATACCCAGTTAAGATGCTCCGGGTTGATAAAATACGGAGAGCAGAAGCCCGTTAGCCAGGCAAGGAAGTATCCCAGACTGATGGCTGATCCCACAGACCAAGACCTTAGCCTCGTGCTCACCAGTTCGGTCGCCGTGGGATAGGTGGCGTCTCCGACGAAAGCGTTGTAGGCAAACATGTATAGACCTGAGAACGCGATGAGGCAGTTTCGAGCTTCGAGGGTTCCGTAGGCAACGGTGGCAGAAACAGCCATTCCAAGCATAGCGCACCCTTGAACCACGGCGCCCGTCATCAGGATCGTTCGCCTGCCCATGACGTGTCGCATGAGGTACATTCCAAGGTTGACACCGATGAACCCTAGACACGTGTTCATGACCGAGTACTTGAAGGCGTCGTTGACTTCCAGTCCAGCCACGATCATGAAATAAGTCGAGTAGGTGATGACAAACCACGAGCCTGCTCCCGTCTGCGTCGCGATGACACCAAAGCATAGCAGCGTACGTCTCAGCTCGGTTCCTACTCGGTGATTTGATCAGTATCTTGCCCCTTGAATTAGAGGTGCTACGGCGCCTTTTGCTGTACCTTTGAACATGTCTAGGGGTCCGATTGTCTTGGCGGATTCTTTTTCCTCTTGGATGCCCTTGACCATCTCAGCCCATTCCAATTCAAGGTACTCGGGCGATAGTGAGTCCCCCCTCAGCGTCGTGAAAGATTCTCGTGCCTGTTCGATGTTCCCCTTATACAGGAGATAACGAGGCGACTCAGGCACGAAGAAGAGGCCCACCGCCAAGAAGGTGGGGACGATGAAGAGAGTTCCGAGGGGAATTAGGTAGGAGGCTTTGTCCAGTCGGTCTTTGGTGGCATTGGTTATCGCCGCCCCTATGATACTTCCGATATTGACCCATTCCGAAAATAGGGCTACCATGACGGCGCGGAGGTGAGCCGGCGCGGCTTCGGCGGTCTAATAGGTGTTAGCATATTGTAGGTAGGTATATTAACCCTGCTTTTCAAGTTCTCGGGATTTCTCGTTCGGGGAACTAGATAATAGGGTAGTCAAGGGTGCGTAGCATCGAAAGGCCTCATGACATACTCCAAGAAGGTTAGCCTTCATCAACAAAGGTGTCACTCTGCAAAGGGTCGGGAGGGTAATGTATGCAGCAGTTATTGTCCCAAGCGCGTCCCAACATACCATAGATATTGGAGAACGTCACCAGGAAGCCATTGGCCAGGCCCAGGATTAGGCGACCAACATAAATAGCGGCTTTATCTGTGGAAACCATCTGGATGATGCAAGCAATTGCGTTCAGAACGCAAGCCAGCCATAAGGCGACCTTCCGGCCAAAGAAATGTGCGAAGGCTCCGGCGACGAGTGACGACAGGAAGGCACCGAGCGTAAGAAGAGACCCGATGAGGCTTTGGAAGGTTGACTATGTATATTGGTTATTATGGAGAGAAAGGAAAACACCTTTTCTGGCCTGAAGGGGTGAGCCTACCTCTATGGCGTAGCCTCCTGGTGCCGAAGGGTCCTTGTATCCAAACACTTCGAGGAAACCGGGCATGGCTTGTAAGGATCCAAGGGCAGCCGAGTCCAGCCCGTACTGCATGTTCGCTATCGCGACGGTAGCACATATGAGTAGGCATTTTCTATTCGACCACAGGGAATTCTCCGGGAGCTTAGTGATCTCCGCCATGGCGATTGCTTATCCCACACAGGTGGTCTCGGCGGAGGAGGGAGAGGTAGAGAAACAGGAGCCGAGACGAGGAATATACACAGAGGGCGGCGCAGAGAACGAGACTGAGAAGAATAGTCTCATTCCCCGGATCCCAAGGATATGGTACCCTAGTTTATATCCAAATCTCGAAAGCTCGCGTTCGTGCCGCCAAGCACATACACGCATATAGACCGATACCGCCTACACCCTTGCCTACCTACCCCATATTCTACCCCAACTTTTTCACCAGCCCCCTTGTGCGGTTCCAAGATATTAACCGCGGCGGGAACATCAAATCTTCGCATTTTTCCTCTTATTGACCAAGCGTCTCCAAATTAGTCCTCCCCGCACTTCGGTACTTGCTGTCCAGTCCACGATGGCTCCCTATCTGAACCATGCGATGAGGCCTGTTGACCGCATGCTGTTACCAGGGGCGTGGGCTCCCCGGCCTGAGGTCCTGGCGATGCGGTGGGGAGGCAAGGCCCAAGACGGTATACGATGGGGGGCAGGATGCCGATTGGAGAATGGCCGTGACGCCAGTGCAGGGAAGCTGAAAGGCGAAAGTGCTTAACTGCTTGACAAATGGCTTATTCATGGCCCTCGGCTATATCGAGACCTAGAGAACCTGTCCTCATGTCTATTGCCGTTAGAGACTACTAATATACCTATATATGTGGCTAGAAGTTTAGCTCCCAAGCAAGACTTATTGGTGTGCTCTGCGGTAATCGTGAGCTTCATCATCGACGACGAAGGGAGTTGTAAGCATAAGTTCCACAACGACTGGCAACAGCAGCTGCAAGAAGGTAGGCACAGGTAACTAACTAGGTATTCTACTCAGCTAGAAACGAGATATGAGCCCAACGGCCAGGTGGGCTGTTGCCGCGTGTGGTGGGTAACGTATGACATATGCGTTGAAGATATCGCGCTTCGCTCAAGCGTCTGGGGTTCGTTACGGCTGGTGTTGACCCCGGAATTGGGTTGATCAGACCCAACCCCCTTCTGGGCTGAGGCGTTGCTGGCGCTGCCCGTAGTGAATGCGCGACAGATGTCTCCGTAGAGACTAACGAAACTAATCATTAAATAGTCCACGTCCAAGGGGCTTCGGCCATAGTAATACGACCGTTGTTGCGCATATCGACCTGTTAGATGGACAGATACCGGATATGATAGGCGCGGCGATACGGCCTATCTGTTTATCGGGTTATCGGACTATCGGGAGACCACACGTATTAGGTAAGCAGCCCAGCCTCGTCAGATTGATCCTGCCGGCCATCATACCTACCTATAGAGCTTATCGATAGTGCATCGTCCTACCTAATTATGACACCTTGCAATTGACCCAAGACAAAAAAAGCTCCAATTACCTACTTACCTAGAACTGACTGAACACCAAACAAAGTCCCATCTACCAGTTATCGGACGCGTGCGACGACATCTCTTTTGGACAGCGTGATTGATGTATCGCAGGTAACACCACGGCTCGTTACGCCTCCAAGGCATCTCTCACTTGATTCCGCCTGTGTTTGGAGAGGGGTGTTTCGTATTCGACTTGATTCTCTTGTGCGACGAGCTGTCCTGTGCAGTTTTTTCACCCGTCCTCGCTGGATCCCTAGGGATCGTGGCATGTGACGATGAAGCTCTCGATGCTCTCTGTCGGCCTGCTGGCCTTGCTCACACCGCTGACAGCTGCGTGGAGTAAGGAAGGTATGCGGCCCCTACAAGAAACTCTCACCCTTAGCTATCCGTCTATTTACCTACTTCATCTGCTGATCTTGCCTTCTCCCTTGCTTCCCTTTCCTAGACCGTGAGATCTTCCGCCTCCGCGACGAGATAGCCACCCACGAGGGGCCCGAGGTCACTTTCTACGACTTCCTTGGCGTCACGCCGCAAGCGACCCAGGACGAGATCAATAAGGCGTACCGCAAGAAGTCGCGGGCCCTGCACCCGGACAAGGTCAAGCAGCAGCTGACTGCCGAGCGCGCCAAGCAGGATAAGTCTAAAGCCGCCGGCGGTAAGAAGAAGTCTGGCGTCAAGCTCAGCAAGGCACCCACGCAGGCCGAGATTCGTACCGCCGTTAAGGCCGCTGGCGACCGTCAGGCCCGCCTCTCTATCATCGCCAACATCCTTCGCGGGTCCGGCCGTGCCCGCTACGACCATTTTATAGCCAACGGCTTCCCGGTTTGGAAGGGTACCGAATACTACTACAACCGGTACCGCCCGGGCCTGGGGACCGTGCTCCTCGGCTGCCTTCTCGTCGGCGGTGGCGGCTTCCACTATCTCGCCTTGTACATGAGCTGGAAGCGTCAGCGCGAGTTCATTGAGCGCTACATTAAGTTCGCGCGCCAGGCCGCCTGGGGTGACAACCTCGTGATCCCAGGCGTCGATGCTACCGGAGCAAACCCGCTGCCCCCACCCGCTGCCCCCGTCGAGAACGACGACCAGCAGGCCCCATTGGCCATGAACCGCAAGCAGCGGCGCTTGCAGGAGCGAGACGCGCGCAAGGAGTCGGCGAAAGAGGGCAGACGCCAGCCGCGTGGCAGGCCCCGTCCCGGACAGCAAGCCAGCGGGAGTGCGACGCCAGTACCACAGACCCAGGGTTCGGGCCCGACCGGCACCAAGAAACGCGTTGTGGCTGAGAACGGCAAGGTCTTGATTGTAGACTCCCTCGGCGCCGTTTATCTGGAGCAGGAAGACGCCGACGGAAACGTGGCCGAGTTCCTTCTCGACGTAAGTTCTCTCTCCCGCCGTGCCCATTCTCACGATATACGAGGAGCTCGCTAACCTTATTCTGAAAAGCCTAACGAGCTCCCGAAGCCCACCATCAGAGACACCGCACTGTTCAAGCTTCCCGGCTGGGCCTACGGCGCCACCGTCGGCAGGGTGCTTGGGCCGTCCAAATTTGCCGACAAAAGCGACGACTCTGACTCGGAGGAGGGCCAGGCTGACGACGAAGAGAGCAGCCCAGCACCGGCACCTACGGTGACGAAGACTGCAGCGACGGCGAAGACGACCGCCGAAGAGGACTACGATTCCTCATCCTCGGACCGGCCGGCGCAGCGAACGCCGTCGACTGGGTCGGCCGAGGACTTCGAGCTGCTCGAGAAGAGCGCTGGCGAGGACCAGCCGCCCGCGCCCACCAAGTCTTCGAAGGCAGCCAAGGCGACGGGGAGCCAGGCCTCCGCCAGCAGCAAGGCGAAGAAGCGGAACAAGAAGCGCTAGAGCGGGGGTTCTGGGATGAGGAGGGCGGAGGAGAGAGCCAGGGTCAGGGCCAGGGTCAAGGGGGTTAAGGAGTACGTACAAGCGCAGGCAAGTTAGGTAATGAACCTCAGAGCCTTAATAATACGCCCCCCCCATTACGAAGGAGCAAAGACCTTATATTGCTCGATAGGGTTCAGGTTCCTAAATAAAAACAGGTCGGCTGGTGTAGTGGTTAACACATCTGTCTTACATTATGTCTTGATTGCTAAGGCCAGATATTAGCGAAGAGCGTGTTCTATCTGGCCCAGCGTTCTAAGCGTGTGTGATCACAGAAGGTCGCAGGTTCAATCCCTGCGCCGACCAACTTTTTCTTTTCTTCCTTCATTTCTGCCCTTGTCGTTGATGCTTGTGTGAGCACAGAAGATCACAGGTTCAATCCCTGCGTCGACCAACTCTTTTTTTTTCTTCTTCTTCCTTCATTTCTGCCCTTGTCGTTAATCCTTATGGTGGCAAGCGGGAGGGAAAGGACAGACGGGGGCAGGGAGGCAGCCAGGCAGGCCAGCCCCCACCCGTCCTCCAAGAGTTGAAAGTGGCGAGAAGAACTCGCGGAGACGACGACGTCCCGTAAACTTAGATCTCGGGCGGAGGCCGGTCGGAAGAACGAACATGTCACACGCGGATACAAAGCACAATATACAATAGACATTGGAGGCGAGGAGCGGGGGGAGATCAGGTCAAGTTTATGTGATTTGCTATCAACGGTAGGTAATCTATGTAGCTGTCGTCGTCGCGCTGGGCAGGTAGAGTCAAGACTTGATAACATCATCATACATGCGCAGTCCACGAGTGCTGTGCTACGCGGGCGTCGGAGTGGCGTACCGACGTATATATATATACCTTCTTCAAGTTGTCCCTCTTACGGGATAAGACGGTTCGGGGGTCCAAGTGCCGCGGGAAGGGTTTCGAAGCTAGGCGAACCGACGGGTAGGGGGACGAAAGGGGGGGAAGCGAGGAGAGGGGAGGGGAGGGGAGGTCTGGTTCTACTCACCCGTCGACGAAGCCCTTGCGAAGGCCGTGCTGGAGATCGAGAGGTGGCTGGCGCGCGTATATACGAAGTAGCGAAATGACGGGTACGAGAATGGTCGCTAAGGGGGGTTGGGGTGGGATGGGGGGCGAGAGGATGGATGGATGGATGGATCAATAAATGGACAGGTATTGAGGGTTCAAGCAAGATATCCACATACCTTCTTCTGACGAGGCGAGCCAAGCTTCGCAGAACGGCCGTGGGAAGCTGAAGGGTTAGCTGTACATCATTGCTCGGGACGGAAAATGGGGGTGAAAGGACAGGGAAAGGACAGATATAGAACAGCCTATGAAAGGGGTGAAAGAATCCTCAACTCCGCCCCGTAGGGATGACATGAAATTGATGGTAATGTACCAGTCCAATCTGAGCCCTCCCCCAGAGGGCGACCGCTCCAGCCATTTCCGCGCAACTGACCACCGAATGCCCCCGAATCCATTCCATAACCACCCCTCTGCATTCCCTTCAGCCCGGCGATGCCTTCTCAACAGCCCTCCCTGCACTATAGTATCTCTATCTAGCGGCGTTATAACTGTACTATAACTATGCTATGCTGTGTGCTTGAGTGAATCTGCCAAAGGAAGGGGGGGATATGTATAGGCGTTACAAAGGCTTCGTTATAGCTCCATACCGTCCATCTGCTGAAAGGCTCCGTACTGGTTCTCCATGGCCTGCTGCTGCCTCGTCCAATCGTTATCGTACACGGGATCCGTTGCCGGGCGGTAGGTAGGGCCGGCAACAGAAATGCCAAAGTGGTTGTAGACGTCTTTGGATATCGGCACGTACTGCTGCTTTGCAGATTCTTCGTACTCCCGCTGAGCCAGCGCTTCGTACCCAGACATCATGTACGGCTCAACGTCCGACATGGCAACCCAGCGCCCGTCCCCGGTCTGAACCGGCGTAAGAGGCGTGCCATCCATCGACATCATGTTTTGGTTCTGCTCCTCCGCTAGCCTGCGATCGTAACGAAGTTTGGCAAGAAGTTCTTCTTGCTCAACTGTTGTAGGAATCCAAGACACGACTAGGCTGTCCTGAGTGTTCGTGGGAGGGCAGAAGTGCCACAGCTCGATCAGCCGTATCTTCTGGGAGTCCTCTGCGCTCTTGAAGAGCTCCAGTTGGGCGGCAGATAGCGCCGCGTAATTTATGCCGTGCGAACTCAGAATGGCTTCGGCCGATGGTTGCTGGGTTTGGGGCGGTTCGGACGACGGTCGCTGGGGTTGGGCGAGTGGCTCCTCTTGGCGGGCGAGATGCGCAGAGTGGTGGTAGTGTTGGGTGATGGAATAGACGATGGGGGTCTGCTCCGGCTCCTGCGCTTTCGGGGTTTCTTGAGCAGCCGGGGCGGGCTGGGGTTGTAGAGTTAGGTTACGAGAGAAGAGCGCAGCGAGATCGTCGCCGGCCTGCATGTTGGGCGGTGCGTAAGTCATTCTCTTAAGAGGAAAAGGCGGTTAGAGTCTGATGATCCGCGCGTATAGTGCTAGGATGCGAGAGGTGCTCACCAAAACAAGAAGTAATTCCAGCACGGAGAAAGCGGACCAAGTAGGCGCGTAGTCTCTTCGCCAAACAGAAACAGTGAGAAAGCTGTGACAGGGAAAAGGTGAGGATACTCTCGTCAGAAGTACTGGAGATGTAGAGAGGAGTGAGTAAATGGCTGTAGGAAGGAGAACAGCGAGAAATTATGTCTTCTATTGACTATGCTAAATACTTGAATAGCGCTGACGACCCCGAAGTTGGCTCGGACTGAACAAGCCAAGCGTTCGAGGAGCACAAGGAAAACGTAGTTATGGACGAGGACGGATTGTCCCTTTTGTTTCCTTTGAAACTTGCGACTCGAACGTGGTCAACAAGCGGTGGGAAAGCGGTCAATGCCAGTGCCACTGGAACCCCGGGAAAGGGGGGATCAAATAAGAAAAAGAGCGGGGAGGGGGGAGGGTTCCTAGGGAGAAGGGAGGTGGAGGAGAGAAGAGAGAGGAAGGGAACTGAGGGATTATCAAGACGACGGGAAGGTGTTGCGAGCACGGGAGGCGGCTGGAGAACGTCGTTGTCGTCGTGGGATCTTTGGAAAGGGGGTTGCGCAAGCAGGGTGGTATGGATGAGCGCGGCGCTGAGTTGTTGAGTTGGTGAGTTGGCAAAAAGGAAAGGTTGGAGGGAGGGATGGACGGAAGGATGGCGGAAATATACTTGTTACATATCCCGTACCGGGACATGGACGCGCGTGTGTGTGTACATTTGCGAGGTAGGGGGCAGGGGAAATCGTGTGAAGGTTGATGGTGTTGGATGGAGGTGAGAGTGGATGAAAGGCGCGGAATAAGGGATAATGGGAACCCGCCCAAGACGGACGTCCCCGTGACCGTCCGCAAAGCCAGGGCTCTACATGCGCGGGACCGCTCGGCAGGTATCTGCCCTAGGCCGCGTGCCCGCGTATGTACGTCCTCTGCACTCTGGGCCAGGTACCCAGCCCGGCCGGGGAGGGAGGGGCAAGGAGGAGAGGAGGGGCAGACGCTGGCTGTCCGTCTGCTACGTAGTAGCGCTGGGTCAGCGGCCTGTCTAGCGGCCTGTAGGGGCTGCTAAGGCCGAGACCATTGGCGCCCAAAGACGACCCAATCCCCCGCTAAAGCCGCAGAGCCCTCGTTGGATTGGTCGCTTTCTCCCGCCGGACGACGTCGTTTGGGTACCCAAGGCCGCCGGAACGCCACCTGAACGCTACCTGAATGCGCTCCCAATAGCGCCCCCTATGCATTCTCCTGCCCCGTCGTCGCCCCTCCAAACAGATCTGGCTACTCTATCTACTCTATCTTGCTTGCTTGCTTGCCGATCAACAGGCTGTGCCTTGCCATCTCACCCACACACATATATGTATGGACCTTACAGTTCGGGCATTGCTATGCGGGTAAACCATGGAACCCCAATACGACGCGTGGTGCGCGGCGGTTTGCAGCCGGTCAGTCATGAGGCTCACGCGCATTCGTGGGTACCTGCAGGATAAGAGACTGCTCGGGACCCGATCGCGTGGACGTCTCTATACGGGAGAATGGGGTAGGAGGACTCGGTGCACGTGCGGAATCACGTCCCTGGATTAATGAGAGATCATCACACGCGAATATGAATACACTTATGTTGCCTCGAGTTAGGCGTAGCTATGGTTGCGTTATTCCACCCATGAGAACTTGGCTTTCGAGAACCCAACTCGGCCCTTTAACCTTGCGTTTAGGTTAACCCACCTACCAAGGTAGGCATCCCATACGTGTCTTTCTACCCACGCGTCACAGGAACAGAATGAGCGTCACCTAATCCCCATTAGAGAATTCGAGTAGGCACCATGTCAGAGCAGGCATGGCGTGACTACATATTACTCTGAGCACCCGAAACCCCATGCCTCTGCGAGGCTTATCTAGACTCGATACGCCACAGTCACAGAATCAAGAGTCGTTTGGGGAGGTATGGTAGCGTGGCTTATTCTTGGTATAGCTGACAACTCGGGGCTTCCTATCTCTGAGGGTAGGCAATGTGATGATCGTCGATTCGAGGCATAGAGTCGTTTTTAATAACCAACGCTAATGTTGCACAATCACGGTTCCGTCCCACTCAGCCCAATTTCCCTTACGATTCGACATTTATTCAGCCCTATATATCTCTACATTACGAAGAGGAGATTCGTGTCTACTCATATTAGCGACAGATCAGGGCGACGGAGTGTGAATCCGGTGGCTTACCCAGAGGATGACTGCAAGATAACTGTGGCTTTTGGGAATATTTGGACTCAAGGATATCGCGGATGCTGTTGAGGAGCTCTACATAGCTCTGACTCGGATTCTGTTTGATGGCCGTGATGAAGGCGTGCGACATGGCCCCGGTTGCCTGAGAGGCGATCGTTGCGTCGGCACTACATAGTCACGATCGTCAGCAGCAGCACTCGTAAGCCCGATCGACCCTAAAGATCGCACACGCTACTTACGATGTCTGGTCGTCTTTGCTCCCGGACCACATAACGACATCTGCGGGCGAGGTCTTGGTCTCGATAGTTTTCTTATACCCATCGTCTCCTCTAAACGCGGTTTTCGCGAAGCCGAAGATGGCGCTACCGACGCCCACCATGTCGCCCGAAGCATAGGACGAAAATGCTTTGAGTAGTCCTTGCCCAGCTTCGGCGGCAAGGTTAGGCTCCTTGAGGACACCCTTAGTCGAGTAGATATAAGGCAAATCCAGGACGGAGCCAGAGTGGCAGGAATCGAAGATGGCCGTCAGCCTCACGCCCGGCTGTAGAGGCTTCACGACTACGTGGTGGATATAATCATCGACGATGTGGCCGTTCTGTTTGAAATCGAGGGGGTAGATGACCTCGTCGTAGCCGTCATCCTCATCGCCATCGGTGTCCTCGGTCTGGCCGCCGTGGCCGGAGTAATGCAAGAACAAAGAGTCATTGGCCCGAGCGCCTGCGACAAGCCAATCCATGGCGCGGAGGATGTTCGCCTTGGTGGGAATCAATATCGGGTCTTGCTGATCGTCAGTCAGGATAATCATGTCTTCTCTCTTATACCCGTAGCGCTCGATGAGGAATTCGGAGACGTTCTTCGTGTCGTTGATGCAGCCACGCAGCTCGCCCTCCTGGCCGAAATAGTTGATGCCGATCAACAAGGCCTTGCGTTTCCCAGTACAGTTGGAGTACTGGAACGTGTAGCCTTCGGGGGCGCCGTGGCCGAATTCCTGGGGAGCGGTCGGCGGAGGAGGTCCTGATCGGTGATGGCTGCCGTAGTCCTGGGCGGGAGGACGACCGGAGTTAAGGGGATAGCCATAGGAGTCCAGGTCGGGTGGCGGCGGCTGCGAAGGGGGCGGATAGCGGTTGGTGCCCTGGCCATAAGGCGGAGCGCCGCTCGGAGGGGGGTACTGGTTGTAGCCGTACTGCTGAGGGGGAGCGCCGGAGGGAGGGGCATGTTGGCCGTATCCTTGGTGATATCCCTGAGGCGGAGGATTCCCATATCCGCCGCCGCCGTATCCGCCGCCGTATCCGCCGCCGTAGCCCTGGTCGTGGCCCCAACCCGACATCTTTCGGCGATTTAACGGATGTAGAATAGGGAGCGACTAGGTGGTGCTGCGATGGAAACCAACACAAAAAGGAACTTGGAGTAGAGGATGGAAAGAAAGAAGATGTGTGCGGTCTGGCGTGGGAGCTGATATCTGTGGAGGCTGACAGGCGACAGAGGGGACTATCCGTGTAAACAACACGGAAATCGGCACGGAGATGGGTCCCATAGTTGCTACCGCTTTAATTACATATGTAGGCACAATAGGTACATAAACTGCTAAGCAACACTGTTGCTAGGTAGGAAGAGGCGAGACATTCATCCCGACACAGAATGTACTTAGCTAGGGTAAGTATACCAACAGGACCTACTAGGTATAGGAGGGGTAGGTAGGCAGGCAAGGCTAATGGTATAGGGTAGCATGTGGTTTATACCATACCCAGGGGCTCGGGGGTTGGCGGGCTCGAGCTCGAGGGGCGACTACGTGCCAGGAGAGGGGCTGGGATGAAAGGAGGGGCAGATACGGAGGCCGCCTACCAGGAGACACGCCTACCTACACCTAGGGTACATACCTAGGTAGGTCCGTCGACGAAGCACCTCTTCCATTCCTATGTATATGTACATATACAGCGTACAGAATACGACAATCACGCCAACGCGAGTAACTTGCTTGCATTTAGGTAATACCGGAAAGTGAGGGATTATACGAGGGCAGTGTGCGTGTCGAGCGTGTACCTCAGGGAGCTGACCGTAGTGACCACCGTAGAGATGTACCTAAGTACCTAAGGTACCCACCTTACCTCTAGGACAAATCGCGGCCAAAAGGGCCCCCGAACGCGGGGCAGCTTCCCTACAACTCCTGTCGCAGTGAGGGAGGATGTAGCTTCTAATATCCTTCCCCTCCCTTTCCCTTAGGTACCTACCTATCCCTGCCTCGGAACCACCCGAAGCGCCGTGAACCTGCTACGGAGCCCTGTAGGTCCTGTCGCGGATACCACTAAGGCCGCTAACGTCGCTAGATTTACAGGTTCACGTAGCTAAGTGACCTACCCACGCTAGGAAGTAGGTACCTACTAGGTAGTTATGCATTACAACGGACACCGGTCAAAAAATACTGTGTGTGGGATGCCAAGAAACAGGGGGATAAGTGTGTACCCTCAACCTTTTAAGACCCCGATGCTGTAATGGCGGTTTATACCGAGCCCTATCCCTATTCTTTGCAAAGGTGGTAGGTAGTGTAAATACGCTGGTGGTAGTAGCCTTAGTACCAGCGGTAGCAGCGGTAGCAGGCCCGTTTTAAGGTAAGTTACAGGGGACCTACGTTTGTTTGCGACTTTAAAAATAAGTCTTAGGAACACGTTTACCCCCCCTGCTTCTTGGTATCACACAAATACCTAATATTTTTGCCTTTTTACCACGTACAGCATTCCCTCCCTGCCACCACCTCGCCTCTGGGCATCAAACACTATAGGAGCGTCTCTGCGCCGTCAAAGTCTCATCTGTGCCGGTTTTCCGAGAGTGGGTTGCTGCAGGATTCAGCGAGCAAGGATTCCACCACTCCTTATAATGCTGCCCCCTGGCCTCGTCCTCTGCAACCACGCCTCAATACGGATACGCCCCATGTACCGGCCGCTATCGTAACTAACCAGCAGCCGTCCCGAACGCCCTGGACGTCCCAGATAAGCATCGTGTCGCAACAGCACGACAGCGCTACCACCAGCTGCTGCCATCATCTAGCGCAACCCCTCAGCTCGTTACTTGGCGGCGTGATATATTGTCAGAGTACCCTCCCACTTCTTCCTCCCCCTCTAAACCCGGTCGAACAGAGGGAGCGTGGAAGTAGAAAAGCGAAGAGAAAAGAAAAGTGAGAGGAAGTAGACAAGAGCGGCAGCAACCTCGCCAGCGTAGGCGTCCTCCGCCCACCATGTCTTTCTTCAACAAGCTCGCCAAAAAGCTGGACGAGCTAGATCTCGGCTTCGATTCGAAACCGTCAAAGGAAGAAAAGCCTCCCAGTCAGCCTCCAGGTCCGTTGTTAACCCATATCACCCTGTCGTCTTGTTCGACTTCATATCTCGGACGTAGAGCAAGTTCGCGCATCTTGAGCTGCACAAGCTAAATACCGTCATTCATATAGCCAACCGTGATTATGCACCTCCCCCTCAGCCTCAATATGGAAGCCAGCCACCATACCAGCAACCCCCATACCAGCAACCCCCGTACCAGCAGGCATACCCACCCCACGGCGGGAGCCCCGCCCCGCCTCCACCCGGGGCTGGTTATCCAGGTCAATATCAGAACTACTACGGCGGCGCTCCGCCCCCCCAGGCCGCCGGACCAACCTACGCCCCGCCGCCGGACAAGCCCCCGATCCCGTCCGGGTGGGTGCCCCAGTTCGACCAGCAGCACCAGCGATGGTATTACCACGAGATCGCCACTGGCCGCTCCCAGTGGGAGGCGCCCGGCTACCACGCCGGAGGCAACTCGGAAAATCGAGGCTACGGCGAACACGGCGGGCAAGGCTACCCGCCCTCCGGTGCGGCCGGCTACGGCTACGGATCTCACGACGCGCACGGTTACGGCTCCCACGGGGGCCACGACGAGCATAGGAGTCACGGGCACGGACATAATGACCACGGCTACGGGCACTCTGGGGGCTACGGCGAGCACGGCGGCGGCGAGCACAAGGAGAAGAAGGATAAGAAGGACAAGAAGGACAAGAAGAAGAGCGACCATAGCGGTTTGCTGATGGGCGCTGCCGGCGGCCTCGCCGTTGGTGCTATCGGCGGCGCGCTGCTTGCTAACGCTCTCGGTAAGCCACACCCCTCTCCGCCTTTTGCTCGGCGAGCTAACCCTCGCGCAGATGACTCCGACGACGAGCGTCGCGCTGCTCCTCCGGCCCCGGTCTACGCCGCCGCCCCGGCCCCGGTCTACGAGCCCGCGTACAACGCGCAGGGCGAGTACGTCGACGCCAGCGATCGAGAGTCGGTCCGCTCCGCCCGGGAAAACTACGAGGAGGCGCTCGCCGCGGCGCAGGATTCCGACGCCAGCAGCAGCGAGATGGAGGAGCTTGAAGAGGCGCGCGAGGAGTACGAGGAGGAGTACGAGGAGGCGTACGGCGACGACTAGAAGGTAGAATTATTAATGTCTAGGTCCAAGCAGTTGTGTCTGAGCGTGTTTTACGAGGAGGTGAGAGTTGAGCTTGACGAATGCATGCGCCGTTCTATTTACTGCCGCCTTCCATCGTAACCACCGGTCCCTATGGGGAATATGCTGCGACGCAATGAAGGGCTAGGTTGCAAAAGCACTCGGTCACTCGGTCCTCGATCCCATCGATCTGATAACCCCGTCTCCCATCTTCCCCCGGATACGGAAATAGAGCTGAGGTATCACTTATATATATCACATGTAAACTAACCTCAAACCCCAAGCAGAAACTTGTGTGTATCGATATTTGAGTACTCCCGCAATAGCACACATCCCGGCATGGGGTATAGTAGCACATATCTCCCCGTATAGTATAGACCCTTGCGCCATGCTAACCAAGGTATGTCCCCCTTGATGTCCTCTTATCCTCATCACAAATCGCTATGCATCAACCCGACCGCCATCTTCGGTGAGGCGCTCGTCGGGCAGCATGATGGCACGATCGAGTGCATACGGCAGGCCGCGGTGGCGGCCCCTGAGCATCATAGCGCACACGACGACCTTACTAAAGACCGTGAACTGGCCCGACAGCGAAGTCAGCACGCTGGGGTGCCCGAGGGACAGGCCAACATTGGCACTGCAGCGCCTCGTCGTTAGCATTTGTCATCACCTCGCAGACGGGGGATTTAGCAGTGGGTGAAAGGTGATGGCAGGGTATTCTTACTATCCAGATACGACTTCGAAAAAGATCGGGAAGACAGCAAATGCCTAGAGGCGAGTTAGGTCAGAACTTTGCTCGCGGCAGCTGTGTCCCCGCCTGCCTGCGTCAGAGGACTTACCGGGTTGTTGATGTCTGCAATCTTGTCTGCCTCGGCGATGCAGATGAGAAATGTGCCGAGAAAAAGGTACCACAGATCAAAGCTGAGTTGGTTACGCAGGTGCATGACGAGGTAGGACCGGCTATCCCCCTCATATTCATCCAGATTGTGGGCCGGCGAATAGAGACCTACCGTCCGTTCCTCGTACGTATTCGACGCGCGGATCGAGATCGCAATGGGCAAGACCGCGATGTACATCATCACAAGCAGGCTAAACTGCACAGCCGGGCTGACGTTGGCAAGGTTGAAGCTCGCCGTGCCGGTGTGGCGCGCCGACGCCGCTTGGAAGAGGGCGGCTAGGATCCGCGGCCCTAGCGCGAGGGTGTTGACTTCCGGGTTTTCCAGATCGAGGACGAGGATCAGGACGACGTCGACGAAGTTCAGGACGACCAGGATGACGAACAGCACCCACGTCACCCGGCTAGGGAACAGCAGCGTATAGCAGCGTCGGGGGTAGTCGAGGAGGAACTTGAGCGACGCCTTCAACGACGACTGGCCGGGGGCGAACTTAAAGAGGACCCAGATGAGGAGGCGTAGGAATATCGGGTATAACGTGTTGCCGGCAAACGCGAGGAACGTCAGGACAAGCATGGGCCACGTGGCATCCCTGAAGCTGATCATCGAATCAGGGGTTAAGGTGAAGCCCAGATTGTCAACCATAGTCTGCGCCGAGTAAAAAGCCCTGCCGATAAACAGGAGGTCAGCTCTATCAGCAACCTTGTGCATTTTGAGCGCGGAAGGGCGTGAGTCGGCAACGTACCACCAAGTCTTGTCCTGCCCGCACTCTTCCAGATAGTCCGTGTACACGGAAGGGGCGTTGTGGATCCACGGGAGAAGGCAGATGACGCCGAACAGGTGCAGGCCGAAGAAGTAGGCTGCTTATATGTGAGCGGGGGGCCACTACCACAGCATTTCGGGCACGCGCCGGGCACATACCGGGGGTGATGACGAGCAGGAGCTTGAGGGCGCGGTACTCGACGCCGCCGAGCTCCTCCCGGTCCCGGGCGGTCAAGTTGTAGAACCTCGCGTTGCGGCCGACGGTGACGCCTCTGGACAGGGTCGGCAGCTCGGACAGGCGCGGGGGGACGCGCTGCGACGCTTCTGATCGCCGGCGCTCCTGGGTGGGCGAACGGCCCAGCACGAATATGGAAGAGGCCACCTGCTCGACCGACCGGGCGGCCGGGGGCACAGAGGCACCTTCGCGCCTGTACGGCCGCCTGCGCGTTACCCCGTTCCCGTTTATAATATCCGCAGACTTGGTGGCATCCCCTTCGTCTAAGCAATAACAACTCTCGTCAGTTTTCAGCGCCCATGAAACGCGGCTATATTGTGGGGGTTTCACCGTCATCTCCATCGTCGCTAACGGCAGCATCCCTCTCCACTATGGGTTGGCCTATTTCGTGTCAGTTCTATCCCCCCCTCAGCCGCGTTTGGGTCTTCCCGATGCCCGGTTTCTATTACCCTTGTTGCGTTCTCTGGGCGGCGGGATATACAGCACGCGAGACTCCCGAGTGGGCTTCTCCAAGTCGGCCGGGAAGCTAATGCTGGACGGCCCCTGGACGTTGTCTAGATTGTTATTATTGTGCCGGCTATCTGAGTCTTGCTCCCGCACATCGTCGTTGTCGGCCTCGTCGTTCCTAGCCGACCGTCAGCATAGCCTCTCACCTCCCCCAGCCACCCCCCTCCCTCGTTAATTTCAGGTCATACGTTACGGCTCCTTTCCGATTTGCCGATATCGATATGGGGACACGACCATGGGCCGTGGGCTCACTTTCACTCTGGGCCACAGACGCCGGGCTATCTGTGTTGGCCTCGATGTCAGTCTCGCGGTCATTGGTGATAGCGGCAGTTGTTGCCGAGCTAGGCCTCAATCGGGAAGAGGCTAGAGCGCATTATTAGTATCACAGCGAGCGTAGCCCGAAAGGTGAGGTTCTTCAGACCTATATCTTTCAGGCGTCTTCGAAACCAGTGCAACCGAACCACGACGACAGCGATGTTGATGAAGCCCAGGTTGGTGATGATAGGGATGAAGTAGATGTAGAGTTGCTGATAGATCTCCAGATCCTTCACGTCGACGCTGGTTAGCTACGTCAGCCCAAGCGTATCAGCATCACGGACGCGGCGGAAGGCGGAGTCTAACGTGTTCAGGCCCGACTCGGTGGCGGCGCTGGCGCCGAAGAAGAACGCGTCTATGGCGGCAATATTGCGACGGGGCCCGATGACGATGAACCCGAGCAGGGCCATGGAAAGAATCCAAGCATCTAACACCGCCTGTGGTCAACTCGGGCCAGCACGGAGCCGGTGGGTTTAATATGCCGGGCCACCTACAGTGCAAGGTAATGAAATTCACAGATGGCTTCCACATGATGTATGTCTTTCCCTATCGAACTCGACCTAGCGGTGGTGTGTAGGAATGGGACGAGATGGGGGCACGAGGACATGTCAGGTATTAATACAGGTATGGTGGTAAGGTTTGAGTGGCCAGCCTTACGTCGGAGCCGAGGCTGTGACCTTGGTCCGGCAAGGAACTCTTTCAAATAAAAGGCGGATCTCGTCTCTACTTAAAAGGGAGAGAAGATTAAGTCTGTATACAATACTATGGCTCTATTAAGGTAAGCATATAGGCATTATTTCTAGTATCATAATATCTTGCCTATTTAGAAGTTACCTAGGTAGATAATGATCTCACGTTTGTGAACCTTTAAAAAGTAACTATGTCACCACTACTAAAGCCTTGTATGATAATTAGATGAGTTAAAACAGTATATGATACTTACGGCTGCAAGATAAGCCGTTAAATTAACATCTTTGTCCCCGCGCAAGGAGGGAAATATACCTACGTATGGCCATCTAAGGAACGGGTGAATAGTTGATTGAATTGCAGTTATCTACGTGGCCTTTTGGAGCCGTTTTACGTACCTTTTATATCCCGATTAGCCCTCGCTAGGGCAGGGCTTACCCTATAGCTATACGTAACCGATTACGTACTTACGCGCCTATACGCCTTCTTAGCCTAGGTAAGGCTATCGTTAGGCTTTTAAATAGCGTAAGGCCTTAATTCCGTGGTATTTTCCTCCTTCGTCGCTCTATCTATATGCCTATTTCGTTTAAGGAGTAAGGCTATTACGGATCCTCTAAACATAGTAGCTTAATAAACCTCTAGTATTCCTTCGCCTCTAAGGGCTTCGTAAGCCTATTAGCCGCGTTCTTAACTAATGGTACGTATCTTAGCTTAACGTATCCTTCTTTTATTTCTTACCTTACGTAGTAATAGTCCTTTCGGATATACCGCTTTTATTTATTTATCGCGGTTTCCTTTACTTACGTATTCGCCGTCGTATTATCGCATCGTAAGGCGATAGGGCTTACGGGTATTACGCTTAACTCCGTAAGGAAATTACGTATTTACGCGGTATCTACTACCGCCGTCGATAAGGCTATATACTTAGCCTCTTCCGAGTTTCGCGCGACTACCGATTAAAGCTTCGATATCCATACGATCGGGACTCCTACTATAAAGAATACGTAACTATTCGTTAACTTAACTATGGATATATCTCCTGCGTAGTTCGAGTTTACGTAGCCGTAAAGACCTATTTTATTATACTTTTTATAAGGGTAATTCTCGTTTAATTACCGATACCGGATCCCTCGGCTTACCGTTTCCTTAAGATATCGTATTACGCGCTTAATTCCCGTTTAATACTCCTATAAGGGGTTATTTATAAAACGCGCCTAAGTCGAAGCTACGTAATTAATATTAGGCCTTATAATATATACCGGAAAGTTCGCTTTTCTTATTAACGAGGTATACTCTTAAACCTTTCGTAGGTCGGCTTTATCGTTAGCCTCTTTCGGTACGACCGCGTTCCGATTCTTCGGGTTATACGGTAACGGATATGGTTTCGTATCGCCGTAATTAAGCTCCTTTAAAGCCTTTTCCGTATATTATTATTAATCGAGCCGGACGTTCCCCGTAAGAAACGATCGTCTTATCCGGACCCCGAGAAATTAATTAGCGTTTCTTAGGTTAATTACCTTAACCTTTTCTTTAATTATATTCGCGAGCTTATAGAGTCGTTCCTCTTTAAGTCCGAATAATAAGAAATCGTTTACATACGAAGCGATTACGTTTCTTATTTTAAGTCTTATATAAATAGCGTCGTTTAAGGTTAATAAAACGTAGCCGTATTTCTTTAAAATGCCTCTTATACGTTATTACTACGCGGCTTTAGCTTATTTTAGGCCATATAACGGGTTAATTAGCTCGATAATCTTCGACTCGTCGTAATTATAGGTTTATTTCTCTTTCTTATAAGCCTCGAAATACTCCTTTAATATAAGGAATTATTTCATAAAGATCCTTTCGTTTAGCTTCCCGTTAAGGTAGGCGGTAATAAAGTCGATCTAAAGGATATATTATTAATAAATAACGGCTAACGCTATTAGCATTTTTTACGATATTACCCTCGCCGTTATCGCCTTAGTTTCGTTATAATCGATACCTTTTCTTTATATAAATCCTCGGGCGTAGATCCGTATCTTTAGCTTATCGAGATCTCCGTTAAATAGGAACTTCTTCTTTAAGACCTATTTAGCGTCGATAAAATAGCCGTTAATTACCTCGCTCGGCTATATAAACTTAAACGTATTACGTTTTAGGTTCTCTCGGATCTCTTTAAAAACGGCCTAGGTCTAAAGATTACGCTTTAGTTCCTTTATTACTTCTTTAAAAAGCGGTTCGTTCTCGTTTATCTTAAATAGGCCCGCCGTTACTAGTATTATTTACCTATGGCTTTACTCCTACGGTACGGTAATAAACGTACTAGTATAATATAGCTCCTCTCGGGGCGCGATTTTAAACGCGATTTTAAACGTATTTTATTCGCCTTTAAATACTTCCTTTAATTCGTTCTTTTACGAGCCGCTTAGCGCTAAGGCGGAGCGTACCTTATCTAACTTAAGTAATACCTTTAATATATAAATTTAAGGTAGTTTCTTCTTCGGGCGCCCTTTCCGGGGGCGTATCCTACCCTTATCTTCGTTTATAACGTCCTCGTCGACGATATTATTATCCTTATTACGAACGCTAATCGCCGCGATCTTCTTCCGATGCCGTAGCCGTTTCTAAACGTACTTAGGTAGGAACCTAACGACGTTCCTTAGGTCTAGGGCCCCTTCGGAGTTTCCTAGTTTTTCGTAAAAGATAACGTAAGGCGTCTTTAAGAAACGACCTCCTTCTACGAGCTAGACTAAGTAGTTATACTTTCCTTCGTAACTTATAAGAACGGCGCGGGCTTTACGTAATTCTATCTTCTCGGAAACTACCCGATAATTCTTATCGATATAAGCTACGTAACGGCTACCGACGATACGTAAATACGCGTTATTAGGTTTATAGTTCTTTCCTAGTTTTATACCGTTTATAAATCTTTCGTATAACGTAAGCTCCTTTACGAACGAAACGCTAGTCTTATTAATCGTATACGCCGTTATTACGAGGACGTAGTCCTAGAAGTAAGTAGAGATCTTTATTTAAACGTAGATTATTCTAGTATCGTCCTATAAGAAGCGTATACTTCTTTCTGCTACGCCGTTTTAATATTAGTTATTTAACGTAAAGGTATCTAACGTAATACCCCTTTCGTTATAGAATTACTCGATAGCGCTTATGCCGAACTCTCGGCCGCCGTTAAGGCGTAATATTCTTATCCGTCGCCGGCTCTTATCTAAGGCGCTCGGTAATGCCTCGAGTAACTAATAAACTCGGGTAAGGTAAGTTATTAATACTTATTAAGCCTTTTCCTTAAACTTATACTAGGTAAATTCTTTATTTCGGCTATCGTCGTCTACGATTAATATAAAATAACGGTAGTTCTCGATCGATAGAAGCTATAACTTTCCGAGGTCGTATTAAGTAATTTCCTTAGGGGTTTAGGTACGCTTCTAAGGATCCTTCGAGGATATTTTAATAATCTTTATCCGATTATACGCGTAATAAGGTACCGTCTTTATAAGTACTAGGTTTAAATCGATTCCTATCGACCTTTTAATGATTTATATAAGTCTCTCCGTATTAGGGTAATAAAGGTAGCGATATTATAATATTAGCTACTTTATAGTATTATCGTCTAACTATATTAATATCGCTTATAGTATCTCGCTAAGCTTACCGAGTTAATACCCTAGCGCGTCCCCCTAGTACCGTTTAAAGGGAAGGAGTTTCGGCTCCTTTTTCTTATATTCCTATAATAGGAAACCTCGTTTCTTAGGGTTTAGGGTCGTTAAAACGGTCCCGTTAGGATTTATAATATTATTCTTATTTAGCTAGCCTCCGCTACGATAAAATAACTCTCTTAAGAAGATCTTAATTAAGAAGGAATTAATAAATAACGTATAATTTAGCTACGCTCGGTTATATCTCCTATCGTCGCCGGTAAGGTAATAAGTAGCCTTACTTATCTTCGTAACGTTTATAAGGCCTCCTTCCGTATTAATAACGTAACCCGGTAGTAACGTTACTACCGTTTTCGGGTCTAAATCTCTTAAATCGTTCGTAACGTAAACGTTAATTCCTATATCGAAGAGTAAGTAATCCTTATAAGCGTTAGCCCCTACTCCGTAGTTAATTCTTAAAGGCTTTATAGGCCGCTCGCCTTCTAGCGGGTTAGCTATAGTTAGGTTATTACCGGGGTTAATAAGGATAGGCTTTTATTTAGGGTCCTTTTTACGGCGTAGTTCGTTATAAGCGCTTACTAGCCTAAAAAGCTCTACCGTATCTATCTTCGTTCGATATATCCCGCCTCCGTTATCGTAATAACTAAATTAAGGTAACGTATACGGTACGTACGTAATATATTACGTCGACGGTTATTTCGAACCGCTCCTTAATCCGCCGGAAGCGCTATTACCGTTATTATTACCGCCGCCGTTACCCTTATCCTTTCGTTCCTTTAGCGGTTTCGGGTAGTCCTTAGCCTTATACCTATACTCCTTATAGTTAAAGTAAAGGAGCTCTTTTTATTAGTTCTACGAGGGCTTTTTCTTCTTATCCTTTTCCTTACCTTAAGCGTTATTAGCTTAGTTATTATTACCGCCGTTATTCTTATTACCCTTATACTTATTAATCTTATTACGGAACTTTCTGCGGAAGTTATTAAATACGTTTAATAGGTCTATAGGTCTCGTTTTAATTATAATATTTACGATCTTAACCTAGTTAGTTACCTTATCCTATATATAGCTAAGGAATATCGTAATTTATTACTTTTCGCCGATTACGAGGCCGGTATTTATATATTAACGAACGGTTAATTATTACTTAAACGTAAACTTTACCAGGTTCTTACCGTCGTATTTTATTTTAATAAGTTATTCCTATAGCTCTTATTAACGAGCCTTTCCTATGGAGGTATAGGTTTAATCGAATATCTTTAGTATCTTCGTACCTAAGCGTACGCCCGCTATTAATTATAAGGGTTAATCCCGGTAGGTTCCGGCGATTACTCTCGCTAGGAATATCTCGTTTTATTCGTCGAGTTTTATTCCTTCTTTATACCTTACCTTCTTTATAAAGAATATAAATATATCCCGATATAAGCTCTAGTTCGAGATTCCCTTAAGATAGGCGTCCTTATCGGGGTTAAAGATAAATTTCTTTTAATTAATCCTACCGTCCTTCTTAAACGCGGTACCCCTGCTCTTACTTCTTACCTTCCGGCTACGTCGTTTACTATAATCGGAGTTACTATCGGAAGAGCTTCCTAATAGGTTACTTAGGCTACGACCCCGGCGGCGATAGTTCTTACGCCGGGCTAAACGCGAGGTACGATAGTAGCGGCTATTTTCGCGGTTCCTACGGTAGTCCTTACCGTAGATTCGTTAAAGCTTTATAACCGACTTATTTAATTTCCTCGGAATCTTTAGGTCTTTAATATAAGGTTTATCCTTACCCTTATTAGCGTCGGTAAAGTCGCCTTCTTTTATTAAATCGGCGACGTCTTACTAAGGTTAGCGATAGCTTCCTTACCGTTATTCGCTTATTATTTCTAGCTTAGCTATTATTTCCCTAAGGAGATATTCTACGGTATTTATACGTTAGTTAATATATTCGGTCGTTTTACGTAAGCCTTCCTATAGCTTCCTACGTATTTCCTTACGGAGGTTCTTTAACGTAATATCTTACGTAGTCTCTTATTCGGTTCCTTCCTCGGCCGCCTTATCTTATAATCTCGTAGTTATTCTCGTAGCTATCCTCGCGATTTAATCGTTTAACTTATTAATAACCTCTCTCTACCGTTAATCGTAGTTATACGGTTACCCCGGGCCGCTTATTTATCGGAGCTTTCGTTACTTAATTACCTCCGTAGCGTAAGTAATTAAATAATAATAAAATAGCGTAATAATAAGCTTACGAAACGTATAAGGTATTACTATATAGCTATCTAAGGAACGGGTAAATAGTTAATTAAATTATAGTTATTTACGTAGCCTTTTAGAGCCGTTTTACGTGCCTTTTATATCCCGATTAGCCCTCGCTAGGGCAGGGCTTACCCTATGGCTATACGTAACCGATTGCGTGCTTGCGCGCCCACACTACGTGGTGAATGGGGGACGTAGGAGCTCTAACTTTTTCGGCTGCCTCCATCGCTTCTGGAGGGGGGTCGCACATATCCACGCACGTTTACGAGCAGAGCTGAGACAAGTAGCTGGTGGCTTCTCTTCTTTTTTTTTTTTTTTTTTGCCGTTGGAGAGCAACCTGCCCCCCGTTCCCGGATCGAGGCGTGTTAGCCGTCTCTATTTTCCCGCCACGCTTTCTTGCCCACGCTGATCTCCGTCTCGCAGGCCGGACCCAGTAGGTATGCCGTCACTACCCAGCTCCAATTGCGCACTGGAAAGGGGGACAGGGGGGCGACCTTGCCGAGCTGGCCAGCTCCCGAGGACGGGGTTGCTGCTGCGTTGGTTGCACAAGTAGACTTGCCTACTTACCCTTCGCAGGCAAGTGACTTGAGGTAATATTATACACGGTGAGCTCCTTGATCTAGTAGCTGTCCCCCTCACCCCCCTCCCCCCCCCCCCCCTCGAACGTATGAGTTATTTATTGTCGGTCGAGATAGGTACGAGACGGATATCACACGTCTCCTGCGCCCCTCCCCGTGCTACGTTACTGTGCCGGCCCCGTTGATTGCAGACAGGTGAAGACAGGAATAACCCGTCTGGGATGCACACACAAGCGACAAGATCCAAGTTGCAATACCTACCTCTAGATAGGTATTCCTGTCTGTCTACCCACCTTTGCGACTTGCCTCATTAGGAAATGCTTTCAATCACGATTAGCACAGCCTCCCTCCTCGCCGGCCGATCGGGGCGCTATTAGCTTCTGCCACATCACCTATTGTCCTGTTCCCGGCACTATCCTGAGGGCTAAACTAAGTCGTCTTCTTTTTTTTCTTTCCTTTCCTACCGTCCATGCCCACTTTTCGGGCGGCCTCCCGGGGGGCCAAGTTTGCCCGGAAGGGACTTTCAACAAGTGGTGACAGGATCCGCTCAACTCCCTATAATAGTTTGTACGGGGCGTGAGAGACGACCTGAGGCTTGGAATGATAACAGAAAAAAAAGAAAGAAAAAGAAGAAACAGAGAGGCAAACACGTTTAAATAATATATTTCCCAGCTCTCGTGTATATCCTTCCGTGCACCATTTAATCGCGCCCCCGAGCAGTGATAAGGTGCTATCTTTGATAGGTATGATGTACCTACGTGTCACGACGGAAGTTTCTCAACAAGAGCACAAGCAGGGGTCTGATATACCAGACCCCGAGGCAGCAGCCTTAGTAGTTGGGCGCTGATTGGCAAAAGTGGCCGACTGGCCCCCCTTCCTCCCTATAATCTCCTTAACTTCTCAGGCAAGGAGCTATGAATGAAACTGGCCACCGCGCATCGTCCCACCGATCCCATCATCGTCCGCGTCCCTCTGCTGCGCGGGCCGAGGGGACAGCGATAGCCCTGATGCCTACGGGCGGCACGAAGGGCGAGGGACGTAGATCTGCTGTGCTGGGGCCGTCGACGAGGTGGAAACAGGATCGCGCGGTGGCGCTAGGGCTGAGTACTCGCGCCGAGTCTCGAGGGCGGGCCTCCGCCGGATGCTTATCTTGTCTGGGGCGCCGCCGTTGGTCTTGGCGAGGCTTGTTTCACTTTCCTCGGTCGCGGGCGATCGCTTCTCGAGCCGATCGGGGGTGTTTTTTTTTTTTTTTTTTGGCACGCTCTCCTTCACTGTGTCCGGCGAGTGGGCTACTGTTATCCGCGAGCTTAGCCCACACGAGGGTCCCTCGCCTCGGAAAGAAAGAGGCGCTACTAAAACTACTTATATGGGCTCGTGGCACTTCAGTGGATTACGACGGGAAGGCCGTGTTAGGGGAGGGGTTACGAGCGGCGGTGGCTAGGTGACGAGGACGGGAAAAAGAAGAAGGGGGAAAAAGGGGAGACCGTGGAGCATCCCCGATGCTTAGTTCAGCTGTGTCCTGCGCGTCACGCCGCACGCCCCTTTCAGAGGCACAAGTGGGCAGTGCGACGTGTTGGTTGGCCCAGCTTCAGCTCTGCTCCCGGCTTCCGGGAATCTGGTCGCTTCGGCTGCACGAACAGGCGCGCCGAAGTCCGCTCCCGCCGACACGGAACTGGACCGAGACTGTTCACGTCACGAATAGGTTCGCAGGTAGCGATTCCTAATGCTCGAGATAGGCTGGTATTCGAGCATAGATATAGGCGGGTATTATCAGGATAGCGAGAGGAGAGAGCACTTTGGGGACGAGCCTCTGCTGAGTTCTTCACCTAAGGACAGGCCTATCGTTGACACCCATCACACCCCATGCCGACTCTTTGCACGGATATGGAATCTCTATTTGTATAGGTGTACCTAGTTTTACTCCTTCGCTTATGCCTCGTCCTTAGACACCCGAGTGCGTGAGCCTGTGGGTATTATATCTAAGGCGGTATCCGTCCATCCGTGTAGAGAGACAACGCAACCCCGTTCTCGTTCCCTCCCTTGTCCTCCTGCTCTCGCTCCTCACGGCGCCGTGACCGTGATCCCGCTGAGCTTGCCTTCCTCGCGCCACTTCCGCAGCACGTCGACGTACCCCATAACGCCACCACTAAACGGCGACGAGCGCGCGCTGCGCAGCAGTTCCTCCGGCGGGTCGTTCGGGCTCGAGAAGTGGCCCTCGTCGTTGATGTAGCTCGGCGTGCAGACGGACAGGGTGGCGAACCGCGCCGCGCCGCCGACGATGCGCATGCTCCACGCCTCCTCGGCCGCCTCGTCGACCTCGACCACGGGGCCGCCGGCCTGCGCCGTCGGCGCCACGCCCGCCCTCTCGAACGCCGTCGCGAGCACGTACGCCGCCTGCCGGCTCTGCAGGTCCAGCGGGTACGCGTGGTTCGCGCTCACCCCCGACTGCAGCGGCGACAGCCAGAACAGGTTCGGGAACCCGTGGCTGGCGTACCCGTGCAGCGTCGACGCGCCCCGCGCCGCCCACTTCGCCGCGAGCGACACCCCGCCGCGCCCGAGCACCGCCACCCCGGCGCGCGTCGACGGGTCGCCCGTCGGCGCCTTGTACCCGGTGCCGAGCACGAGCACGTCGAGGGGCACCTCCTCCTCGGCCGCCCCGCCGGCGACGAGCCCGCTCGCCGTCGCGCCCGCGACGCCCCTGCCGTCCGTGTCGACGAGGTGCACGTTCGGCCGGTTGAAGGCCTGCAGGTACGTGTCGCTGAAGGTCGGCCGCTTGCACCAGACCGGGTACCAGGGCGTCAGCTTGCGCGCCGTCTCCGGGTCCTTCACGATGTCGCTGATGCGGGCGCGCAGGCGCGCGCTGCTCTCGGCGTCGCGCGCGAGGTAGTGCGCGATGATCTCGGGAACGCGCTCGGGGCCCGCGTCGGCAAAGGCGGAGTCGGCGACGAGCGCCGAGTACGCCGGGTTGTGGGTCCACTCGTCGTCGACGAGGTCGGGGATGCCGGGCGGCGCGTCGTTGGAGATGTTCAGAGCCATATTCTGGAGCCGTTCGTCGTGCCAGCCCTTGTGGCCCGCGATCTTGGTACGGAATTCCTCCGGGTCCGTTGGCCGCTGACCCCGGCCGTATACGGCACTTGGCGTCCGCTGGAACACGTACAGCTCCTTGGCGTATTCGGCCAGGCGCGGCACCACCTGGATCGCCGTCGCGCCGGTGCCGATGATACCGACCCGCTTGTCCTTGAGCTTCGACAGGACCGGGTCGGCCTCCTCGGACGACCCGCCGGTGACGTTGTAGTTCCACAGCGACGTGTGGAAGATGTCGCCGCCAAAGCCCTCAATTCCCGCGCCACCTAGCTTGGGCACGTGCGGCCGGCTCAATAGCCCAGCCGTGAGCCACACGTACTCGACCGTCACGGAGAAGGAGGTCTTGTCGGCACCCTTCGGTCCTCGCCCCGTGGTGATATTAGCCTTCCAGGCGCGAGCGGCATCGTCCCACTCCAGCTTGTCAAGCTTGGTCCGGTACAGGATCTTGTCGTCGAGATTCCACTTCTTAGCGAGCAGTTCGAGGTACTTGCGGATCTCGAGCCCAGAAGAGTACTTGTGCGAGGGCACGAAACCAGTCTCCTCAAGGAGGGGCAGGTAGGTGTAGGACTCGACGTCGCAGTGCAGGCCCGGGTAACGGTTCCAGTACCAGGTGCCGCCAAGGCCACCAGCCGTCTCGACGAAGCGAATCTGGTCGACCGAGAAGCCGGCCTGGATTAGCCGCACCGCGGCTACCAGGCCACCGATGCCGGCGCCGGCGATGAGAAACTTGGTGGAATCGCCGGCCGCGAGGGGGGCGGGCAGCGCATCGAGGGCCGCATGGTCGGCCCAGACGTCGTCGACGAGGTGGCGCAGCCGCTCGTTCTTGCTCGCTTCCAATACCTCGTACTGGGCGGAGCCGTCGGGACGCAGGCGCTTCTGCGCCTCGGCGGCGTACTTGGCCTGGATTTCCGCAAAGTCCGCCATGACTACCTACGGCGAGTAGATACGCAGGTATATATTACCTATAGAGAGCTTAGGATGGGATTTTCTCGGCTTGCTGGCGTTTCAGGAAGAGCACGAGAGTTTACATAATAAGGGAGCACCCCGTCCTTATATGCATAGGCACCGAATCAGACAGAGGAAAAGGCTGCGAAGGCGGGTAATAATACAATTGGCCCTAGGTACGATGTAACACGCAGCCCGTCTTCCCGTCACCAACACCGGTGCAGCCGATCCGCTCTCTCCCCTCTCCCTACCCAAGTCGAAGCAGCACAAATAAGACCTTTACGCAGGTCTCATGTCGTGGGGGCTTACAACGAACCACCCGGGAGCTAAAAATTCTCGGTTGGCTAGCTTGGTGAGGGGTGAGCCCGGCCGCTCGCAATACCACCTTCAAGCCTAGGCCTTGACCCGGCAGCTTCAGCTAATCCACACGCATCACTAGCTATGGCCTGTCTACGGCTCACACAGCTTTGCCATCGCGCATTGCCATGGATACGGGCAGACCCTCCTCGTCCTCCCCTGCCCTGGTTCCCACATGGGTGGCTAACCCCTCACGAGAAAGGCCAGAGAGCAACTTGGCAGCGTATTCGTGTACCGAGATGCGAGCAGAATCGTATTCGTTTCGGGCGAATCACACCGATTTTGCGGGAGTCAGGGACGCGTTCTACGGCACCGTGAATCACGGATTTTCCCTCTTTCATCCAGGGATCCCCTCCTGTTATGCTCTGCTCTACCTACCGTACGGCACCTGACCCGCCCAGGCGCCTGTTGGAAAGCGGCGGCAGGCCAGAGACACCCTTGCACTCCTAATACTAGGTATACATACACCAGCCGGGATTCCTTTATCCTGCTCTTCTTCACCCGCTCTCGGGTTAGCGACGTAGCGTCCTCCCAGGGTCTAGACTGCTAGATGGAGAATCCTGCATCACCCACGCTGTCGTAAGCAAACGATTAAGATGCCTTAACCCTTGCTACTCTAAGGCTAGGGCTGGGGCTTGGCTGCTATAGGTACATGAGCCTGCCGTCCCGGCTCTCGAGACATCCGTGGTTTAGTTTGTGCACTTCTCGCAGATCGTCCGTCATCGTACCTATAGTGCGGCCTCTCGTGCGAGATAGCCATCATTCGTCCGCGACACACCGCACCGAGAGCTCGCGCCACCTTGTCCGCGAGACGTAGCGTAGTCGACCAGATCAGCCACCCCGCCCAAGATGGACGCCGCCGACGTGCCAGACTTCGACGACCTGCCCAAGGTCCCCGACATGCCGCAAGGTTGCGCCTGGGGCCTCTTCGACAAGGACGGCAAGAAAGACCTCCTCGGCACGTTGAACCTGCTCACGCCGTCGGTCGTGAAAGCAGCGTTTAGCGAGGCCCGAGATGGGGTGTCGATCTCGCTCAAGTAAGAGAAGATTTACCTACGTAGTATCAATACCTACCACACCCAACCCGCTCGCTTACCCACCCACTCCTCTGCCGTAACCGCTGCCTATCATTTTCCTTTGCACGCATGTGCATGCATGCACGTATGTATGTACGAGTTGCCTTCGCTTACATCAAGGGGGGGGGCGTCTCGCCTCCGCGCCCGTCCAGCTGGCCGCTCAACGCGATGCCGTTCCCGCTGCCGGGCCGGATCCCGCCGACGCACAAGCTGATGACGCTGCGGGAGAGCGGGCTGTCCTCGGGCCACGGCTGGGACGACGAGCTGCACTTCAACACGCAGCTGAGCAGCCAGTGGGACAGCCTGGTGCACTGGCAGCACCAGCCGACGGGGCTCGCGTACAACGGCGTCGCGGTGACGCGCGAGGACCTCGCGGCGCCGACGACGGCGGCGAACCCGGCGCCCACGCTCGACCACTGGCACGCCGCCGGCGGGCTCGCCGCGCGCGGCGTGCTCGTCGACTTCAAGGAGTGGTGGGAGGCGCGCGCGCGCGCCGAGGGCCGCACCGGCGCCGACGCCGTCCTGCACCCGCTCGACGGCCACCGCATCACCGTCGCCGAGCTCGAGGCGGTGGCCCGCGACCAGCGCGTCGGGTTCCGCCCCGGCGACGTGCTGGTCGTCCGCACCGGGCTCACCGAGGTGCTGCAGGCGCCGGCGCCCGAGGACCTCGCTAAGCTGCAGGGGGGTCGCATCGCAGGCGTCCACGGCGTCGCCGAGTCCGCCCGCTGGCTCTGGAACAAGCACTTCGCCGCCGTCGCCGGCGACGGCTGGGCCTTCGAGGCGCTCATGCCGCTCAAAGAAGACGGCAGCCAGGGCGACCCGAGCGATCTGTGTAAGTCGAGTCTCTTTTTTACTGAACAGAAAAAGAAAAGAGAAGAAAAAACCCTCCCCCTCCCTTTTTTCTCTCTTCATCTCGGCTCCCCTTTTACTCCTCTCCCTCCTCCTAGTCGGCCTTTGAATAGTGCAGTATGATCTTCCCGCCGTGCGCCTTGTCACACGTTACCCCATGCACGCCCCCAACATGACATATGCGCATGGATGCCCACTAACTGTATGATCTACAGATCTCCATCCGTGGCTGCTCTCGATGTTCGGCATGCCGATTGGCGAGCTCTGGGACCTCAAGGCCCTATCGGCGCACTGCAAGGCCACGGGCCGGTACAGCTTCCTGCTTACATCAGTGCCCCTGAACATCCCGGGTCTCGTCGGGTCGCCACCGAACGCCCTGGCCCTCTTCTAAGCCCGGCTCGGGCCGCCGCTCGGCGGGCCTTTTTGGGGTGGTGTTCTTCTCGGAATCTATGCGAGTTGTCCAATACCTATCTCTAATATGCGGCGGGCCTGTTGGATTTGCATGACGATAATACCCAGCGTGGCGTGTACCTATGGGTGTCGAGGAGCAGCGGTAGGCGTGCGAGCGGCCGTCTCGTTGGGTATTTACGCAGGGGCAACGGAGTAGGCGTCGCGAGCAGGGTGCAATAAAAAACACCGCGTCGAAGGGACTCTTTATGCCACTATTGATCATGGGCTGCCGCTATAACGAACGCTACGTGATTATCGTACACCTTGGCCGAAATGGTGCGTGCGAAGTCTAGGGCAGTTAGCAGGTAGCATCGGTTACCTATAGGTATATATTCGGTGCGGGCCGTTCCTCATCGCGCGTATGCAGGAGATTTCTGTAAAGCCCCCTCTCGCCAATGCCAACGGCCCTCACACGCACAACGGACGCGGCCCTGGCGCTCCGCCCCTCAGTGTCGTAGCCGCGGCGGCACTGCGGACACGGCCGCGGCCCCCGGCGTCGGTGCTACATTTTCGAGCGGCGGATCGCTGCCGCGAAGGGCAGGTGGTAGCCGCAGCCGCGTCGACGCTACCTGCCCACCCTGCGGTCGCAGTAACCCGGGCCCCCCCAGAGGGCGGGATCTCGCTTAATATCGCGCAGGCGAGGCGGTCTCGCGAAAAGCGGCTGCCTAGAGCGCGGCTGGGGGGTAGGTATAATACGCAGGGCCGCCGGGCGGCGGCAGGGGGTGCGGAGGCGAGGACGTGTGTGTCTCGTGCCGACGGTGTCTTCGTCGTCGCTAGCTGGAACAGCCTATCGATAATATAATATCCCCTGCGCCTCCGCGGGGCGCTCAGCGTACCGTCCTCCTCGCTCCCTCGCGGCGCTTCGAACGCCGCCTGCCGCCCCAACCTCTCCGCCAGACCCGTCCGGCGACGCGGCCCTGCTTTGCCCCGGCCGCCGCCGCCGCCCTCTGGGCCACGGCCTCCCTCGCCGCGTGAGCGCCCCCGTTCTGCTCGCCCACCTGCGAACTCCCTGATAGAGAGCCCCCCTCTCCCCCCTCTCCCCGGACACACCACACCTACAAATCTATGCCCCCCAACGCTAACGTGACGCAGGGGCTGCCTGCCGGCGAACGGCGGCTACGGGTGCGCCGAGGCGAACTACTACCTCGACTGCCTGTCGTGCGCGCTGAACTGCGTCGGCGGGGCCTGCGTCGGCGGGGCCTGCAACTACAACCGTGACGGCGCGTCCGTGACGTGCTCCGGCTGTCCGTGACGGCCCTTAGAGGAGAGAAGGGGCCCGCGCGGCCGGGGACGGCTACCTTAGAGGTACCTACGCAGATGCAGTCATATGGGAAGGGAAGAGAAGGAAGGGGAGGAAGAAGGGGAGGGCGAGGCGGGGGAATGGGGGTAAAGGGGTACGGTACATAAGTATAGGGTGGCGACGCGCGGCCCGCTCTCGCACGCCTCCCCTATGTCTGACACCCCTGGGCATAGGGTCGTCGATAACCGCCCGCGTACTTACGTGTAAGCTTACTTCTATGCCTATCTTCTCCCTTACGCCCCCCATCTAGACTTGGCACCGCGTCGCGCTGCGCTGCAGAGACAACACGAGGCTTTCAGAGGAAAAGGCAACAGCTGGGGATAGGCCGCGGTCGAGTTGGTTAATATCAAACCCGCGGTTATCTTCCCCCTCCGTCCTACCACAACATGTGTGTGTGCGTGTATATATATACATCTGTGAAATTCTCTCGCTGTATGGAGGCCTCGTGTATATTGTATTAATAACATAGTAAAAACGGACGCCTCGCCGCTTAGACCTCCCTTCGATATCCCGTTACGCCCATAGCCGCTTGCCCTATATACCGGGGAGTGTGTGTGTATATCTCTCTAATGTGTGTGCATCCGTGTATGTCCTGAACGAGTGAGGAAGTAAGGCAAGAGAGAGAAAGCGGACGTGGGCCTGGGCCTGCATATGTATATGTCGTAGGCAGACCTTTCGGTGCGCTATCCTGTGTCCGTTAACGACGTGCCGCGCCGCTCACCCTTCCTCTCTCTCGTTCTCCCCTCATCTCATGCGCTGCATCATGACCGGAAGACTGTTACCGTATCTCCCACCAGGGAGCCTCCGGTGAGAAAAGGGGGGGAGAAAAGCCCCGAGTGAAATGATTCTGTTTTGCCTGCCTGCCTGTAATATGCATGGCCTCTCCCTCGCGCTCTTCGACTACTTCTGCCTCATCATCCAGTACATCCACCCGCCAATGCCGAATATGCAAGTGAAGACTAGTAGCCGCCAGGGTCAGTCTGGCCGTCTACACGGTATAGCAACCGATAGAAAGGGGATACGAACCGACTAGGAAGGTCTCTATCGCGCGGTGGTCCACCTCACGCTTCGCTATGATGCTCATGTGGGCTACCTCGCGGGCGATGAGCTGCGGGAGCTCCCGCGCTATGAGCTGGGTATCGATGGCAGGCATGGTTGGTTGTTATGATGGATGGTGATTCAGTATGATGGCGCTGACAACGAGGGTGGCGACGTCGACGATGTGCGGAACGGCTGTCAGGGGTGGCGGATGCGGGTGCGTGATGGGAGCAGCAAGGCCGAGAAGACGGATGTATTAGATATTCACTCGCTAGCGACGATTACTATGTTATGGCAATAATAAGAACACGAGCACGAAAGATGGGTGGGAAGAGAAGGGAACGGAAGTGTGAAGTCCTGCTTGCATCTACTCGAAAGGCCACTCAGAAGCGCACGATAGCCGGCTCGCCGGGTTGAGGCTCATTTAAGTAGCCCACCGCAAAAATTGCTACTAATAACTTACCGCATGGCGCACGCACCCCTGGCTGGCCGACTCGACGTCGTTGGCGCCCCTATGGGCCCATAATCGGACGATGCGATGCTATTCAGGGCTGGCCTCGCTCTTTTTTTCATCGTGGGAAGTGCCTTCGCCTGGTTTCAAAATACCACACCTAAGCCAGGGGGGGGTTCCGTCTGTCAGACGTGGCCGCCGACGGATAGTATTCCCACTTTGGGCTTCTCGTAGGGAGCAACCCACGGCACGTCACGAACTTGTCTAGCCAGGGCTGCCTCGACCTGTTTGGTGCCTTGCTACCTATGAGGTATGTGTGTAAGTATGGTTATAAATGCTGCAGATTCGAGGGCCAAGGTTGTCGTCGATACCTGTCCGTGTATCGATACGCACACACTGCCTTATAGGTAGAATGTAGGTACATATCTGCCGCATGTACGCGTGGTGGCATGGGCCGTCTGCCAAGTCGCGATAGTTCTGGCGGAGGAGTCTGTGTAGGGATGGAGTCTGTTGTTGTTGTAGTGGTGGTGTGTGATTTAGCTGGGCCCCTCCTATTATACAGTCTCATGGACGGGATTCGAGAGTGGAAAATCGAGACGGCAGCTTGGGGAAGGCGGTTAGGGAAGGTGGTTAGTCAACTCTGTCTCCTCTCGCTTCTTTCCCTTTTCCTCAGTGCCTCATTGCTTCCTGCCGTCCTTCGCTCCTACCCTCACCTACCTTCGCTACTACCTTTGTATGGACAACTTCCTTCGCTCCTTCCACCGTTCTCGTGGTAGTACCTAGATGGTATAATAAGCTTCGCGCTAAAAAGGGGGGACGGGTGGCGGAGTGGATCCCTATCGTACCATCGCGTGGGGATCGCCTTCCCTCCCTCTCTCCCAAGCATCCCCCTGAAACAGATTCGAGGCAGGCGTTCGTCGCCTGGCCTTGCCCTTTGTATGGGGTCTTCAGCTAGGTACCTGGGTACCTCACATGAATCCGAATCACTGATAGGCATACTACTCAGAGGTATATGCATATTCGCGTGCGAACGCGAATCCCTGATCCGCCCACCTTTCGCACACGAGAGGGAACAAAATGGTTGCATGACAGACAGCACGAAGAATTATACCTAGGTAGCTGTGCACGTGTGTATAGACGCGGCAAGTATAGGCACCCTCCCTTATTCCCTGGTATTGTTCTGCTGTGTTCTCCCCAGAGCCTCAGCATCCTCTCATCACAAACCACTACCGCCGCCACCGGAGAATCCGTATTAGGCAGTTGGGAAGCACATCTGGCGCGCCCCCGGGTCGCTGATCGACAGCATGCCGCACGTCATCGAGACGCCTGCAGCCGGCCGGCCTCTTCCCTACTTCTGCATCGATGTATTAACCCTCCCCTCCCCTCCTTTTCGTCGTCGTAGCAGGTAGGTAGCCAATACCTACTCTACCCTACCCTACCAACCGACCGACCGACCTAATAAACTCCACCCGTCACACGCCCGTCCGCTCTTCGCTCTCCGCCTCCGCCGCCTCCTCCTCCTCCATGAGCCCCAACGCCCGGATCGCGCACAGCCAGACGCCCACGCGCTCGCGCACGAACACCTCGGGGTCCCACGGCTCTCCCGTCAGCGCGGCGTCGTCGCCCTCCCAGAGATGCGCGTCCGCGTCCACCACGGCGCCGCTGCCGCCGCCCTCGAGCAGCGTCACCGCCACCCGCGACGGCCGCCCCCCCACCGCGCCCTCGAACGCGTCCAGGATCCGCCGCTGCCCCGCCGTCGCCGCCGCCACCAGGTACCCGTCCACCCACGGCTTCTCCCCTCCCGCCTCCCCCTCCCGCCGCACCGCCGCCGGGTAGTCCCGCCCGCGCAGCGAGAAGCGCGCCAGCCCGTGCGCCCGCGCCCGCGTCCGAGCCAGGGCGCATAGCGGCCCCGCTCGCCCCGTCAGCGCCCACGCGAGCAGCGCGGGCGCGCAGAGCGCCCCGTACACGAAGAGCGGCCGTGGCCGAGTCGACGCTCCGGGTTCCGGCGGGCCGGGAGGCGGCTCCGGGGTTATCAGTGGGCTAGTCGGGGTGTGGTCGGCTCGGTCAGCCATGGGCGTGAGTGTAGGTGTGTGTTCGTTCGTGTTTATGTCGTGTCCCTGCCCGTCGAGCCTCCATCGATCAAGCTTGTAATCATCATCAAATCGGGGTGTCCCGGGATACCTCGAGATTAGGCGAAGCCCCCCGTCCCGCGCAGAGGCGATGGAACGCCGAATCGGATATGGTTAGGGGTCTAGGTGAGCCTTCCTCGTCGCAGCCTAGGAGAGAGCGGTAGCATGGTGATAGGAGCTGCAGTATCGTAAGTCCCCACCATCTAACCAGCTGGTCAGCTACGAGTAAAATTTTGAACTTAATCGTCACTTCTACGTGCCTATCTCAAGCCATCTATGTCGTATTTTCCACTTCTGGTTTTCGGCTACGATGTACATTTCCGGTTTACTCCTGCCGCCCAAGAGCTACCCAAGCATCGCATGACTCGGTCAACGACGGCCACAGAGACGGCCACTCCCATTGTTACAATTAGACCGCGACCCGCGCGATGTGGCCGGGACTAAAACGACGCCCTGTGACTAGGCGTCCTCCCCTCCCGCTCGTCGCTACTCGTTTGCTTAAGCCCTGCTAGTAACCTCTCAACCCATCTCAACCTGCCACGGGCTCGTCTGAGTGACCGCAATGCCGCCACGGGACGCTGTAGGTACCCGCATCAGCCAATATGTGCGGGTATACGACTTCGCGGCGACAATTGTCTAGACTCTTTGTGCCCCCCTAACCTATCACAAGTTATATGTGGGCACGTACGATACATGCCAGCCATATCGCACAACCCCACGGCAGCCTCCCTCTCCTATTATCGTGAAATACCCTGCCTCTTTCGTCCCGGTTCCGCGCGTGCACCCCTCTCCCGTCCCCCCCCTCCTCTGATTGTAGCACCCCAGCGCAGGAGCGATCTACCTAGTTCGACGGTAAGCGAGAGCGCGCGAGGGAGAGAGAGAACTCGGGGACGGCGGGAAGACCAGCGTGAACCCCCACAGCGCGCTCTCTACCCCGTTGCGACCGCGCTCTCAGGAATCGGCCCGCCGGCTGGCGCAACCCTTCCGCACGTACACTCGGCGACGTCGGGAGCAGATATGCAGCAGCAGGCGAGTTCGGCCGCACGAGATGCGCGACGCTGGCAGACGCATGGCTGCTCGTAACCGACCGTTCGTTGGGTGGAGTGCCGACGGCGACAGACGACCGGGGAGGTGCATGTAACGAACGACGGTCTTTTACGAAGCCGAGCCACGGTGAACAAATATATCGGTATAGATTACCTATATATGTAGATAGAGATAGAGATAGAGAGATACAGAGAGAGAGAGAATATAGATCCGACATAAAAACCCGTGAGCCCCCTTAAAACTCCCTTAGGCCCGTCCACCTTGTTTCCTATGGCATGATCGTAGGGATACATCATATAGAGGGTTGCCAGCAGTTAGGCAAACAGGATTCTTCTTTTGGTTTAAAAAAAACGGCAACGCCATGTCGGCTAGGATTTCGTTAAGTGAAATAAAATGAAAAGGGGAAGGGAAAAAAAGAAACAAGAGCACAATTCCCTTTTTCCCCCATGCTAGAATACCCCCCCCGTTCGCCCCGAGTGCAAAGTTCACCCCCTATCATACAACACCGGATGGAGTGAAACATACCGCCGTTATAACCGCTTAAACCCTCTCTGGAACTGCCCTCTCCAAACGTAAATCGGCACCACCGCGTGCGCGCGCGCAATCTCACCCCGTTCACACTAAGCCCGACTCTGAACATTTGCAGCCCTGTGCCCTCTCTTTTCCGTGTTGGCCGCCTTCTCGTCACCTCTCATACCTTGGCAACGGCTCCGAAGTCCGGGGGACCCGCGTCGACGGGCCGGCGAGGTCGTCGTGATACGCGTGCGGGGTGCCGTGGCCGTGGCCGCGGCCGTAGTAGTAGTGGTCGTCGTCGTCGGCGCCTAGCGCCGGGGCCGTCGGCTCCCCGGGGTTCAAAGGTTGGTCGGCAGGCGGCGCCGAGGCCGAAGTCGACGGCTCGCCGCCGTCGCAATCGTCGGGCACTTCCGGCGGCGCGCTAGCTTCTTGCAGAAGCCTCTGGCGCTCGAGTTCCTGTTTGTCGTCGGCGGCGGTACGGGATGTGCTAGATGGAGCCGGTGGAGGAAGAGGGGGAGGAGCGCCCCCTTGTGTTAGATCGGCTAACGTAGGCGCCGATGGCCCTTCGCCCTCGGGGTCGACCGCTGCAGGGGCGGCGATACCGCCGAAATAGGCGGAGCTCTCGGCGGGCGCGGATGGCTGCGAGGGACCGGCTTCCGTTTCGGAAGGCTGTTGCGGCGGCTGACTTGGCAATAACCTTTGCTCTGCCTGGTGCACACGCTCCTTCTCGGATAGCTCATTCTCGCTGGGCACTTCGGGCGCCGGCACATAGACCGGGGCGTGGGTTTCGTAGTTTTGAAAATCGTAATACGATGTCTGAGGGGACGTGGCTACGGGCAAATGGCCCCGAGGCGACCCAAGCTGAGCGGAGTCAAAGTCTCTGTCATAGCCGTTCTCTTCGTTATTTTCACCTTGCCAATTATAGTTCGGGCCGTCACCCCCAACACGAACATCCTGCGCAGCAGGCGGTTGTACCGTCAGCGACGGGCGTGCCACCGACTTGCCTCGCGAGCGATTCGAGTCCATGGTCCCGACCACAACTTCGAACGATACGGATATTACTCCCTTTTCACGCCTGAGATGATCTGTGTCTACTATCGTACCGTTCCAATTCGCAAGTCGCTTCAGATCGTACGCCTCGGCTGGCGAGGCAGGGTTTCCGCCGGATATGCCCAACGGGCTCATCCTGCTTGCTTGTTGCGAGCTGCCGGCCGTTTGGCCGGCAAGCTTCCCACCTAAATCGAGAACGACTTCGACGTGGTATTTGAAGCTGATCAAGCCTCCCGGGACGTTTTTTATACTCGGAAACACATCCTCGGGAACTCTGACGGACGTTGTGATGTTTGCCGTGAGCGTAGCGGGATCGATGATGAGGGGGGCTACCGCTTGGGACAGGTCCTTCCGAAACACGCTACAGGAGCCAGCAGAGGATAAAGACAGTCCTCCGAGGCCTGTCCTGGACCTCGGGTAATAATCTTCGCGTTCTAACCGCTCGGCGTCCCCTTTGGATAGCTCGGCGGTGAACAAAGATATCGGTGGCGAATAGTCGACGCGGCCCTGGCGGTAAAGCGTAACGATTATGCCATGCATACTCTTCATGCGGCGGTTGTGCTCGATCTGGATTCTCACGGGTAGTATGTCTCCAGGGAGGCAGCCCCCTTTGAGCAATTCGACCGTGGCAGTTATCTCCCTCTCGATGTTTCCCGACGCCTTGCTCACGGCGACCGATTCGGCACTTGCATCGGCTCCCCTCGCGCTGTTGGAGCCACTGTTATTGCTGACGGCACTGTCGCCGCTAACTTCACTCTGCAAGTCGGCTGGTATTACATCGGTTCGCAGGGGGCTTCGCGGGGCAGCTGCCCCGACGGTTGTCGCCTCGCCGAGACTCACGGAGCTCCTATTCAAAATCTCGTTCACCCTAGTAGAATCCAATTCCGACGCCGACTCCTGCGTTTCCGCGGACACGGAGCCGCGATGGGTCGGGATCGCAGCCGTCGACGCAACTTTCTTCCTCTTCTTTGGCCGTCTCCGCCAGGTCTGCATGCATACCTTTCGTTCCCGCGGAGGCACGAGCAGGCCTATGTCCACCTTCTCGACGAGAGATACCTTCGTTTCGCAGCTAGAAGTGGCGGCGATAGATGTCGGTCGGGTCAGCGTCGCCGTGACCATGTAAGATATGGTTCCCCTCTCGAACTGCAGATATTTGTATGCATTAGCACGCACGTCCCGATAGCGGTAGAGGCAGCGGTGTGGCAGACGGAGATAGACAGGCCGTACGTCAATACTGCTCGGGAGCGCCTTGGGGGGGAAGATGAGATCAAACTCGAATTCGAACCGCGTAGGCTTGAGCCTCCCCTCGCCGCATAGAACCTGCTCGTCCTGGAAGAGGGAGGCGAGCCCGTTGCCGTAGTATCTGACATTCCTGCTCCTCTCGTGGGAGATGATGGCGGGATTGACAGGACTGAGCTGGGCGGCGGCACCAGCATGCTTGTAGACGCGGACGTATCCGTGCAGGGAGACGGTCAGGTGGGTGATACGGATGGGCTTGACGACGGAGAGGATAACGTGGCCCCTGACATGTTCGCCGGCAGAGTATTGACGATGGGGTTCGTGGAGGCGGATGTGGAAATCGGCAAGGTTACGCGTTCGGGAGCGCAGGGGCGAGGTCAGTCGCGAGAAGAAGGAGGGCCGAGACGGCGAGTCATCGAGCGACAGGTGGTGCGCTTTGTCGGTGTCGGAACCCATCTATTCGACCTGTGCCAATTGACAACGGCGTGCATGCCTTGCATGACACCACACGGAAAGCCGTCGTCAACCGTCGATCGGCCGTCGTGGTGTCGAGGGGGGCGACTAGATCACGCGTAGGGACGTACGGCTCGGGCGTCGCGTTGCTCGGGAGGCGCCCAGCAACGGCAGCAAAGGAAGCGGATCGCGATTGGGCGGTAGTCGACAAGACCACGGGGTAGCCAAGATGACGATGCCAAACCGTCGGGGCCCCCTATGGGAGTCCTATCTCGAGGGACGCCGCTGGGGACTGCTAAGAAACACAGGTACCTTGCGGATTACGCTGTCAGAATTGCCTTTTGGGGGGCTCACCAAGATCTTGGGTGTTGCATGTGCCAAGCTGTGGGAGAGGCTTGGTAAAGACCTGGGTTGAGGGACGGGATGCCAAGAGACGTTCTGGGCGGTCTTCTGTTATTATTAATAGGCGGAGAGGTAGTGCTGGGAGGGGGTGTGGAAGGGGGGAGGAGGGGGGGAGTGAAAGGAGGAGGGGATGTCCAGAGATGTGCGTGCGTGCGTGTGTTAGTGTGTGTATGCTCTACTATACATGCATAGGCGTACGACGCGCCCGCGTTGTGGGTGTGGGTGTGGACGTGTGTATTGGTGATATACCTACATACCTACATATGCCATGTATTTCTCGCCGCTCGCGTAAGAGACGAAGAGACAAGGAAGAGGGAAAAAAAGCTTTGATACCCCGGTCTTCTGCGGGCCAGCAAGCGTGAGCATCAAGTGACAGGACAGGCGGCCGCCGCGCTGGCTGACGATCCCGGAGCGATAGGTTGGGGGGGTAGTCTCCGCCATCGCAATTGGGTAGGTATACTACGAGTGTGTAGGTATGTTTTCGCACTCCCCGTACATGCGAGATGAATCCTATACTGGACTCTCGGATGGGATCCGTTTCGACAGACCAGGTCAACCTAGGTCAACCCGGGTCAAGTAGGCGGCGTCGAAGACGACGGGCTGTTTATGTCAGCCCATCCCATCTCCTGGGAACCCCCGGAAGGGACTAGAGGTGCCAGCCCAACCCGACTCGAGAACTCGAACCCCCCTCGAATCATGCGGGCACGGCGCGTGGACGCATTGGTACGAGAATGCGTCTTGCGTCACGGCCTAGCGGGAGCTTGCAGACACATACCTATGTATCCCATCCCAGCCCTTGGTATTGCTTGAGTTAACAACGTGCCGCCGCACTGCCGTAACAGAGTCTCGAGGATGGGCGGGAGGATGCTCGCAGGCCAACCCGCTTTGGCCCGTCGACTGCTGGCTCCCGGGCTCACCCACGGCCCTGCTTCTGCTGTTGGATCCTGGAACCAAGCCGGTCAGCCCCACGGGCGCGCCTAGTCCCGCCACCTGTCTCACTCTCCGCCTGTCCAAGTCCGACGCAAGTACAACGTCGACCCAGCTTCGCCCTTCACACCTAGGGTCCTTCGTAGCCAGCTAGCACGTCTAGCGTTTTCCCACGAAAATATGCACCGCGCCCGAAGCGAAACAGCTTCATCCCCCTCCCTCGTGATTGGGTAACATCGGCCGGGTTCTGTAGCCTTTTAAGTGCGAGAGGCTTCCCTCCCAGATTCACGAGGGGCAGCCGATCATAGTAAGAGGTTACAGGTTGTAACATACCCTCGTACGAGAGCTACCCAAATTGAGGTGCCACACATATCGGCACAGATACCCGAGCGAGGGGGGGAGAAGAAAACGAACGAAATAAGAAGAAGAATGAATGAGTAGAAAAGGACAAGGGTGGTGCGGCTGGATTTGACAGTCGATCGGTTCCCCGATTACGTAGGTATAAGTCCTGCCCGCCGGTCCACAAGTCCCGATGACCACATCGCACATCCAGTCTGGAGATGTGGCACCCGAGGAGCCGGTGTGCTTGGATAGATGACAGGGAAGACGAGCCGGTATATGCCTCGAGTTAAGACGGCAGATCTCTCCAGTGGCACCTCCGCGTCAGAATCCGACAGAGCAGATCGAAGTGCGCCTACGCTCCGCTGCATGATGCCATCAGATCGCCTTTTCTAGCCTGCGTCTGCGGCCGCCGGCCATGCCCAGCGCAACGCCTCTGCCCAGTCTCGTCCGGAGTTTTATTTCTTACTTCTCCTAACTCCTAACCAGACACGCGCCATTATCGGTCATCGCTGCATACGTACGTCCCCCCGTCTTAGATCGGGCCACGCGTACTTGTTCCAGCAGAAACCTGCATCGCGAGAGTAATACCGGCGTGCAGCAGCTAGAATCGGCCCATGTGCACACGCTCGCCCCCCCCTTCGCCACCCTCCCTCTTCCGCTACTGCAGATGAGAAATGTAGTGCAGGCAACTAGAGGCAGAGGCACGGCAAAGGGGGTACGTTAGGTCGTCTTCCTTCTCCTCCGGCCGCAGCGCGCACGGGACGAACTGGAAGCGGCCGGCTTGTCGTCTGCATACCGCCCACGGACGCCAGGCCTGCTACGGCATCGCAGGTGCGTCAAATACGACGGTGGCCTACCCAGGGCTACCCGGCTGCTTATGTATAGCAACGGGGTAACTAGGGTGGTGATAGGGTGTGGGCCTGACCCGGATGGCCTACCGGTAGATGGGAGTGCGCCTCCCGATCGCCGCCATGCTCGGTAACGCAAGAAGCAAATTAACGACGGCGAGAGGCGTGAGTCTAGGCTCTCCTGGCGGGTACCTAGGGTGGGCACCTGAGCTGGGCATCGGTATACGTTGGTGAGATATCCAATGTTGGAAAGGGAGGGAAAATCGGCCTGCATGGGCGGTGTCGGGGTTGGTGGTGGGATGGATCCCCTTCGGTCAGACCGGTCGCGTCCACTGCAGAAAAGTTCGAAACGATATTACTTGTGGTTGTAAGGTGCAGCTCCGAACATCGATCACGTTGGGAGGTTCTGTTCCTTTAGATGAATTTACCGTACCTATATAGTAGGTACCTAGGCGGGCGCGAACACCCTAGTAAGCCACCTAACCCTAGCTCAATACACAGCTGTAACTAGTGGCCGCCTTCTATAATTCTTCCACTTGGCGACCTAAAACAGGTACCTAACCAGCATTCTCAGGTACCTGAGGTGCCCAAGATAAGTCGAGGTTGGCCTCCAATATAGTGCGTTATACACCCCTCTATAACTACAGCCACTGGCCGATTATAGCATCCAAGACATGGACATCAGTTGTCGGTATCCTCCCTGCCCAATTAAATAACCACGTTGTCTACGAAGCAGGTAAGCCTTCAATGCTCTGCGGGTGTCTGCCCGCAGCCCGAGTCCGTACATTCTTCGCAGATGCGTAACTCCTTGTAGATAAGAAGAGGAGGTATGCAGGTAAGGCAAGGTAGATTCGATAAGTACCTAGGTACCTAGGGTACATGTCGTGGTTGGGGGCTTGCATTAGGTACCTCCTCTCTCCCATGGAGAATAACCATACCTGTACTTCACAGAGCCGGTGAAATAAGAACCTTGGGGCATGGATAAGACGGCACGTATACGTACCGACCTTATACACCAGGTACCTTACCTAGGTACCTAGGCACATCAACATTAAATACCGAAAATAATTACGCTGCGCTGCCGAGTTAAGAGAAAACCAGCATGGGAGAGGGGAAAGGAAGCCGAGGAGAGGGATAACTGCTGTCACCAAGGTAAAGTAAACTCGGATAAGGGGCACAGAGTTGACAGTCAGTATCCGACGTTGAATTTCCCGGAGCTGCTACACCCAAGCTCAGCCATCGTCCATCCATTATACATCCGTCGCCTTGACACGGTCCTCGTCAAAAGGGGACCCCGCGTGCTATGCCCAACCGCCATGCTGCGAAAACGCCAGCCAGTCCCTATGTATATGCATCTAATGCTCCCCTCCCCCGAAACGCCGTCCTTGCAAAAAATGAGCAACACAGCTAGCAGCACCCCCATACCCAAACTTAGGGGCAGGTAGGCTTGTATACAACACCGAGAGGGGGGACCGGTAGATCCCCGACTCGCTCTAATCCAACGCTTCCCCGCTCAATATGCTCTTCAGGATGTCGGAGCCGAGCCCTTCCACGGCCTGTTCCAGCTCCTTCTCTCCCACGCAGCTAGCCACCCTCCGCTCGTCCCCCAGCCCGACGCCGGAGCCGAACCCGCCCTTCTTCCCCCGCTTGCTCGGCGTCTGCAGTACCGCCAGGGATCCCGTCTTCCCGTCGACAGCCGAGACTAGCGACAGCGCCTCGAGGCTGCCCACCACTTCCCGGAACTCGAGGCCCGACAGCGGGTGCAGCACCGACTCCCGCGTGCACAGCTGGCAGTAGGCTTCGTACAGCACTTTAACCGTGGGGGCGACCGCGTGCGACTTGGACGGCGTGGCGAGCACCGACGACGTGCGGGACGATCGGTTCCGCTTCTCCATCGCCATCAGGGAGCACAATGCCGCCTTCTGCTGCAAGTTCAAGGTCTTGAGGCGCTGGTTCGCTCCGTTGCTAAAGGCTGCCGCCGTGATCTTGTTGAGGTGTGCTATGCTAACGCGAGGCGCCGTCTCCGACGTTAGTCCTTTCAACGACTCCGCTAGCAGCGCCGACGGGCTCCTGTCCGAGCCTCGTTTCGACAGCGAGTTGAAGTTCGTGCTTTCGCCCAGGGGCTTCCGGGATGGCGATGCGAGGAGCATCTTCTCCCGAATTTCGGCCTCGTGCTTCTGCTTCGTTTCCGCCTCGACGAGATCGATGGCCCGCCGGCAGATCTCGAAGGCCTTCCGCAAGTCGCCCGTCTGGCTCGATACCTTTCGGGAGCAGAGCTCGATGGCGGCCGGGTGCATGAATGGCAAAGGACTCCCCTCGGGTACGAGGCTCTGGAGGCGAGTGGTGATGATGTTCCTAATCTGCGCCGCTGAATACGGGAGAAACGGAAGAAGTTCAGGCTTCAGGTTCCGAGATTTTAAACGGGGGAGGAATCGGTCTGTTAGGTCCAGTGCATTCGCGATGCCGACTAGCACGAGACGTGACGACTTCTGCATAGACCATTCGAAGAGCCGGTACAGACTTTCTAGGTCCAGAGTGAGAATGTGATCGATCTCGTCCAGGACGACGAGGTAAACTGGGGCCGACTTCTTCCGGGATATGAAGAGTTTCTGGACGGTCGCGGCGGCATCGCTCTCCGAAACATCAAGGTCCTCGCAAAGCTGCTCGAGGAGAGTCGCGTAGAGATCTTTGGATGACTTTATGCTCATGCAATTTATGTACGCCTTCTTCACCGCCTCTTTCTCTGCCAACTCTTGCGTAACCTCGTTCACCATCGCGCTCTTCCCCGTCCCCGGAGGTCCGCTAACGTAGATACATCCATTGGGGTTGGGCTGCGAACACCGGTCCAGGAAGCTCTTCAGCTGCGTCCGCTCATTGTCGCGCCCAACCAATTGGCCGGGATCGGCGCTGCGGGAGAAGAGCTGGCGGGCGTGGTGATATACGGTCTGTATCGCGGTAGGCGTAAGGGGTGTTTGTGGGAACAGCCGTTTCGACACCTTTCCGGCGGACATGACCCGGTGGCGGGGGGTGACGGGTACCCTCGCGAGAGCATCCTTGAAGCGAGGCGTACTCGGCGTGAGGGGAGTGAAGGGGGTGTAATCTACTGCACAGTTACGATTAGCCGTCAATTGTCCTTCATATATAATATATATAATATACATGGATTAATGCACGCGTGCATTCGTAGGCTTCTTACCTGGCTTGCCGCGAGCGCGTCCGGAAGGGGTGGCGGCCTTCGCGGGCGAGTCTACCCGGGAGTCGGTTGTGCTGTAGTCTTCATCGAGATCGTCGGTCTCGTCCTCGCTGGCCGCTTCCTCGGGTGTTATGTTCTCGTCGTTGATGAAGGAGTAGCGAGTTTGGCGCCTCGTCCGCTTGGTAGCCACTTCCAACGCTTCTACATGTCAGTTGCTGCAGCCTCCCATGGAAAGAATGCATTGTGCGTACCAGTCTCCTCCGCGCGTCGAGTCCTCTTGCCGAGAGTAGATCGCGCCATGGCGGTTGCTCCGTCAATAAAGCTGTGTCCAAGTAAAAGTCGTAGAGAGGAGAACGATTTGGGAGGTGCGAGAGGAGAATAGTAAGTCCAATGGAACAAAAGTATGGAAACGGGAAAATTGTAGAAGGGATTATTTAAGGGAGGTGCACAGATGAGAGAGACCCATTTTGTGGACTTGGGTACATAAGGAGATATAACGCGCGCGGACCTCAGAACGCGACACAGGCGCGTAAAGTAACATTTCGACGCGGTCGACTGGCTAAGGCGCAGTACGCACCGTGGTGGACCCAAGCACGGCCCGCCGCGCCGGATATATTAAAAAATAATAAAAAAAAGGCCGTGGCTGGGCGGACCGGTGGGGCTCGTGAGGCGCGGGCTGAAACTTGTTCAGATACCTGGGTGTCCACCTAGGTACTTGCCTGCATGGAAGTCAGGCTCAAGTGCCTGCTCCCTCCACCCCACTCTTGGCTTCCAAGAAAGTACCTCCTAGGCACCCAGGAGGTACCTAGGTACCTACTCGAGACAAGATGATCTTCCGCCAGCTGCTCTCGCCTGTCTCTAGATCCGTCGGCCGTCGGCGGCCACTGTCAACCACCGTCTCCCTTCTCTGACTTCGTAGGCCGGTACTTCTCGCCACATCAGCATACGTCGTCGGTATTCCCACTCTTGACGCACACAGGATTATGTATAGGACATCGTTTCTGTTCGTCCACTTTGACTCCCTTACACTCATCAGTATTTCTCTCCCAAGCGAAAGCATGTCTGCCGGGTAGGACAGTTAATCGACGTCCATGTCTGGATCTGGTAAAACAGCGGCGCCACCTTCGATATGGCAGACGAGCATGGTAGTACGGCATACGACAGCCACATTGAGGGGCTTCGACAGACCGAGTTCCCTCAGCTTCAAGGCAAGATTTCTGTTCAACTGTAGTCCCCCTCTACCGAAGACTGTGGGAATTAACAACCGGACAGACGAGGTCTATCTCGACCATGCTGGGACGACGTTGTATGCGAAGTCTCTCATAGACAAGTTCGCGGCCGACTTGACCTCGAATCTCTTTGGCAATCCGCATTCTGCCTCCTTGTCTTCGCAGAATTCCACCTCTCGAATCGAGGATATCCGTCTTCGTGTCTTGCAGTTTTTCAATGCCGACCCTTCCGAGTTTGACCTCATCTTTGTTGCCAATGCTACCGCGGGCGTCAAACTTGTGGTCGAACCATTTAGGGGCGCTCCCGGTCGCTTCGACTACTTGTATCATGAAGCGTGCCACACTAGCTTGGTAGGTGTTAGAGAAGAAGCCGCTAATAGCCTGTGTCTCGACGATGCCGCCGTAAACAGCTGGATAAGCGGAACCGACCCTGCGGCCAGGTTTGGGGAAGACTCTCGGCCAGTCCTCTTTGCATACCCGGCCCAGTCCAACATGGATGGCTCTCGGCTTCCTCTGAGCTGGCCTGAAGAGCTACGCAAAACCGAATCAATGCCAGGCCGTCAAACGTATACGCTGCTCGATGCCGCCGCTTTCGTTCCGACGTCTCCGCTCGACTTGAGCAGCTCGGAAACGGCGCCAGACTTCACTGTTCTGAGTTTCTATAAAATCTTCGGGTTCCCAGATCTGGGCGGACTGATAGTGCGGCGTCAAGCGGCGTCGGTATTCCAGTCTCGAAAATACTTTGGAGGCGGCACGGTCGACATGGTGGTATGTGTGGCAGAGCAATGGCATGCCCCCAAGACACAAGCCCTCCACGAGTCGCTGGAGGATGGGACGTTGCCAATACACAACATTATCGCCCTGGACTCGGCCCTAGACACCCACCGCCGGCTGTTTCGATCTATGAACGACGTCTCGGCCCATACATCTTCGCTCAGCCAAAGGCTACATCATGGTTTGGCCGCGTTGAAGCATGGAAATGGCCAACCTGTATGTGTCATATATTCCCATCCCTCACTCTCGAGGACGCCAGAATCCCCTATGGGAAATGGTCCAGTCGTGACCTTCAACTTGCAAAATCATCTGGGAAACCCGATTAGTTTGGTCGAGTTCGAGAAACTCGCAGTGCTGAAACGGTTCCACGTTCGTACCGGAGGCCTTTGCAATCCGGGCGGAATCTCGCGTGCCCTCAACCTGCAACCGTGGGAAATGAAGAGAAATTTCTCCTCGGGGTTTCGGTGCGGGACCGAGAACGACATTATGAACGGGAGACCAACAGGGGTCATTCGAGTGAGCCTCGGGGCGATAAGTACTAGTGCGGACGTGGAAAAGTTCATCGCGTTCATTGACGAGTTTTATCGGACTCAGAGGATAGCTGAACTCACGCCGCCAATTCCAACCTCTAGTCCAGGGGACTCGCTAGACTTATACGTGGAAAGAATCACCGTATACCCCATAAAGAGTTGTGGTGGATTCCGTATCCCTGCTGGAACACAATGGGAAGTCAGGCCGGAGGGGTTGGCATGGGATCGGGAATGGTGCTTGGTTCATCGAGGAACCGGTCAGGCATTAAGTCAAAAGCATCATCCTCGCATGGCTCTCATCCGGCCAGTGGTTGACTTTTCTAGTGGAAAGTTGCGAGTTTCGTACCAAGGGTCTTGGCCGATAAATGGCCCGACTCGTATATCAGTTCCGCTATCCGCGAATCCAGGTCTCTTTCGAGCAGGTGTCCCGTCCGCGGCGATGGCCTCTAGAGTCTGCGGGGAGGTGATATCCGCCCAGGTATATACCTCAAGCGAAGTAAACGATTTCTTCTCGACTATCTTGGAGGTGCCGTGCGCGCTAGCTCGCTTCCCGCCGGGTGGTCTGGGAACCAGCATGCGATATGCCAAGGCTCATCTCCAGAAACACCAAAAGGTCAACAAGACAGCTCAGTACAAGATACCCTGCGAGTTTCCCGGTATGGACACCCCTCCTGATTCCGATTCGGAATCTGAGCGACAGCGGATCCTACTATCCAACGAGAGTCCCATTCTTGCGATTAATTTATCCAGTCTGCACGTTCTCAACGAGCAAATCGCCCAAAGGGGGGGGAAGGCGGTCTCCCCAGAAGTATTTCGTGCTAATGTTATTATCGGCTCGTCGGCTTCGGAAGCGCAGCCATCTGCTTACTCGGAGGATCGATGGGCCAGCTTACGAATCGGGCAGCAAGACTTCAGAATGCTAGGCTCCTGTCGGAGATGCCATATGATATGCATAGATCAGGAAACTGCGGAGAAGGGCGAGGAGCCTTATATCACGTTGAGCAAGACGAGAAGGTTCGATGGCAAGGTATTCTTTGGTACGCACATGTGTCACATACCCTCAACAGCCATGGGCACCAAGGAGGCCCAGTTTCCTACTATTACTATAGGAGACAAAGTGGTGGTGGACCCTGCTTGAGGAAATCTAGGCTTTGGGTCCTTGATGGACAGTTAGCATGTAGTGTAACACCAATTATATGTTGCTAATTAGGCACGGAGAATATACCTTAGTTTTGACCCCTACTCGAAGGCTATGTAACTCTGGAAGATAACGGTGTGGTGATGCCTCTTAGCCTCTGAGTATTATCTCTAGTCTAGGTTGTGTGTCCTCGAGTTGCCCGAAAGAGAGAGAAAGGCAGCTGAGAGTTGGGAATATAGTTGGTTATCCACAAACCGCTACGTAGGATATGAGTATGTGTGAATAACGCCCATCCCCGTACCCTCTAGAAACATACTCCCCCCAACATCCACAACATCCTCGGCCGCCTCAACCCCGACGATGACGAGGACGTGGCGCTCATCAGCCCCCGCCGCGTCCCGCTCCTGGGCGACGACTCGGACAAGAAGTTTGAGCGCGGCAACTACGGCTACGATATCCCGAAGCTGCTCTTCGCCCTGACCGGCTTTTCCGACGTCCGCAAGCGGCTCTTTGACTACTCCGCCGACGGCGATTCCCACTCGCTCATCATCCAGCAGCACCCGGGCTCAGACACGACGATCAAACCAAGTATCTCACTTGCCAAATTAGGATAGCCAGTCTCGGTAGTTGGAAATAGAAACCTTTTGTTTCGATTCGTGATGCAACGCCCATTGCGCCTCCTCAAGATGTGTAGGTACTGTAATCACGTGTCCTAAATGAACCTCCTAGGTATATATGGCTCTCTCCTCCCCTCAGTTCCAACTTCACACTTCTCCTCCTTCTCATACCTTCATACCCCATGCCCTTACTTTAACTACCTCCCCCCCCCCCCCCCCCCCAATATTCATCGCCAAATATTCACATAACCGCCCTTGACCTTTTCCTGAAAACACAACAAAGATGTCCACCCCTAAACAGACACCACCAGCCAAACTCCTGATCCAGATGTCCGGTGCGCCCGGCTCTGGCAAAAGCACGGTAGCAAGACTGCTCAGGCCGTGCATCGGCGGCGTTATAGTCGACCACGACGTCCTCAGGTCCAGCCTTCTCGAATCAGCCATCATCCCGTTCGACGATGCGGCCAAGCAGGCCTACCTCCTCCAGTGGAAGCTGGCCAAGGACTTCATGATGAATCAGGGCCTCAGCGTCATTACCGACAGCACCTGCAACTACCCCGAGGTCCTCGAGCAAGGTACCGCTCTGGCGGTCCAACACGGCTACGCCTACTGGTACGTTGAGTGCAAGGTCGGCGACGTCGACCTGCTGGACAAGCGCCTGCGCGCCCGCCCTGCTATGGCGAGCCAGCGATCCGCCGTCGACTGTCCGCCTGCCGCAGCGCAGGGGAACGGGATTCGCGTGGACGAGGACGCGCGCGCGCTCTTCGCCAAGTGGATCGATAGCCCTTGTCGCCCCAACGACGACCATGTCATCACCTTCGATTCCACGGGCAGCCCGGAGATGCTTTGCGAGCAGATTTTGAAGAAGATTTTCTCGACTAGCTGAGCCACACTCGACTGAGCGAAGTTCTGGCCGGATCACAACGAAAGGAGGGACGGGGGGAGTGGAAGACGCGAAGAAAAAAGGGGGGCGGCATTGACACTCAAAGAATGCCTTGCCTCCTCACCTCCTCGAACTCCCCCCTGCGCCTTGGCGAGAGCTGCCTTGTTCTCCGCCAAGATGTGTTGATCGGGCAGGTGGTCACATTGATGCCATTGGGCGCGACCGTGATCAGCTCTCCAGGATCTCGTACGAGATATGGCCTCCTCTGCTTCCTAGATAGACCTACACTTCCCCTTCTATTTTGTAACCTGCAGGCGCTCTGGCCGATGACATGGCTGAGCTGGAGCTGGAGCTTGGAGCCCCTGCATCTTGGGCATCCTTCAGTAGCTGAAATGTTGGAAATAGCATCACTCTGTCGAATAGGGGGTCGGGATGAGGAAAAGGGGTGAATAGGGGGGGACAGAAGAAGATGTAGTCGAGGCTCAACTGAATACGGAGCAAACGTGACTAGCTGAGCCTCATTCTGCCTGGTCCGTTGTTGATCCGTTGCCTGAACTTGGTACCGTGAGTGGCGAAGCAAGATGACCGTTTTCAGGTCCGGAATCGCTGCGCCGCCTGCCGACCATGCTGACGGGGGTCGAGTTCACGTTTTCGTGAAGCCTCGAGTTCGACTTTTTGCACCTACATCCCCCGGGAAGAAAAACTACTAGGCGATGCTCAGGGGTGTCTTCCCAGCTCACGACAACATGGCCTTACACCTGCCAGGCCTCATCCCTAGCAACTGGAAGCTTCGATTAGGGCGGGTGCCCAGGCAACGGAGCTGGCTTCCCCAGCAAACCCCAGCCCAAACGAGAAGCCCCTACAAGCAAAGCACCGCTTGCTATACCTACCGTCCCCATGGGCAGTGCGGGCAGCAGCAGTCCTTCAGATAAGGGCACCTCTTCTAGAAGCCTTCTTCGGACCAGCCCCCCGTCCCCTTCCTCCCTATTTAGCTGGCATGTCATCAGGTTGACAGCCGCTTGTATCCCCCTTGCCGCGGCTCTACGCCTCGGCGAGATATTGATATGTCGCTGGCAAACCTGTGTACATGGAACAGAGCAGAACAGACAAGGTGCCTGTGCGCGGTTCCCGCGTTCCAATGTACCTGCCTCTGTCTCGTTATTGAGTGTTATTCCACTGCAACCAGAGGCTATAATTTACCCTCTCCCCCCCTTCCCCCTCTTCCCCCTTTACCCTTGGACCTTTGATTCCTTTCGCCCACCCACAGTCTCCTCAGCTTTTCCGTTAACACGCCGACAACTTCATTTTCTACTCAAGATCCCAAGACGCGGATGCAGCATCAAGATTTGGTTAATTGCGTGCTACACACTATCTCAGGTCGATCCCGAAGACTCACCTTCACGCATCGTCTCTCGTATCTTTCAGTCTAGCAGACTTCCCCTCCAAGGGGGCAATACTTATTCCAACACAAGATACATCTCGTACGCTCTCGTCATCACACACTCCCGACCTTGGTCCTCAAATCATCCTTCCTTCTGGACGGCGCTGCTGACAGTCATCTGAATAGATCTTTCCACCGGCGAGATATCATCAGCAATCCCCTGGATAGACTGGCCTTTCACCTCGGAAACACCATCGATCAGGCCCCGGATTGGCCTTCTAACCTGAGGGCAACATTAAGAAGCTATTCGGCCAACCATTAGCTCTAAGGAGATCGACACTAAATTTACCTTTCGCCCTAACGATACCATTAATAAATAAGCCTCAACCACGATGTCTAGACAGTGGCTAAAGTTGGTCCTGGAGCGCCTCCCAGGATTAACCTTTGGGTCTGTCGACGGGTTCCCTTCTGATTCCGTAAACCTTCTCTCTACCCTTTCCGCAGGAGAACGCGGCACAGGGATCACTCCAAGCCAGGCTCGAGATTTGATGAGAAACCGAGTCGAACTGCTCTTTCGCGTCTGTAATAGAAACGAGGACGTGTATCGACGTCTGCGCGGGGACCCCGCTTTCTATTACCTAGTCCTAGCAAGCTGGGACGCCGAGCACAACGAAGCCCCGTTCCCAGCCGGCTCGATCGAAAAGCTTGTGTCTCTCTTCGTCAGTGCTCGGCGGCATAACCTCGGAGGGGACGAGACGGGACCCGCCACGGCCCTCATGCGGGAAATCGACCGTTTTGCCGAGATGGCCGATGCCGTCGATTCCACCGTAGCGCCGCGGCGTCCCCCTTCGCTAACGGCTCCCACCGGCTTCAATGCCGCTCGCCTCTACGGCCGCGCCTGGCCCCCGGTGCACCTTAGCCCCCTTGAGGTTGCTGTCGTGGGTGAAGCGGTGACGCGCCGAAAGCTCTTCGGCATCGACCGCGAGCACAAGGGGCGCGACGACGACGAAAGCACCCCGTTGTATCCCAACGACCAGAACGGGCCCCTAGAGGGACGCGAGTACCTGTGCTGGCTGGTACTGACGGGGACCGGGCCGGCGTCCAGGGTGGGGCTATTCCCAGTGCCGGTCGCGTTCGCAGACGATGAGCGGCGGCGCGTGTGGTACCGGCCGATGGGCCACCAGTCGCGATTCTATGCGACGGTGGGCGAGTTCCTGGACTTCGCAGACGCCGCGATCAGCCGGCCTAGCGGGCTTAAAAGCTCGGCGAAGCGACACGCGATCTGCTTGCTAACGCCGTGGTTTTTCGACCGGGCGGAGCTCGCGGAACGGGCGTTGGAGCGCAGCGAGACACTGCCGACCGTGTGGCGCAAGACTTTTTTTCGCGCTGGTATGGCCCTCGTGCTGACCGACGTCGACGACGGCGAGTACCGCGCGGTGCTGTTCAAGCCGGGGCTACCCCACTACCCTGGCGCGGCGGAGCCGCTCTCACGACGGGCGAAGCAGGACGACTAGGTGTCGGACCTTCTAGGAAAGGTGGGCCAGAAGTTCACCGTCGTGGAGACTTGGACCGGCGGCCGAGCTCAGAACCACGTCCCCCCGCCGGCCGGCCCACGACGCACCGCGGCCGACTCCGTCGAAGCTTCGGCCGAGTTTATCACAGAAATCGTGGAGGACCCAGGATCGTGGAACGAGAAGCTTGAGGAAAGAGGCTTTGAACTGGTGGAGAAACCTACGGAAGAGCAGGGCACAGGTAGCCATATCCAGTGAGAACGTCCGTTATTCTATCTGTCACGTAGCTATCGGTAGGAGCTACGTATGCGAGAGCACGCGCGAGGAGCTATCTCACGAGCAACGGGAGGAGGAGCGAAGAGAAGGTGAAAAGGTCTTCGATCTATCTAAGAACGAGCTAAAGGAATGGAAGCAACGGGAGCGTATATATAGGAGCTCCTGTTGCTGAGGTAAGCAACGAAGAGGTGCAACCTCTACGTGACACTATCATGTTAGGGTTGGCGCTGTCGACGGGGTACCGCTTCGACCAGGCCTACGGATTTCTACTACCTACGTTACAGCCCAGGATTGATACCTGCCTATTACCGACTTCCCTCAGCAGCACGGCTAAAGGTGGCGACAATTCGGCAGAACACCGTCAGGGAATACAATGTGCGCTAGGATTCCAAACAGTTTTCGAGACGGACAGCTGTCGTCGTTCTGCCACCACCTCCAACCTGCTGGCTGCTCTCACGGAACCCACATCGGCGGCGCGGTCGACAAAGAATATTGCGTCAGCACCCAGACCTACGGCTGCTTACCACGCAGTGTCGGTCTACAATACGGAGAGGGCGGAGCGAGGCGTGTTAAGAACTTGTACCTAGAACAGCCTCCTTGGCAGCATTCTTACCAGCATACTTGGCCATCGAGGCCGCGTCCTAGCATATGGCGATTTTGGCGAGGGTGTGCTTCTTGGCTGGTTCCTTTCGTGGCTTCGCTGCCCTATTGAAGGCATACAAAGCGTATTGAAAGGTGAACCTGTTGTTGAATTGAAGGAATAGCTAGCTACTTGGAAACAGCTCGAATACAGCGTTTTGAGGTCAATTGACAGTTGTGCGTTTTCCCACAACCTGACCAATCACAGACCTCCGTCCTAGGTGCCTGATTGTTCAGGTGTCACAAGGGTGCTGCGACGGCTCAACGCCTCGAGTCTTACAGATGAGTCTAGTATAGATTAGATTCGCAGGTAGAACGTACGAGAACGATAGAGGAACTTCGGATCGGACGGCTCCTGTGGCGTCCTTGCGTAGACATACGTAAACAGTCCGTACACGGTGTCCGGCTGACGATCTCTGGGAGATTAGAGGTAGTTGTGTATAGGAACGGCTGCCGAAGGGAGCGCAAGGTGAGCATCCGTCGGCGAAGCAAGGGTGGTCATGTTAGGTACCAGGACCTGAGGGCTTCTCTCCCTTACTTTAGGTAGGTACTTTCCAATTTGAAGTTGGGCGCGCGGGTACCTGGCCTCTGGTTTCTTAGGCGTAGGGGATTCATCAAGATAGGTACCGCTACCTACCCAGGTACCTAGGAGGTACCTACCTGATAACCTTGCTTGCTCATGGTTTAGGTTTAGGTACTAGGAGGTACCTAGGTAGGTACCTGTAATACAGGCGAGGCGCTGGATGGGTGGAGTCGCCGTCGGTTATGTACCAAAGTAAACCCGGCCAAGGTGGGACATGTCCGTTGAATATTAGATAAGCCCGGAGGGGGTCGCCTCTTCTCTCTCTCTCTCTCACACATTTAAAACCCCCGCCCACTCTCCCTTCCTAATCCCCCTCCCCAACAACAGCTTACGACCTGTCAACAATAGAACACGCGCCCCTACATTCCGTATCCTCCACGAACCCGCCCTCTCTTCTCCTCCGTCTGCACTAAGCATGTTGAACGATTTTAGGGGTTTTGCCATGGAGACTCCTCGCGTTCAACTCTCCTCTCCTCATCGGCGTGACCTGCGTCGCCGCTCGACCGGATGACTTGTCATTCCTCACGGCCCTCGGGCTGATCTCCTTCGCTGGAGGTCAGGACAAAACGATGCAACCGCAACCGCCTACCCACCTGCGAGAATCCGAATCTAAGCGCTCTTGACGAGATCGTGCCGAGCGCTTAGGAAGCGAAACCAGTCGAGGGAAATGACTCAACCTGGATGCCGCAGGTCCGTTACCGTAACAGTGCTACCCCGTCGCCTTATGGCCGCGCAAGTACTTACGCGCTCTTGTTCTAGACGGGCCGCTTTGAGAGGTTTACCTCGCCGATCCTCATGGGCTAGTACTAGTACGTGACGCCGATATGCACGGCGGCTTGAAGCCTACGCCCGTTTCCTCCGTCTCCTCCGCTGCCGCGTCGTCCTAGGCAGGACGTTAAAAGGCCACAGTAGCGCGGGATTGTCGCATTTGACGGCGGGATCACCGGCGTACGGCTACCACGGAATGGACGACCATGACGATTTTTTTGGATGAATATTCGGTTTCCCAAATCCCTCATTCATAGACGGTAGATGGCGTTCGTCGTCATGTACGGTAGGCTACCTCCTCTCGCCCCTCGCTCCATCTTCTAACAGTAATTTGGTCCCAAGTCCCCCAACTTACGAACCGTGATAAGCAGGTCAACGATGAAAAGCACTCCTACGTTCGGTAAAGGTTCCATTGGGCACTATAGGATACGGCGGTGAACGATTTAGGTATCTGTCTGCATCGACGACGGTCTCGTATAGAAACGGTAAACGGAACGGCAACTGTATTCTCTATACTAGCAAGCGTTCGAGGCGTTGTTCAAGGTCTGGGTATGTGACACAGGCGCCGATATTGTGTGAGTTCCCTCTCTCGGAAGGCTATCAAGTAATTCGAGCTCGTGCTCACCATTTCCTAAGCAGCAAGATAGTCTCGATGAACGTCGTCCTAGGCAAGACGATAAACGGCCTGAGAATCATCCGGAGCTCATGATCCGGAGCGGTTATAGAGCTCGCAGAAAATCAACCTTTTCTCGACGAGCGCCGTCCTAGGCAAGACGATAAAGGGGCCCTGGAATGGACCGGATCTCATAATCCGGATGACCTATATTCGACCCGCTGAATTCCGCCGAAGAGCGGGCGACATCATTGCCACCCCGAACCTATAGTGCAAAACCTCGAGGCTATAGCTTGCGGTTTCCTATACGTGTTTGCGGGGTCGCCATATCCCAGACGGGGAAGATCGAAGACGACTACAGCCCACATGCCCAGCGAAGTCGTGGTGTTCTACTCAAGAGACCATCTCGGACCACAGCACCGTCCGGGATCGGATCACGGCGAGAAGCTGGAGCGACGATTGCGTGTATATCTGTACTCGCGTTTACAGTCTGTCCGGACGGCCCGCCATTGTGGCGTCCGTGGACCGGGACTTTTTTATATATTTTTATTTTTTATTTTACTTTGATGGGGCTAGGCGGCATGGAAAATTTTCATGCACCCCCGCCACGTCGCAACTTTGCTGCGGTTTTTTCGGAATCTGAAGTATCGGAATTCGAAGTGTTTTTCGCAATCGGGCTGACATTTACAACTGGGATGCGCGGAAGTTTTTAAACGGCATCTTGGCAGGGGACAGGTGGGTGTCGTCGTCAGGTAGGGCTTGGCTCGAACTCCCCACGACGCTCGCCTGTCCCCTGGTACCTCGAATGTTTGGGTTCTTTCTGAAGGAGATAAGCGCGATAGTAAGAGCGATATGCCAGAACCGAGGGGGCAGAAACTATGATGGAATCAAGAACCCCTCGGGGAACCGCGGCAGAAGCTACTTTGCTCCGGAGCCAGCATCTCGGACTCGGCCGAGGAGAACCCGTCCCACCCCGTTAAAAGAAGTATCGGTCTGCCCCCTTTGCGGCGGCATTTAGCCGGCGCGAAGCCTCCCGGGGGTGTGGGAACGAACATTTGTAGGAGCAGAAAAGGTCCGTCGCCTCAACCGGCCTCACTCTTTTGAGGGATTCCGGTCTGAAGGCGATACGCGACTTGGGGCTGGGCTGGTCGCGTCTCCTAGCAGACAGGATTTTGCGGGTTCGCCCGTGCTGTCTCATAAAGCCCCCGCCTCGATTGGAAACAAACGTGCAACGCGTCCGGGCCCCTTAATAAGGGGAGGGAGAAGTCTCGATAGATCCGCGCCAGATCGCGGTCGAGACGTGGCAGATCTACAATATAAAAAGGAGAGGGGGAGAAGAAGAAGAAGAAAAAGGGGCGCTACCTGGAACACAACATCGCTACCACAATACAGGTAGCGCCCCGGGTGGGAGGGGGAAGAAAAGAAAAGAAAAGGCAAAAAAATTTTGGAAAAAAGAAAACCCTCGACAACGGAGGCGGCTGGTGGGGGATCTCTGTCTAAGTGGGATGCTACTGGATTCTCTCAATGGCGTGTGTATGGCATGCGTTAGAATTGCTAGATAGCACGAATTCAAGCCAGACTTCGCCTCCAACCTTGTGCTGTGGTCACGGTTCTCGTGGCGGTGAACAATCCTGATTTCGTCTAACAAGTTAGGTAAGGGTTTTACGGTAGGTAAGTAGTCTATCAAGACTATAGTAGGTGACGAACGAGGCGTATGATGTCGGCGAGAACAGCTCGACTACTTCGTGGCTACGTTGCGACTAACTAGCAGGTACGATATTACTTAGTACTGCTAACGAACGGTATATACTGTGCATTCATATGCGAGTTGCTGCAAGGCGTGCGCGCCGCCATGTTGATACACAGTTCCCAATTTCCGGGAGTCCCACTCGTTGCTCTCCGGCTGGCTGGCCTGGCTTGGCTAGCCGCCGACTGGCCTTCCTCTCCCGGGTACGGGCTTATGCTAGATACAATTTCGACCGGACCTATTCCCCGCCACTCCGTGCCCCGAGAAAGGACGCCGAAAAGACACCAGCGGGACACAAGGGAGAGATAAAATTACAAGCACCTCTCTCTCTCTCTCTCTCTCTCTCTCTCTCTTGCAGCTAAGAGCGCGCGCGAGACACAAATCGCCGCCACCGCCGGCCTCCAGTGCACAATCTGACCTTTCCGACTCCTGGGCCCACCCCGGACACCGATGGGAGAAAGTAGCAAGGAGAGAATTAGAGAAAAGGCAAAAGCAAGTGCTTCCGCCCCGCCTGTCTGGCCCCGGGTGACGCCGTGTCGATACGAGGATCGGGGGTTAAGAGATGAAGGAAGGAAAGAGAGACGGGCGAGGGAGAGACGTAAAAAAAAAAAAAACGGGGCGGCCACGTCGCTTCGATAGCCAGCCGGCCGGCGAGCGGGCGCGCGTCGAGAGGCGGCTACTTAGTCGGGCTCACGGGGCCGCGCGTGAAGCTGCGTGTGTCGGGTCGCAGGTCAGCCGTGCTCTCGTGTTCTCGTGCGCGCGCGCCTCCGCCACGGGGATTGCGGCGCGCAGCAGTCCGTCTCTTCTGCTTCTTTCTCTCCCTCTCTCTCTCTCTCTCTCTGCTGCGCTCATCCGCGGAACGGCGGGGGGGGGGGGTGACTCACTCGTACCACATGCGGCCGAAGAAACCGGCCCGCGGCTTCTGGTCGTGCAGGCTGGCGCGGCGCGCGAGCGCAGCCGGGTCGCTGCCGCGCTTCTGGTTCACGAGCCCTTCGAAGGACGGGCCCGAGCTCTGCCGGCGCCGAGGGTTAGTCGGGGGGGGAGCGGGAATAGGTTGCGGAGGAGAGAGAAGGGGGAGAAGGGGGAGAAGGGGGGTGGCGGGGACGTACTCTTCGTCGGGAGGAGGTGCTCGACGAGGCGGTCGGCGAGCTGCCGGTCTTGGAGCTGTCCATGGTGGCGGGTGGTGGTGTTGGTCGATCTCTCGGTTCTCACAGCCGGAATGGTTGGTGTCTGGTACTACGCGCCCTCGTCTGATAGGTTATGTCTTAGACACGGCTCGCAGGACGGAGAATAGGTAGGGGCTCGCGGAAGATAGGTGTGTGTGTGCGTGTTGCGCGTGGACAAGACACACAAGGTGGGCGAGGAAAAAAGAGTGCGAAAGCCATGGAGGCGGGTGCGTGTTCGCTTTATATAGGTGCTGGGCCGGAGAGGTAGAGCGAGCTAGGCACGCGGACGATCCAATGGCAGACCGCGCGATCGCCAGCGCCCATCGCGGAAGCGGATTGATCGAACGGGACGTGTGGTGGAGGAGGAGTGAAGAGGAGAGGAGAGGAGGCATGGAGCTACATCGAATACTTACACCCGCCCGCCTAGCGTGCGTGGGAGGGGCGAATAGCAGACGGGGAACCACATTAATGAGTTGCCTACATCACAGCTTGAGCTTGATGACTTCACCAATGGGGTCGAGCCATCGGGGTGATCCCCGTCAGATCAGAGGAGGGATGAGGACGAGGACGAGGGAGGGGGACCGTTTACCTACCCCTCTGTCTATCTGCCTATCTGTCTGTCTCATGTACCCGGGTGAAAGACGGACACAAGACAGGCCATCAAGCCACCTCGGGGGGCTCTTGTGGACTGATATGAGCACATCTTTCATCTGCCCCAGACAAAGGAGAGGAGGGGGGGGAGTGTCATCTCCGACGCCCGGTGCTCGATGGACTACCGACCTACCTGGACCAGACACACGACAGTCTACTACGTAGCACCCAGCGTCCCCGACTTCCATCATCTCGTCACATAAGCGGGCCCGTCTCCATCTCACTAGATGCGCACGCATTCTCGGCCTCCCTGCCTACCTATCTCTCTCTGTCTCTCTCTCTCTCTCACCCACACATTCCTGCCCTCCCGATGTCTCAGTCACGCAATCAGGGCAGTGCGTGTAGGTACATACACACGCTGTCCAGCCCTCTACCCCGCAAAAGGAAAGGGGAAGAGACAGAAGAGAGGGGAGGGGGAGAGGGAGAGGGGTGACAAACGGCGACGACTAGCCTACATACCATAGGTACGTGGCGCCCGCCCGCGCACGCTACGCACAAGCATCGCGGCGAACTCCCGCGTGCGGCTGCCGAATCAGATCGTAGCGATCTTCGCTTACGCCCAAGGTAACGCCCGCATCGATCGTACCCTCTAGCTCTCTCCTCTGTACGTGTAGGTAGGTATATAGGTACACGTAAGAGGTAGGCCCGCGGCGTGTGGCATGAGCATGACACCACTCGGGAGCGTCTAGAAGGGACGCGCGCCCTGTCCGTCTCTTTGTCCGCGAGGCTGGGAGGGGAGAAGTGGCACCGGCGCGGTACACGTCTCGCCCGCCGGGGTCTCTGGTAGGGGTGGTGATGCAGCAGTGGGAACGAGAGGGGAACCCGGTTTCTCTTTCGGGTCTCGCGTATGTGTACACATACATATAGTGTATATACGTGACAGAGGTCAGGCCAGGGTAGGTGAGGCGAGGTGGTGGTGGATGCTTCGAGATTGGATGGGGACCTCCCTACCTATAGCCAAGGTACCTAGATAGGTCTGCCGTGTCAGTTCAACTTCGACGTACCATCCCGCAGAGGAGGTAAGATACCTATGTTGTCTGCTCCGCGCACAGTGTAGGGACACGCAAGCCCTCAAAGTACACGGGGAGACACGAGTCGTGCGAACATGTAGTAGCACGGAAAGGAACCGTACACTAGATCGAGACGAGGGGCTCTTTGTGAGGTCTCGAGTAAGGTAGGTAGAGGTCTGGTGGGGTTCGTGATCGGGGAGATTCCATCTGAGCTTGGCCGTCCGTCGGCATCGACCCGCTTTCCCCAGAATATCCCGGTTCCCGCCTGAATGACTCCAACAAAACAACCACTCGTTCAGAGGCATCGATGTAGTGGGCGTCTGTACGAGTATTTACATCGGCGCCATTAGAAACCTTCCCCAAAGTAGACCTACGCACATGAGGCAATCCTAGCACGTCAACAAGACACTCTCCAGTGGGCCTGGTACGCACGGGTATGGGTATCAGATAGTAGATTGGGCACACTATGCCTCCAGTAGACCTGTCACTTCTTTGTCTATGCGGACTGGGCAGGCATCGAACCACGCCGATCCAACCAATCCATCCACCCATGCACAGGGAACCCCTCCTCTACGGATGTGGCTATACGCAACGGACGCAAGCTACCCCATCGGCTCACCCCTTCTATCTGACGACTAGCCCAGTGCTTGGCTAGCCCCGGCGGTCCTGGTTGGCTTATTTACATCCATCTGTACCGTGGATGGGGTGGAGGGTAGGCGAAACAAAGCCTAGGCCCGCGACGTTAGCTGCCATCTCAAACGCGACAAGATAGTACAATTATCCCCCACGGCCTCTTCAGTTCTCCAAGGTGAAAGGTGAAAATCTCGTCATAAGAAATCCGACATGAATGCAGAAACAATATCATCCGCGAGGCTCCCGTCCGAACAGCAGAAAGAAAAACTCACCTTGGGCAACAGGTATCCAGTCACCAGACTACGCTATGCTAACATTACCTGGCGGGCGTCATGTTAGTGACGGCAGCTACCAAGAGCACCAGCGAGGGATGGGCAATGAGAAGCTATCAGGCTACGGGATCAAGTTAGCTTTGATTACGGTGAGTCAGTTGAGCGACAACCCTGCGCACGTACCTCATTAAATCAGATTTTTTTACCACATCATATCCGTGCCCATTGGACAGGATCAAACAGTGTGAATAGTAATGATCATCATCTAGCGATGAAGCCACCCGAGGCGAACGAAGACGGAATAATACCTGCGAGGCCGTGCTGTTAGCCATCGGTGTTGCAGCAATCTGGTAGGAATCAGACATCAAGGTCGACAAGACGCAATCAGATGACGAATTCTCAACAAGAATCCCCCGTGGACCTTCTCCCACAAGGCTTGTACGGCCTTGCTTAGAACGAGACAAGGCACGGGGGTTCGATTATGTCCGCCCGTTCGTTCAAGATATCCTCATATGGACCCGACATGGAGGGGAGGGAGCGCGGCTTGGGGGGGTTATGTATGTACCTGACGGAGCCCAAGAGTTAGCAACAGATACACCGATCTAGCGACAGGCAAGCCGAGTAAATGGTGAGGGTCAGACAAGGCTGAAACTAAACAAAATCTACATGGTATGATTCGGAATGAGGAATTCCCTAGATTTGTCGATTTCTTCATCACTCCTCCCTTTTATCCCTTCTTTTTTTTCGGCTGCTATCGACCTAGAAGCCCTAGCTTCATTGGGATCGGAAGATAGAAGACAACGCGGGAGACAGCGTACCTTTTGGAATAGAGAAGAATATACATGCGTATATATATGTATATATAGGCACTAGCAGTCACCAAGATCGTCAAGGCAAAAAAATATCTTTCCTGTTTCTGCCTCGTGTTAGCCATCTCCACCAAGCCCGTGATCCGAGAAAAAGGGCGGGTTAGGAATTGCTCAGTGTAATTCTAGAGACTATGATCCCCATTGTGTTGTAAGAATTGGATTGTTCGAAATTTCTTCGTCACAGCTACAAGACGAGACGCGAAGCGCGCGTCCGGGGAGGCGGGCAACTTACCTACATCGATCCATTCCGGTCCTGGCGACTCGGGGCCAGGCTGCACTGGCTGCCTAGGGGTCCGTAGGACGCGAGAGAGGGGGAAGAAACGCGACCGCTGCGACCGTAAGGCGCAGCGACGGCGAGGCCTCTAGGCTTCCGCAGCGACGGGAGAGCAGAGGACCAGTCAGGGAGGAAGATGTGGTTGGGTTGGGAGAAACGTGAGGGGGACGCGAGATGAAGCGAAAAAAAAAAGAGGGAAAAAAAGGTGAAATGGAAAAACTGGTGGGGCACAAACAATAGGCGCTTAGGAGAATTGGCCTCGGAAATTCGGGTCTAAAAGTGCACCTGCAGCCAACAGCTGGCAAAGCCCGGCGCGAACCACAGAATCGACGAAACACGGAGACGTGGCGATGTGACTCCGCACCGCTGCGCCACTCCCTCCCGCTTATGTAACCGGCCTATCTTATCGGCCTACGTAGGTTAATAAGGTCCCATCAAGCCCGACGCTTTCGCTTCACTCACTCTCTCTCTTTCTTCCTCACCGACCCCCCTCTCCCGTCCCCGTTAGATCCGAGCAACGAACAGCAAACCGACCATCGCCTCACCCTCACCATCCCGCCCGCGCAGAAGCGGACAGACACCATGCCCGCCACGCTAGGTGGCGTATGGGCGCCCGCCGCGCTGCGGGCCGTCCGTACCGCCGCCTACAAGGCGAGCAAGATGCTCCGGGCCAAGCTGGCTGCCGCCGCCGCCCGCCCCGTCGAGCACGTTGCCCTCGAGCCCGTTCTCGCCCGCGGCTCCCGCCAGCCGATCCACCCCTCCGCGCTCGTGCGCCAGCAGAAGTCCCGGCGGTGGTACTCGTCCACCTCCGCCGCTGCCGCCAGGGTCGCCTCTGGCCCCGCCAAGTCCACCTCCTACTATCAGCACATCAACGCGGCCATCCGCCGCCTCATGAGCACGGGCAGCCTCGCCCCTAGCATCGACCGATGCGCCTTCCGCACGGTGACTCGCACCGGCCGCGCCATCGCCCAGTCCGCCGGCCGCTCCCCCTGGGCCACGACGCTGCGCCCGAACCTGACCGGTGGTGCGCTACCCCGGTCCGCCAGCGGGTACGGCCTCGGCTCTGGCCGCCTCGGCGGTGTGCGCTACTTCTCGCACGGCCCCGCCTCCCCCGCCGAGGTCATCCAGAGCGTGTCCGCTGCCGCCCGCGCCTTCTGGATCTCGGGGCAGCGCGCCCAGTTCGACGGCCTCACCCCCCGCGGTGACCCCAAGTACCGCGCCGTCTCCGTCCTCGAGGACGAGGCCACCCGCGCCATGGCTGCCGTGCCTCGCAGCGCCCCCGGTGCCTTCGTCGACTTCCGCCTGAGCCCGACCGTCACCGCCCTGAGCCCTCTCGCCGCTGCCTTCCCCTTCTCGTCCTCTGCCAAGGCCGCCGGCGCCGTCTCCAAGACGACCCCCGCCTTCACCTTCGATGACGCCTCCACCCTCAACACCGAGGGCTTCATCGACGTCCTATCCATCGACTTCGCCCGCGCACTGCGTGACCTCACGGCAACGCTGGCCGACGTCAAGAAGCTGGCCGACCTCGGCGACTTGCCGGTGCGCCTCGAGAAGGGCGGCGCCGTGCTGCGGGTCCGGTTCCCCGGCGTCGACGCGGCCACCGTCGAGGCGCTGTGCGACGACCTCGGGCTTACACGCGGCATCGTTGGCGAGGACCCGGAGTTTGCGGACGACGTAGCTGTCGCGGTCGCGCTCCAGTTCCCCTTCGCGCCCACTGCTACCGCGCTGAGCTACGGGGAGGACGACGGCGACGGCGGCGGCTTCTCGCTGCGGTCCCGCCGCGGCCTCCCCGAGGGCTTCAGCTTGCTAGCCGACGAGGAGAACCCGTGGCTGTCGTCCCCGGACCTCGAAGGCTACGAGACCATGCCACCGTCGGCGCTCAGTTCCGGCGAGCATTGTTCTGAGGACTTCGACGGCCTCGAGGGCATATACCACTTCCTCGAGGAGTGCGACCGCGCCCAGAAGCGATTCTAAGAAGAGCGTGGCGGCCCCCCAAGCCTTCGGTACCGCCGAGAAGCAACGACAACGACTGAACGAACGAACGACGGAATAAGCGTAAATTGATATCAAGTAGGGCGAGTGATGTTTTAGGATGGCACAGGTACTTGTTTAATCGAGATTGATATGGGAATTGGGAGAGGGGGAGGGAAGGAAAGGAAACTGCACTCACTGCATCGATCTGTCCACTAGAACAGCACTTACTACGCACCTACGTAGGTAGTGTTTCTCCGGACCACCACTATAGTACGGCGGCCGCTCTACTCTACTCCGAACGTAGGGTCTAGCTGGCTCCTACACGGGATTTTCTATGTCTACAGTATTACGAATAAATCCAAAGCAATCACCAAAGAGGAGAGGAGAGCTAGTGTAGTCTTGCCATGCCAAACCGTGACGATGCCAAGGCGGGTGAAGGAAATGGGTATCTCTTAGAATTGCGTGCGCGCCTTAACTAGGCGAGCCAGCCCAAGAACGCAAATGACCCAGGACCGTGTAGACCACCCTTCCTGAATTATCCCAGCGCGCAGGTCTCATAAGCACAAGTGCGCCGGGGCCACACAAGACGTGGCGACGAAGAAGAGGAAGAGGAAGAAGCAGCAGCAGTAACCGCGGCCTCCAGCTCAGTCCTCGAACCTCGTCCTCCGCTTCCCGGGGGCGGGCCGGGGGACGCCGCTGCCCTGCGACGACACGGAGCCCTGGTGGGGATTCGAAGAGCCAGCGTCGGGGGCGGGGGCGATCTCAGCGGAAGCGACGAACTCGACGGCGGCGCCGCGGGGGCGGGCGCGGGCGCGGGCGTGGCGGAGGGGCTCGTAGTAGGCCCAGGGGGGGAAGGCGGCGGCGGGGTCGGCGGGGGCGCGGCCGAGGCCGAGGTCGGGGGCGAGGGCGGCGCGGTACTGGGCGGCGGGGGCGGCGGCGCCGGCGAAGGCGAGCAGCTTGTCGGTCTGGGCGGGGTTGCGCTGGGCGGCCATCCGCGCCACGCGCTCGTTGAAGTGGGTGCCGCCGCGCTTCAGCGCCAGGAAGCGCTCCATCTTGGCCGTCGTCGCCGCCGCCGCCGCCGCCGCGCCCCCCGGCTCCCCCGGCGCGTCCGTGTTCGGCACCGCCGGCAGCGTCAGGTCCCGCACCAGCGCCCGCGTCGCCGAGTACGGCGATCCCGGCGGCAGCGCGAGCACGCCGCTCCCCCGGACACTCCCCGCCTCCTCGTCGTCGTCGTCCATCGGCGCTTCCTCCAGCGGCGGGAAGCTAGATCCCGCACCGGCCAAGCTGATGGGGCCGATCTGCGGCCCGATCATGGGCGCGCCGCGCGGCTCGGCTTGCTGCTTCGGCGGCGTGGCGGAAGCAGTTGGGACGCTGGGTTTGGCGGGAGATGCTGTAGGCTTGTTAGGACGGCGCGTGGGGCGTATGTATGTAGAGGAAACCGATGAAGAAAATAAAAGAAAGACCTACTTGACTTGTCTTTCGTAGTAATGGCGGGGCTGAGGGGGGTATGGGCAGGGGTAGGGCCCGCGGTAGTATCTTGAGTTGACTTCAGTGACTGGTCTCGGTAGTAGTCAGTGCTGTCCGGTGCCTACCAGTTCTGATTCCATCGGCACACTTCTCGCCGCATGCTGTCATACCTTTGATTGTTGCTGTGGCGGAACCTCTTCCTCGTCGCTGCTACTCTCGTAGGCCACGAGACCAGCCATGCTTGTTTTCGCGGCGTGGTTGGAGTTTTGCGAAACGGAAGACGGGGTTCAAGAAGAGATTATTGGCAAGGTATGAAATTGACGTGACTTGACCGACGCAGCGGAGTTGTAGATAACCAGGGTGCTCAAGCGTGTATGAATACCTTAGGATGGCGAGTTCGACGTAAATAGCGAGTAACTTCTAGGTTGTAGGTGTTTATATCGTGTTAGGGGAGTAATGCTATACGGTATACCCATGCATACTGGCACGGAGCCAATCAGATGCGAGAATTTTGGCGGGCAGCAGGCCGGCACTCGACAGCAGCTGCAGCTGGCTGACAGAACCTGAAGGCGGGTCCCTTGTACCTAACATACCAGGTACCACGATACATACCTTGGCACCTTAGGCACCTAGGTACCCGGTGGCCTACGATACTTACCGCAGGTACTTATCTAGGTAGGTACGTAGCGGGCTTGAGTTGGTGGGAAGGCAGAACTGACGCGCAGCTCACTCCAAGCTCGCAACTTCCATAGAGACCACCTGGGAAGCTGCCACATCGAAAACCAGCACGACTTCGATCGGTCTGGCCCGTCTCCGTCGTCCATTCTCAACTTCCTCACCACCCCTATCGATACCGGCCAAATCCCACCGCACGGCCAAAGCCCGACGAGCCCATTCCGAAGCCCGGTTGTCGCCTCGAACGATCCCTCCCGGAATCCCACCCTTCCCGCTGCCCACCGTCCGTCCTCCCTCGCTCTCTAATACAAGATGGATCACCGACCGCAAGCTTGGGGCCGTGTAAGCCAGCCAGCCCACCCGGCTCCCTCTAATTTCCCTGCAAGACAGCAGCAGCAGAGGTGCTAACCAGCAACTGCCCGCGCATACAGCCCAGAGACGACGTCTACGGCGCCTACGATGCCTCCTACGTGCGGCCCAACCAACATACCCAGAGCCCCATCGTAACGGGAACGTCCGTGGTGGCCATGAAGTTCAAGGACGGCGTCGTCATGGCTGCCGATAACCTCGGTACGCATTCTCCGTCTACGATAGCCACCGTGTCTCTCTCCCCGCCCATCGCTTCCTGTTCTATCGTGCTGTGACGAAGCGTGCGCTAACCTGCCCCTCCCCCTCCCCCTCCTTCCTACGACAGCCTCCTACGGCTCCCTGGCGCGCTTCACCGACGTCAAGCGCATCCGCACCTTCGCCGACACCTCGATCGTGGGCTTCGGCGGCGACGTGTCCGACATGCAGTACCTCGACCGGCACCTGACGGAGCTCAGCATCGACGAGGCGTACCAGTCGTCGTCGGCGCAGCAGCGCCCGGGGCTCAACGCCCGCAGCCTGCACAAGTACCTCTCGAAGCTGCTCTACCACCGCCGCTCCAAATTCGACCCGCTGTGGAACCACTTGCTGGTCGCCGGGCTCGACGACGAGGACAAGCCCTTCCTCGCCGCCGCCGACCTGCGCGGCACCACCTTCACCTCGCCCTCCCTCGCCACCGGCTACGGCTCCATGCTCGCCCAGCCCATCATGCGCCGCCACGTCCCCGACGAGGCCAGCGTCGCCTCCGTCTCCCGCGACCAGGCCGTCGCCGTCATCCGCGAGTGCATGAAGGTCCTCTTCTACCGCGACGCCCGCTCCCACGACACCTACTCCCTCGCCGTCATCACCAAGGACGGCATCGAGCTCAGCGAGGCCGAGAAGCTCGAGCAGCAGAGCTGGGCCTTCGCCGACCGCATCAAGGGCTACGGCACGCAGACCGTATAAGGCAGACAGACGGGTGGGGGTCGGCGGCGCAGGCGGAAGCCCGCGTATAGGTTTACACGTCGCCGGGTATGTGTGGTCTGTCGCTGCCCGGTCTGCCCGAAGGAGGGCGTGTCTTCCCGGGGCGGGGCGAGGTAGAGCTAAACATCCGGCACCGGTCGTCGTCTCCGGTCGAGACTAGACAAGGCGGCAGCAATCTAGGTATCTAGGTATTTAGGAGGAAACGGCACGGAGCAAGACTTGATGGAGCCTAGCGAAGGCAAACGGAGAGGGGAGAATAAAAATAAAATAACCGTAAAAATCCAAGGCAACTCGTATCGCTCCGTGCCCCGTGAGCCGATCGCGCTGCGAGGGCAAGATCCAAGTAGGACGAGGACGAGGATCCGGGTCTAGACACGCAACATCTATCCATCCACTCTCTACCCGTATCGAGGCCTCCCGCTTCTTTACTCCCTCTCATCCTCCTCCCCTCAGCACCCGACCCAAGGCACGCAGACGTGGGTATATCGGCTCCCGGGTGCCTTCTCTTTGCATGTGTACCTAGGTATATAAGAGTACTATAGACCCCTGTCGCTAGGCCTAGTACCCTGGCTACCTACCTCTTACCTCTCCTTAACCCACGGATACCGCGTTGACTTATCATCACGTTTTCAGGTCCCGAGTCGGCACCGCCAGTTACGATAACTCGTCACGTTGTACCCAGGCTAGAAACCCCCTCGGGGGGTGTGACTTGATTGCAGCGCTTTCCCCCATTCTCCTAAGGTCTTCGCTAATTTCCGGTGTGCTTTTATTAATTCCCGACACACAAGAGTCCCATAAGTGATAGAGAGCATGCTCAAATCCCTATTACTAGTGTAGACGTGGGGAGGGGAGTGAGAACGCTGGGAATCTCGTCTGTTAATCCGCTTTACATCCCTCCACGGTGCACGAGGGTGCCTTCGCACCAAAAGATACAGTGAGAAGATACATGGGGATCCGCCATCGTAGGAGAAGGGGCACCCAAAAAGGGGTGGGAAGGAGTTAGGAATCATCTCGCCTTCCTTTATGCCGTTCGTAATAACATTCATAATAACTTCCGTCCAGCGCTGTCATCTAAGAATTCAGCTGCCGTTTACAAAATGATGGCGCGCCGTCTCGTGTGTGGCCTAAATCCGACCATCCACCGGTGATATCATTTCGTAGCCAACTCCGTCGTCACGTCGCAAACCCGTCAGGTATAAGTGTAATCGTACAAACGTGCAAGCTTATTCGACAGTGACCGACTTGGCCAGGTTACGCGGGAAGTCGACGTTCAGCCCCTCCATAACGGCCAGCCAGTAGGCGATGAGCTGTAGAGGAATGACGTTCAGAATACCTTGCAGGCAGTCGACGGTCTTAGGCACCTCGATCTTCTGGGCCTGGCTAGCTTGGAATTCCTCGTCGCCAGGGTTGCAGATGACGATGGGCTTCCCGCCACGGGCAGCAACTATACGACCGGTTAGGGCCCATCCAAGCCGATCTACGAAACGAGAGGGGGGGCCGTGTCACGTACCTTGTTGATAAGCGTTGAGCGACTTCTTGAAGAGGTCGTCGCGGGTCAGGATCATGATGATGGGCAGGTTCTCGTCAACCAGAGCCAATACGCCGTGCTTCAGTTCACCGGACATGACAGCTTCGCAGTGAAGGTAGGAAATTTCCTTGATCTTCAGAGCGCCCTCGAGAGCAGTCGAGTATTGGCTGCCACGTCCTAGTAGTAACAGAGACTTCTGGTTCTGGAACGTCTTCGCGCAAAGCTCTTTGATAGACTGATCCTGTGTCAATATGTCCTTGATCTGGCCGGAGATGTTCGAGAGACCCTCGATGATCTCCTCGCGCCTCTTTTGCTTGGACGCCCGATCCTCGCTAAGAGATAGAGCAAACATAACCATAGCAACAAATTGCGACGTGTACGCCTTGGTGGAGGCGACACCAATTTCCGGGCCGGCATTAACGTGGACACCGCAGTGCGTGAGGAGGGAGATGGACGAGCCGACAACATTAACAATGCCCACAGTCAGAGCCCCACGCTCGAGGCAATACTTAAGGGCCATCAGCGAGTCAGCCGTCTCGCCGGATTGCGAAACGAACACACATGTGTCGTCACGGAAAACGGGCGCCTCCCTGTCCAGGAAGTCGGAGGCTAGCTCGACGGCGATGGGTATCTCTGCAAGCTCCTCGAAAATGCCTCGAACAGCCATACAAGAGTGGTAGCTCGTGCCGCAAGCGATGAAGATGATGCGCCGGCACCGACGGATGGTGGCGATATACGACCTCAACCCGCCGAGCGTAACGCTCTTGTTCTCGACATCCAGACGACCTCTCATCGTGTTCACGACGGACTCGGGCTGCTCAAAAATCTCCTTCTGCATAAAGTGGTCGAACTTTCCCTTCATAATCTCCTGAAGTTCGAGCTCCAAGGTTTGGATGTTACGGACATTTGAGCTGCCATCGGCCTTCTTGAGACGATGAATGTTCAGCGAGCCCTCATGGATGTGGGCAATGTCGTCATCCTCAAGGTACATAACCTTCTTGGTATGCTCCACGATGGCAGAAGGATCCGAGGAGAGGAAGAACTCGGCAGGCATGGGCAAGCCATCGTCGGTCATGAACGCACGAGATTGCGAGCGGTGGAGGAGAGACTTGTCGGGAGCGCCAAGCAAGGAGTTCGGAGCCAGGAGCTTACCCGTCTGCTTCTTGAGGGCCACGTTTTGCGAGGCAGCCTCAGCCGGCAGGGCGCCGTTCTCTTCGGAGTACTCGACATCGACAAAGTCGACCTTCATGCGCTTCTGCGTCTTGACGCCAATGACGAGGGGCGAGCCCTTGCGAGCAGCAATAACCTCATGGGGGTAATGGACGGACTTGATCAACAAACCATAGGCGCCTTCGAGCTCGGTGATAACGGCCTTCGCGAGATCGACAAAGTCAATGCGGGGATGTTGGTCGTATAGATACTTTGCGAGCTTAGCGATGCACTCTGTATCGGTCTCGGTCTCGAACTTGAAGCCCTTAGCAGATAGGAGGGTCTTCAATTCCTTGTAATTAGTGATGATGCCGTTGTGGACGACAGAGAACTCCCACGTGGGGTCGGATCTAGAAAAGACGGGTCGAGTTAGCAACGAGGGTTCGTAAGCCCTACTATGGGGGAAGGGGAGGTATTGGGGAGGTAATTACCGGTGGGGATGGCAGTTCAGCCGAGAGGGAGGGCCGTGAGTTGCCCACCGAGTATGTGCGATACCGGCATGTGAATCGAAAACCTTGGTGAGGTCTGGTTTGGACTCCTCGATGAGCTGCTTGAGCTTGGCGACCTTGCCGACCTCCTTGAAGGCCAGAACCTCGTTTTTCTTGTCGCCATCAACTGCCAGACCAGCCGAATCATACCCGCGGTACTCAAGACGAGAGAGACCTGCATGGCAAGGGAACCCCCCCCAAAAGTTAGCATCCACTGCGTTTACGTTGCGTTTTTTCATATCGTGCTGTTTGGGTAGTTTTGGTTTGACCCCGGATACCCATCTCGAGAGCCACAGGCTGCAGGTTACGGGAAGCGGAGGACGGGTCGTGACAGGTGGGCTTTCTGGCGTGTCTCACCGTTCACGAGCGTGTCGAGAATGAACTTCCGATCCTTCTCGACCAGGTAGTTGATGTAGCCGAAGATCCCACTATCAAACCAGAATTAGCACAGAGTAGACCAGGATAAAACCCAGCATCTCTTCACGCAAAGCTCCATGCTGTGCCTTGACAGAGCGGCAGGAGAGGCATGGGGCGCTCCTAGGACTGTTACGTACCACATTGTGTCTGATGGCGAGTTCGCGCCGGTGTAGCCAAATAAGAATAGATGAATGGCACCTCTCTAGCCGTATTGTCTAGCCGTGGCGGAGTGGCGACGGGATCTCGAGGGTATCAAGAAGGAAAACGAAAGTGAGTGGCGGTGAGTTTGGCGGGGGATGGCCGGTCAGACGGACACGATGGGGGAGGAAGGGCGAGAGGAGCCGAATCGTAGTAGTCGTAATAGTCGCGGTGGTCGTAGAAGCAAAGGCAAGGAGGGCGGAGGGAGTGACAGACAGACAGACAGACAGGCTTTCCGATAAAGGACGAGGTTTGGAAGTTGGCAGGTAAGGGGGAGGAGGGGGGGGAGTTGGTCGAGCCGGGATGAAGGGGCTTTATAAGTAGTGCTGGATAGACCTGACTTGTTATGGATGGCTTGTTTGTGAGGAAGGGGAAAATATGCCGGCTGGCTTGGTGCTTGTTTTTGGCACTGGCTTTGCTGGCTTAGGCTTTTAGACTCGATTCCATGGATGTTGGGATTTGCTACCAGGTCCAGCTGGTTGAGGCAGCACGTCGAAGGAGGCGTGTATTGATGGATATGGGATGTATATAAGTTGGATGGATGTGTGCGTGTGTCTCCAGGTTCGTTGTAGGGTACAAGCAACCAGCCTATAGAGGTACTCGGGGAACCTGTAGTTGCACCATCGGAGCACCAGAGTCTTAGCAGCGGAGGGGTACCTGGCCTAGGCGCGTACGTGTGTGTAGACTACCTACGTAGTACATTCTCGGCCTGCGGGCCAGATGGCTCGGCAGAGTATTACGTGGTATAGGCCGGTACCGTCTCGTCACCCACCCACTTAGACCAGATAGTAGCATGCCTTTGAATACCTGTCCTGTCACCGCCGCCGCCGCCGCCGCCCACTATCGCCACCACCTACGGCCACTACCTACGTACCTACCTAGGTAAGCTACCCTGCGTCGGTTGGTGGGGGGGGCTACCAAGGTATGTACCTGATTGGGAGGAGGGGGGGGGGGATGATGTTATCGGGCATGTGCCTCTCCCCATTGCTCGGGTAATACTAGACCATGTTACTTGAGGTACTGCACAAGTGTCCACTCCACCTGTAATTCCAGAGCGGGGAACCTCTAAGGTACATACATTTCCGTAGCCTACTCGCCCTCTCGGGCCTTACGTACACGTATACACATGGCAAGTACCTATCTACCCACCTAGGTGCCCTTACCTAGTCTATGGATGGGCTGGTGGGCGGGCAGGTATCTACCTACCTACCTACCTACCTAGGTAAGTACCTACCTAGGTACCTAGGGATCCGTCTACCCCGACAGCCCACTTGGAAAGTGCAAAGCTAGGTGGGCCGCCACTGACGCTAACAAACACCTAGCCTGGCAACACCCTGCACCTACCCGGGGGTGCCTACACCTATCTATTACTAAGTACCTACCTAACATCGACGGCCTCCCTCAACATCCTACACCTGCCCCCAGACACCGACTCGTCATGTCTATCCCGTATGCGCTACGTAGAATGTATTTTATTGTTATCCTCTGGTTATTTTATTCCTTTGCGAGGCCCAGCCCATCCTCATCTCCATCTTCATATGCGTCTCCCCCTTCTCTGTCCCTCTCTCTCTCTCGCGCATCTTCATCGCATTCGGTGGCATTTTCTCACCGTTGTACGCATACGCATACGCATACTTAATAACACGAGTCCCCCCCCCGGCAGCATAAATCCCAACTAGCCAAGTTAAGCACCGTAAGCCAGGCCTGGCCCTGTCTCTGGCTCTTCTATTTGCTGCAAATGCGGGATCCAGTCGACCAGCCCTTGTTTGAGATTCTTCGTCTCCCATCAACATGTGTTTCTGTCTTTGTGCTGCTTCCAATCCCCCCAAGGTCCTGGCCAATCGTTATCCCAGCCCTATGCACCGTGCCGAATCTCTCTTTCATCGTGTGGCCAATACTTCCGGCTCGCTAATACGACAAACAAATCAGGTCGGCCGTCCTACGACGGAAGGCCGTACATTCAATATCCGGCTGAGACCGCGATATTCTTTACCCACCCCGCCAACTCGCCCTATGTACGCACATACCTGCATGCCAAAACAGCTGTTACGAGAAATGCTGTCCGAAATCGTGTAGGTACCTATTTTTCCGCGCGGCATATTTTTCAACTGGTCTGGCCCCTCGCCTTACGCGCTTTGCTACCGTCTCCTTCTCTCGTAAAGCGACATTGCGGTAGATCGTACGCGACAAACCCGAACAAATCCGTGGGCTAAGCTGATACTACCAGCCCCCAAGCCACCACCCGATGGAGTGTCAACGCCATTCATTGGTGTCTTCGTGTTGAGTGAAGATCGATTGGCGCCGTGCAGGGCTACCTTGCCGCTCGCCGGATTATCCTAGCTGCGGCCCCTTTATTTTTGGGGCTGTACCTGAGCTCGACCCGCTTAGGAGAACATATGAGGCTTGGCCCAGGCTGACCAGAATACTACCCTCCACCCCAAGCTTCTTGGTGAGCCGTGTAGGAAATCCCGATAGTTATCAGAAACAGGTCAACATCCGAACACGACCTTCTCTGACGACATATTGAAAAGGGGGGCCAACAGCGTAACGATAATGACACGTATTTAGTTGCTGTGTCGAGACCCCCCTTTTCCCGTCCTACTTACTCCCTGTTCACCTTTCGGGTATGACAGAGGAACGAGGGACAACACGAGAGAGAGGCAGTACCACTGAAATTTTCGTAGCAAGTCTTCCGCGGCTCAAAACACAAATTCAACCGGCAACCGTCCAGGTTAGATCGAACCCCGATCAATTCATGCGTCACCACCATCCTACGTAAATATGGTCAACAAAGCCTCTCGGAGCGGCTGAGCTTTACGTGTAGTTCTGTCTAGTGGGGCGGCTTATGATCAACGAAGCCATCTTTTTTCTTGAAGGCAACAAAAAGAACGTCTTGATCTTCTCGATCCTTGAAAGGATCCAACGTTCAAGACTCATCAGCGTCGGCATTTCTTTGCCGTTAATTTTTCAAGTCGACGGAGCATTGGTGTCGATCCCGAGGACTCGGAAACGCTTTCGTCGCGGACGGCAGCCTCCGTTTCTGCTAGTAGATGTCTGCAATGCTATCAAACTTTAAACTGCTGCTCGACGTAGAAGAGAGCGCCTACCGGAGCACCGGCACATATCACATCACCGTTCGTCGACAGGTACCTACTAGAATACTCGTACGTACATTAGGTAGCTAACGACTCACGGCCGAGCCAAGTTGCCTAAGAATAGCAGCAGTGCGGTCCACCCAACGGGGACCCTTGCGAGGCCGTGAGTCGGTCACCAATCCATTGCAGGCTTGCCGGCAAACCCGTCCTCGTTTCTGATGTCAGACCAACAGGGGAGGGGAAGAGGCCTGCAGTCACGTCCGGAGGTGGTCGAGTGCAACTCTACCTAAGGGGTATCACACGTGGAAATACGTACACGCAGAGGCGTATCGTTTGATACAATACGCAGGAAACTTCGCCGTGGGTAACATCGAGTAACTGACCTCGAGTGCCTGTTGCCTCGGGCCATTTCTCGTGACCAGAGAATGAAGCTTAATACAGCCTGGCAATGTGCGACGAGTTCCTACGTGCTAGCCAGATGCAAGACGCGCCTAACTAGCTTGCGGAGGCTGGTCTTTAGGGGCTCTCGGCCTCTCAAAGCAAGTCGCTGCTGGAGGTAGCTACCTGCTGCTTCGTCAGGACGGCCTTGGGCGGGTGTTAAGGTCATCCCTTATTGTGCCGACATGCACAGCCATCGTCTACAGTCCTACTCGAAGTCTTCCAAGTGCCGGCTCGCACTATTTTCGGCTTGGGAGCCGAAGTCGACGTCATCACGAAGACTAGCCGCCCTTTGCGGAACTGTGCTCGACCGATTGATAGCGTGGCCACTAAAGCAAAAGGCGAAAGGAAGCGTTTGACGCTTTTCACTGTGGTAGTACTGCATCGCCTCATCTATAGCTGTGAGAATAACTGCCTCAGACCACAAAAACATGAACTAGGAACCCAGCTGGGGGTATACTCAGTATACAGTGGTATGGCGAATATGCCGCGCCCTTTGCTGGATATCTTTGGTCTCTACGTGCCAATCTCCTTACCTACCTGACAACACTACTACCGCTATCACACCATGTATAGTTAGGGGGGGCCGCCCTGTCCAAGTCCATTCCCTCCAGGTATGCGCGCCATGCTCATGGGAGAGACGGGAGGCCAAGATGGCCAATTGATGAACAGGGGGATCTTTGCTTCCTGCCTTACTTATCTACCTATATCTGATACGCATCTTGCCAGGCTACCGATCCCACGCACACAGCTACTATACCTACTAGCCTACTACTCGCCTCCTCAGCCCTACGATCCTCGGCGGAGGCTGGGAAGGCCCATACGACGGGGGTGCACACATGAGTACTCCCGCTCTCGCATTAACTGCCCAGCATAGGACGGCTCGGCCTCGTCAGCATACCTCCCTCTTTATAACCCACCTCGGCGCGCTACCGCATAGCACATGTTGGCGGTCTATAGTATAAGGTTTACATAGGCAGGTACGTACGGAACAGGCAGCCGCCATAAACCCTCCCCCCCGGGACACACCCGGCGGGGTGCGGCTGAACGCGCAGGCTATAACTATATTTTTTTATAGAAACGAGACGGCAACCCGGGCGACGACGGGGGCGCAAGACGTGTACACCCCGGAGCCCAGCTCGACCCGCTGCCCAGCTACGCCACCCGGCTAGCTTCTTCTGCGCGAGCGCGAGAGAGCGCCTAACCGGCTGGCTGGACGCCGAGGATCCGGGTTGGCAGAATCCAAGGGGGGCAGGGAGGGGGGGGTCAGCTAAGGAAGAGCCCAGGTACGGGGCCTCGCGCGGTCGGTCTGGCGTCGAAGGATGGCGCGAAGCACCTATAGGTTGTGCGCCTCTGCTCGCGGGACGTAGGACTCTCTCGGCTCGTCGCGTTGGCGCAGACGACCGCGGCTGCGCCTTCGCACGCATCGCGCATAGGACTCCCCACACGGGTATCTTGGCCCGTTTATGCTAGGTCTGGCGAGCAGATGGTACTAGGGCATCGTTGTATGCGCCGCGCTGCTGCTGCTAACGGCTTACACGCCGAGCGCCCGGGAGGGTCGCGGCTTGTGCGAGTGGGCATATGACATACAGCACTATGCCACCCCTCTTTCTTGGGTGAGGGTCTAGCTCTCTGGCTGCCTGGCTGTCCCTCGGATGCGGTACGCAGGCACAGAGAGGCGCCGCAAGGGTATCAGCCTGCCTCCTCGGCGCTGCTGTTGCGTAAGTGCGCGTGTAGATGTGCTGCGTGAGGGCCTGCTTTGCTTGCCTGCCCGGGCGCCTAAGCTATACCTACTATATGCTGCTTATTCCGTTCCCGTCTATCTGCTCCCTCAAGACCGGACGCGAGCCGTTCGACTTGCATGGCACACGCCCGAGACGGCTCTACGGATAAGGGTAAGTATAGGTGCGTAGAGATGTGTCGTCGCCGTCATCATCATCAGGGAGGGAGAGAGAAAAATGCGCCGTGTAGGAAGCTAGCTAGTTGCATATACCCGCCTGTACAAACGCAACACGTACGCACATGTTCGGGCCCGACCCCATAGACCCTCTTGTTCCGAGTATACACGCGAGACCCCGTCCGCGCCTGCGTGCCGGCGGGCCCTGATCCGGGCTCGTCCGTACACGGGAACGCGACAAAACGTCCTCCCTCTCGTGATCTAGCTTGACTATCCCCTCCTCTTGCCTCCTTAATCTTGCCGCCGCGCATGCGCGCTTTTATCCTCAGAACGGGCCTCAACTTTCGGTCCGACCATAAGAGTAACCCTTTTTATCCTCTTTTAGCTTTTATTTTCTCTCCCACTCCCCCCCCCTACCCCTACCCCCCTCTCTTCCTAAACTTCTCTGCGCGCCCTCCCCGGCTGAAGCCCGAGGGGGGAAATAGTGGTGTATGGGCCCGGTAGCAGAATCCCGGGATAGGGTTTCTAGCGCCTTCACTTCCCCTTTCCCCCGACACCGTCCGGCGGACGAACGGGGTAATAGACGAGACGAGGCGAGACGGGCTTAAGATACCGCAAGGTGTCGATCGCGCCGTGCCGCGTGGTGTTGCGTGGCGGCGCGCTCTCATACTTTTATATTGTGATTACTATTACGCCCCGCCCACTTCCCCTTCCTCGCCGCCATCACAGCTTCTGGTACTCCAGCTTGCCCTCCAGCTTCTTCGCCTCCGCCAGTTTGCGTACCGCCTTGTTGAAGTCGTCCTGGTTGACCGCGTCTCGGTACGCCTTGATGGCAAATAGGCCGCTAAGTGGGACATCGGATTAGCGTCCTGCAACGTGAACCGCGGGGTAATATGGCTTCGGGCATGGAGAAGGCAGAGAGGAGGAGGAGGAGGAGGAGAGGGGTATGGACTTACGCCTCCGTAACCACGTTCCGCAGATCGGCGCCGTTTAGCCCGTCGCTCATCTTGACGACGCTCTCGAAGTCGATGTCGCCCTCGGTAACGACGCTCTGGGCGTGGATCTTGAGGATCTCGAGGCGGCCGACCTCATTGGGGAGGGGGATTTCGATCTTGCGGTCGAGGCGGCCGGCGCGCAGCAGGGCCGGGTCGAGGGTGTCCGGGCGGTTGGTCGCCATGATGATCTTAGTCTTGCCGAGGTAGTCGAAGCCGTCGAGCTGGTTGAGCAGCTCCATCAGTGTGCGCTGGATCTCGCGGTCGGCGCTAGTGCCCTCTGAGAACCTGCGACCGCCGATCGCATCGATCTCGTCCATAAAGATAATGCACGGCTCGTGCTCCTTCGCGTACCCGAACATTTCGCGGATCAACCGCGCCGATTCGCCGATGTATTTGTCGACGATGGCGGATGAGACGACTGTTCGCGTAGAAGTGCGAAAAGAAATATTAGCTATGACGCCTATACCATGTCTGGGTTGGGAAGGATAAGAAGCGGGGCAGAGGGGAGGGGGGTTGGTCTTGACTCCGTCGGGTTGAGGAATGTATGTATTCGCACCTTTCAAGAAGTTCGTCTCCAGACTACTGGCTACGGCTCGCGCTAGAAGCGTCTTGCCCGTGCCGGGAGGACCATACAGAAGCACGCCCTTGGGCGGCTTGATGCCGACTCGCAGGAACAGTTCGGGGTTCTTAAGGGGGAGCTCGATTACCTCCCGTAGTTCGCGAATCTGGTCGTTGAGGCCGCCGATGCCGGCAAAGCTGACCTGGCCAGGGTCCTCGAGGGACATGTTGTAGACGAGAGGGTCGACTTCGCGCGGCAGCATCCGCATGATGGTCAGCGTCGTCATATCGAGCGCCACCCGGGTCCCTTGCTTCAGCTTCGCCTTGTCGACTTTCGATCTGCAGCCGACCACGTATCGAGGTCCGGAGGAAGCTTTGACAATGACTACGGCAGAGAGAACCAACGTTAGCAGAGGTACGCGGGAGAGTCATCCCCCCCTTCCCCTAGGAGGGAGGGGATGTAAGGGGGGGGGGTTGAGGGTAGAGCCTAGGGTGGTCTGCCGTGGCGGCGACGGGGTGCCTTACATCGCTCCTCATCTAGCTGCTTGAGCACCTCGCCGATGATCTGGCCGACGCTCTGCAGCGCCTTGATGTTCTCCTCGGTCTGGTTGAAATCCTTCTCCAGCCCCTTGATCTCCAGGCGCAAGGCCTTGAGCTTGGACTCCCATTCCCGCGACTCGATGAGCTTGGCCCGCAGGGCCTGGAGCGCGTGCTCCCGCTCTTGGTCGGCAGACATGCCTCTTAGAGAGATTGGGCGGCGGGGGGCGGATGCGTGAAAACGCCCGGGTCGAGAGAGAGAGATAGAAAGGGCTTTAGCGTGGTGGAGGGCGCCGGAGTAGAAGGCCGCGGCGTGTGGTGTCGTGCTGGCCGTGGGTGGGCGAGCTGGTGTGTCTGGGAAAGTTGGGAGGCGATGGAGCTTCGATGATGAAGTCGGCTCCAGCAGGCCGACTGCAAGCTGATGCGGCTTCTGTTTGCCTGGTCACACCTGGCAAGGACCGCTCCAACACCCGAGCTTCTGCCGGCCGTCACGTAATATACTGGATACATGCATGCATGGGGATGCTGGAGCAAGCAATATGCAAGAGATATGTAGGTATCGGGGGAGTTAAAGCATCAACTTCCTCACACTTCACAACTGCGTGTATATGTATGTACATCAGTGCTGCCAGCTCCTGGCGAATATGCTATTATTACAAGGTAGGTAGGTTATATAAATAACTAATACAATAACAAAATTGGCCATTCTATATAATACAGGGAGACTCTCCGCTAGGATAGAACGAACACCGGGTTTCTAGGCCGGGAATCCGCACCGATCTCCGGCCGGAGAGCCCGGACGAAGCGGATAGGCAGATAGATACAGCTCCGTTTGGCCCTCTGAAATGCTTGCTTAAGACTCTCTCACGAGAATGCAGCGCCGTGTAAAAACTATGCTTCTTGGGGGGTATAAGTTAGGTAAATCGTCATGGAGCAGCGTCCGAGGACTCCGTGCATGCTTGTGATAATAAGTATTAGCATGGCCCATCACCGAACCACTGCCGATGCGGACCAGCTCTCTCGCCAAAAAAAAAAAAAGAAAAGGAAAAACCCCTGAAGGTCTACCTCCCGGGCTTCCCAGGCGGAGCCTCGTAAGCATATACTCGTAACAAAAACAAAAAAAGCTTCAGACCCCCTTCTACGCGGTGCGGTGGCGCTGTTCGCTCGTCCAGTCGACCGTCATCTCCTCCCGCACCTTTCGGCACCACTGCCAGATTGCCGCTTCGAAGTTCACCCACACCTGGGGGTTGTTATTGTAAACCACACCCATAACGTCCACCTTCAGCATCACCTCCCATCGCAGCTCGGCGGCCTTGATCCAGTACCTCAGGTTGTCAGCGGACCGGTAGGGCTTTTGTGTGTCCGCGTGGAAGGTCCCGATGGCGCCGAACCGCCTCCGTGACTTTTTGACCGCTGAATTGTGGAGTTTGATGAGGCGAAGCCCGTTCTGCAGGCTCTCCAGGAACGGCGTCGGCAGCTGCGTTGCCTGGTTGGCGGGCGTCCACGGGGGCAGCGGCTCGGCCTCGGGATCGATCGAAGTGAGAAATGCGATCTCACGCTCGACGTCCCCTCCGGACCAGTCGCCTTTAAACCACGTCCAGCTCGCTCTCTCGGCACGTTCGGCCTTCTCGATCTCTTCCTCTTTCCTGAGCATGGATCGTATGCTGCTGATCCAGGAGGTCATCACGTTGCGCTCGTCATCCCTAGGGCCGCCAGCGAAATTTCTGGTCGCCATGTGCTTTAATACCTCCATGACGGACAGTAGCTCGGAGCGGATTTCCTTTTCGGGTTTGATCGAGTCCAACCGGTCCGGGTGCTCGTGCCCTGTGTAATATAGCTTCGCGGCACGGATAGCTAGCGTCATCACGTCGAGCAGCTGCACTCCTTGAACTTCGTGCCATGATTGCGGCGATTTGCCTCCTTGGGTAGGGGCCGTGAGAGCAAAGTCCTTAGGCGGCAGCTTGTCCGACGTCAGCGTCGTCTCCACCAACGTTCTCGCCGCACCATCCAAGGCCTTTGTCAAGTCTGCCTTCAGCTCCTCGATAGTGGGCGGCTTCGCGATCGGTTTCTCCCGATGGTTATAGGTGCTTGTGGTCGGTGGCAGGACATCCGGGTCTGGCTCTTCAAAGTCGTCGTAATAAAACTCATCGTCTTCAACGGGCGATTCCACTATGCTACCCCCGAAGTTCTGCGCGCCCAGGACCGGGCTGCTGCCCATCGAGGCGTAGGAAGAGTCGGCATCGGAGCCGGTGGGTTTCGGGCTGAGCGCGGTGCCATCCAGCTGCGACAGATCCAGGGTAGCCCTCGGGTGTCTCTTTCTGGCCAGCTGCCCACCCTTCCCGTCCAATAACCCCGTTCTCGCGAAGTAGTATTGGAGGTGGGATATGCTCCCTAGGCTGAGGACGCTCTCCCGGTGCCTCGCACTAGCGGCGAAATCGGTCCCTTGGGGCCTCGTATAGCCACGCCGTTTCAGAGGTTTATCAAAACTGCCGGTGGAGTAGCGGGAGGGGTTGCTACTACCGTCCGACTTGCCAGACTGGTAGCTCGCCGAGGAAAGTCTAGAGTACGCTTCGCTGCCGAGCGAGTTCCTGTATGACCCCTCAACGCTCGAGGTGCGAGAGACGGATGACGTAGACGAGAGGGCCCGATTCGAGTCGGCCCTCCTCATACCTATGGCCGCAGAGGGCGTCGTCTCGGGCGAGGGGGAGTCGCGGCTGAGGGCTGGTCGCTCGACTTGGTTGGTTGCCATGGTGAAGATGCCGGGAGCAGGGGGCAAGTATATAGACGATTCAACTAGTATATGTATGTGTGTATGTGAACGTATATATATATATATATATATACTCGGCAATATACGTATATGTGGTGGGCTGCACAAGTAGGTCAGGCAGGTCGGGGGCTCGGCAAATCGCAAGGACGAACTTGGGTCGGGAGAGGCGGGGGGAGAAGCAGAGAGAGAGCAGAATAACCAGGGGAATGAGTGTGCAGACGGAGGCCGTTCAACAGCTTCTTCTCGGGTCGGGCGAAGTGGAAGAGAATGGTTTCCTAGTAGGCTGGGTGAGTTGGCTTCGCGCGGATATGTGTTGCGAGCAGCGTGAAGTCCGAGGTGAAACCGGGAGGAGTAGGCAGGCCCTCGAGTTGATGGGATGGTGCCGGAGAATAAACAAGACCACATTTGCCATTGGAGGCACTCGGCCATGTTGTGGATGGGAATGGATCCTGTCGAGCGAGCGGCGGAGATGGGTACATTAGGTGCCTACCTAAAGGTACCAGCTTCATGCGCGTGCGCTGCAGGTAGACATGGGTACCCGTGTATGGCATGTATGGCACGGAGTAGGTACCTCCTACGGGTATGTGATATTGAGGATATTTGGCAAACCCCCTAGGCCAATCTTACGTTAGACACTAGGTACCTGGGTAGGTACCTCCTAAGGCACCTAGCCCGCCCTACCTCTAGCTATACATTAGGTACCTTAGGTACTTAGGTTAGGCCAGGTTAGGTGCCTCTGTGCATACCTTAGGTACCTACCTAAGGCAAGCTAGGTGGGTGCCTACGGTAACCCCACCCACAGAGAGGAAGTGGGGGGAGAAGAAGAAGCTATCCGCTGCCACCTGCTGCCGCCTGCTGCGAGTGCGTATATGCGTATGCGTGTAGGCAATAAAATCGAAATTGGCAATGAGCCTGGGGCTGTTCCCCTCGCGTCGGAATTGGGCCTCGGCTAAGTGGAGACGCGTAAAACGAAACGAAACCAGACGACGAGTTCGGCCAATTAGCGCATTCCCCTTTCTCTTCCCCCCCTTTTCCCCTAGATGCTGCGGACGGGGTGCTGCGTGCGGTGCTGAATTCAGTAGGTATGCGCACGAGGAAAATCCGTCAGGAAGAAAATAGTAATACCTACGAATACACATGTGAGGAGGGAAGTGGAGAAGGAAGAAGAGGGAGCTAAAGAGAGGCATCTGCCACAGTTCGTTTACTATCTAGGAGGTACCTTTTGCGAGAGGTATACGTACACGTTATTCGAGCACGGGCTGGGCATCATCCAAGCGAATTGCCTACTAGGAATATACCTAGGTAAGATACATCTACCTTAGGTACGTGATAGTATATGTACCACGAAGCATAGGCGCGCGTCCGAGACGTGTCCTATAAGTACGGCCACTCGACCTCATCTACATGTAACGTGGGCTATGAGGTAATCATGTAAGAGTGCACGTACAGAATCCGCCAACCGTCGGATCGTCACCATATATATATAATACGTAAGCTGCGTGGGTGGCGAGGTTTAATTGCGCTTCTCTCGCTCTCCCGTACTCGTCATCTGTCTGACGTTAATCAACTCACCCCCTTTTTTTATTATTATATCCCTATCGGTCTCGCTAGAATGAGAGGCCGTTCTATACGAGACTTCGAGATGCCCGAGTTCGCGCGTAAGGCAGAGCGCGTCCTTAGCTTCTCTCTCCCGACCTTTTTCAAGCGACTTGGAGCTAACCCCTTTCCCCGAATCCGCGGTCCTGGGTAAGACGTGTTGTGTTATATAAAAATAAAAATATAAAAAAATCCCACAATATTAACACGAACTATATATATACCTTCAAAGGAGAGCGACTCGGAGGTAGTTGAAGACTCCTCGTTACACTGTGAGACTAGTAGTGATCCCCCAGCTATCTTAGTGAACCCAGTTGTACGGGTGCCTTAGGGAGTGGATTTTAAACCGAAGGGGCGTAAGACGACATTCGGCGAAAACCCAGATTTGCTGGGAGGCATGACCATGTACCTACATACATTAGTATCGTGTAGGATAGGACGTGGGCAGGCCTTCGTCGGGTATGTGGTATATGTATGGACGCAGATGTAATATGCACACAAGACCTCTCTGGTGGGACTCCCAAGCCCTACACGTATTGTGGGCTATCAGGTACCTACCTAGTGACGTAAGATGTGGTGTATTGAATTAGTACGGCTGTTTAGCCAAGCATCACGACCGACTTTGCGGGCATCCCACGAATCATCCGTCGACGGACTGGATAGGCAAGGTAGATCACCTTATAGTCACCTATAATCACCGACCATGGCGGCCATGCGCATACATATGTAGGCATATGCAGCTCGAGTAACCCGTCACCCTCGCCCAATACATACACATGTATGTACTCCATGCACGCACACACTATGTGCGTAATAGCAGATGTCTCTTCTTCTATCGACGCCAATGCCTGCAGCGTCGCAGTCCTCATTTGCGTCTTTCCCCATCCTGGTCTAGGTAGTCCCGGACAGGACGCAAGGTAGCCTGGCTCTGGCCAACGGTTTGGCAAACCCGAACCCAATCCATGTTGGCGTCTGCGTGCACGAGACGGTTCCAAGGCATCCCTCTCCAACGCCGGGGGGATCTCTGATGCGCAATAGTAACTATAACGAATGCTATGAGTAGTTAGCTCGTGCGCCTGTTTGGGAAATGGCCGCGACTTACATATTACAAGAGTTACTCTCTACCTCTCTAGGTGTGTATGCTCTATACACTAAGGTACCACGTAGGCACGATAGGGAAAGAGAACTACCAATGGAGGATACGTGGACCCGGGTTGCCCAGCGATATACGGGTAAGAGTATACCGATGTAGTTTCGATGGTCTCGACCTAGAGACGACAAAGAGTGCGACGATCCGTAGAGGGCAAGCCAGCTTGACGTGCTATCCCATCTCCACACCTGCTGCTTCGTTTTATTAGTGTGCTGTGCCATCCGGCAGCTGGGTAGCTGGGCTTCTCGGATGCTAGGGTATTCGCTAACGCGTTGCTCAAGTCGCGGAATCCACGAGATGCCGGAGACTGGGTCCGATGGGTGGGCGACACCCTGATCGGGAGAGACAGCGGCCGCCCGTCGCCTCGTCCATTATTTAATTAAACGGAACCTGGCCCCGTGGGTGATTTTTCGCACTGCGTCTTTTCCTCCCGACGAAGTTCTCTTACCTCTCATCGACTAGAAACCTCTCGCCCGCGCGTAGTGCTGCGGCGTTGTGGAGTGTACGTCGACTAGGCTGCCGGAGACGCACGAATCGTTGCTTAGGTATCTACTCATCTAGCCCGACTGCAACGACCCGGAGCTACTGCGGAGGCTTGGAAGCGAGCCTGTTGGGCACCGACATCCTCCCGGACAGAAAATTAGGCCCTCTCCCTTCTCCCCCCTCAATTCATCGCAAACCAATCGTCTGCGGTTTTCTTCGATCGAAACCGACACCGTCGCGTCGCTCGCTCCCGATTCGCTCGCGCACTCGCCGTAGCTGAAGCACAAGCACCGCGGCGAGATCCGGTCGCTAATCCAACGAGGACACGGGCGGTATTTTACGACAACTCGGACGGAGGGACGAAGGGTATGAGCGGATGCCGACCTGATAGCGATCTCGATTAGGCGCACGCGAAATCGATCTTATTTGTCGACGAGTTGCGTGGAAGTCGGAGGACACAGACGCAACCAAAGTCGGATCGATCCACGGCTCCACGGTTCCAGGTCGAGGTCCGCCAGACCCTTCGAAGCTGGTCCAGCGGAAGGGCAGCCTTGCCGAGTTCTACCTGCATACGTATACATATCGATATGTCCACACACGCTGGTAACGTTGTAGCTCGCAAGTTGTAAGTGAACCCGGCCGTGGAGGTTGTTACTGCTGCTGGTAGGTATACTGCCGGTACTTCTCCTGCAACCGCCCACCAGAACCACTGGAACACTCGCTACGGCGACATCTAGCCCACCTGGGAAGTACCTACATACATATATCCATAGGAGGCACCTGACCCCGGCCTATAGCCAGCCAGAAGAGGGTCGCACCCACGGTCGACGACTCCATCTGCGGTCTGCACTAAAATTATCCCATTCCCTCCATCGATCGCACCGATACATCACCGCCATATATCATACGCAGTCACACAGCCTCATGTTGAGTATGAGTACATATACATAGTACATATACATGTACATACCTTAGGTACACATTGTATGTATGTCCTTCATTATACCCTACCTCTCTTATGCATACACACAGGGGGCTGTATACCTGCGTGCATACACCTAAGTACCTAACGCGAGACCGCCTACAGGCTGCTACAGGTACCTCGCCTCCCTCTACTCTAATGCAGATGCATATATGCTAGGTGGCCTGCCTGACATCCACACGACACGGCTTTCCCATACCGATGACACGCCAATTCCTTCTGATCATCGACGTGTAATCAAAGCCAATCAAGCGAGCAAGCACAATTGTCGCCGGTTCGAGCCAGTCCCGGAAGAGCAGAGGTCGAGAGCGCAGAAACACCGAAACAGGAGGCACGAAGGCAGAACGAAGAGAGGAAAAGAGAAAAAAAATATATATATTCAAGGAAGACGGTTCGTCATTCGTGGCTGTCGCCGTACGGCAAGGAGAGAAAGAGGGCATCGGGCTGGAAAAGAACGAGGGACGGTATTGAAAAAAAAAAAAAAAAAGAGCGTGAGGGTGGGAGCAGCTCCCCCTTCTCTGTCTGTGCCGTGCAGTAGTAGGGGGGGTAGAAGTGGGCGATCCCCTCTATTTCGACAACCCTTACAACCACATCCAACACAGACTCTCACTGACGAACCTCAAATCGGCCTACCCCTACCGAACCCAGCCAGCCAGCCAGCCCAGAAACGCGGCAGCTGGGATCGTCGCAGCAACGAAGAAGGAAGAGCAAACAGCGCTTTTGACCGGAGCACAGCAGCGAAAGACTGAAAGAAGAAGAAGAGAAGCGAAAGGGAAGGGAACCGAATGAAAAGCGAGCGAGAGACCGGAGACAAAAAGTGACATACAGTACCTACATAACATATGCCTACAGGACCAGCAGGCATTTCTCTGTTTTAACATTACATACACAATACACACGATAACATCCCATCCCCCATCCTGGTAAATGACAGGCCCATCTGGAGCCGGCCCAGCTGTACCAGCACCAGCACCACCTGCTGCAGCTGCAGCACCACCGCCAGCTCCATCGCCCACCTCGCTCCACGACCACCACGGCCACGACCACGACCACCACAGCGACCTGCTGCTCCCTCCCGCTGCCCGTCCCGCTTCTCCCTCCCGCCAATACGTTGCAGATCTCCAGCAACAACAAAATGCCGACCTGCCACTGGAGCTGCTGACCCTCTCCGACGTCCCTATCGACATTGTCCAGCTCGGGCCTTGCCTCCAAGACCAGGACGCCCCCAGTGGTAGCAGCAAGAATACCACCACCACCACCACCACCTTCACTACCATCACTGCCGTTACTGATACCAATAATAACCACAGCGACGTCAACAATAACAGCAACAGTGGCAGCGGCGGCGGCATCGGCATCGGCATCGATAATAACGTCAACATCAACCCTCCCCTTTCCACTGGTTCTCCCTCCCCTTCTCCCTCTCCCTCTTCAATCAAACCAAAAAACCCCCATCCGCGGAAACCCTCCCCCGGTCTGGCAGCCCGTCTCAAAGCTTTGGGACTTGCCTATTCAAAACAGCCTCCCCCTACCCCACAGACACCTGGCTTCGACCGCGTCGGCCGTTTACCCGAAGACCAGCTGCGGCTCCTCGACCAGAACCACCAAGCCAATTCCACCGAGCTAGTCGTCGAACGACGCGGTCGTCCCTGGAAGGGTGCCGGCGCCCCCCTCCAGCTGCTGCGATCCAAGTCGAGCCGCGATTCCTTCTTTCATCGGAACGAGGAAGAAAAACCAACAACACCAGTTCAGGCCGAACCCCCATCCAAGCCTGAGCTGTTGCCCGAGATCATCGCCGCCCCGCCATTGGATATGGACACCAACAAGTATCGATTGCCCGACCACGTGAACGGAAATGGCACCAAGGCACAGTTAGACACCCGCGCCGGCCACCTCGAGCGACGCGCTTACCCCCCCGAGCCCGAACCCGAGTCCAGGTCGCAGACTCCGCCGCCGCCGCCTCCGAAAGATACGCCGCCTGGGAGCGTAACCACCTCCGAATTCGCGCCCGACCTACCCTCCTACTTCAATCCCCTCGGCCTTCAACGCCCCGGGTCCGTATACACGATATCCCGGGCGTCGTTTGCCAATCAGCTTGCCCAACTCACTGCACTGCAGCTGCCCGATGCCGAGCTCCTATCGAACAAGGTCGCGGCCATCCCGACCGCCCAAGCGGCGGCGAAGGCGTTGATTGGGGCTGCCGAGCAAATACGCAGCTGGATATCGAAAGCATCTGAGGTTATTGGGGGTCTGGATAGCGACGATGACGTCGAGTGGGCGGCCGCCGGCGGTCGGGAAGGGTACGAAGAAGTCGAACATGCCATCACGAGATTCGAGAGCCTGATCAACGTCTACGTGGGTGCCATCGAAGCGCTTCAGAGCCGGCCGGATATCGGTAGCGTGTCGAGCGAGGACCTGCAGAGAGCAGTGACGCAGATGGAGGCCATCATGAGTGAATGGTCCAAGATTCGCACCACCCTCAACAGTGTCAAAGGTCAGGTCGAGACAGCCATGGAGTGGGAAGAGCTGTGGAACATGGTTCTCGGCGACATCCAGAACGAGATGGATGAGCTGAGCCGGCTCATCTTCGAGATGGAGGAGCGACGCCACAAATCCATAATGGCCGTCTCTAATGGTGATGGTGTCGATATCGGCGACCTGGAGACCATTGTCGAAGAGACGCCGCCGACCGTCGCGCGCAACAATCAATACGGCGTTCCTTCGTTTCCGCTCACACCGACCTCCCCCGGAACCCCGGGCCTTACCCAAGACGACTCGAGTTTGCTCGCACTGTTTGCGAGGATGCAGCCCCTGAGGGCATCGCTCGACTTCTTGCCTATGCGGCTATCCGTGTTCGAAGCCAGAGCTTCTGCATCCTTCCCGACGGCCTGCGAGGAGCTTGAGATGAGGCGGACGGGCTTGGAGGCTAGTTACAAGAAGCTCGAGAAGGACGCGGAATCTCTGAGAAAGGAGCTCGGAGAGGATAAGTGGGTCCTCGTCTTCCGCGGCGCAGGTCGACAGGCCCAGAAGATGATCGAGTCCGTAGACCGGAGTATGGCCAAGCTACGCGAGGCTATGGACCAGGGCTTGCAGCTCTCGAGCCCCGCGGCCATGAGCAAGAAGATCGAGAATTACGAGGCGAAGAAGGTACATTACGGGCCGGCGATCGAGCGCGTGCTGTCCATCATCGACAAAGGTGTCAAGGATAGGCTCACCGTCAACGGAGAGATCCTCCGGCTGCATACCGAGCTGCAATCCAAGTGGGAGGAGGTGCGAGAATTGATGAGGAAAACGGCTGCCGCCCTGGAAGACGTTCAGATTGAGAAGCAGAGCCAACAGCTCCGGGACTCCATCTCGAGCATGCTCTCGAACGACAGGTCTACCCTAGCTAGCGGCAATGAGACCCCGGGAAGCTCGCCGCCGTCGTCGGTCGTCATGTCCAGCCTAGGCCTGGATAAGAATACTCCGGTGCCACAGAACAAGCGGCGTTCCACCAGTGGCACCGGAAGCCATCTACCTCAGCCCGCAACGACTCGTCGGGGTAGCTCAGGCTTGGCGCCCCCTGCGCGGCGTCTCCTGCCTGCGGCTCGTCTATCCACAATTTCAGTTGCTTCTAGCGTAACGCCTCCTCGGAGTGGTAGTGTCACTCCGAGCGCCACTCGCCTACCTAGATCCACGTCCAATGGCATCGATACCCGCCCCCGTTGGAATGCTTCCACGAATACCAACGATTCGGATGTTGGTCACAACTTTAAGCCTCTCTCTCTCACAACACCTAGTCCATATGCCAAGACGACTCCCGCTGGAGGCTCAAGGCTGCCTCTCCGCAGTCCGCTAGCGAGGACCTCTTCCTCACCCATTCCCGAAGATACGCCTCCCAGGAAAAGCGCCTCCCGGCTTTCTTTCCGCGAGCGGATTCACGCCGCGGCTTCTCCGGGCCAAATTCAGTCCACGTCTAAGCCTCGGTTGATGTTCTCGTCGTCTACGTCCAGCTTCGACAACAGGAGAGCTTCGTTGCAGCCTCCCAGACCAGATGGTAGCCTTCCCGACTTCAGGCAACGGCCAGCAAGTTCGCTGTCAACCACTCACCGACGCATCAGCCTACTTCCCCAACCGAAGTCGGGGACGGGGGAAGACGAAACTGGCCGCCATAGTCCTCAGGCCATGGCGGCGGCTCGTTTAGCCATGCGCAGGGGTAACAGCGCAGCAGAGCCAAAAACAAGAGATGGAAAGCCTCGTTGGCATTTTTAAAGAGAAAAAGTCGGGCAATTCGAAATAGCCCTGTCGCTGCGAGCATCTTAGTATCTCGGTGTGAAAAGGGGGAGGGGGAGGAGGGAAAACGATCGCTCCCATCTTACCGTCCCCTCCCCCTCCCCCTCCCCCCTTTTTTGTTTTCCAAATCCCGCTAGACGGGATTCCTATCTCGTTCGATTTGATTCGATTCTACCCCAACGATACAACGGCGGATTGCCTTTATGAAAGTGCAGGCGTACAATTTTTTTCCCACTTACAATCTGTAATAGGTCTCAGCTTGAACCGGCACAGGTTGATTGGACGTAGCGGACACGTTGCCCTGCCGTTTGACCATTGTCTTTTCACATGTCCACATTAATCCAGCCGTAACTGATGTGGAACGACGGCACGCAGCATGCGGTGGCGACCAAGGCGTTCTTAGGGAGGGATTTCTACACGGTCCCACGGAAATTTCCCATAGTGATACCTCTTATGTCATTTATCGCGTCGCTATAAGTGTTTCCGGCATGCATTCAGTTCTTGCTAAGCGTTCTGCGATTCTAGAGAAAGGGAGGGACATAAGAGAGTATGTGGTACGCGAGGGAGCGAAGGGGGGAGAGATAGAGGACAGACTGTCTTAAGAGCATATCTACCCATAGGGGGATAACGGGAAGGGGGGCGGCCTTGGCCAAAGGGCCTGACTCGCCTGTGGTAGTGAAGATAGATAACTCCTCTCGATTCACTAAAAGGAGGAAAGAAGTTTGGCGAAGGGGGGGATGGAATGGACGCTATACTGCCCCATCCGAGCGAGGAGGCGCTGCATCGTCGTGGTGCCGTTTGGTAACAGTCATTGCTGTTGTAGGAGTAAAGATGAAAAGAAATCTACGCCGTCGTTGTCCACACAAGACTTCGCTCCGCTTCGATGTGTCTACCTATACGTGCATGCATTCATGTATAGCTGCGCTTGTACAGCTTCTAGGATAAACCTGACATGTAGGGAAAAAGACAAGACCTCCGTTGACGAATAGATTAGCGTTGTCCACCAAGCTAGATCCGTTGCGTTTACAGAGCAAGTCAACAGTTGTGCGTCTGCAACGCGGAGGACTCGTGCGAACATGTGTTCCACCATCTATAGATGAGGTAGTTAAAAGGGGCCCTCTCGGCCCCCTCTTGTCCTTGTCATTTTTTTTTTCTTTCTCTCTTTCTATCCTACTACAATCGCATCTCTCCCTCTCTCTCCCTCTCTCGTATCTAGCACACGACACATGCGATCCCCGCCGCAAACTCCCCCCCCCCCTCCCCCATCCATCTGCTTGTCGCGCTTCGCGGAACAGGCTGGTGGGTAGGTAGGCCGCGCCCTTTCATACGCATCGTAAACAAGCAAGCAAGTGGGAAAAAAAAAGCCCATATAACCGTGCCTAAGCAACCAACCGTCCGTTGTTCCCGCGAAGTGGAGGGGGTATATATACGTATAAACATGCAGCACACACACACACACACACACACACACACACACACACGCACACGCACGAAAAAAAACGACACGCGTTCCGCTCCGACCAGATGTAATAATTACTGCTCCTCCCCGGCCCCCTTGGCCGTGGGGAGCAAGCGTTCAGTGTTCCATGAGTCCGATGCCGGTGAAGCCGACGCCGTGCGGCCGCGCCCTGGCGGCTCTCCCGCCCGCTCCGTCGCCCGCGGAGGCGCCGCCGCCGCCGCGGCCCTGCTGCCCGAACGACGCGGACGCGGCGCCGGCCGCCCTCCGGTAGCCCGCGGCGCCCTTCTTCCGGACGCCGCCGTACGGCTTGCCCTTGGCTGAGCCTCCCCCTCCCCCTCCCCCTCCTCCTTCTCCTCCCGACGACGACGCGCCCTTGCGCGCCGAGAACGCCCGCTTGGCCCCGGACCACGTCGCCTTCGACGAGGCGCGCGGGGCCGACGAGTTCGAGCGCGCGCGGGACGTCGGCGGGCCCCGCCGCTCCGCGCGCTTCGCCGGCGCCGGGAAGTACGACGACCGCTCCGCCCCGCGCGCCGCCGCTGCCGCCTCCGCCTCTTCGTCCTCGTCCAGGTCCAGGTCCAGGTCCAGGTCTGGCATGCCCTCGTCGTCGTCGTCGGTCGACACGAGGTCCACCGTGTCGCGGGAGCCCGACGCTTCGCCGGCGCGCCGCGGACTCGCCGCGTCCGTCATCTCCTGGTAGTGCGCGCGGTACGACCGCACCAGCGGCAGGAGCGCGCTGCCGTACCGGTCCACCTTGTCGGTGTTGATGCCGGGGATCTGGCGCATCTGCTCGAGCGAGACGGTCCATCTTATGGCCATCTCGCGGAGCTGCTGCTCCGAGAAGATCGGCTGCCGCAGGTTCTTCGAGTTCCGCAGCTCCTCCTCTGCGTCTTTGGCCTCCTCGAGGAAGCTGCAGACGACGTCGTCGTGCAGGCCGCTCAGCTCGGCGTCTTTCATGCGCACGTCGCGCGATATCGGAGGCCCGATCGGTTTGGGCTCGGATCGAGACTTCGATCGTCGGGCGGGCATCGTCTCGAAGTCGTCGTCGGATTCCTCGTCGGCAACCACGAACCCGTCGTGAGCATAGCCGCTGGGGTGTCTAGCCTGGGCGTCGTCGCTGTCCTCGCCGTCCGAAGTCGCAACGGCCTTCCCTTTTCCCGTACGCTGTTTACGTAGGACCGGTGACGACACGTTCGTCGACGGGACGTTGCTTGACGCGGCGTTCCTGGATGATGTCGCAGTTGCTTTGGCGGTGCGTGCCTGTGTTTTCGACCCACTCGCCTGACTATCCTTGCCCTTAACTCGGGTAGACAGAAAAAGTCGGTGCTGCTTGCTCGAGAAGGCACGCGCCCCAGATCCGACCTGTAGAGGGCAGGGAGGTCAGCGAAACAAGAGATCAGAGGATAGGGGGTCCCGGACGGCTGGGAGCTTCTTACTCTGAAATACTGGATAGCCATTTTAGTCTTCCTGTTGAAGACGTTCTCCTCCTTCAATGCGTCTTCCGATACGAGTCGGTCGACGATGCGCTGCACTTCGTGTTTCGGTAGCTGTCTAGCTACCCCGTAGAACTGCTCTGCCCCTGGCTTGCCGTCGGGCAATTTTCTCTTGCCCATCAGGTAATCGGCGCATTGGTTGAGCGTGAGTTTTCCCTGAGATCGCACAAGCCCTATCGCGGCTACTGCGTACTCGGTAAAATCTCTTTGCTCAAACACATCATTGTTCCTACAGTTGTCGCAGGTCGCGCCGCAATCCTCCTTTTTGAAAGATTCTCCAAAGTAGCGAAGGATTTCGACCCGGCGGCAATCGCTCTGGTTGTCGCAAAAGGCTGCCACGGTGCTCAGCATGTTCCTCTGTCTTTCCCTCTGCTCCTCGCTGCCGTCCCCGTCTGAGATCATCTTCCTAAGGGACATGACGTCGCCGTAGTTGAAATAGAGGTAGCATTCGGACGGCTTTCCGTCTCGGCCGGCACGGCCAGTCTCCTGGTAGTATCCCTCGAGGCTCTTGGGAATAGACTGGTGGATGACGAAACGAACATCAGGCTTATCTATGCCCATCCCAAAGGCTATCGTCGCCACGACGACTTTGATGCGGCCCGCTTGCCATTCCTTCTGGATGCGCGTCTTCTCCTCGGGTTCGATACTCGCGTGGTAGTGATGGGCCGCGATGCCGTGATCCCGCAGCTTCTTGGCGATGTTCTCCGCCGATTTGCGAGCAAGCGTGTAGACTATGCCCGTCTTTCCCTTATACTTCGTGTTGATCAAGTTGGCGATGGACACAGTATTGTCCTTCTCCTTCCTCATGACGGCATAGTAGAGGTTGGGACGGTTGAAGCTCTGCGAAAACTCCTTGCACTCCTCGATTCCCAGATTATGTTTGACGTCGAGTATGACGTTTTGGGTCGCCGTGGCTGTCAACGCCATGAGAGGCACTCCGGGAAACCTCCGGCGGAAACTACCAAGCTCTTTATAGTCCGGACGAAAGTCGTGGCCCCACTGACTCACACAGTGGGCTTCGTCGATGACGAGGCGGGCAAGCTTCCGATTCTGGTAGAGTGCGTTCAGGCCGTTCAGGAAGGCCTTGCTCTTATTGATCATCTCGGGAGTAACGTAGAGCAGCTGTAGCCATTGCTCTGGGTAGCGTTCTTGGAGCTGCCTCATGATTTCGCTGCGTTCTGCCGCCTTCACCTCGCCGCTGAAGGACGCCGCCTGGATGTTCAGCGCGCGAAGATGTTCCACCTGGTCCTGCATCAAGCTAATGAGAGGGGATACGACAACGGTGACACCGTGGGTCTCGCCGCTGCTAACGACGGCCGGAAGCTGGTAGCAGAGCGATTTCCCGCCTCCCGTAGGCATTAATACGAATGCATCCTTGCCTGAGAGGGTAGCGTCGATCGCCTCCAACTGGTTGTGCCGGAACCCGGACATCCTAAACCTATCCTTCAATGCCCTCTTCACATCCTTAAACCACGGACGATTCTTCAGTTCGCGTGGGATATGAGTTGTCACCAGCGGATCCGCAACTTTCGTGGCAGCGGACTTTTGCGGTCGCGCACCCGCGTTGCCAGAGGTTTCCGAAAGCACAGGGCGGTGAGGTGGAGGCACCCTAGTCGCCGACAACGATTGTTGAAGGTCGAACTCCTTGGCGGCTTGGGCCATGTCGACATCATCACTATAATCGCTATGATAAACCTGTCCCCGGCTAGGTTTTGCCTTGGCCGGGCTCTTGCGGGCCACCGTACTCGTCGGCTGAGGGTAGGTCGTCGTCGTATCCGGCGCTCTATGACTGGTGGACGGGAATAGATCCTCTAGTAGTTCGTCATCGTCGTCGAAGGCGTAAAGGTCTTCATCGGCAATTACGGTGGTTACGGTCGACTTCTGGCGGGCCGGAGTCCTCGCAAGCTTGCTGCTAGCCGAGGCGAACGATGGTCGGTCGTCAACCATCTCCTCAATTTCGGGTAGCGGGGATACAGCCTGGCGGCGCGGCCGCCCCATTGAACTCTGCAATGGCATCGGAGGCGCCTCATCTCGACCGTGGCGGGGCTTTGACTCGTAGTCTGAGTGCTCGGGGAGTTGGGTTTGGAGGATAATCTGGGTGCTGCCTTGTGGGACCAGCGCTGGGTCTCGAGACAAACTCGTCGAGGGGGTGGGTTTGGTTGGTTGGGTTGCTTGCACAATAGGGTAGGAATAATGGTCAGCGGCCTTAAACAAGTTCCTATCGTCGACGCCGGCCTTCACGAGACTATTTCTTAAGGATAATTGGCGTTCCTTAAGCAAACCTTCTAGCTCCTCAAGCCGTGACTCGTCGTCCTGAGTATCCAAGTCTTGGTCGTAAGCATCCGATATTCGCGAAATCAGGGCGTCCTTCTTTACTTGGACCTCCTCGTACGAGCGATATTCGTTAGAAAGGGCATCCAAGGCTGCCTGCTGCTTCGTCAACCTCTCTTTCTCCCGCTTCAGGCGACCTCTAGGCTCGAGGTCCCCATTCTTCAAGGACTGTTTATAGGCATCCTTGTTTTGTTGCATCTTCCCTCGCAGTACCTCTCTTTTCCTCTCGATTACCGACGGCCGCGCCAAAAATAATTCAAGAATAGCGTTTTTCTCGTCGTCGTCGATTATGGGGTTCGTCTGAGTGAAGGCCTCCGAGTCTTGGGACAGCTCCGCCCCCGGGTCCGGGTCAGAGCCTCCGGCTGTTTCCGTCCGAAACGACGCACTCGGCTCGGGCTTCCTAGGCGAACGGAGCGGTGTGTTCCTGACACTCTTACTCTTCGGCTTGGGCTTCGATGGTGTCTCATAAGCAATAACGAAGTCCATGTCCGCAGCTCTTCGGGTAGAAAGCCTAGGGCGATCGCCTGAGTGGGCCGTACTGGCAGGTGCAGTTGGTGTCGGTAGTTCATCATCCGAGTCCCCGATGATTCGATCGTCGGATTTGGTAGCTCTGGGCCGCGCCACGCGGGTTTTAGGGGTCTCCGGTTCTTTCTCGGGGGCCGAATCGTATTCTGAGCGAGGCACGATCCTCTCTTCCTCAACAGTAGACATAACTTCGTGCAAGGGCTTATCTCTCCGCCGCGGCCGAATCGGCGACGATCTCACAACGCGGTCCGGGGGATGTGACGAGCTGGCAGAAGCCCCAGCCTCATGCGTAGGTTTGTGGTCAGCTGCTTTCTTCGTCGAGGCCACAGGTCTCGACGATGTGGGGTCCGATCCAGTCTTCAGCTTGGCCTTTGCCGGCGACTTTGTCGGAGATCGCCTCGTCCGAGACGGCAGAAAATCGTCATCCGACAGAAGTTCGTAGATGTCCGGGAAGTCATCAAGTACGGTAGGCATAGGAGGCGGCTGGCTGATCTGATCGCTCTTTCGCTTCTGGCCACGCTTGGGAGTTAACGGCTCCGGCCGCATAGCGTGCTCCTCCTCCCATACCATGACGTCGCTCCCAAAGGCCTCCGAGTTCTCTGAGACGGGGACAGGCTCTGGCCGCATCGCGTAGTCCTCCTGCCATACCATGACGTCGGTTCCAAACTCGGTCGTATCCTCAGTCGTAGAAGCCAACCCCGTGTGCGCAGCAGAGCCATTGCTAGTAAACGCGGCAGAATTGGGCGAAGTCAGCTCGTCGTCCCCCCCCGTCAGATCCAGCACGTCGAGGGTATTTTCACTCCGAATCGCCGATGCCGGGGTCGGAACCTGACGTTGCGCTGAGGCCCTCTTCTTCGCAGAATTCGCAACACCGGCGGCATTCGAATTCTTTAGTAACGCGTCATACTCCTTCGTAAGGGAGCCGGTGGCGGCGCCGGTAGATGTCGGAGTGGGCAATTGTTCCTCGCGCATGACTAGGCCGGGTCGTCTGGACCCGGATTTAGGCAAGGGGCGGCCCATCCTCTCCTCCGCGGGACCGGTTCCACCGGCTCTCTCGGGTGGCTCAGAGGGTCTCGCCGGGGATTTCGTCGGTCCATTTGTCCACTGCGGAGGGAGGGACGCGGGGCTCGGCAGAACCGGGTACAGAGACGAGGCGGGAATAGGATTGACACGCGTCTCCGGGCGTGCTCCGGCAAGAGTCGCCTGAGAGAGAGGCGTATCGGACGAAGGGTTGCGGTCGGGGTGGTCTCGAGCTGGCGGCGGGACAGGCGCGTCTGGCGCGGTCTGACCAACATTCGCGAGTAACCAGGTCAATTGGTCGCGAAGATTATTTCGAGTCATGAAGACGCCTTGGAGCCTCCGTTCCACATAAGTCCCATGGAAGTTTAGGGAGGGTTCAATTAGCCGTCAAGAGAGAAGAGCTGGTCAATAACAGAGCATTGTCATGGCTAACCCGGGTTGTTAGCATCGCGAGTCCTGTCTGGTTGTGTGATGGGGGAAAGAAAAGGTACGTACACTTGGACGTGATGGGTTTGATCGCGTATAGAGGTAGGGGGATGTACTTCTTAGCAGGCTGTTGGGCGAGAGAGGTACGAGGAGGCGAGTGGCGCTTAGCCCCAAAGAGTTGGCGGTGATCGTGAACCGCCCGCCAAAACGCTCGGACCACGTTACCGCGACTCGCGCGTCCAGGTGATTTGGATCATCCCAGTATTACCTAAGCAACCTCACAGGTCTACCTAATATCTCATAAGCGCAGCGCCTGGGTATACCCACCTGCCTCCTCCTACCTACGCCGCGATTCAAGTTCGCCGTCTGCATCCCATTCCCAGTGCCTAGCAAATGGGAACGTGGACGTACGGTGTCTTACTCTTCCTTCTACGTACGGATTCATCTCCCGAGTATCCGGGGGAGGAATGCGAACGTATCGTTCGCCGGTCAGGTGCATCGAGGTTTAGGTAGGTACTATTCTCGACGTCCAGCCCTCCGCGTCGAATCCTCAACCAACCATCGACCGACACACACCAACTACCAAGGTACATAAGACCTAAGCATTTTGTAGTCGAGTCGACATGTACTCTCTTCCGCCCCGAAACCACCTTGTCTATCGGGGAACCTGTCACTCTTCTATCTTAGGGCCATACAACCTAGGTACTGGTGAGCATTAGGTAGATCAGATTCCCAAGCTTCTAAAACGGGATTGTTCGAGCCTCCCCATATGCCTGCCGCGCTATTCGAGCAGTCGGTCAGGTTCTTTTTTTCGGTAGGCGGTCTTTATTTCTCACACCCATAGAAGGCGTATGAGTGATGCCAAGGCACGGGCAGGTAGAGGCGTCTAGATGTACGTCCGTCTCCCTCGCCATAGGAGAATGTTCTATTCCATGCATAGGGCGGTCGAGTTGCCTGCTCACTAGGAATCCCATCAAGGGCGAGGTATCTCCGCCTTTCCACAAGAACCAACAACCACGCAGGTAGACGTTATGAGCGGGACAATAGAGGCGAACGTGCGAGTAACAATTGAAAAAAAGAAAGAAAAAGCCAAGTCTATTCGCTCGTTCGCTTGCTCGCTCGCTCGCTCGCTTTCACTAGGTACGTTATCTATCTCGAACGCGGACACGTCGCACATTTAGCATATTACCACCATAGCCGCCCGCCGGACCTAACACGCCTCCTCCCCAACCGTCGTCTTCGGCTTCGGCTTGTCGGCACCGTTAAACAAGTACATGCCCGTGACAACCACCTTCCCAGCGGCCGAGACGAAGATGGCGACGGCAGACCCGGCGGCCCGGTAGATGCCGGCGCCGGCGAGGGACCCGAGCACGAGCGTGGCGAGGAAGACGACGCGGCGCGTGCGGGGGCGGTTGTGCAGGCGGAAGAGCGCCGGGTCGATCATGAGGTCCATCCAAGCGGCGGTGGCCATGGCCGTGCTGATCTCGGTCATCTGGAAGGAGCGCGACTGCACGACCTGGCTGCCGGCGGCGAAGGCGAGCAGGCCGATGACGGCAGCCGCCTCGACGCCGTCGAGCCGGATCCCGCGCGTGTGCTGCACCGCGGCGGCCGCGAACACGAGGCACGACTGCGCCAAGTTGCAACCGACGAGCCAGATCCGCCGGCGCGGCCCGACGATGTGGCCGACCTGGCCGGTCAGCCAGCTGCCGAGGAGGAAGAACCCGAGGGCGGCCCCGATACTCGTCGTGATGAACATCTCGCCGTTGAGGCGGGGTAGGATGATGGCCAGCATGAGGAACACGGTGTTGCCCGTCTGGTTCGACGCGAAACAGTGGTAGTCGGGGAAGGAGACGGCATCTTGGATGCCGGTGCAACTATTTTACAAGCGAGCGTTAGCCCACAGTCCCAAGCCGACGGCGTATACAATAAGGAAACGCCGAACCAGCTTATGTGTCTAAGATGTCCGCTTCATCGTCGATACTTCGGCCCAAAGTGCCCCAAATCACTTACAATGTCAGAATAAGCAGTTCGAGCTCAACAAACTCGGAGGCCCGGACAGGCTCGAGCATGTGACGCCATGCTCTTATCGAAATCGAACTAGACTTAGGCAAGAGACTCGAGTCGGAACTAGTCGCCCGGAAGCTGTTTGGCGTCTTCGACTCGGATCCTCGAGGAGAACAATCCACTACGGTGCTCGCCATGTCGCCTACTATTTACGTAGGTATAGTTGATGTAGACGATGTCAATAGACGGCTACCGACAGCACCGATAGATATTACCTCGATGTCGAGGTAAAGATAGATAATAAGACGCAACGGACCACGAAAATCGCGGGGGGGAGATATTTGCCGCAGCTAGAAGAGAATCGCCCTGAATTTGTCTCACTTGCCGCACGCCAACTCAGGACTTTCATATTCGAAGCCGTTCCGAGCTCGGTGCGGCACTCAGGCAGCAGAAAACCTGAACGGCTCCGACTCCCTCGTCGTCATCCTAGTCACAGCATGCACGAGTCTCGCCACAGGTCCATAGGCGCTCTCAACCGACAACCGCCACAGCAAAAGAGAAGGCAAAAAAGAATAATTGGAAAGCTCGGTTGCCTGTTTAATATTAATTGACTCTGATCTTGGCGATGACAGCGCTGCACCCGTGCCGGTGGATCAGGGCCAAAAACCCAGATCGCCGGGACACGGCACCTCCTAAGGAGCCGCCCCGAGATCCTGCCGGTCGAGCCCAGGGCAAGGCGGGAGTCTCTGTCCGTTACGACAGGCATCGGCAAAGGGGCGGCAGCACGCAAGGCAGCTCAACAGCTCGGCTCTAGATCAAACGAGTCAGCAGAGCACCTCGGACAGAAACCCCTGATGACGCACTCCCGTGTGTGTCGTACCTATTGAGACGGCGTATTGCAACTTCACGAAGCTGCGAAATGCCACGCGGCGGCGGGGAGGTGTTTATTTCGTGGGAAGTATTTAACGGACCCCCTGGGTGCGCCTTCGTTTCACCAATCAAGCGCACCCATTCCGGCTTCTATGAGTACTAGGCCGTGCGAATCCTAGCCAATCCCCATCGGAGAGGCTTCTTTGCGGCTCCTAGAAATCCGACTACCGGCTGCATTACCGAGTGGATAGGCCGCCCCCGAGATCCGCCAGTCAGCAGCATCCCCTCCGCTCCCGACGTCGGCGCACCAAGAGAAAAAAAGCGAAAGGGAGGAAAAAAAGGCAGATTGCGGATAGGCTAGGATCGGACCCGCTACTAGCGCCGAGCCTGCTGACTCCCTATGCTAGAAGCCGCCGGTCCCGCCATGGCAGCGGCTACGACGGGTTGGTCTACCTGTTAGGTGAATCTGCCGCCTGCGTAAGTACGTGATGGTGGCCGTAGCAAGGTGCTGAGAGCCCGGTCGGTGCGATGCGGAGGTAGGTCCCGGGAGTTCGGCAGATCTACCGTGCAACCCGTCCTACTTACCTACCTACATCAGAAGACGTCGCCGGTGCTACAGCAGAGAGGTAGCGGAGGGTGGCAGTGCGCACGTAAGCGGAGGAAAGTTAATCTGAGTACACCCGGCCGGTACGTTTCGAGGGAGATGTTGAAGCGGCGACGCCCGAGCCGCGGCGCGGGCGGGACGGGGAACGAGAGGGAGAAAGGAGGGCGGATGAGAGGGAGGGAGAAAAGGTAAGGCCATACCTAGGTAGGTAGGTAGGTAGGTAGGTACCTAGGTAGGTATTATTGGGGGGGGCGGACAGCAGGTGCCGGCCCGACACCCAGCGCCCGGAGAGGCGGCAAGGCTAGCAAGCACACACACAAAGAGGCCGGAAGCCAAGCGAGACAACGGCCTGGCTGCGTGTTGGTTGTCCATGCGTCTGGTGGAGGGCGGGCACCTACTAGGTATATGTTAGAAAAGAAGCACGGCCAATAACACGCAACTTGGCATCGAGGAGAGGGGATTGGGAGACGAGTAAGTAGGTAGGTACCTACCTAGGTAGGCGGACGGGTAAGCATACCTGATTCGGACGTTCCGCCTCGTCTCCTGGCCCATGGCAGACACCTCAACCAGACTGCATGCGACGGTGGATGGCCGGGTATGTATGTATGTGCGAAGGTGCGTGGGCGCCAACATGCATTCCTGGAGCCAATCTCGTAAAGATCGGAACGCGTGGGGGGGGGGGGGGGGCCGCCGTTATCAGCGAGGTTTATCGGGGGCAGCTTTCTGCGATGACAAACCCCAACTCGATCATTGAACAATGCCTTACGTGTGCCTTTCTTTTTTTCTTGTTTTTCTTTTCTTCTTTTCACTTCCTTCTTCCCCCCCCGTTTGTTTTTTCCTTACCTGGGTAGGTCGTTCTCTTTAGGCCAGGATCGCCTCTTCCCGGTAGGCGCCTAGGGTGGGTATTATGGCGAGTCATCCACGAGCCAGCCTTTTCTGGCGCAGAGATGAATCGGGGACGGGCGGGACAGCTGCTGGGAAGGCCTGCTGCTTAGGTAGGTAGCTCGGGATCTACCGGTGGACGACAGAGCCCGGGCTCGCTTCCGACGGCTGGGAGAGGCGAGGCGAGCGACGACGACAAACCGTCCCGGCTTGGCCCGCCCGCCCGGAACCGGCAGCGCAGCTATGGCGAGAGAGAGGCGAAGCTGTCGCCGTCATCGTAAGGTGCCTACTACCTAGTTAAACGCATATGAGTACACAGTCCACGCTATTTATGGCCTCGGAAACGTAAGCCGGGTACTGCACGGGCACCTCCTAATCCACCCCGACCTACCTGGCCTGCAGGGAGCGTGCCAATGTCGCCTCGTAATGCGCCGACTGGGCATGCCAGTATGCAATGGCACGACGGCACGACAACGTGAGAGAGAGCCAACTTCAACCTCTTCTACGTTTCCCTTCTTGCTCCTCGTCATGCCTGTTATTTTCTTCTTCTCGCCCCGCGGAGATCCATAACGCAGAGCTGGCTGGCTTGACTGCGAGCCAGGCCACTGACAGCCTCGAGGCTTATCTCTGCGCCCGGTGGGCCAAGGTGCGGTCGAGCGGGCGACCTAGGTAAGTGCCTCTGTTATCTTCGATCCCTCCTCCACAGCTCCCCACCCCCAGGCCGTCGAGATAAGCAGCGCGCCCGGCCACATGCTGGCGTGAGCGGCTAGGCGGTTTCGCCAGGTCCCGGTCTGCTGGTCGTGCCGGTTTGTTGGTGCGCCACGGGCTAGCTCTCCCCCATTTCCACAACAACCTTCCTCCCTGCCTACCTGCCTACCTGCCTGCCCGCCTGCCTTACTGCCCGTCGAGCCCAGAACGACGTGGATTCGGAGGCCTCGCTACGGAGTGGCCCTCGGCGGCTTCTTCCTAGGTCAATTAGGTTGGCTTGGAGACGTGACGGTGGCCTGAACGCCTGTGGCGATCTTGTGTCGAGTTCGCCGTCTAGTAGCATACGACGACTCCACTGGGACCATCCTGCTGGCTCGACCTCGTAGGCATTACTTACCTACACACGCGGGCCTTATAAGATCCTCGCTCGTCCCCGTAAGCCGTAGGGCTACAGTACCTGTACGTAAAGTCTCGACGCAGCTTGCGAAGTCCTAAGCTCCCTTCACCACCAAACACTTGCAAGAAGGACCCGTCGGTCATCAAAATCTCGCCCAGCGCCTGCTTAGGCGCAGAACAGCACGCCGCTGAACTTATAGAGCGCTTTGTCGTGAACAATCGAGTCTAGTCTTGAGCCGCAACCATCCCTTATCTAGGATCGCTAATAACCGCCAGGCCACGAGAGGGCCTTTTCCTAACCTTGCTGCGCGTCCGCCCCTAGGACCTCCAGCTAAAACCACCTAATCGGCCAGGTGTATCCATTGGACGACGAGCTCTAGCAGTGGAGCCGTCAGATTAGCACACAAGATCTGATCTATCACCACAATACTTACCTCCCTTACTGCTACCCCGGCGCAAGATATCCCTTTATCTACCCACGCGCGAGGACCGTCCGCGGAGAACAATCCTCCAGATCCAGTGTGGTAACGATACACGCCCGGGCCCACTATACACGACCTGCCCGGAGATGCACAACTCGGCGACAAGCTGTTTGCTGGCCTGAGTGCGCGTACACGCTCGCGTCTACTTAAAGAGAGAGAGAGAGAGTATAGAGGTTGGGCCGTTCTAGAAGGTGATCGGGTCGCAGATCGAAACTGTCCCCCGCGTGCGAAGATTCGTGCAAAAACTTGTCGCGACTTGAGGGTCTCTCGAACGAGATCGTAGAGCCCGCTTAATCCGACCGCTCCGAGGGCGAGGCCCAAGAGCTAAGAAAGACCCCGAGATGAAGCTGTCCCATCTGTGGGCGGCCCCCGAGGTCAACCCGATCAACCGCAAGGCCCGCTCCATCCCCCTCCTCAACCCCGTTAACGTCTACGGGCGCGTCTTCTTCTTCTCGTGGTTTGGCTTCATGGTTGCCTTTTGGGCCTGGTACGCCTTCCCGCCTCTCGTAAGCATCTCCCTCCCGCTGTTTGGTGTCGCAGGCAAACTAGTTGGTTGGTTAACGCGTGGACTGTAGTTGACACACACCATCAAAAACAATCTTAACCTTACCTCAGCCGAGGTTGCGAATTCCAACATCGTCTCGTTGTGTGCTACGTATGTGCTTTTCCACGACCATCCGCTCCCTTCAAATGGACGCGAGTCCCCGGCTCACCTGTTATAGCTTATTGGTACGGCTCGTCGCCGGGCCTGCCTGCGATCTGCTCGGCCCCCGCTATGTATTCGCCGGCACCCTCCTGATCGGCGCCATCCCCTTAGGTCTCGCCCCGCTTGTACATGATGCCCAGGGTCTGTACGTCAGTCGGTTCTTCATCGGCATCTTGGGGGGATCCTTCGTGCCTTGCCAGGTCTGGTCGACCGGGTTTTTCGATAAGAATGTCGTCGGTACCGCCAACGCCCTCACCGGAGGGTGGGGGAACGCGGGCGGCGGGATCACCTACTTCATCATGCCCGCTGTGCTGGACTCCTTCGTGGCCCGCGGCTACTCGGAAGGCGTCGCCTGGCGCATCACCTTCGTCGTCCCCCTCATCGTCACCTTAGCCACCGGCGCGGCCATGGTGCTCCTATGTCCCGACACGCCGACCGGCAAGTGGGCCGACCGGCATCTCCACGCCGAGCAGAACCTGGCGTCGCACGGCGTCGGCGTGGCCGCCAGCCCCTCCGACGAGATCGTCTGCGTGCCTGGGGGTGTCACCGACAAGGCGGGCTCGAGCGGGGGAACGAGCCTCAGCGGCGAGGCCGAGAAGGGGAGGAGCAAGCAGCCGCCGGCGCAGGCCGGCCACCCGGGTTGGGACAGCGAGGCGACGATCTCGAAGGAGGAGATGCTGGAGACGGCGCGGGGCGAGGTGGTGCAGAAGCCGACGTGGGGCATGGCGGTGCGGGTGTCGACCTCGCCGCAGACGGTGTTCCAGGTGCTGACGTACGTGTGCTCGTTCGGCGGCGAGCTGGCGATCAACTCGGTGCTGGGCGCGTACTACGCCAAGAACTTCCCGGGGCTGGGCCAGACGACGGCGTCGAACTGGGCGGCCATGTTCGGCTTCCTGAACCTGGCGACGCGGCCGCTCGGCGGCGTGGTGGGCGACCTGCTGTACCGCGCCGCGGGGCGCAGCCTGTGGGCGAAGAAGGCGTGGATCGTGGCGTGCGGGTGCGCGACGGGGGCGCTGCTCGTCGCGCTGGGGCGCGTGGATCCGCACGACAGCCTGGCGCGGCTCGTCGGGCTCGTGGCGGCCATGGCCATCTTCCTCGAGGCCGGCAACGGCGCCAACTTCGCGCTGATCCCGCACGTCCACCCCGAGGCCAACGGCATCGTGTCGGGCACGACGGGCGCCGGCGGCAACCTCGGCGGCGTCGTCTTCGCCGTCATCTTCCGCTTCGTCGGCGGCGGCACCGACTACGCCCGCGGCTTCTGGATCACCGGCGTCGTCACCATCGCGCTCAACCTCGTCCTGTGCTGGGTCCCGCCCGTGCCCAAGGGCCAGGTCGGCGGACGCTAGGGATTCTCCGCCGAGGGGGAGCAGGGAGGGGGGGGGAGTTGCCTATAGATTGTCCGAGAACGCTGTTTTCCGGTCTCCTTCCCCCTCTTCTTTTGAGAATACGCGACAATAGTTCGTAACGGTAGAGATACCGGACGGGGTTTGGGGGCGTGTCTTTGTTCGTCGATATACCTGACCATAACTACCCACCTACGTGGTGGCGACGGCGCTTTGGAAAATTGGGAAAAGCGCCGTTATGGCTACAGGGGGCGGGTATCGGTCGTTCGATAATTCTACCTACCTACCTACCTAGCGTAGGTCCATTGCAAGGAGCAGCTAGTTAGCCGTATGTATGCATCTACGCCTACCTATGCACGTATGTATGCTTGTACGGGCGAAGGCATGTTTTGCAAGTAATTCCCCGACTAATAAAAAGCGCTACGCAACAACGTTTTTGGTCAGGAGGTATATGTCTACGTCTACCCAAATCTCTATTACACAGGGCTCGAGTCGGGGGAGGGGGAAAAAGGTGCCTGTTATCCTATCTAAACAAGCTCGCGAGGCCCTAGTATTAGGTTATGTAGCTGTATATACATCAGTAACTGCTGCTATAAAGCCAGTCTGCCCGCGGACAAATTGGGCCTGTCCCCCTCCTCTTCCCTCTACCCCCGGTGTGAGCATCTACGTATGCGTAGGTAGTAAGTATGTAGGTGGAGAGGAACCTGAGTTCGAACTTGACTTGAACGCGTCGCCCCGTCTGCCACCCGAACCCACGCCTTGTGGAATAAAACGTCGTGGTCCCTAGGAACAGTTTTCCACGTTAGCTTTCCTAGGCTTACGGTCCACACATACACGCAATACCATCGGTAAACCTACATGTATGCTTACCCCCGCAAACCCTCTCTCCCCTCCCCCCCTTAAAACAAAAGATCAACCCCCGTCGTGCAGATTGATAGGCCACAACGGTTACAGCGCTTACAACTCGCTAAGATCCCTGTAATATATACGCGCGCTGGGTCTCACATGACTTTCCATCACTTCAGGGGCTAGTTTGTTCACCTCACACTCCAACATAAGGCGTCATCACGAATACTGAAAAGCAGAGAACGAGTCAAGCTCGGCGCGAATTGCGCCTTTTATCGGGATATCTAGTATTGGGGAGGAGACGCCGTTGGCGGAGCGTCCGGCTATCTATGTGCGTAAGGGTATACGTGACAAGCGAAGACTGATTAATCTGACGGCAACATCCACATATGCAGCGAAGAGACACCATCCAAATCGAGGGCGAGTCGGTTGGCACTCAAATTAGTTCCTGCATCATTATTCGATCGTTCCTAATCCTCTCTTCCATCACCTTCCCCGTTCTAACCATAAAATGGCCCAGTCAAGAGCAGACAATCGCCGCTACTTTACAGAGCCATGAAAGCGGCGATGAGGCCACCGAGAAGGGCTAGGGAGCTGGCCGCAGCGCTGCTAGCACCGGCAGTGGGGATAGGAGTGGCCGCAGTCGTAGTGGCGCTGGCCGCGGGCCCAGAGGGAGCACTAGTGCTGGTGAGGACCGTAGTGGGATAAGTCGGGGTCGCAATCGAGGACAGGTTGCCAGAGGGGGTCGTGGTGGGATAGCTCTTGGACGTGGTCACGCTAAGGGTAGGGTAAGACGGAACGGACGTCGAAGAGACCGCGGCGCTGCTGCTGCTGCTGATAACCTCGGAGCTAGAGACAATCGTGCTGCTAACCGGGGGGAGGGTAGGGTACTGAGGGGCGCCGGTAGTAGCGCTGGCAGACTGCTCACCAGCACCGCCGCTCGAGGAAGCAGAGATGGTGAAGGGGAAAGAGTATTGGAAGATAGCACCGTCCTGGAGATCGGTGATCTTGATGCCGTAGGTCTTCTCGCTGCCGAGCGAGGAGGGGACGTCCCACGTGAACGAGCCCGTAGTAATATCGACGCTGCCTGGAGATCTAATTAGCGCCTTGATACCCAAACCCACGCCTGGCCCACGCGATTCCACATACTTGCGATAACCGGGCCGGGCACAAGAGTCGTGGGAGTCTCGCCACCCAGGAGGCTGATCTGAGCCGCGCCGGTGTACTGGCCTGCCTGCCACACAATGCTGAACGGCTGGCCGGCGGCGACCGTCTGGCCCTCAGTCGGAGAGGTCACGACGGCATAGCCGGGCGTCTGGGCGAAGGCCGAGGCGGCGAAGGCCAAGGCAGTAGCGAAGATAGAGGTGGAACGCATTTTGACTGGAAGAATTCCTGAGCTTTCGAGACGAATTATAGCAATCCAAGGTAACTAGGTATGGTATTGTAGGACCGAAAGAACGACTAGAAGTCTGGGTGACTCGTAGAGCGAAGGCCGGGAATAAAAAGAGTGTAAGGTGCCGGTTGGGCTGACACGAAGTAGGCTGAGCGGCGAACGAAGAGAGAGTGCGGATGAGGGAGGTAAAAGAGGAAGAAGAAAAGAGAAGGGGAGCGGGACAAAATAGAACGACGATGTGACGGTTATGAGGTGGGAGTGAGAGAGGCACAGCACCGTAGCGCGGTCCCTCAGATTCGTCCAGGGCGGGCCAGGCGGAGGCAATGCGTTGCACCCCAGAGCGACCACGATGGCCCTGTTGGTACCAGGCTTTCTCTCTCGACAGCTACCAGGCCTCCGCCAGGTTTGTGGGTGAGCGACAGGATCGCTGGCGTCGTCGCTAATGACGTGCTAGTACCTCTGCGCGCGCTGGTCAGTAGAGAAGATACGGGATGGCTGTTAAGGGGAGGGTGTGAGGGGCCTCTCTCACACGCTCTCTTCTCTCTTTTTACCCCTGGCTGGTCACATATTTCGGACTCCACCGTAGGGCAGCCCACTCGGCGTCCAGGGTCTGCGGTCCGCCCAGTCAACTGGGAGGGTTGCGACATGGGTGTGTCCAAAAACGGAACTACTCAAATTACAAGAGCCCGCGAAGGAAGCTCGAGCAGGTTGAAGGGGAAGAAAAAGGGGGGAGGCCCTTTTGCCAGCCTGCCAGCCTGTTTGATGCGACATGGGATGCCTGGCCATCGCGTCTTCTGGGGCAACGGGCTGGTTCGTTCCAGTGCCAATGCCCCGACGTGTGACTGGCGAATGGCGCTATGGAGGGGAGAATCTATGCAATATTGCCATGACGGTACCACGCAGTAGTATGTAAGTACGTATGGAGTTGGCAAGTGACGATTCGCACGAGCGAGGTTCGGAAGATCATGGCAGATGATGAGATAATGGCAATGATGATGGTTTACGGGTATGAGTGAGGGGCGTGGAGAGAAATGCAGAGAGCGTGGTGAGCCCAAGTAGCAGGTAGTGAGCTTGTCGGCTTCGAGGATTCCGAATTTGAGAAGGCGTGTGAGAAAGGGCCAGGTTAGCATTCCTCCGCTCGTCCACTCCTTTTCTCTAAATTTTGTGGTTATTCAACTTCGTCCTTCTGGTTCGGCCTTTCCCAAGATGAAGGACCTACCTAAACTAAGCAGCGCTAGGTCTGCCTAGGGGTAGACAAGAGGTACCTCTTAGCCTAGGGTAACCGAAGGAGAATTGTACATACTACGTACCTACTCCGTATGTATACGTATGATAGGTACGGAATCGGTACGTAGTAGTGCAGCGCAATGCGATGTTTCTACTGGCAGAAGGCGGGTACTATTATGCGCTACTGCCGAATGGCATGTGGTGCCAGCCCGCTGAGCCGTCGCTGGGTTATGCGAAGGCGTGCCTGCCTGGGTCGGTGACAGGAGAAATTGGCCCGAACCCATCCCAGGTTAGTTGCATACCTGCCTATGTTAGGTACCTAGCTTAGGTACCTTGGAATGTGCCTGATGTATCTATTACTGCTGTTCCAGGTGGAGTTAGGTAGGTTGTGTACATATATCTGTACATACCTGCCTAGGTAGGTACCTGCGGCAGGTGGGGTGTCGGCCTGCCTTGGGATAGATATTAGGTAACTGCCCCGTTAAGCGGCTAGCGTGATGCAGGCCCGCGATGGGGTGACTGCAATTTCGAGGTTGGGGTCATAGCCATCCATGCTTACCTGCCTGATATCTGATATATGTACATATCCATGTCATCAGTCCCATCCCGACTTGCGACATCCTGCAGAGAGGTTGCCTAATGAGGTAGGCAGACATCTACACGTAGGACTTTCACGGCCTTCAACGAGCACCTGGTGAAACTTGTCCATCCCCTTCTCCTCTTCCTGTCGCCATCCTCCTCTTCTCTCAGCTCTGGCCCCCATACCTTGCAAGCACATATACATCCATACTCTACATACGCCTATGCGTGTACGTGCTAACCGCTATTGTCTAATTTGAAAGAAAGAAAAAATAAAAATAAAAGAGGGAGAGAGGAACAGAGGGAGAATGCTCCGATGCCCGTCTATTTTAACCTCTGACCCTCGAGAGTCTCATATCGTGTAATAGGCTACGATTGCCTCGTCCCAAACACGCAGGCTGGAGACGGACCAGACACGACCGCGAGAAGGAGAGGGGCCTGGGAGGAGGCTGCCCCGCCGTTCTCTTCTCATCGGAGCGCGTGCGCAGATCAGTCCGCAGATCTCTCTCCAGTATAGTAGGCTTTCGCATCGTCGCCCGCACGGGAACGCTCGCGCAGCCTCCCCGCCATCTACGTTCATCACCACCGACGGACGCCGTGGCGGGTGTGTGCTGCGTAGGAGGGGAGGCGTGTATGAGAGAGGTGTGGTAGAATCGCGCCGTATAGCCACGTCTCACCCCATCCAATCGCCAACTTGTTCTTCTTCCCCCCCCCACCGTCCGTCGTATAGAGAGCGTGGATGAGAAGCGCAGCAGGTGGTATACCTAGTATATACAATACAGTATGCCTGCGCATTTTATTCTACACCCACCAATCCACGTCGACTTTGTGTGTGTTACATTCATTCCATTTCGCCGCGCGCTTCGCCGCCGTGACTAGGCTGCCACGCCCCGCTGCCATCTTTCCCCAAGCTGGCTTCATTGGTCATGGCCATCCTATAGCGTCTTATAAGTCATCTTACCTATATCGCGACTTGTAAAGGCTGGGGTTGTGGACGGACAGCTCCTTCGCGCGTCACCGCCGATGGCGCGGAAGTCGTCTACGATATTACCTACCTCTCCGATCTTTAGATGCAGAGCCCGACGTGCCGGCATAGGTAACTTTACGCGTACCGTCTTCTTCTTTCTCTCTCTTTCCTACGCTTCTCGCAGCAATCTTGTTAGGTTTGAATGCTACCATCTCTCCCTCTTGTCGCCCCACGTGCAGACATAATTACCATCGGTAATATAGTAAAATTAATACACAATCTCGGGGCCGTTTATGCGGACGTAACCCGTCAGACCGTGCGTCTGCACCTCTCTACATATGTCCGACCATGTCTATATTGTATTGTGTTGCGATGCTAGGTATATTTATTGTTACACGCCTTCAGTTCCTACAGATTATTACCCGACTGGATTCCCTGCCTGTCCTGTCTATGATGTATCCATATGACTCCGTAATACATGTCACTTTTCGTAAGCGAGGACTCGATATTACTGTCGTTCAAAGACCTGCATTAAGGGATGTATGCATGTATGCATGTGAGATGGCATAGGTACATCCATCCGTAGGAGCTAGACATATGCAAGTCAGCCCTGCTTCCCTCTAGCGCCGGGCAGTTCTCTACAGTAGACACTCCCTCGAGAATAGGCGCCTAATCCAGTCTACCATTTTCCTACAATCTCCACCTAGCATACGCCTAAGACCTCCGGTAAGACAGCCAGTGACACCGCCAGCCAGCCAACCCAATCCCCATCTCCTCTCTCGCCGATGGAGAAACGAGAAACGCCCGTCGACACGCCTCGCCAAGTCAGCCAGCCTAGAGTAAGGTCGCTAGCGCTTACCTGTCCGTCGACCTCCGCACAGATTCGATAGTCCAGCCGGTTTAGTTTAGCCGTCGTGGATCCAGAAGCAGCACGCGAGATTGGATCCAGCCTAGCAACTGTCCCGTTTCTCGCTACCCCCCCCTTCTTCCCTCATTCATTCCCACTTCCCTCTTCTCAACGCAAGTCTAGACCTACAAGTACACCCGTCGATCCCGTGCATAGGGCTGAGATCGGGAAATATATCTACTACGTACCTAACGTGGTTCATCATTAATATCTCGCGCATACTAGGTATTACCTCGCGCACTTGTCCCTCACGCCTCGACCTCCTAACCTTCGTGCGTGATAACAACACCACAACACAATGCTAATCCAAACTAAATACAGCCGAATCCATCTTGCTATCGAGGCTATCTGTACGTCCAAAAAATCGTCCTGCCGACGTGCTGTTAAGCTCTACGATGTTCACGAATCCACTCTTCGCAGCCGAATAAAGGCTCAAGTCGCTAGCTGAGAGACGGCATGTACGATATAATTTAACCGTAACTGAAGAAAAGACAATCGCAAAACATATACTTAACTTAGATTCGAAAGGGTTTCCCTTCGGGATTGTTAATATCGAAGATATGGCAAATCTCCTCCTTATAACCTGTCTCATAAAGCCTGTTGGCAAACAATAGCCATACCGCCTTCGTACAACGCGGCCCCGAGCTTAAAAAGGGGGTTTCTCGTGCGTATAATTTCTAAAGGGCCTTTTGCGAAGATCCGGCCCTTAATGAGGCGTGGTTGTTGTTTTATCGAAGCGGACGCCAACACGGACTGGACTGCCCTTTCCGAGTTCCCCAGGCCAACTTCATAGGTCTCTTAGACACCGCACAATCCAGCTGCAGCCGTTTCGCAGTCTGAATACGTACTTACAAGGCCGAATTGCCAGGTATTAAGGAAGCACTCTAACTAACATACATTCAGCTGCGAAACAGTCTGTAAGGGCTACAGAGCCCATTGCCCATCGGGTGACGTTAGCAAACGTTAATCAAGGAAAGGGTTTGTTGAAGGAGGCGTAATTGATGCTGGACCGTTGACTTTGCAACGCTACAGGAGGTGCGGTAAGGCTGAGCACAACGTGCGAACCTGTTAGGAGATTAAGGAGACGTCGAATAAAAAGAGCTGTGTTAAATGCAAGTTGATATTATCGTATTATTATCAAGTAATCGCTATGCGTCGGGTAATGATGAACCACGTTAGGTAGTCCAATGCCTCTGCCTCTCTGGTACAGGTGGTAGCTAAGCCACATGCTCACACCCACACGGATAACCTACATAGGCACGTCGTATGGGCAATACAACGTTAGGTAGTATGCACACACACACACACGCGCGCATACACGGCCACATACCTATGATGTGCTTCAACCGACACCCACACCTCCATACTTGGGGGCCGAAATCGCGCAAGGCACGACCTCGTATAGGTTTGTGCCCGGGTTCGAGGGAGAAACACGCCCCCTCACCCCGCCCCCCCTCCCCCATACAGAAAGTGAGGAGGCGACAGAGACTGAACGAGGCGCAGAGGGAAACGAAACCAAACGAAACGAAGCAGAGAGAGACAAGACGAGGGGACGCCTGCGAGACACCCATCGGCCCGCCACCACGTCACGGCTCACGGCGCGCGCGCGAGGCTATTACTGCCTTGCCGGTCTCCTTCCCTGCCTAAGCTGGGTACGTACGTAGCGGGCACGCACACACACACACACACACGCCGCGTCCACGCGCAACCTCGTAGGTTACATCGTCGCCTCTCGCTAGGCAGTCACCGCCCGGCGGTGAACACTGCCCTCCCCCCCGGAAGCGATCCGGGATCTCTCGAGTAGAGAAGGAAAAAATTTTCTTTTCTCCTATTCTGTTTCTCTCGTCCCGGTCTTACATGCGTGGCTTAGGGGGCGGGGGGGGGAGCCAACCAAGTTAAACAGATGTGTAGGCATGGGGCGTAGGAGAGGGGCGTGTCACGCGCCGTCGACGGGGGGCTTGCCCGCCGACCTAGGTACGTACGTACACATTGCTAATCAGTTCGCTTCCTGCACACACACGTACATAGCGAGCGTTGCTCGCCACCCACCCAGCCAGCTGCCCGAGGCATTATCGCAATTAGACCATGCTAAACGTACCCAAGTACGGCTCGGGCGCACGACCGGACCCGGCGGCGGGAGAGCAAGCGTCGGGTCCGAGAGGAGGCTCCCCCTCCTGAAAGCGATTGGCCAGCCGACGCCGCCCACGCAGCCGGCCGGCCGGCTGGGGAGAGCAGGCCGTGGCCGGCCCGCATGCAGCACGTATATGTCGTAGAACCGCCCCCTTAACTCACACCCGGCCGGCCCGCTCAACCCTAGCCCGAGCCCAGCGCCCCGCCGGCACAGCGCCCGATTGCCGCCCCAGGGGCGCGGGCCCCGCCGAGCGTAGGAACCGGGGCGGTAGGAAGAACCCCGGGGGAGTAGACCCTGCGCCGGAAAGCCGCGTCCGCCCGGGTAGCCCGAGCCCGGCGACGCCTTCAGGAAAACGCCGCACGAGTCGCGCGGTCGCGGCAGGCGCCCGCGATGTAAGCTCCGGGCTTGCGGCCGGCGTGTGCGCAGAGGACCCAGGAGTTGCTCGAGGTGCCGTCGATATACCCGAACGCACGTATTCGCCGGTAGGGTCCCTCGTATATCGGGGTAGAGAGGCATGCTCTCTCTCTCTCTCTCTCTTTTTTTTGCCATCCATCCTTCCCGAGCGACCGAACCGCCGGGCCTGGTGCTGTCCGAACTCTTTGCGACTCGTGCTAGACGCCTAGAAGCAGGACGTAGGCAAACTGTCCTCTTCGCTCTTCTCTACTCTTGGGATATACCCGTTTCTTACTCTGGCCATGTGGTATGGTTTGCGCTGAACGGCCTGGAAGGAAGCGATGGAAACCCCAGTCCAGCCCTTCTACGACGGAAAGAAAAGGAGCATGTACGTGGGGAAGAAGACCAACTGCAAAGGCAACGTCCTGCGTGAGGTTCGTGGATGACTTCGCGGTCTTAGCTCGCTTGGAAGAATGGCGGCGGAAGTTATCAAGCCATGTGTTAAGCAATCCCTGGCCCCGCGAGGACTCTCACTCTACAGATAGAGCCCAGGTCACACCGATCTACGAGATACCAAAGATACGGCTGGTATTCAAGGGTGTAAGGTATTGCGGGGAAAATAGAGGGTGGTGAATAGATTTAATTCACGGAGAGATGGCATGAAAGAAAGGGGAGAGGCGTAGAGGAAAACATACAAGTCGCAAATTAGAACGGTGTACCTCCTAAGGTAACAATGCGTCTGCCTGTACGCCACTAACAACAGGCTGTTCGGATCTCGCCTGTCTTCCATCGAGACCGCTATTTTGTAACCGACTAACTGGAACCACGTGAGAAGGCACCAAGCCATCATCAAACCCATTTGCGCCGTCACCGTCCGCCATGTTAGCCCGCCGCCTGTAACCGACGTACCATAGTAGGTCTGAGACCGGATATAAACGAGCGCGACGTGTTGAGATCCGGGGTATTTTCGTGTAGAATGCTGAGACGCCGGATCCGCTGGTGAGGGTGACTTCTTGAGAGGGGGGGGGGGGGGGGGGAGGGGAACAGTCGTCTCGTCATAAAACTCGTTAGATGCGGTGCTTCTCGCTTTCTGTCCCGTCATGGTTATGATTAGTTAAAGTTGCCCTTTTTGGGAGCCGAGTGGTCGTTGCGGAGCTCACCCAGCCGAGAATAGAGCATGTACAGTGCCATTCTGTTACATTCCTCGGTGCCCGTGATCGTGACTAAGCGCTCGTTGCTATTATCTTGAGGTTCATTGATCTTGATGACGCTGCCGCTGATCTGTCGTATCTCGTTGATCTTCTGGCCACCCTTACCGATGATGGCCCCGACCATGTCGTTGGGGATGAATATCTGCTGGGTCAATGGCGCACCGGCGATGGCGCCGTGCATCGGCTGGGCCGGAGGACCTCCGTGAGCGTGCGGACCGGCTACGTGACCGGCGTGGTGAGGCGGGATGTGTGGCGTGGTACCGTAACCAGCAGCAGTCTGAGGCGCATAGTGCATCGGGACGCTCGGGTTGGGTTGCGGTGTCGCCGCGTGGGGGTTATACGGCTGTGCGTACGGTGCCGGTGGTGCCTGGTGGGATCTGGGATCTGGCCGCCTTCCGTAATTCTCGCGATGGCCGAAGTTACCGCCAGCTGGCTGCGGACAGTACGGAACGACTTGCATGCCCCCGGGCACGACACCAGCGGGCCCACCACTTCGGGTAGCGTAAGCAGATGCAGCCGGGCCGCCGAAGCGCTCCTTAAGCTGCTCAAGGAGAGTGTTGGCTACATAGTAAGTTGCGATGTGGACGGAATCAGCTACGCCCATCACCACGAGGGAGCGTTCGCTCGACAGGGGAAGGCAAGAATCGGAGGCGTTGAGCCTCGCTCCCGACAGCTCTTGAATCTCGCGAATTCGAACCCCCCCCTTTCCGATGATGGAACCTATGAGGACGTGGGGGATGAGAAGGCGAAGAGGGTAAGTCTTCGACTGGGCGTTGGATGTCTCCGTCAGCGGCTCGTTATTTAGCGTCCTAATGATTAACGCAAACGCCTAAAGACGAGTCAGCTACGGCTTGCGCGCCTCGGTTGTTCGGGAAGGGGGAATTTAAGAAAATACCTTGGCCACAGCCTCCACCACTCCGCTAACTGTAAGAATGCGTTCTATGGCACCCTTCTGATAGTCACTAACGGTGCACTTGGCGTGAGATTGCTTCCGGATGTTGGACACATTCTCGCCACCTTTGCCGATGATGGTGGCGGCCTCGGGGCTGGAGATAACAGCGCGGATATGGATCCACGCCGTCTCATCCTGGCTATTGGCGGGGGTGCTGGGTACTGCTCCAGTAGCACCGGTGCTCGCAATGAACTTGGATTCGCTGGCATCAGTCACGACGGTATCCCCTTGATCGTCCTTGGCCTCGGCTTTTGGAATCTCTGCAAACTCGGGTTTGGCCGTGCCGTTCAGCCCCGTAGGCGTCGGGAGGTCGTCCCCATTTCTCTCCAGGATGTCAATTTTCTTATCCTCGTTACCATTGCTAATGACCTTGTCGAGGGCTAGTCGCTTGGCCTCGGGTTGGTCGTTGCCTCGCGAAGGGGATGAAGCATCCTCCAGAGGGCGTTTAGCCGGATTGGTCGGGTGGGTGGGTGAAGCAGACATCTCGCGCTATGTATGCTCTTTTACGCTTCAAGCAAGGGGAGCCTACGTATGTCTTCTAAACGACCCACGTGCGATTGAATATGGATATCGGTTTCTCAATTCTCTCTTTTCTTCTTGTCCTATCTACACCTTGAGGGTTTTCAAAAGAAAACGTGCAGGTGTAGTGGCTCGGGGCGGGAGGTGGCGGGAGGGACCGTCAAGTTGGTGGCAGAGGTCTTGATGTTGCGGGATCTGGAGGTCAGGTCGGACTTGGAAGGCAGGGTGGTCGGTATGAAGTGACGAGGTCGGAGCCGTGAAGGAATAGTGATGATGTATAGGTGAGAGATCCCGTGCTAGGATCCGGGCGGTCGTGCTGGAAGGCGAGAAGATTCGCGGGACGAGAGTGGTAGTGAGGCACCTGACGGCTTGCGGAGGGCGCGATATTGGCAATGGAAGACAGACGGCCAGGCTTGGCCGGAGGTGGTATATGTAGATATGATAGGCAGTGATCAAGTACGTAGGTATGGCGGAGGATTTAGAAGGCAAAGACGGAAGAACAAAGTAGAAGTACGCGGGTTGGAAAGACGTGGTAGGAGAAGAGACGAATTGTAGGTGGTTCCCAAACCTTTGATCCGTCAAATAGAAGCGGCCGTGACAGATAGCACGCGATGCCGGTTTCCTTCTTCTTCTTCTTCTTCGTCCCTATCGAGGAAGTCGCCTGTCAACCTAATCGCCTTCTTCTCAGACCTGCGGCCGACGATGATATTCGGAATTCGGGTCGGCGGGTGCGCCCTTGGTTCCGGGGTGTTGGTGCTGTACGAGTTGGGTCACGCAGGGTAGTCGCCCGAGAGCTTGGTATAAGCAGGCAGTTGGCCCGTTAGTCCTGTGGCCTTTCTCGCGCCAGGAGCCTGAGGTGTGGTCGAAGGAGCAGAGGGCTTGGTTGGGGAACGTGAGTCTGCCGTCTCCCGTGGTGGCGAAGGGGGAGGAAGAGGGAAAACAGACCCGACAGGAGACGGGGGTATCAAATTGAGTGCAGTGATGAAAAATGGGGTGATGTGATGGGAAGGGGACGATGGATGAGCGTTGGGATCGGATGGGATTGATGGAAGTGAGTGGAGGGATGAGTGGTGGAAGAAAAAAAAAGGGCGATGAGGGTGGGTTGATGATGGGGGAGGGAGATGAGATGGAGGTGAAGATGCGAGTAAGATCAATGAATCTGTGCTTGTGTGTCAAGTGTGTGGCGTGTGTGCTCAGGTGGTTACTAAGAAGGCTTGGGAAGATTACGTTGTCCGGTACTTGCTGGGTACGAACGGGCCATGGTTGACACCGTTGCTGAGGGTTAGGAGTCTACCTTACCTGGCAACCTACGAAGTTATGTAGGTAGCTCGTAGGTACCTACCATATCCGGGGCCTCCGTACCTACGTACCCAAGTATTATACCGTAGTAATTTCTAAGGTCGCTACAAGTTGAGCCGTGCTCCTTTCCCTGCTGCCTCCAGCCTCCTGCCTAAAGGCGTAGCTGCTCCCTCTCGTTCTTAAAGAATCGCAACTTCTTCCGCATAGAAAGTAGACAATAAAAAAACTCTGCGATCCAAGCGTCATGGATCTGTCTTGATTGGCTGCGGAGTCGCAACCTGGTGCGCTGAGGTGGAAGTCCGAACCCACCCAAAGAGGTACCTCGGTACTACGGTGCGTAGACAGTGCAAAGTCCGCCCCGACCAGCTCCGCAAGTCTTCTATAGGTCTCTATACATAGACAGAGTTATAATTTTATTTAAAAAATTAAGTTCAGCCTAAACTAACTTAACTTAAGTAATTTCGAACTTAACTTAAACTTAACTTGAAATTTTTTTAAATTTAACTTAACTTAAGTTAAACTTTAAAAAATTTTTTAAAAAACTTTAAATCTTAATATTATATTTAAAATATAATTTAAAAAATTTTTATTATAATAATAATAATAATTTAAATTATTCTAATTTTTAATATAAAATATTTTTTATATTTCTATTATATATTTATATTATATTTAAAAAGGTTTAATATTAATAAAGTAAACAAGGACATGCTGCCCGTGCCGTACCTTTCGGCGGTACCGCCTTATTAGCCTAAATCGTCTTATTGCCTTTGTCCCCGCTCTACCGAGCTTGCAATATCGTGAAGTCTAGAGTGCGGCCGATCCGGCTCATGGATTAGGCGTCGGCGGTACTATAAACCTATCGGTATCCCGTGTATAAGCCATCCCCGGCGCCGATCTCGTGAGCCGCTTTGGAATGGGGCCGTCGTCCGAAAGGCGAAGATGACTGTCCGACCGGTAGCGTTTCTCTCGGTCTGATCCAATAGACTCGAGCCACTTGGAAAGAAATGTTTTGATAGATTCCGGGAAAGGACGAGGATGGTCCGGATCAACGCGGTCTTCGAGAAACGAGGCGTAGGGACGTTTAGGCTTTAGTTGCTGCAGGATCGTCTGTACGAGCTTCTCGATTAGCGATTGACTGACCTGAATGAGGAAACGTTGATATACCTTGGCCGCCTGCTTTGGTTCCTCGTCCTCAACTTGCGGCTGTTGCGCGTCCTGCGTTAATCGGGCTTTCTTCGCGAGCGGCGAATCGCTCTCAGATGTTTCGTCGAGTTGCCTCTTCCTGCCTTGCGCGGGTGTCGCGTGCCGGGAGAGATCTCCGTTCGATGGGAACTGCTCTTGGTGGCTCTGCGGAATCTCTGTACCAAAATGAGGTTAACATGTCTGTCTCTCTACTCTCCGTGAAACAAATCAAATGCGTCGCAGACGACTGCATACCTGCACCCGTGCTTGCGACAGGCAGCTGCTTTTCTGGCAAGGTTGGCTTCTGACAGGGCCTTGCCGGCTCTGGTTCCTCGTCCTCTCTAGGCTGCGCGTCTGTCTCCTTTCTGGCTCTCTTCGTGGCGGGCAACGGGTTGGTCTTGGAAGTCGTATCGAGCCGCCTTTTCGTGGACCGTAAAGATTCGTCCCGGAGGAGATCTCCACTTAATGGAGATTTATAGATACAGGCCTAAGAGTTATAATGATAGCATCATTAGCAGTGAAACGCAGATATCTCTCAAGTAGTGAACTCGGAGACACGCTAGAACGTAGTCACAGCTAATAAATCTCAAGGACATGAACCGCCGACCATACACCAAGCTGAGAAAAGAGCGAGGCAGGTAGCTAGGCAGCACGGTATTAGATGCACCAACCCAAAAGTCACTGAAAAGGCATATACTGCCAGCCCCCAAGAACCAAGCAGCGATACCGCCCCATGCCCCCTAGCATCTCGAGATCAAGGCGTCGGTCGTGCCACAGCTTTCATGAGGCTCGCCCAGTAGGCGCTAGGCCAGGCGGCCAGGGCCATGTCGTCCGCGGGTGTCCCTCCCTTGCAGCGCAGTACGACACTCTGGATGACGCGGCCAAGTAGCTCTTCGGTCATAGGCAGAATTTTACCGTCTCCGGCCGCAGAGAGTGCTGGGTTGTATTCTTTGGGGTAGAGGAAGTCGTTGCCCTCAGACAGCAAGGTCTCGCACGTGGGACGGTCCTTCTGGTCACGACTCAGGCAGCGTCGCATCGTCTGTATCAGAGCGACAGGCACGCGCGACCCATCCTCCGTTGTCGCCGGGATTCCAATCCGGCTGGACCAGTCGACAATGGCATGGATGCGCAACCGTGGCTCAGCTATCTTCCCAAAAGGCGGCATGCCGTAGACCATCTGGTACAGGATGCACCCCAGGCTCCACACGTCGCTGGGTTTGCCGACCTTCACAACCTTGGGCGCGCCACTGGCCGGGATGTATGAGTGCCCATTGTGGATCGACATGAGAGCATATTGGTTTGAGTCCATCAGTGATTCGGGCGACATGTAGTTGAGTGTGCCGGCCATGGTCTCACGGTGGACATTGATCGTCATGTCGGTCTGGATCGCGTTGGCAATACCAAAGTCGATGAGCTTCAGCCGGCCCTTGACAAGTACAAAGTTGGCCGGTTTGAGATCGCTATGCACCACCGCCTGCGCATGGATCGCTTGCACGCACTCAAGCATCTCCTTCCAGTAGTATCGCACAAATGCGATATCGAAGCTGGGTGCTTCAGCTCCACTCTGGCGGTTCTTAAGGAGGGAGTTGAAGTCGAGTTCGCCAAGTTCCATGAGCTGTTATCCATGTTAGCTGCCTCGTCTTCCGAGATAAAGAGTAGGGTAAATGTCTATAGAAGGCAAAGACACTTACGATACAGAGCGACTGCTTTTCTCTGTTCATCTCAAAATCTATGAGTTGAATGACACGCTCGATATCCCGCAGTCGCTGAAGTAGTTCAATTTCCCTTCTCAAGCCCTCTATAGTAAGCTCGTCCGTATGCACGAGCGAAACTCGCTTCAAGGCTAACGTAGTCCCGCTCTCCGTGGCAACGCGGTATACTTTACCCGAGCCTCCTCGTCCGATGAAGCCTATCCTCGTATAGGCTCTGCCGTTGACCCTCATTAACTGCCTTTTCTTGATCCATTGGGTGGCCGTTACGGTCTCGACGACAGACATCTTTGGGGGCGGCAGTGATGGTGCCGGCCGGTAGGGAGTATTCTGGCTCTTGACGGCTAAAGCTCTTCTCTCGGAGATCAGGGCCCGCTGCGGAGCAACCGATCCCGTGTCGAGACTAAGTGGCCTTGATGGCTTGCTAAGCTCCTTGTCAAGGGGTTTTATTGAGGCCCGTCTGAAGCTTGCTGGCGCTGGAGCCTGGATTTCCTTGGCATGAACCGACAGGATCTCTGGCAATGGAATAAGCTCATGGTGTGGTGATTCGTTGTGGCTCGCAGTTTGTTGGGCATGCATGTTAAAGAGGCGGACCGGAGATGCCTGCTTGCCGATTGCGGCAGGGATCGGGTGCTTTGTTTGAAAAGGACTGCCGAGTGCGGTAGAATTGTGGAGTTTTGAGGTTGAGAGAGCCATGGCGGGCTGATCAATCGCAGCAGGCTCAAGATCCTGAGCTTGCTGACTTTCAGGATCCTGAGCGGCGGTGAGTGACTCTTCGCCATGTGCTTCTGCATCTTCTTCAGTCTGTCTTCGTCGGCCGCGACGAGCTGGCCCGCTGAGGAGACTTCCAGAGACTCTGATGACTCGCTTCAGGCGCGTCGTACTCCGAAGCTCGAGATCCTCTCTCTTGCCCGAGTTGTTAGTTCGTGATACGCTGCCCACATTATCAGCAGCGTTGGCCCGCTCCGCGGTAGCAGGGTTCTCTGGTGTGCCAGCATCGCTATCCGCCCCGAAACGCTTGGAAGAAATAGCTGATGAGCCTGCTGAGCGGATCCTCTGTCCGGATGAATCAATTGAAATCCGGACTGTGCGCACTGATGAGATTGGCGAGTTGATGCTTGTTTGAGCATACTCTTGCTTGGGATGCCGTTCGTCCATCTCAGCCTGTGTCTGGAAATGCGACTCCCCTCCGATAGATCTATTCCCGCTCTCCGCTCTTGTCCTCTGCGCAGACGCCGACATGAAGCGTCGCAACCCGTTTTGCGGGGTTCCGCGGCCTGGTGTATAACTGAGACGCACGACTCTCTTTCTAGGAGCCGGGCTGCTACCTCGACTTTGGGACGCGGCTGGCGACGTTGGCTTTGCGGGCGGGAGCTGCAGGCTGTCAGCCCGTGTGTCTCTCCCAATCTCGCGCTGCCGAACACTTTCCCGCAGATGGCCACGATCCTTTGATGTGGATGAGGTAGAGGCAGCAAGAGCCCTGCGCCGTGTGCAGACCCTGGGTGGAGGCTGGGCCGATGGGGGTGCTGGCCGCTCGCCTAGTATAGCATATACGGCGCTAGGTTCGGGTTGTCCGTCATTGAGCAGCGCTTTTGTGAAGGTACTTAATTTTATCGGTACGAGAATCTCATCGTCGGAGCTGTCATGAGACGCAGAGTGTTGTTGCACGTGGGATTTCGATTGCGCTTGCGGCTGTGGCTTCGTATTCTCTCGCGTCGTTTCGGATGGTGATGGCTGCGATTCGCTTTGATTGGGCTTCGACGTTGAGAGCTGCCTTAGAGCCTGTCTTGTAGAAGTCCTTCTCCCTAAGGACATCCTGTGGCTATCGGTATCGACAGGTAATGACGGTACTGTAGCTATATTTCTTGGCTTAGTGAGTTTAATGATTGACTTCCTTTTTCTGCGCTACCGATGATAGTCAACTGAGACCGCGTCTTCTTCTTGGGCGAGCTCCCGAGCAGAACAAACGCGTAGGAAGCTTGTATTTACCTAAGTGTTGATGGGATCATAATATACTAAGGTACTTTGGTACGGTAGGAAGGGACCATGTTTTAGGTTACTGGGCGTGAGCTAATCAGAAGAAGCTGTACCCTGTACTTTGTTGCTTATGGCAACCAGTATTCAGCCAGACTAGAATGTGCCAGTGCCCTATGCTGCCTCTTAAAAAACATAGTATGGAAAGAAACCAATGCCAGGATAATAAGCTTACTGGGCTCTCTATTAGTAGGCACAATATAGTAGAAGATAGACAGGGGAAGTATCCTTATTCATATAATCTAATTGGCTTGCAGGGGTACTGGAGCAGTGTCTGCACTCGAGAGGGTATAGGTAAATCCTTGCCATCTGTTAGGAAGCTCCTAAGCCTCAAAGTCAGATAAATGGTATGTATTCTATTAGAGAGTACCTAGTACGAACGAAAGAAAACATAGAGCTTTAAATAGCCTGTGATATAAGGCTTAAATATGAATAAAAAGGGTAGAAATAAAGAGCTTATAAAGCTTTTTAATTTCGCTTAGAGGTAGCAAGTACTTAGGCTTTAAATATCGTTAATAAATATAATATTAGTTATTAGAATATTTATAGTATCATTAAATAATAATAATAATAATAATAATAATAATAATAATAATAATAATAATAATAATAATAATAATAATAATAATAATAATAATAATAATAATAATAATAATAATAATAATAATAATAATAATAATAATAATAATAATAATAATAATAATAATAATAATAATAATAATAATAATAATAATAATAATAATAATAAAATATATATATATATATTTAGTATAAAAAACTTTAAAAAAAACTTAAACTTAAACTTAACTTGAAAACCCTAAACTTAACTTAAAAACTTGAACTTTTTTTTTTCAACCCTGTACGTAGGTAGGTCCCTTAGTAAGGCCCTTACCGTACCTGCGTGTCTCCTAAACTTCCACATTCTGGTGAGACGATTCCGCCAATGGGTGCGGGTGCGACACGGTAAGGCTTCAAAATGAATGGCTCCTATTTCTACGTACATTTATTCTTTCCGACGTGTCGACAAATCCGTTAATCCGTGCCGTCTAAGGGCTGGGAATATCCGCCTATATTGGACTTACGCCTTGTATGCCTCGATGCTCGTCGCATAGGAGGTGCGTATGTGCTCATATACCCTTCCCGTCTTCCCCTGTGCCGTGTAGAGGCGCTTATAAGCCCCCCCCGTGCACTCCTGCCGGCGATTTCGTCTAAATGCCCGAGCAATGCCATCTGCGTGCGTGTGTGTGATGCTAACGGATCAGAATGGGACAGCTATATTCAGGGTCAATCTTCCCCCTCAAGAAGCACATGCTTTGATCTTCTACTTGGTACCTGCTGTAGATCCGTCGGCAATTCGCTCCAGCCACATTCCCCAGCTGCCCTCTAACGATACCTATACCTCTCCCGGCTGAACACTGCGTTCTGCATATTTACCCGTCTGCAACGTATGCATAACAAAAACACCCTGGAATGTAGAAGGGTTCCGTCGACGGCTGCGGGGCTAGGCAATTCTGTGTTTTGACCTTACCGCCCGTTTACAGCGGGTGTCTCCCGGACGATAACACAGCCGCCTAAAGCGGTTCGCCGGCTCTTCTAGCTACCTTCCCTGCCTGGGTCTGCCCGGGTCGTCGCCACGGCGCAGCGAAGAAATGGATGACGAGACACGTCCCAGCGAGGATGCCGACCCGGCCCACGCGTCCCGCGTCAGGGACACGCTGCGGGAGCTCCGGGAAAAGGTCAAGGAGCACGAGGCAGCGCTCGCCCAGTTGCGGACCGCCGTGTCGACTACGAGCCGCGCGGGTCAGGCGCATCCTGCCACGGCACCCTGGGAGATCATGGGGGCAGCCTATGACGAACTAGCGTCGCAGGCGCCGTTCTTGCCGTTCCCCGACTCCGTATTGCCAGCCCTGTTGGCTCTCCGCAAGACGCACCAGAATGTGGAAGAGACGAGGGCATACTTGGCATCTCACAAGGACTCGGTCGAAAAGACGCGGCAGCGACTGGAGGTCGAGAAGTCCAACCTCGAAGACCAGAAAGCCCTTTCTCAGAGCCTGCGCAACCGTATACAGTCGCTGCAGGCCGGCCTCGAAAGCCGGATGGAGATGGGGCCGGAGGACATCGTCGCTGAGCGGATCCAAGAGCTGAAGCAGAAGAAGAAGTACTACGACGGAGAAATATCCACGCTGCTCAAGGCGCTCCGGAAATTTTTCGACGAACACCTGGCGGGCATGCTCGCCGCCGAAGAGCTCGGAGGCCCCGTTGTGGGTGATATCATGGACGTCGACGGCGACGATCTCGCCGCGGGGTTTAGCTCCCAGGGAAAGCTCAAGAAGGCCAAGGAGAACCCGGATCAGGACAAGCGGCAGCGGCGCATCGACGAGATCTGGGGCCAGGCGGCGAGGGCGGATACGGGGGAGCGAGACGAGATCTCGGCGGCGGGCGCGGAGATGCGCAATCTGACGGAGGAGCTGCTGAACAGCCTCGCGCAGTCCGAGGGCGACAGCTCGTCTGCCTACGTTCAGCTCGCCAGGGAGTCGGCGGCTGCGAGGTTTTTCGTGAGATCGAAGGTTGCGCAATTTCACCCGCGCGACTCGGCGAAGCTGCGGCTCGTCGACTTTGGCAAGGAGCTAGACGAGTGATGCGTTCCGGTCCACGGCGGCATCGGGAAGCGTGCACGCGGGACAGATACTCGGACGAGCACATACGACGATAAGTCGATGGCGTACCATACGCATTACATCGCACGGACTGGGAGCGTCAATGAAACAAGCTAGGAGGGTCCAGAGCTGCGGTCTATATACATACACCTACATATGTATGTAGATGCATCGTGGGGTTTAGGTATGTGCTGTAGTGTGGCCTTCGCACGTGGGAGAGGTCCAGGGGGGTCAGTGTTCTCGCTGGCTGGTCTACGTGCGTAGGTATACTTACTCGCTGTCCACCACCGTGATGCTACAACTCTTCCTCCTACCTAAAATGTACCTACACCTAATAATGTGCCTGACATGACAACCGGGTTCCGATTCTCTCAGGTTATCGAACACATACCTACATATGTACAGTTCTCGGTCCCAGGAGTCTGGAGACGAGAAAGGGGAGGGTGTCTCTGCATGTACTGCTGGCTCCCGCCCGTAGGTACCTAAGTACCTTAAGTACTTCCTCTCTCCTATACAAGGTACATCTCTATGCAAGCCCACAACGCGACGATTGGCCAATGAGCAGCCGGCCTCCTTCGACCTCTCAACGCGTCGGACTTGCAAGGCGCGAGCGTCGCCGTTCTCCGTTCCGGTCCCACCGCCAGCGAGCAGCCACATTTTGCCTACATACTCATACGTGGGCGCGTCAATCCGAGTTCCCGCTCTGCTCCCTCACCGCAACTACCGACAGCCAGACACAACAACCGACGCTGCTGTCTGCTCCGCACACCGCCCGTCGCCAACGCACACACGCACGCACACGCGCACACGCGCCAGAATTCGCTAGAAAACCCGTCAAAATTCCGCGCCGGCCCCCGCGCTCCCTCGAGAGCGTCTTCTCCCTCTCCCCTCTCTCTCTTCTAAGCCGCGTCACTACCGCTGCTGCTACTACTGCTACTGCTACTGCTGCTGCTACTACTGCTACTGCTACTGCTACTTCTACTACTACGGCTTCCCACCACCTCGCCGCACCCGCACCACCACCCCTTCGCAGCGGCCCGCGCCCCCGCACCCTCGCACCGCCGCGACCTGTACGCCGGCTAGGCATGAGCACCGAAGCCGGGTCGCCGCCGACCTCGCCGCCCGCGAAGCGCGTCAAGACGGCGCCGGCCTCCTCTCCCGCCATGGCCAGCCCTCCTCCTCCCGCCGCCGCCGCCGAGGCCCCGGCGCTGCTCGTCCAGAAGCTCTCGCCGCGGGCGCGCCTGCCGACGCGCGGCTCCGCGCACGCGGCGGGGTACGACCTGTACGCGGCGGCGGCGACGACGGTGCCGGCGCGCGGGCGGGCGGTGGTGGAGACGGACGTGGCGGTGGCCGTGCCGGCGGGCACGTACGGGCGCGTGGCGCCGCGCTCGGGCCTGGCGGCGAAGCACGGCATCGACACGCTGGCCGGCGTCGTCGACGCCGACTACCGCGGCCCCGTGCGCGTGCTGCTCGCCAACCTCAGCGACGCCGACTTCGCCGTCGCCGAGGGCGACCGCGTCGCCCAGCTCGTCGTCGAGCGCATCTGCTCCCCCGCCGTCCTCGAGGTCGCCCAGCTCGACCCCAGCGTCCGCGGCGCCGCCGGCTTCGGGAGCACCGGCACGAACTAGAGCGGGAGAAGGAGAAGGAGGAGGAGAAGGAAAGGACGGGGGACGGGAAAGGACGGGGAATGGAATGGGGTAAAGGGGCCAAAAAGTCTGATGGCGGGGGGTGCTAGGACGTGGTAGAGACGGAAGACGGCTGTCGTTAGGCACTAGGTAGATCGGACCGCATCAGATCGGGATCGGAGCGGAACGGATCGGTGCGGACGGGAATAAACTGCGTCTACCTGCCCTATTCCGTGTTTCTTTACCTGGACCCTAGGAGAGTGATTTTTCACGCCGTGCCGCATCTCGGTAGAGTCCAGCTCAGGGAAAAAGTTGAGAGTTCCATCTCGCCCCAGCACCGCTAGGTCGAGAACGCAGTAGGAACCTGCAAGGTGTAAATAGCGTGTGCATCTACGCATCGTCTGTTTCATCGCTAGATACGCGGCGCGACAGCTCTGTCCACTCACTACTACCTTGGGCAAACCCCTAGATTCCGTCACAGATGGGTAAGCTTCAAAAGAGCCACGTCCCTGGATGCCTACCTACACCACGGCAGTTGTCGTCTATCCATATATTCTTCTATATTTCTATACGTAGGTATGTACCCGATGCCCCGCGCTATAACTTCTGGGCCTTGTACTCTACTTTCGGATCCCGGAGGCATCTCAGGTGCCGCGACAGCTTGAGCTCGGCGGCCCGCGTCCGGAGCAGGAACTGTGTCTTGTCGTCCGCTCCCGCCCCCGTTGCCTGCTCCCGCTCCCGCTTCCGTCGCGCGAGCTCCGCCTCCATGCCCTGCGACGTGCGCTCGAGGATCTCATGCATGCTGGCGAGCACCTTCTCGGCTGCCTGCGCCAGCGGCAGGTCCAGCGCGTCGACGTCGTCGGCGCTGAGCCACGACCGCGTCTCGCCCAGCTTCCCACTGCCGCTGCCGGCCTCGTTTCGTTCTTGTGCCGCCGCCGCCTCCGCCGCCGCTACCACCGCCTCGCGCATGCGCACCACCATCAGCGCCGCGAACATGTCCCCCGTGCCGCTGAAATAGCAGTCGAACACGGGGAATAGGATCTTGAAGGGCCGGGGCCGCCGGTCTGACGTCATGCTAGAGCCTACGACGGACATCGTGCCTACCGTCTGCGCGGGTGAGTGAGGCGAGGTGGCGGTGGCGGACGTTGGCAATGAGCCAAGGAGCGGTACAGATACGGATGTGATGACGACGTGCGGGACTCCATATATCTGGTGGAGCACTCGAATGGCCTTCTCGAGCGAGGCAGGATCGGAGATTTTCACGCCCGATAGTAGTCTACATCATGTTAGGGAGAAAACATTGTTGCCGTTCTGATCTTGCTCCACATTATCATCACAGAGGGTGCGGGAAGCTATCGATGGAATATTCGTCTCTCGTTTACCGTGTCAAGGCAGGGGATAGGATGGCGATTTTTTTTTAAAAAAAAAAGAACAAAAAACTTACTCGGCCTCGAACTGATTGGGAAGTATGAGGTCAGCATGGTGGATGAGGCTCTTATACGCAGGCACGACGTCTTCCGCGACGTACAGGCGACCGTTATCGCCCATGACCGGGTCGAGCACCCAGAAGAAGCTCCCTCCGGGACCCCGAGCCTCCCACTTCCGCCGGAGCTCTTTGCCAATGTTACCCACGGCGTCGACGGCGGCCGCGCCGGGAATATAGCCGGTGAGCATCACATCGAAGTCGTCGAGGTGAGACTGCTTGAGCCCCTCCCACAGGTCCGTGATCTCCTGCGCCGACAGCCGCGCGCCCTTCCATTGCTTGTAGCCGGTGTGGTTGCCTTCACGTTCATCACGAGCCTGTCAGAAACGCACACCAGAGGAGCCTCCGGGCTCGGATGCCGCGAAACGTAAGCGCGCGCGACGTGCGCGGGGGATCGGGAGGACGGGCGCTTACGTACTAAAATACACCGTGTTCAGGGCGGCGACCTCGCAACCCATGGACTGGAGCGTGAAGACGGCGATCTTGTTCCCTACGTTCCTATTCCGAGGCGAGGGGGTTTTGAGGGTCAACAGAGACGGTCGTCCAACGGCACGCGAGTGACGGGTGTAGATATTTCGTGAGGCACGCGACGAGGGCGGAGGAGGGGGGGATATTCTCACCCTGAGACGACCTTCCGAGGAGGCGGGAGAAGTTAGCGCAGGAGCATAGCTAGATGGGTAGTCTCGAGGGCGTGTGGCTGTTGCCCTACATGACTGGCGATAGCCAGGACGTTTGTCTCTGGAACCGGGGGCTCAGCGCTCATGTAGACGACTTGGCTGCGGCTTTCTGGACGTAGGTGCGGCAAAGTGAGGGTGGACTAGGAGGGGTAACTTGGAGATGCCAGCAGGGCCGTCGAACTATCGAATAAGCCGTAAGTCCAGTAGAGTCAGCCTATATCGGCCGCAATGGTCTGGGGAGGGGAGCGAGGCTTAATATATGCTCCGAAGCCATACGGGAGAAGGTCGGTCGGGGAGAGGAAGAAGAGGGCGGGTGGTTGCTCAGCGGGGATAAGCGGCCAGGGTGGAGGGAATCAATCCTGTTGAGTAATGTTGCAGCGGCCGCCCGCCGAATGCCGGCCGGTAAATGCTTGACTAAATCCTCCTAATCTTACCTGAGGTAAGACCTGCCTAAGGATGCCCATAGTCTACATCATAGCCTACCTACCTTAGGTACCTCCATCTCTTACTAAAGGGCGCGTGGAGATGCCCTCCCCTTCTGTTGGACTCTCCTGTTCTCTCTATTCGCTCCTATGCCTGCCACGTCCGCATCACCCGTCCACCGCCTTTACAGCGGTGTCTATCGAGGCGTACTCGCTATAGCTCTACCTACTTACGCGTATACGCAGGTAGGTACCTGGCTTTAGGGTCAGCCCCACCTTTTCGGATAGCACCGCACTATGGAAGGTTAGGTATTATATGGGTGTATTTCACTTACCTACTACTTACCTTAGGTACCTGATCAGGCACCTACCTACCTGCCTCTCTACCCGTATTCATCGCATCCACAGCTCATATAGATTAGGTAGGCTGCCTACCTCCTAAGCTACCCCTACCCCTGCAAAGGGAGGCTCCTCGTGCCTGGAGTGCGTGCTAGATAGGTGTGCCCTGCCTGCGGACGCGGCAGCGTTGCGGTAAGGCGTCGTTCGCAAGGACATGAGGTCTAGGATAGGGTGCCAACGCAGACTCGAGGCACGGGGACATGGGGCACTTTCTATCATTCTACCCTCTGAAGGAATCCGTTGTCTCCTCGAAGCTCGAGCAGTACCTAACTAGTAAGCAGTTCCGCAAAAGAATCGCCGACACTCGAGAGTATGCAATGAATATAGGTCCGTGGCGGCGATCTTATGGTTTCCCATCCCTTCCTCCTCCTCCTGCGGCGTATCCGTCCGTAGATATAATAATACCCCTCCCAGCAGCTCGACGAGGCAAGCGCCGCGATAGCCCGTGGCTTTCTCGTTCGGACGTTATGGTATCTCGGTGATTCTTTATTATTATCGTCTGTACTATTACCCGCTCTCTTACTCCTCGTCGCCGATCTGCAACAGAGAATAGTGTTAGCAGCCACGTCGAAAGGATGCCGCGCGTGGGGCGGTGAACCGACCTTGGGCGCGAGATAGAACCGTAGATAACTGCTGCCGGACAGCCCGTACTCCACCAGCAGTGGCACCTCGTTGGACAGGCAGATCTTGACGTTGGTAGACAGCGCCTGGGCTTTGCAGAAGTTGACCAGGTACTTGAGGGAGAAGGTCAGAGAGGTCGACTCCGTCAGCTCGATGTCGATGTTCTGCTCCGGCTTGTCGACGTTCTGATGACTTCGCAACGTGACGGATCCGTTGCCGATGTCGCCATTGCAAGAGAACTTGACGCCGTCCTTGTTCGCCTCGATCGTCACTTGTTACTTGTCAGCTGCATTCCGTTACGCGTCACGGCCCTTGTTTCCGCAGCGAGGAAAACCAAAAAAGAAAGAAAAAAAACTTACCAGATTCCGACATGGCCATGAGATCAGTGCAGATGCGCCGGAATTCGGCCGAAGGCATCGAGACCGTGGCCGCGTACTCGGTCTCGGGGATGCCCAGATGTTCTTGGTCGATGTCCATCAGCTTGAGGTCGTACTCGCTGATGCGGTCGTTCTCGCTGCTCTCGAACACGAGGTTCAGCGAGTCGGGCGCGTCTTCGGCCTTGAGGGTGAGGATATCTTCGTTCTGTGCCGCACGTAGGACCTTGGTTAGGGAGACGAGGTTGACTCCGAGCGCGATGTTCCGGTCGCAACGGTAGGGGGAGAAGGCCTCGGCCTTGAGCATCATCGACACCAGGGCCACGTGGGAGTTGTCCATAGCCTGCAGCGCGATGCCCGAGTCATTGCAGTCGAAGTTGCAGTCCTGCACGAGATCTTTGATAGAATCCACCACCTATTCCGTCAGTATAATCGGCGTACGCAATGCATTGCCACGCGGGTTTACCTTCTTGAGGACCTGTGCCTGCTCGAGTCTAGCCTCCAACATCGTGACTGCTGAGAAGGGAACGAGGCTTCTGGAGGATCGGTGTGCAGATAGTGGTGGCAGACAGGCGTCGGGGTCTTGAGCTTATAAAGACGGAGCTTGGGATCTCGCGTAAAGAGGAGTGTTGTTGGGCGTACGGGTTTAATCTATTCGGAAAGACGACGACAGGAAGCGGTGGAAGAGCTGGCTGGTGGCAGGCCTAAAAATCGGTGGGATGAATTGGGTAATGGACACGCGTGGAGCGCGCTACTCCGCTCAACGCGTCTTTCCTCGTCTTTAATTGACTGCCGACCGCGAAAAAAAAACCCCCCACTTGCCCTAGCTCGACAGGTGCGTCTAAAAATCGGGTACGTACCTATTTCTCTCCTTTACCTTAGCTAAGAATACGTCTATACCTACAAATATGTGTGCATCTACACGTAGTAGATATTGTATCCGCACTTTCTTCCCCCCCCCTAAGCCAACATGCCCTTACGGGTAGAGCAGCTGTGTAGAATGACATACCTACCTAACTCTATATAGTAGATACCTATAGATATAGATATATAGATATATAAAATAATTACCAGCCATTTCGTAGAATCGTATAGGAGCGTCATCTGCCTATGTGCAGCGCGTGGTCTGGTACTTAGGCAGATATCTCTCTGTGACCCCCTATATCTGGCCAGAATAGCTTCACTAGAAATCGCCGTGGAATGTTCGTTACCCAGGCACTACCCTGGCCATTCCGTGATAGAAGGCATCGCATCTTGAGGCGTCACATTGTTTTTTTTTTTCTATAAAGGCGACCACATTAGGCGTATCCGTAGAGAGCGATAAACGAGCGTGTGCTGTGTGAGTGTGTGTATATATGGGGCTGATGGCGTTGGTACATATATACACGGGGGTTGGATAAAACAGGGAAAAGGGGAACATTATACGCAAAAGATCGTGTCGATGACTAGCCCTCTATCAGGTTTTTTTGTCTTTCACTGCCGCCAGGTTTTGGAGGAAAAAAAAGGGTTAGATAAATAAAAGCACCAAACCCCGCCGTGGTGAAAAAGGTTGGTCAGGCCGGCTCGCTGTCTATCCCAAATACGCCGTGTGACCGATTCGTTACCTGCTCGTTATCAACGCCCGGAACCCAGTGACTGCTTTTGGTCTATATGATACACTGTCAAGGAAACGGTTTAAAGAGAGACTCGGCCGCGGCCAGGTTTTCTGTCCAGGACGCCCTGCAATTCTCGCATCATGCCTCTGTGGGCCTCAGCTTTTGCGCGGGCGATATCCTTGGACTTGCGATCCTCCCTCATCCTGATGATCCTCTCCTCTCGCGTGAGCAGGCTCCTGGGCTTCGGTAGCGAGATGGCCTCGAACACTTCCGGCTCGATCGATATTACTAGTTCTCTTGTCGGAGACGAATCCCCGTTGAGCTTCCTCAGCGCGTCGGCGACACCCGGCTCCTGCTCGTCCTGGCTGTTCTCGTCTTCTTCCGCAATCGTTCGTCCGCTCAGCGTACTTGCGGGGGACATAAGCATGGAGCCCACAGATGAAAGACGCTTCTCGTTCCTATCAATGCCGGACGCCAGGGACGATTTCCCGGTCTGCCACGCTTCCATCAGGTCTCGTAGATCTTGTCCGATCGATTCGTACTGGGCCATGAATAACGGCCCGAGGTCGCTAATGTTGCTAATGTCGTCGGCTTCGTTCAAAGCCTTGGACGACTCCTCACGGAGGAGATGCAATTTGGCCTGCACACTCCGGATGTTCATAGTCATCGAATTAAGTCTCCGAACTTGGTGGCGCCAGCGGTCCTGGCCGGGCGGCTCGGGGCTTCTCGGGGTCTTTGGCAGTTGAACTAGAATCATGCTGTTTAGAAAACAACTCGAGAGAAACGATTCGTGGCCCACTTACAGTCATTATCAGCCAGTATGTCTCTCACCCGGGCATAGGCTTGTCTGGTCACCACATTCAATTCTTGGAAGGACTCGAGTATCGTCGTGAAACGGACTCGGTCGGAGCTGTTGCCGACAGTGTGGAGGGCTAATAAGCCGCTCAGGAACATCTTCCGGATGTCGTGGAAAAGGAAAGCGGCATCTTTTAGGGGTTGGAGCTTCTCGGCGTCATGGGCGTCGGTCCTGGAAAACACCTCGAACCGCTCTACTACATCGGCGACGGTAAATTGATATTGAGATTGCAGTTGCAGAAGCTCGGTCTGCTCTGCGAACGCCCAGACCGTGAAGGCTGTGTGGTAGTACTTGGAGATAACCTCCGTCAAGCTGGTTCGAAGGGCAGCCCTAAGCTGCTGGCACTTGACATTTTGGCCGTTGTTCTCTAACCGGCTGATAGGCGGAATAGGGGTGCTCCTGATTACTAGTTAGCCAAGTTACGTCGTAGCCTCCAGGTCCGGTATGGAGAGAAGACTTGCAGTCGATATCCTCGGGCCACCAATTCCACCTCCATTATGAAGTTGAGGGCAGCGCTGTTCGCGCAGTCGTATTCTCGGGAGATTGAGAGGAAGGCTGACGCCTCTGCTAGGCCTTGCTTTTGTATGTTTCTCAGGATCTGTCTTCGGACGTATGCTCGAGCAATTAGAGAAGCGAGGGACGATATCACGACGGAAACCAGCAGCCGTTTCCATGTGGGCACAAATCCGGTAAGGGAGATATATCTGACAAGGGACGCGGCGCCGAAGCCGAAAACAGCGGCGGCAACGGCGCCAGAGGCGGTGAATCCGTGGAGGCCCGACTCGATGACCAGCTCGGGCGCGGCCGCGTCTGCCGATTGTTGGTACCCGAGAACTAAGGGGTTATCTAGTAGCTGGGACTGCACGATGGCGAGGCGCAGGCGCTCGAGGAAGCCGATCGTCCGGGCGTGGTCGATAGATGAGGTGACGGCCTCGAGCAAGAACTGTAGGATATCGAGCATGGGGGAGGCGTGGTTGTGGATCCGGTTCAGATGGGCGGGAAGGTTGTCGGCGTCAATCCGTAGAGGCTTCGGGATATTTTCCCTGAATCGCTTGCGGACCTTGGCGAAGCCTCTGGGGGCGAACTCTGGGGTCGGGCTGGGTGGTGGCGAGCAGTCGTTGTCCCTGCTGTCATCGGATTCCTGCCATTGTAGCTCCTCCTTCTCGCCCGTACCTGTGATATCATCGCTGGTTAGGGCGGGAGGGGGGGTCTCGGACATGGTGCTGGCAGAGATGGACGCTCTCCTCCCAGAACAGGCCGGGGTGGTCGGGTGATGGGTTGAAGGGGCAGACATACCCTCGAGATAGTTGCTCAAAGGCGTGCCCTCATCTACGTGAGTCTCCATGAAATTGACGTGTAGCACAACGGCCGGCGCCCATCCGGCGCGGAATTACTTATGATTTACTCAGTGCGCATACAGGCGGTACGACGAATATTAAAATGAGACGATTCAGCTAAGGAACGAGACAAAGTCTCAATGGAAGAGATATTAGGTAGAGGGCGAAGACGGGGGTTAGTCCGACTTTGGCGGGCAAGAAAGAGATATTGAAAGAAATGGCTATATGTACGAAGGAAGTAAGGAAGCAAGCAAGTAAGCGAGTAGTAAGAAGGAAATATAGGTAGGCTAACGAACGTGGAGAAGGGTTTAGGAAAGGATGAAAGACGAACGAACTATAGAAGGATTCGTTGGAAGGTCAAAGTTGTCCAAGGTCAAGTGGTTTTTGTTCATTTGACTGGTACGAGATTAGCCCAGGCCGGGTAGGCAAGTTGAATAACGGGCTGCTACATATGTGCTATGTAGTAATATGGCAAGGTATGTCGCAAATAACGTACTACCACGACAACAAGAGCGGGCGAGGTCGAGGAGAGAGGTAGAGGTAGGCGGAGGAGAGCTAGGTAGGTAGAGGTAGGTAGTTTGTTCAATGGACAAGGGGCATATTGGAAGTAACCCCCTACCTACACATGCACTACGTAGTACATGCATCCCTATATCTGCCTACCTTCCCGAGGCATGTACTCCGTCCAGGCGCATTATGTACAATACATACCATAGCATACCGAGGAGGGCGATTACCCGGTAGGCAGGCAGGTACCCTGTACGTACGGACAGGCATGCATACATAAGCAGGTACCACGGCGTAAAATGATGTGCGTTGCGGGCGCCGAACTGCCTCCACCTCCTCCACCAGGTCCGAAATTGGCATGCTCTCCTCGATCTGGATGTGCAATGATGGTGGTATCGGGAGCGCGCTATCACCAGAGAGGAAACACTCATGTCCACCAATTGGCTACCTCATTCCCACGTTCATGCTCGGCCAGCCAGGTTAGGAGGTACCTCCTCTGCTCTGTTTACCACCAGAAACACCTACCCGAGGTACATACATGCCTACCGGCCGGTATGCGCGGGGATCATTCAGTTAGTTAGGAATGCTTTTTATAGCGTATATATATCTATAGAGTACAATATATAGGTATATATATATGCAGATATAAAAGCTGCCTACCTACCTATGTATGCATGTGCGTGCGTACTCATAGAACGCATAACCGGCTCGGGATTTATCATCGTGCGAGACAGAGCCATATCCGACCTTGTCCGAGGACCCCGTACCTGGGTTCTCGCTTGGGGCCCTGCGCTGCCCGGTCCGGGCTGTCCTGCTCTCGTCCCGGCTCCAGGGGCGGACCAGCTTCGATTCATCTCGAAGTTCCCAGGTTCGCGTTCGTCTCCCACTTGCACAGCCCTGCTAGCCCGTTTCGTCATGGGGCGTGCCTGTAGACGTGCATAACCTCCTTACCTCGACGGAGGCGCATAGGATAGGTGATATTAGGTACTACTTTGCAGTACCCGTCGCATTCCTCAGCCAGCTGGCAGAGGAGGTGTTGCGGGCCGACAGCCGGCGAAAGGTTCTCGCCCAGGAATTGAAGCCTGCCTGCTATAGGGTAGGTACGTGCCAACCCGCTGGACTTGTGCCACCCCCCATTCCTCCGACCCTCCGTGGGCAAAGCTCTGTAACTAGCTGTCCCGTCTTACCTAACACACACACCTACACCTTAGAATCGACCACATAGCTTCATGTGGAAGCACACACGTACGCACACACCCGTCCGACGCGAATTCGAATCCGAACGCCCTCCGCACTCCTCCACCCCCCTCCCTTCTCCCCACTGCTGCCTTGGCCTCCCTTGATTCCGCCGGGCAGGGCTACACGGACAGCGACAAAACCCCCGACGGCGAAGAGCGCGAGCGAGGGACAGCAAAAGCGCCCTAGAGGGACGCGCACATCGCCAACGCTCGATCAGCCCGCCGCCCTCGACCAGCCATGCCGTCCGAGCGAGAGCTCCAGATATCGCCCATCGTGCCCGAGTCGGTGATGCACAACACCAAGGTCCGTTCCTCTGTCCCTCTCCTTAGCACCCCCCCCCCCCCCCCCCCCTTCCCGAACTGCCCCAACCGATTCCTCCGCCCGAGGCCATCGCACCGCACCACGCCGCGTCCCACCGCGCCGTGTCGCCGTCGCACGATAACCCCTTAATACGCCGATGCGTTACGAGCACGCTCCCCGCTAACACGATCCTCCCCCTCGCGCAGGCCCTATCCAACCTGCAGACGCTGACGGCCTCCATCTTCGGCGCCGCCGCCGGCATCCTCGGGCTCGAGTCCTACGCCGGCTTCCTCTTCTACCTCGCCCTCACCGCCGTCACCACCCTGCTCTTCTACGCCATCCGCGTCGCCCCCGAGTCGCTCGCCGCCGGCCACGCGCCCCTCGACACGAGCCGCTACTTCCGCTCCCGATACGAGTTCTGGGCCGGCGGCCTCTTCAGCGGGCTCGCTGGCTACGTGCTTACTTGGACTTTGTTCTACGGCCTGGTGAGAGCCTGAGCAGAGACGCTGCGAGGCCGACGAGGGAAGGGGAGGTGACGGGAGGGGAAGGGGGAGATAATGGATGGGAAACGAAGAAACGACATAATCTGTCAATGCGTACGCATACGTGCACACGCACGTATCACACCCTCGAGAGCATCACCCGGCGTTTAGCATTCTCTCCGGGTCCGACCGGAAGAGTGGGCGGATGAATTTCGCTTCCAGATGATGAGGGGTTCGATGGGGAACGACGCTCATGATTGCTTGCTATCTATATTTATCCTTGATAACCAGAAAGTAAGTGTCGACAAATACGATGACGTACAATGTGTCTCCGTTTACTCCCCGATTTCGATTACTTTACCTACGTAACCCTCAAGCCCCCACTTATCTTTGGGACCCCCTTCTACCAGGACGACCCGAGATCCGAGTTCGATCCATTCTCTGTTCGCTAGGAGTTCCAACGATACGTGGTGCTCTGCGTGGCGCTCGGCATGCTCGCCTAGGTTCGATTCCGGCGTGACGCGCTCGAGCTCGATGTGATCTTCCATGCCGAACATACCATCCTCTGCCGGAACTTTCCATGGATCGAGGTCCGGCTTTGACCCCGTCACTCGCAATACCCGAACCGTTGCCCGCACCATTCCTACGTAAGCTGTTACTATGCTACCTACAGTGAGTGACTCGACGTCCGGTGCTTCAAACAAAGCTACAAAGCTCGAAGCAGCCTGAAGGGAAAGCTCTGTGTCGGCTATGTGTTGGCTGGGCACGGCAAGAACCTGGCCCTTGCGAAGTCTGGCGTCCGATATCCTTGGTTTCTCGTGCGCGACGCTACTGTCGGCGTTACTATCGGACGCTTCCTCAGTGGGTTCATCGAAAACGATCTGAATAGAACCGGCCTGTCCGGCCTCCATAGTCTGAACCGGAAGCCTCAAATCGCGAATATTCACAACCGTCGCCTGAAGCCACTCACCGTGGATCTTGGACGCGGATAAGGCGTGGCGGGAGCTGAGTCGAGCAAATTCTGCAGACGAGGGGTGGGGGATGGATAGACCGTATCCTGGGGAGGGATGGTCATTTGGCATGAGGGCTCTCGCGTCTTCGTCATCCCCAGGAAACGGCCCCAAAACAACTCTATCGCCAATAGAGAGCCTTCCGAACCGTAGATAACCGGTAACTACCGGAGCGCTTTCGCTCGGCCCGCCGCCTCCGATGGCCTGCGCGCGGCTTAACGGCATCTCGAAGACCTCGTCGATATGGAAGAGGGCGGCCGGCTGCTCTGGGTTCAGCGCAAGCGGGACGAAATCTCTCGCGGTAGGCGGCGGCGGCATCGGCAAGCTTCGCAATAAAGCGTGAGTCAGCCCAATGCTCATGCCCTTGACGGCGCTTACGAGGACGATTGGCACGATAGACAGCGGGTCACCCGATTCGGTGATCGGAGTGACGACTTCGTCCCTGACCTTTTGTATGTCATCGGCTGGTACTTCTGCGAGATTGTCCCCGTCGCGCGAGTTAGAATGCATGATTTTCGGTATTCTCCCCGTAGCCTTGACTTTGGTGAGGACTACGTTCAGCTTTTCCCTCAGCAGCGCACGCTGCCCCAACTCGGACTTGGTGATAATGATAGCCAGGGGTATCGCCAGTTTCAGGCACAGATCCAGATACGCCATCGCCAAATCCATCGAGGCTATCCCAACCCCCGCGGCTCCATCTACACCGGGCAACGCCTTGGCGCCAGAACTCAAGATGCCGTCGTCATTCGCGGAAATGCAAAGCAGGGTCCAATGAGGAGCCCATCCGACGAGTGCCCGGAGAGCCGTTCGCTGATATCGGGGGTGACCGGCGGAGTCTAATAAGAAGACCAATCGGCCGTTTTCTGCGCGATCATGTATGTCGGGCCATTCGTTGATGTTATCAGCGTTGTAATTGTATATCCGCCTCCCTTCGTAACCGATGAGCTCCTGGGCGATGGAGCTGGTTCGACCAGATGCAACTTCGTGTCGATGTCTCAACAGGTTGATTCTACTGCTTCCTCGCCCATTATCTAGCGTACCGTTCGAAAGGGTGCCTAGCAACGTCGTTTTCCCCGATGTCGTTGGTCCTATGAGCGAAACCCGAAGCTGCTCGGTGATCGAGGCGTCTCTCCTGGGAGCATCACCGAGCTTGGCTGCTTGCTGGCCGTCCGTGTCTCTCCGCACATTTACTACTGGCATGACGAGCGCCTCCGCTACCCAGAGATCCGCCACGTTGACGTGATCGCTTGATCCCGGAGCATTATCAGTCCACTCGCAGCTTCCGACGGCTTTCATGCGTTGTACCTCGACCCTACAACCCAAGCTGGCAGCCATCACTTTCAGCGTCGTCATACTCTCGTCCATCTCGCCCTTGGTCAAGCCTACAAAGGTCCCGTCATCGGCCACGCCTATCTCGTACAGCGCCCCGTTCGATTCCTCGAGCCCTGGAAGGAGTTTCCCCGGCTGTTCTAGAGCCGAAAGGTCGGCGTTTTCTTCGGGTAACCGCGGCACAACGAGATCTCTTCTCGCCGTGGAATGGTGCGGAGATGACTGCTGCAATCTCCAAAGAAGTTGAGTCGTTAGATGGTGGAGGCGATTCTGCCTAGTCTGGCTCGAAGAGGCGAGCGGCGGGCCGGTCTTTCTTTGCGGCTTTGCTTCTTGCATGAGCCTTGGGTGTTGGGATCCTGAGGCTGCCTGCGCCGTGCTCATTCTGCTGTAGGCTCTCCGGGGACGCAGGAGGAGGTGCAATTTATACTCGACCGGGCCGTCCTGAGGCTCTGCCTCGAGTTTCTCTAGCTGTGAGTCGGAGAGCCGCTCAGACTCGACGGCGGCCCCTCCGATGACAGAGTGACCAGCGTGAGGTTTCCCATTGGAGTCCTGGGTGGGCGGCCAGGGCGAATTCACCCGCGGGGGATCGTGGTCGAAGGTAAATATGGAAGCCATTGCTAGCTTTCAGTCGACGAAGCGGGCCGTACAGAACTATCGAGGCCAAGGGTCTAGTTCAAGAAGAAACGTAGTTGACCGTCGTTCGCGAGCAGCGTGATCGCTGCCAAAGGGTTCGGTAATTGGATAAATTAAAACACAGAAGTCATAGGGTTAGGATCTGTCCGGCATCCGGTGGTAATGTCCGTATTGGATATATTGCACAGCCCTTCACTACTCGCTGTGTGGTGAATAGCTGTATTAATGGGATCATCTTCGAAACGATAGGAGCTGAAGAGCTCGAGCGTAAACAATATTCAATAGGCTGCTGCGGTAAACTCGATGCTAATGTGAAAAGAAGGAATCCATTGCGAATGCTAAGCTGTATTATAGTGGTGGATGGAGCAGAGGGACGATTTCGATATTGGCGGAGGTTGTTGGTCCGGGTAGGTAGAAGAGGAGGAGCGACAGATTGGCAGCCCAGGCATTCTGACATGTACATTACCTAAGCTGGACCAAATACGAGGAGTCAGGTAAGGTTTCTTTTTCAAGGCTTATGGGGGCTGGCGCTTGATGTACATAGGTACCTCTCAGTATTGTGCATAAGGCACCTCCTAGCTGGCCTGTAAACGTCAAGAGTTACAGCTTAGAGGAGTTTAATGCATGCTCTATTTTCATGCAACGGAGATAATATACATAGAGATAGATGCCTTGTCCCCTGGGAGACTAACATGAGCCAGTTAGTAAAGGGTATGTATATGTATATGTATGAGCCGTATCAAGCCCATTGTTGAGGGTGGTGAGGGCGACAAAGATGGCCTCGGAGGCCTACTCAGTATAAAGTGTGTGACCGAGCGCACGTAAGAGACCTTAGGTACCTTATGATGTTCATGGAGATGCACTAAAAATAAGAACGTTAGACCTGGAACCTCGCCTCCAACAAAAAGGTACTTCCGGCTTCTCACCAGCTCTGACCTGATAAGAGTCACATCCAAGTACCAATTTAGTATCGGTCCTGCGCGTACTTAAGAGGTTAGGTACCTAACCTTAGGTGGGTACATACCCTATTCACTGCTGACCGCTGATGACCACCTCAGAGGCGGTACCTTTTCTACCTGACCGCCTCAGCACCTAAACAAAGAGGTACCTTCAAGGTACCCGATTCTCTCCACTATAAAAAGCGCTGCGGCGCAGGGAGTGACGAATTACAGTGGCGTTGGGTCAGATCAGGGGGCACTCTGCGGTTAAAGTACAGCCGTAGCCCTGCTTTGCCAGTTGCAGTCGCCTACCACATACCTCTGCTACTACTCCAGCTTGCCCTCTTTGACTGACTTTCCCGCCTTCAATTCCCCATACCTCTCCAATCCATCATCCATTGACCCATCCACCAAATACCACCCAAATACCCACTCGCCCAGAGTCCCCTCCCCATTCCCTTTCGAAACGCAACCTAAGACACCCACTGCCCTCGGTTCCCATAAATCTAGCACGTTATCCAGCAATCTTTATAACCATCCCGACTTGCACCTCTCATTCCTCCGCATTCAGCCGCTTCCCTGTTCTTCTTGCCGACCCCCTTCCGCTCCGTTGACACCACTGGAACTGCCACTTCGCGAGTCGAGGACACATTCACAGATTCCCACGATGAAGAAATTCGGATTCGGCAAGAAACAGACCGACGGGGATGATGATCCGAATCGATCGGCTCTCTTTGGCAAGAAGGGCTCCGGCCCGTCGTCGGAAAACCCATACGCTCAATCCCAACCCGCGAACGATCCGTACACTACCGACAACAACAAGTACGCCAATGTAACACCCTATCAAAAGGCCCGTTCAAACCTCCAGAACCAACCAGTCGGCCTCCCCAGCGGACCCGGCCCTCGAAGCGGATACGGGGCTCCCCCTTCACGTACCCCTAGCAATGTTTCCTCCGCGACCGCACCACCTCCGTATTCGAACAATCAACCATCCGGTGGCTATGCCAACGACAGATACGGCACGTCCTCCGGATACGGAAACAGCAAATACGGCAGCTCGAATAGCTATGGTAGTGCTGGAGCCTCGGCCGCTGGCCGTGTCGGCGGCTACGGCGGGCTGGGTCGAACGGACAGCAACGATACAGATGCCAATCGAGATGCTCTCTTCTCCGGCGCCCAGGAGCGGCTCAATCAGCGACAGACCAACCCTGGCAGTGGAGCTTACGGAGCTTCGGGTGCCGATTCGGGTGCCAGCAAATACGGAGGTTACGGAGAGCAGCGTGAACTTACCCAAGAAGACAAAGACTACGAGGAATACAAGAACATCAAGCAGGAGATCCGCGATACTACCAAGGCTAGTGTCGCCTCTACCGAGAACTCTCTGCGAGCGTTGAACCAAAGCTTGGATGTCGGCATGCAGAGCTACGCACGACTCGGCGCCCAGAACGAACGTCTCCACCACACCGATCAGCTCCTCGATACCGCGATCGAGAAGCAGCGCCACGCTGACGTCCAAACCAAGAAGCTCAAGACCCTCAACCGGAGCATGTTCGCCGTCCACGTCAAGAACCCATTCACGGAAAAGCGGAGGACTGCCGAAGAGGAGGCCAAGTTCGTAGCCCAGAACCAGGCCGACCGTGAAATCCGCGAAGCAACCCGGAGGGATAAGTTTGCCCAGAGCATGCGCATGGAGTCTACCTTTAACGAATTAAACAGGGGAGATGCCCCTGCGTCCTTCTCCAAGCCCAACCGCAACGACAGGAACAAGTACACGCTCGAGGACGACTCGGACGAGGAGGGCGCGAGAGATCTGGAGAACGACAACGACCAGATCGAGAGCAACCTTGCCGAGCTTCAGAACGGCACTTTCAAGCTCAACCGCCTCGCCAAGGCTCTAGGCGAGGAACTTGACCATGGCAACCGCCTCATTGACGGAATCGGCGCAAAGGTTTGTAACATCTCCCAGTTTTTTTTTTGTCTATTTGTTTAGAACGGGCCTAGGCTAACCATTATACAGACTGAACCGTTGGATGACCAGCTCAAAGTGACAAACATGAGATTGGAACGCATTGGTCGCTAAGCCAGCCACTATATTTAAGTTCTAGGGCATAGCATACGACAAAACACACGGATTTTATATTGCTAGTTGAATACCTAAGGTGCCTGCTACTTGGCACCCAACCTATAGTTGACATACGTACAAGGAGCGGACGACATTATTAGATGAATTTTCGATTCAGTTTGGCCGACAAGTAGTTTGTATTCTCTCCTCGGTGACGATGACGGTGATAGGGATGGTAGCAGTGCATGTATAGGTATATGGCACACGTGAGGACAAGTTAGGTATGTTGCAGGAGACGGGACGGACGGCCGAGGGGATATCCATACCCATTCGATAACCCCAGACCAATGGCGGCTCTCTGCAAGCATTGCTCACGTCGGGTCAGGAGTGTGGTATGCATGCCGGCCCTTGCATACTGCGTAGATAAGGTAGACATGTTAGGGCTACGCGACGAGTATTCACATGTGCAAGAGTATGTGGCATACAGTATAGATTCCTCACAGATGTACTGTGTAATTATCGAGACCTCTTCTCTTGACTGGCCCTATTCCGTGTTGCCCCATAGTTATACCTACCTCGTGCCCTTGGCATTACCGGCAGCGTTGTTCACCGTCACCACCCTCCGTTCGCTATTTCGCGATGAAGCCGTCGTGGGGGCTATTCGCCAGCGCTGCAGCCGGAAACGGCTTGGGGGGCATGCACATGGCACTGCTGCCGCCGATTCCTCTGTACCGGCGCCTGCTGCGGGCACACCGGAACCACCTGCCGCCCGCGATGCGCGTCCTCGGCGACCAGTTCGTCAAGGCCGAGTTCCGCGCCCACCGGAACGTCGACAACCCGGTGCACCTGGTACGGCCTAGCCCACCCGCGCGCGCGCTGAGTGCTGATACGGCAGCACAGAGACTGATGATGGCCGCCGGCGCAGGTCGGGTTCCTCACCGAGTGGCAGCTGTACGCCCAGCAGCTCGAGGGCGAGTCGTGGGCCGGCGCGAAGCTGGATCCGGCGAAGATAGAGAAGATGAGCGGTTCGTCGCCCACCCTGCCGAGCCGGCGGCCCGCTAACGAGCGTCTCTTGTCAAAGACCAGCAGATAGGGCAACTGTACGAGCTTATGAAGGCCATCCGGGACAGGAACAGCGGCGACGCGGACGATTGAAGATCCGTCCGCCTGCCTGTCCGTTTATCTCGCCACGAGGGATGGGTAAGGCCGCCGAGAGGCATGGCCAGATAGGTATGAGGATGTTGGTGGATCATTGGGACTCGTTAGGGTCGGTTGTATATAATACCTCTCTGTCCCGTGAGCTCACTAGCATAGACAGCCACGGAGGTCACGAAGACTTGCTGGCGGCCGAGGTCGTCTCGGGAATACGATATACCCCGGATATGAACGCACGGCATGTCTTGAATTCTCATAAGTGGTGCCTACCTATTATCTTAACAGCTTAACAGTAGGATGCGTAGTGTAAGATCGCACCAAGAGAAAGCCGTTATCCTTATACCGGGCTTCATATACCTACCTCCCTACCAATGTAAGTAAGTGTTACTTACATGACCATGCAAAAGAGATCAAGATACGAATAGCAACCTGTCCGAATATACATTATATACATATTTGTCTTAGTACGCATACATAGATACCTGTATGCGTATACTGTGGTTTATTTTCTTATCGACTTTCTTACACGTGACTTGACTGTTCCAGTTGTCAGATACGTAGGTAAATCCACCTACGACTTTTTCCATTTGCATCAGCTCTTCGACCTCGGACCCAACAGCAATCGTGAAAATGGCTGAAGATGGGCACCGGCCTAAGAGACGTAAGACAAAGGCGGCAAACGATCCGACTGTGGTGAAAATCGGGGATAAGACCATATCTCTCAATGCATATCTAAACCCGCAAGAGAAGCCCTCAGAGCGACCACCCTCTGAACGGCCGCAGGATGCCACACATGAGCAATCCCAACAGGCAGAACCTGCTAAAGAATCTGTGCCCGAATCCCGAAAAATAAAACCACCTAAGCCCTCTTCAAGCAAAGGTGACCCGTCACTCTTCAAGTCCCGTCAAAAACTGCCGATATGGGTCCACCAGGACGAAATCAGAGCCAGTTTGAGAGCCGACAATGATGTGCTCGTTGTCGTCGGCGAGACCGGCTCAGGCAAAAGTACTCAGGTCCCTCAATTTCTATGCGACGAGCCTTGGTGTCGGAAGAAGAAAGTTAGGGTGAAATCCGGTATCGTGAATGTGGGCGGCATGATCGCCATTACGCAACCCCGGCGAGTCGCGGCGACTACGCTAGCCAGCAGAGTATCTCGTGAGATGGGTACACCACTGGGAGCATCGCGAGAGGGGCCTGTCGGGTACTCGGTCAGGTTCGACCACAGCATCCCAAAGGGGGCAAAAATCAAGTTTCTCACCGAAGGCATGCTGCTTCAGGAGCTCCTACGGGACCCGGACCTCCGTCAGTACAGCGCCGTGATCGTTGATGAGATTCACGAGAGGAGCGTCGACGTCGATCTGGTTGCCGGGTTTCTGAAGCAGATCCTATCGAGCGATAAAGCTGGCCGGGGAGGTATACCCCTAAAAGTCGTGATCATGAGCGCGACAGCAGACGTGGAGACAATTCAAAATTTCTTCCGTCCCCAGGATTCGGGTCTGTCCGTCAAGTTGCTTCGTATCAAAGGACGGCAGTTTCCGGTGGAGGTCAAGCATACGGACAAGCCCGTCCCGGACATCCAAGAGGCCCTCCTCAAGAGGATCTTCGACATTCATCTACACGAGCCGCTACCAGGTGATATACTGGCCTTCCTCACCGGCCAGGAGGAGATCGAGGCCGCCCAGCGCCTCATCGAAGAGTACAGCGCGACGCTGGCCTCCGACGTGCCAAAATTACTAGTCTGCCCCCTATTCGGTCAACTCTCGATGCAGGCGCAACAAGAGGCATTTCAACCCGCTAAGAAGCGCTTCACGCGAAAGGTGGTTCTATCAACAAATATCGCCGAGACGTCCGTCACCGTCCCGGGCGTCCGGTACGTGATCGACTGCGGGAAAGCCAAAGTCAAGCAGTTCCGCTCGACATTAGGAATGGAGTCACTCTTGGCGAAGGCAATCTCGAAGTCGTCGGCGATACAGCGGACGGGCCGAGCCGGTCGCGAGGGGCCAGGCAAATGCTACAGGCTTTACACTTCGGAGACGTACGATTCGCTCAGGGATGCCGACCTGCCCGAGATCCTCCGCAACGACGTACTGGGCGCCGTCCTCACGATGAAGGCACGCGGCATCAACGATATCCTCTCGTTCCCACTCATGGACTTCCCCGATATCGACTCCGTCGAGAAGGCGCTAATCCATCTCCATTTTCTGGGGGCGCTGGCCGACGACGGCAACATCACGGAAATCGGGAGGAAGCTAGCTCTGTTCCCGGTTTCGGCGCCGTACGGCAGGGTGCTCCTCGCCGCGAGCGAGCCCCAGTACGATTGCCTCCTCGAGGTGATCGATATCATCGCCTGCATCACGTCGGGAGAGAACATATTCCACCAGCTGCAGTCGGAGGAGACGAGGGAAGAGGTGGAGGAGTACCGCAAGGAGCTGTTCCGGCGGGAGGGCGACATCCTCACCTACCTGACGACGATGCAGCGGTACGCCTCCGAGAACGCGGACCGGACGGAGTGGTGCAAGCGGCGGAAGATCAACGTGCGGAACATGAGGCAGGCGCTGAACATCCGCAAGCAGCTGCGGGGGATCTGCGCGCGGGAGAAGCTGCTCGCGGAGGCGCCGCCGGCAGACCCGCAGCCGTTCGAGCCGACGTCGCCGGAGCGGGCGCGGGCGCTGCTGCGGTGCTTCATGCGTGGGTTCGGGACCAAGTGCGCGCTGCTCGCGCCGGACTCGAGCTACGTGACGGTGCAGGGGAAGCACGTGGTGGCGGTGCACCCGTCGAGCGTGCTGCACGGGCGCAAGACGGAGGCCATCATGTTCCTCGAGCACGTCTTCACGCAGCGGAGCTACGTGAAGAAGGTCAGCGCCGTCCAGGCGGACTGGATCGTCGAGGCCATCGAGGGGAGGTGAGAGCAGTGGTGCGGGCTAGGGTATCTGTAAGGAAGGGATGGGAGGCAGAAGGAGGGCAGAGAGATAGCTCCGATATGATGCTTGACGGCGGGCGGTCCGCGGCGACGGGATATCCAGCTCCACCGTCTCTCTTACGAATCCAGACGCAGTCGCGAGATGCTATGGCTCGCTCGCTCTGCTGGAGACAGCTGTGACTACAGGTTCCAACGAGACTCATCACACGCTTCGTGCTCCCAGCTTAACTCCCAAGATGTAGGTACTCAACAAAGGCTAGCTAGTCTCAGATAACACGGCACTCTACGCCTCGGGGGGGCGGCACTTTCAGCCGTTAACAGAGCTGGCTGGCGGTTTCAATGTCTTCGTACTGGCGGGGAAACTAAAATATACCTGCCTATAAATCGGGAAAGGGGCATACCCTTTCCCGAAGGCGTTTACGGAAACAGGTTACTACACCATATCACCCACCACCTATAGCGCAGGCATAACCAGACCGACAAGTAGGCAGGTGGCAGTATACCTACCGCATCGCGCAGGACGCGCGTAGACGTGGCCGCCCTTCAGCGCAACTTAGCCCCCCCTCCCCCCTCCCCCTTCTCTCCTCCAGCTCTCTGCCCGCGTAGGCACACACCTCCCTCCCTGCGTCTGCGTGGCCAGGACGCCGCATGCGTGTCTCGCGCGGCGATTCTCGCCCTCCTCCCCCGTCGTATACCGCCGTATGGGCGTCGAGCCCGGCTGCGCGGGTACGCGCTAGCGCTGCGGCACGCGACCGGGGGGGGGGGTTTTTTTAGGGGAGGGCAAAGGAGAGCTCGCGACCCCCTGCGGGCCTGGTTTGCTTGCTTGCTGCACGTACCTACCTACCTAGATAAGAGGCCGGGTCGCGAGATAGGTTGGTAGCAAATCGGCCGCCGCCGGCCCGCCTTGGCGCCAACGTGACCGCCGCGCAATGCGAGGCCGAGCCAGGGGGGGCGGGGGGCGAGGGGGGCTGAGGGCGAGCTGAGCTGAGCCGAGCTAGGCTGGACGAAGTAGCTGTAGGTAGAAAGAAAAGAAAAGGGGAAAAAAAAAAAGCACATCTGGCGGCGAGTTGAACTAGCTACCTACTAGGTAGGTAGGTGAATAATCCACGCGCCTCCTCGCCACACGCCCGGGGCGACGAGGGAGACAGACAGAGAGAGAGGACGAGGGCAGGGGCGCAGGGTCCGGCCGCGAGAGCGCAGCAGCCCGCTGCGAGCGCCGACACCCACCGCCCTTTGCACCGCAGACTCAGGGCGCGCGCCGGCCAGCCGCGTCGGTCTCGCGACGGACCGCATCGTGTCGCCGCGCTCGGCCGACTCTGCCCTGCCCTCCCCCCCCCCCCCCCCCCCCTTTTTTTCCCTCTACGCACCCCGAGAACAAAAGAACAACCGCTCGACCCGAGATTAGCAAGGAGAGAAGAAGAAGAAGAAAGAAAAAGAAGCAAAGTCTCACGTCCCGCCGACCTGCCTACGTGTACGCGCATGCGTGCGCCACCGCCATGCGTGTCAGCGTGCGCGGGAAGCGCAGGGGGGGGGGGGGGGGGAGCCAACCTCCATCCCTCCTACCCGATCCCTCGGATCGACTGTCGGCTTTCTTTGGGCGGGGGGCAACTTGCCTACCAGATGGCGCAGACGTGTGTGTGTCTCAGATGCAAACATCCAACGTCTGTAACTCTGTGGGTAAAAAGCAGGGAGGTGAGGTCCGCCAGTCTTACGGGACCCCCCCTTCCCACGCCCCCTTTTTTCCTCAACTCTCCCCGCGCCTTCGCGCCCCCTCACTGTGGTCTACTAGCTCGTAGCCATAGTCTGTAGACGGACCTAGGCTGGGCCTGCAGAAGACTAAGTGCTGAGCTAGATATTAATCCGCCTACGTACGAACGCGCGTATTCGCTAAATAGGAGGGGGAGATAAATTGCCGTAGTGAACAGGGGCGAGTCTATAGTGCCTGCGTATATGTGGATGGCGGGGAATATGCACCGTTGGATGCTGGGTACACAACCCCCCTCGGTTGGAATGCCTACCTATCCGCTTACTCCTCCGCCCCTTCCTTCTATTTCCCTTCTATTTCCCTTCAACTATAACGCCGGGAGCCTTCGTGACATCGTCATCACAGCCTGTCCACCCATCGTGCAAGCCTCGCGCAGCTCACTTGCCTACTCGCTGACTCACCACCTCGCGGGCCGATCCGCCTCCTCCTCGAGGTACCATGTTGGGTCGGCGCACGGGTCGAGCTCTCGAGTAGAGAATCCGTTACCGAGGTACGCGAACCGGTTCTCCGAGCCATCGTAGGTGTACTCCCAGTCCTCGCCCCGGAAGCGCTCGAGCATGTGGAAGAAGTGCAACCGGCTGCCCGGGTGCAGCGCCGTCACGGGCCCGGTCTCCTCCCCACCCTTAAACCACGACCGGCACGGCGCTGCCCACGCCGTCCGCGGCATGAAGGCCGCTACGTGCGCCGCGTAGTCTGCGACCGCAGCGCCCGACGGCGCTAGCGCCCTGATCCCTTCTGTCTGGCACTTGCTAATCACCCGCGCGATGTACCGCGCAATATGCTCGCTCAGCGTGAATACGCTGCCGTGACCGATGGGCGCGTTGGGACCTAGGAAAGCTGAGGGTTGTGAGGCACGAGAACCGTTAGTTCGTTATTTAAAGGTAGGTAAATAGGCAGGTAGACGGGTAGGTAGGTAGGCAGCCAGGCAGTGTCTTTCTACGAAGAGCAGCTCGTGCAGAAGGGCCTAACTCACTAAAGTAGTTGGGCACTCCAGCGAGAGCACAGGACATGTAGCCCTGGGGCGTCTCCGCCTTCATGATGTCCTGCACATTGCCCTCTCTACCAACGAGCGGAAACCGTGGTGCGAAAGAGTTGTCGAAGCCCGTCGCGCAAATGATAGCGTCTACCTTGATGACCTCGCCCGACTCGAGCTGGATACCCTCGGGCACGATAGCGGCTATCGCTTCCGTAATCACTTCGGTGTTCGGGGTCCTCAGAGCTTCCAAGTAGCCCGGCGCCGGGGTGATTCTGCGGCACCCCAGAGGGAATTTGGGGATCAACGCCTCGCAGAGCTTCTCGTCTCCGCCAAGGAGCGCCGTCATATACTGGACTACCTTGCTCGCTGCGAACACTTGTGCCGGACTGCCGTTGAGAACCTGCGTAAGCGAAACCGGCATTAGCGAGAGGCTCCGAAGCAAGTCTCCGTAGGCGTGCACACACCAGAGGGAAAGTGCCGTTGATATCCCGCTCGATTGTCTTGACAAATTTATGGTAGAATTCGGGATCCAACTTGAATTTCTCGATCTGCCGCTGGGAGAAGTTCTCCTTTTCGTCAAGCTCTATCTCGCTTAGCACGCTCTTGGCCGGGCCTCCTAGCATCGTCATCGACGTAATGCGTGGGGGGATCACCCATGTTGGGGTGCGGATAAAATGATAGAGCTTTTTGGTTTCTTTGAGAAGGGGCTTAGCTGAGGTTGCTTATGGGGGAAAGAGGCGGACCTAACTGACTGGGCTGGATTGCTGGCAGAAGTTGAATGCCGGATGACCCGTTGCCGATCAGGGCAACGGTCTTGTTGGCGTAGCAGAAATTGCTGGGCCAGCTAGCAGTATGCACCACGTCACCTCGGAAGCTCTCTCTATCTGGTATGTCCGGCCATTTCGGATGGCTAAATACAGTCCCGGGTTAGTTACACCTATGTTGTGTAGATAGCAGCGGAACTGATGGCAGTTGTTCATCTGTCTTACTTGAGAATGCCCGATGCGTCGATGAGGAAGTTGGCTTGGTCCCTGAATTCGGTACCCGTGTCCAGGTTTAGGACGCTCACGTCCCAGAGTCCGCGGTCCTCATCCCACCACGCGCCAACAACCTTGTGTCGTGTCTTGATCACGTCCATCATATGCTCTTCCTCGCATATACGGCTTAGATACTGCTCGATCTCGGCCGAAGAGGAGAAGAAATTCGACCATTCGGGGTTTGGCCTCCAAGAGAACTGGTAATTATGGCTCGGCACGTCACATCTGCATCCCGGGTAGCGATTCTCGAACCAAGTACCGCCCACCTTTTCGTTCTTCTCGTAGATGACATGTTCGTAGCTGGATAGGCTTCTTCGAAGGGTTCGTACCATATTGATACCACTAGCACCCGCCCCGATGCCCACGATTCTGACATGTTTGGCAGTCCCGATGGGTTCCTCTCGAACGGTGTAGGGTGGGGTTCCTGCCACGCTCCCGTGGGTGTCAGCGCCGTTGCTATGCCTTGTGCTATGACTTGGCCCTTGTGAGCCTCTACGGCGCGTCATGTTTGAAATGGTGGAAAATGGAGAGGCCCAGCGGTGTAGATTAGCAAGCTTAGCCATCCTATATTGTGCTTCGAGGAGCTCGACGGGCTTTATAGCCAAGATCGATCAGCCACGACCGGCTTATTGGGCAAGGCGAGTATAATTCCGTGCCCGTGGCACAGTGGCGAGACAAGCCCAGCTGAAAACTAGGTCAGGATCAACCAGGGGTGGTGAGTGTATAGTTGAGACGGTAGGTGAGCTTGAGTAACGGGAGGTTGCGTATCTCGGCCTACCAACGTGGGTAGGAGAAAAGATGTCCCCCGGCGGCCCTCATGCTTTTGACCAAAGCACCTGGCCGATACCTAAATAAACAGGTGCTCGAGTTGGCAATCTCCTTTCTCTGCCCCTCCTCGTCCTCGCATCGCATCCGGCTGCGGCGGCGGGTCGCGCTCGTGAAGCTCTCTGTGCCTCCCTGGTTCGTGCTTGCATCCGAACGAGGATATCAAGCATCCTCTGCCGGGAATTCGCTCCCCCATCCCTCCCTTAGCCCCCCTGGCCACAACGTTAGAGGCCGAGCGATTGTAACCGGGCCCGAACTCTCTCCTCAGTCTTTGGCCACGGGACTTCACACGATGGCCAGCGTAGAAAGAGATAGCAGGTCCCGTGGCGATGGGGCCAATGACGAGCCGCATGGTAGCATGCCTGTCCCTCTATCATCGGACGGCTGTCGTATTTCGTCCAACCACATCCAGACCCCACCAGTCTTTCTCCCATCCCAGATTGGCGATTGCGTCGAGGGGCGCAATGGTACTGCATTGTACCTTGACGAGACGGACGTCTGTCCCACCAGGGGGGGTGCGTGTGTTCCGCGGAGCCGAGCGGCACGGCGGTAAGAGGCTGAAGCCATCCGGGAAGAACTGGCCCGGTCTGATGTGATATGGAGAAAACGGCGTGCGTGTGGAGGAAGAGCCTGGAACGGGGTTTGGTTAGGCGATACTTGAGTGTTGAACAATCAGTCTTGCTCTATGCACCGACCTGGTAGGTACCTACCTAGGTACCTAAGGCACATTAGGCCCGCTAGGAAAGATGCTTAGGCCGGTATGTAGGTACCTAAGGTAGGTAGAGGTAGGTACATGCCTGGTAGGTATATTATACCTACAATACTCCCGCAAGGCACATTCCCGATATTAGTAACGACTGATAACCTCCTTCTTCCCTATGCGCCAGACGCGTTCGACGGTTGGGTACGTACCTGGGCTAAGTGATGTCAGGAGGCACTACAATTACTATAGGTAGGTACCTACCTCATGGTGTACCTCTCTAAGGTAGGAGGGTAAGTGAGGCTACTCCTGCAGGTATCTAACCTCATGTACCTAACGTAGATAGGTACCATGGAAACTACCTCCAACCCAGCAAGAGAAGCCAGGATTTGGCAGCGGACCAATCTCGAAGCAACTTCCCTGCGTCGAGTGCCACGCATTAGGTAGTACGTACGTAGGTACACAGTAGGGTCCCTCGCCTGCAGAGCACTAGAAGTTTGAGTGGCTGAGGCGTATAGGAGGCAGGCCTGCCAGACCTTTACTACTACAATGTATCGGTTTTTTATCGCCTTCGCCCGCTCCCTTGCCCGCCTCACTCACGGTGCCGCACAGGGGAACCGAGGTGCCAGCGCGCCTGTCTCGCGAATATGTCTACAAACTTCTCCTTCTCATTCGCTGGCGATGACATAGAGGACGAGGGAGAGCCAAACCCCGCCGGCGCCGTCGGCCGACCTGCGCAACCACCACCGCGCCCGGCTAGTGCCTTTCCCGTGGTGGGGAAGCCCTTACTCCCGCCGACCGCCCACAGCCTAAAGCAGATGCTGTCGCAATTACCGTCCAAGATCGCGTATAACCTACTCGATGTCTACCTCGACGACGGCGAGAAGATCCAGCTACCGCGACGGGAGCTGTGGGATGTCCGGGTCCAGCTCATGGCCGAAGACGGCGGGGCCGGTACCGAGCCCGGGCTAGGTAATCACGACGTGAAGACGGGTGTCTACGAAGGCGGATTCAAATCCTGGGAGAGCAGCGTAGATCTTGTCAAGGCCTTGCTCTCCGCGGACTTTCTAACCGACGTCGACGTAGCACTGAGGATTATCGAGGTAAGTTCTTGTGTTTGCCGGACGCGCGGGCCCTCGTCGGAACTGCTACCAACGAGAATTCTCTAGCTCGGCTGTGGCACTGCCCTGCCGTCGTTGGCTCTGTTCCAGCAGAGTCTTAGTCTCGATGCACAGAACCGGGCCTCCGTTCTGTCCTTGACATTAGCTGACTATAACCCAACCGTCTTGCAATTGGTAACGTTGCCCAATTTCATCTTGTGCTGGGCACTTCATCATCGCACGGGCACGCCGATGCTGGCCAGCGCCCTCTTTTCGGAAGGCGAGCTCGAGTTAACTCCCAAGGTCCTCCGTGCCTTCGAAGAGTTCCTTTCGGCCCGTAACATCTCACTTTCTTTCTTCTCTGGCGCGTGGTCGACCGAGTTCGTCGACCTCGTCAACCCCGATAGGATACCCCTAGCGGGAGATGACCTCAAGCACGGGACAGTTATACTCGGGGCGGAGACCATATACTCCCCCTTCTCGCTCGGCGCCTTCACGCAGACCATATTCTCCCTCATGGCGCAGGAGAGGGCGCGCGGCCACGCGGCCGAGGCTTTGGTAGCGGCCAAGAGGTTATATTTCGGCGTGGGTGGGTCGCTGGACGACTTTGTCGCCAAAGCCAGAGAATTAGGTGTTCAAGTCGTACAGCTGAGCGAGGAAACGAAGGGGGTGAATCGTGGCGTAGTTCATTGCAGTCTTCCTCCCAGACAGCTCTATGCGACGCAGAGCGATGCGAGCGCTAGCGGAGTCGCAAGGTGAGATTGGGGGCCGGGACTTGCTCGTCGATGTCAAGGAGGAGTCCTGTTCAACCAGAAAGGATGTACGTAGGCAGTACTAAAACTAGTGTTGGGAATGGCCCCTATCCAGACTCATCACAGCACTGAATATACATACTAGTGCTGCTCGACGATACAGCCAAGGCGTGTGATCTGTCCTGGGCTAGACTATGTCTTTGTCAGACACCATAGCGCTAGTGCAGCCTAGGCCGGTGGCAGTGTCTACATACGTCCAGAGACATGTTTGTGTCCCAGACCCCAGGCCGGGCCTTTGTCTCACGCCTCACCCGTTTGTGATGCCCCTCGGGGAGCACATCCTCGTAGATAGCCCTGACTGCCTGCCCTGGGTATCGTGGCCTAACCATGGGGGAAGCTCGTGGCACTAGCTGACCGATCGATCGGTCGACCCCGACGCGTTCGCGCCACGCATGTCTCTCTTTTTCCCACTGCTCATACATAAGTAGGTAGGTAGGCAGGTAGGCAGGTAGGTAGGCAGGCAGGCATGTAGGTAGGCAGGTAAATAGGGAGGCGCATTCTGAAGCGATCTCTATCTCTCGGCTGAGCATACCGCCGTCGTGCTCGCCCGCGCCTGGGATCGACTGCGCCCGGACGGCGATGCCGCTGCCATCACACGCACGTCGTGTTGCGGATCGAGGCAGGGCGTCAAGCCGGATTTCGACGAAACGACGAGCGGCGAAAAGAGGCGGTGGTCTGGACGATGATATTCCATCTTGTTTGAGCTGGTGGCCAATTGCCCAAGTCTGCTCTAGCCAAGTTGGGTGCGCAGGTGCGGTGGTGCTATCTATAATACTCATAGAGCACTTGACTGAGACTTATCTCGGTTTGCTACCTACCTTGGGTAATGTGATTCCCTGGACCCCCTTGAGATTGCATAGCGGGGCGTCCGGGGAAGTAATGGGAGGTCGAGTTTTGGGCCGAGTTAGAGCCAATTCATGCAGGAACCTACGAGCAACCACGGCGCGGTTTCTTTAGCGAAATTGCCACCGCTGCCCGTCCCCGGCCGGCCCTAATGCTGGGTACCCGTCCTGGTTGCACGACGCCAGATCCTGCTGCAAAACACTCCGAGCGAACGTGAGGTACTCTGATAGGTACCTACCTCTACCTCTACCTAATCTTGTATATCCGTATTATACATAGGTACGCTATCTTCGTTACCTAGAGGCAGGCAGGTACCTAAGCTATGGGCGAACGTGCACCGCGACACGGACGTTATACCTTTCCACCCAAACATATGAGTACCTATGAATACTGCCTTGGGTACCTACTCCCTATTCTGTCTCCGGTTCAGATACGCAGGTCTCGCAATCTAAGCTCGATCCACCCGGCATGTTTATAGGTAGGTACTCATATGTGTGCGTACTGTAGGCGCATTAGATCCGGTTAGTCCCCACGGGCGTTAATTATTACTACTACTACTACTAGATCCGGTTAGGCACCTAACCTACGCTTAGGTAGATAGCTTCATATTTCTCTCCTTACTAGAGTAGTAGTCCTGTGATATATTTGCTCTCCTTGGGAATCTAAGCCAAGAACGAGGAAGGGGACCGTATGTTCTCTAGCACCTAGATGAGGCTCTCTGCGCAGTGACGGGCGCAACCCAAGGATTCCCCATCCGTGGATGCAGATATTCTCCATTGCTGGGGGACGATGGACGGCTGTCGGTACACTACAACCCACCTATACGGTACATACAATGTATTGACCGCCGCCCGACGTTGTATGGGCGACGCGCATGGGGCCATCTAGCATTTGCAGCATAGACCCTCCTGTGCGTGGGCACGTGCCTATTCATCTCCCTGCTGGTATGTCGACGGGGAGCTGCCCATTTATGAGTACCCTTCAGTTCCGCGTGTGTGTGCGATCAAACTTCTTACGCAAGTAGGTAACCAGGGCATAATATAGAACGTATCATATCGCATGAAATCCGCAGGATCCCCGACGCCCAGCGACACGGCAAAAGCTACCTGTCGTCTCTGTACCATGGCAAACAGACCCTTCTTCTTTTTTCTTTCTTTTTTTTCCTTTTTTGAAAATGCGTAGCTGCTCGCGGAATTGCTTGCTGTAGAGGCATGGTGAGGCAAGATTCGATTGATGTCTACACGTAGCTTAGCTTAAATACCCTTGGTATTAAGGGGCTATACTTATATACCTGCATATTTCGGGTGTCTGCGCACCGGTATGCATGTAAAGGGGATATATATATATATATATATAGATACCTAGGTACCTATGAGTAGGAGGTATACAACAGACATAGGTACGCATATGATAGAGCCTTGCCTCATCTTAAGTAGTGCCCGAGGTGGGTAGTGGCAAGCAAAACCAGTTCATGGCACATCTCGCCATCCCTCTTGCCCCGATGTCTAAAGGTACCACGCTCAGCACGCCATACGAGGTGCCCATGTGGTGCCTATGCGGATATGACAGACGCCATAAACCGATGGAGTAAGGGACGGCACAGCCCCCAATTGGGGGAGGGTGTTAGGTAAGTACATAGTTACATTATACCTGCGCAGGTTACTGAGATTAGGTACCGAGAAGGGCAGCTCTACACGAAAACACCCACTGCAACATCCCCCGAAAACTAGGGTAGCGAATCGGAAGAATGTCGAGGCACATACCCAGGGTGCGCCAGGGCTTCTCAGGGATCGCGGAGAAGGGGAAAATGGGTAATATGCGCCAGCGACGGTTTTACGTCGAGTTAAATAACGTCCAGCTGGCCCAGCCTATACAGATACCTATCTGTCGACTTGCTACCTAGGTACCTACCTCCAATATGCTCCATTTAAAACTGGGCACCCGTCAAACGTGGGAGAGAGACACAGCGTGTGCATGGACTCGGGGTTCCGGCCAATGTGGGCGCGCCCTCGAACGGGCCAGGACCCGCGCTGCGAACCTGGGCACGGCCGACCGACGTGATTGGCGGGGCAGGATCAAATGTGTGGGGCAGCGTCGAGATGGAATCGCCCAAAGCGGAAAGGTGTGGCCTGCTGATTGCTGAAGAACCGCCTAATCGCATATTCTAGGACCTGTCACCGAGAAGAGAGAGGTGGTAGACCAGCCCTAGTCGGGGGCGGTGATGTGGTGATGTGGGATTCTAACCATCGCTAGCGTCTTCCCTGCTGCACAGCAATCTTGTTATTCTGCTATTGCCAATTTCGAGGGACCGTGTGCCATACTCTGTAGTACCTGCCTAACTATGGGTGTGTAGGTACCTGCCCCATGTATCGTCGCTGCTTCGTGCCTGCCCCCCGGATCGACGGCTACCTCTTTTTTATCCTCCTTCCCCGTCTCTCGTCGATCTCCTGTCCACCCACTCCTTTCCTCCTCTCCATCACGCTCGTTACCGATCCCATTCTCCAGCCGCTCTTCTTCTCTACAGCCTTCTAATTCTCTGCCCCAAAGCAGCCAACATCTGGTAAGTCATCTTCATCTCCGTCAGGATAGCCAACCGGATACGTGAGAGAGCCCCAGACAACTCCCCGTTCCCTCTCCCACCCGTCTGTGTACGCGTCGTGGCACCAGGGCACCAGAGACGGAGCGGACGAGTTCGCAGTCCGGCCGCCCGAGCATGAAAAGTTTTATGCGATAGGTGTCGCCTACCTGCCTCGTCTGTCGCGTATTTAGACGACGGCTACCCACCGCTCCAGCAGCACACCCTCTTTTCCCTCTCGCTATACTAACCTTACCCGCTTCCTGACACAGCTCTTGCAGTCGCTCTTTCGGTCCTACGCAACCAGCAAACATGAAGTTCACCATCCTCCCCGCCGTGCTCGCCGCCCTCCCGGGCCTGGTGGATGCGGTCATCATCACCAACAGCAACTTCGATGGCATCCGAGCTGGCCAGGCCTTCGAGATCACCTGGGACGAGGCTCTGGGTCCCGTTAGCATCACCCTAAAGGAGGGCAACGCTGATAATCTCCAGACCGTCGCCGAGCTCACCTGTATGTCGATTCCTGCCCATGCTTGGGTCGTCTGATGCTGACGATGTGTGTAGCCAACCAGACCGGTGATAGCTACACCTGGGTTCCCTCTTCCTCGCTGCCCACCGGCACCTACGCCTTGGAGATCAACGACGGAACCGACGTGAACTACAGCGAGCAGTTCCAGGTTCAGGGCGGCGCCGCTAGCAGCACCGCAGGCACCAGCTCGGCTTCGGCCTCGCGCACCTCTGCCTCGGCTTCTTCTACCGCTACTGAGTCGTCCGCTGCCTTTTCCACGACGTCCAGCATTGCCACCACTAGCAGCGTTGCCTCCACCGAGTCGGTCTCCTCCGAGTCGGCCTCCGTTACGTCTCAGGCTACGGAGTCGTCTGCTTCCAGCACCCTCTCTACCAGCAGTAAGTTGGGCCTCCTGATGTTTGGCCTAGTGGGGCGCGTAACTGACGAGTCGTAGCGTCCTCGGCGTCTCGAACCACGTCCACTGGTATTCCCGCCACCGAGAGCCCCATACCCAACACGAACGCCGCTCAGTCGGTGGCTCCGCTTGTGGCGCCTATGCTTCTCGCCCTCGGCGCCGCCCTCATTTAAACATGTCAAGTACATATCAGTCGTGCATGACGGATGAGCAGGCGGAAAGTGGGGGGCGGTGTGGACGATGATAGTTCACGTCTCCCTCTATTATCACGTCGTCTCATCTCATAGCAAGCAAGGACTTTCGTCGCTGTGGTGTAGATAGACTCATCCCGTTACATGCGGACGGTCCATTTCGTACGTAATCCCTGAGGGGAAGGATAGACCTCGATGCTTAATGGAAATGGGAATACACAAAATCGCACGCACGTCTTGGGAGGTTTCTTCGTAATAGGCACGGGTCTTAGGAAAGGAGGGGGGGAATGCGATGGCGGCAACGGTGCATAGCGCCTCTGTTTCGGGACAGCCACCGCTGCAATGAATACGTTTTACGCGTCCCGAGTTTCTAACAGTAGATTATTAATACAAGCGAGGGAGAGGGGTGTCTTTTTTTCAAAATTTATTCTGTGCGTAGTGTGGACGCGTGTGGACGCGTGTATTGTGGAAGAGGTGCGTGGACGAGCCAACGTGACGTCAACGTAGAGGACAAACAGACGGGCCCAGGTCGTATAGTCCCATCGTTGCTGGGGAGAGGGAAAGGGACGTGTTTGCAGCTCCGACGACACAGTATATGTCGTCATCCGTAGCAACAAGGGGTGGGGGGGGCAAAGCCGGCAGTCGAGCAGGCTATCGGAATGTATGTGTATGTAAATAGGCTATCATTGACGAGCAGCCGGTGCTGGGAACAGGGCTAGATGCGGCTGGCTGGCTGGTTAAGCAGGTCGTATCGCATGCGCCCGTCACAGCACAGCCGCGTGGCCAGACGGGCAATCCCACGCGAGCTCCGGAGCCTCGGGGCGCCCGGAACCCCGCCGCCGTCGGGCCCCGAGAGGCTCCGGGCAGGCTACTTGCGTCTGTCTGCGTGGCGCAGCCTCAACGCTGAAGGGGTTTTCGCCCGTCCATGGGAGCTGCTGCGCCCATACGTCGAGGCAGGGGCGCGCGGCTGGGACGTGGCTGCTCCCCTTCTCGCCACCCCCCCCTTTTTTTTTTGTTTCTCGTGTTTGTTTTGTTTGGGCCCAGGGGCTAGGGCTCAGGGATTGGGGAGGGGAGGAGAAAAGGGGTGGCGAGATGAGAGTTTGAGCCGGGTAGGCAAATACATACCTATACCTAGTACATACACGCGTACGTAAGTAAACTAGTACATAAATAAATACCTAGAGAGGTAGACGCGCACAGGCCTTGCTTGCTCGCTCGCCTGTCCGCCACGCCAGCCGGTGCCGCGCAACGTCCCCGGCCGACCGGCCGCGGCTCCGGCGTGGCGTCGGCGAGGCCGCGCGCGAATGAGCGGAGGGGAGGGGCCCGGGGCTGACGGGGCGCGGTAGCCAGCGCCCCGCCCCCGGTTCGCTTCGGCCGTGCGGGGCGCCTCACCGAGAGGAACAGAGAGGAGGAGAGGAGGAATGGGTCGGGGGGGGGGGCAGGTCGTGCTTATATATACACATATATACCTACCTAGGTATGTCTACCCGCCTGCCGCGCGGGCGGGCCAATCGCCCCGACGCAAGGGAGGAGGAGGAGGAGGAGAAGGCTTCGGTGGGGAGATCGGGACGAGCTAGACGGACGCGGTCTGCCTGCGCACAGGCGGGCGGGCGAGCGTCCGACCGTGCTGCAGGTCCGGGCTAAGCTACGCCGTTCCCCCCCCCCCCCCCCCTTCCTTCTCAACTAGTTAGCGCCGCAGCTACCGCGCGGCTCGGCTGCGCGCGGCGTGTTGCCGACGCGGGACAGATGCGAGGGGCAGCCAGCCGCGCGCGCGCGCGCCGGAGAAGGGAAAAAGCCGCGGTGAGACAAGGCAGGATGCGCCCGCAGCCGAGTTACACACCCCGCGCCCCCCCCTCCGGACAGGGCAGGACTGTGGAGGCGGGGGGGGGCGCCGGGGCGGCGGGGAGAGCTGGGCACATCCAGCGAGACCGGCTGGCCGGCCTGATCTGGTCCGGAAGACGGACTCGGACGATACGCTCCCCTATCCCGCGCGCATCACCTCGATCTACATGTGCACCCGCGCGTCCTCGCGTTCAATCTCGTCGTATGTATTCCGGTAGTTCTAGATATCTCCCTCATATACACATCGATACGCCCGCGGCATAACCAGGCTCTGCTCGTCGGTGTCTCTCGCCGGCCGAGCGAGCCCCTTAATATCCCCCCGCAGCCCAATTTTTGCCATGTGTATCCGCCGCCGCCACCACCACCACGGCTCGTATACGTCTCTTTTTCTTCTCATATTCTTTTTTCCTTTCCTTCTCTCTCTGTCTCTCTTCGTAATATCATTAGCAGTACGTAGCAGACCAAGCCAAAGAATCAGTTTCTTAACCTAACGAGTCGATAGCATAGATAGACCACCCCATCCAATACTACCTACCCTAGCGCGTCCGAGCCAGATGGACCCCCTTTCCCCTTCTCATCCCTTGCTTCTTTCCTTTGGCGCCCCTCTTCTATGCTGCCCCAGCCGAATCCTCCCCTCCCATCAGCAGCAGTGCAAGTCCATAGCACAACCCCGCCCATCTTGTCTTGTCTTGGTCTTGTCTCGTCTCGTCTCGGGTTAGCGCTAGAAGTCGATCTCGCCGCGGAACGACTCCGGGTCCACGCCGGGCAGCACCCGCTCCGCGAGGTCGCGCCGGCCCATCTGGGTGAAGACGCGGCGCAGCGTGTCGTACAGGTTCGTGCTCCGGTTCTGCGTCGTCATGGCGTCGAGCTGCGCGTCCGTCACGCCCGCCACGCCGCCCGCCCCCCCCGAGCCCAGCAGCTCGCGCGCCTTCTCCCTCCCTTCCTTCTCCACCGTCTTGTGCATCCCCAGCGCCGCCAGCAGGTGGCCCGCCGCCTCCCCGTGGCACCCCATGTTGATGCAGCTCACCCCGAGGTTGTACCGCGCCCGCACGAAGTTGGGCCGCAGCGTCAGCGCCTTCTCGTACGCCGCGATCGCCTCCTCGCTGCGCCCGCTGTTCGCCAGCGTCGCCCCGAGCCGGTTCCACAGCAGGTGCACCTGCTCCTGCCGGTTCGACGCGCCCAGCTCCGACGACGCCAGCGCCGCCGAGAAGCAGTCCACCGCCTTCTCGTACTCCTCCGCCCCGTAGAACAGGACCCCGAGCCCCACCTGCACGTCCGGGTCCATGTGCTCCCCGTCCGGGCTCAGCCGCGCCGCCCGGATGAACAGCTGCGTGACCCGGTCGTGCAGCTGCTGCCGCTCCGTGAAGCCCAGTTCCGCCGGTGACGACAAGTCGCTCGGCGCGATGACCGACGGGTATCGCACCGAGAGCCACCGCTCCAGCGTCCGGTACGCGATGCTGTCGTAGCCCTCGTTCGTGTACGAGACCGCCAGCGTCATGAGCGCCGGCGCGTTGTTCGGGTCGAGGTTCTTAGCCTGCTCGAGCGCGCGGATCGCCGCCGTCTCCTTCTCGTTCTGGGCCTGGGCCATGCCGAGCTGGACCCAGGCCTCGACGTGCGTGGGGTCCTTCTGGACCGCGGCCTCGAAGGCGAGGGCCGCCAGCGACAGATTGCCGCCCTCCTCCACGATGCGCATGCCCTCCTGGAACGGGTTCCCCGTATCCCTGAAGAGGTTGTCGTCTTCGAAGAGATAGTTCTCGATTTCGGGATCGCCCATCAGCCTGCTATTGGCGCCGGGATTGCCCCAGTCGCCGAAGCGGTCGGACCAGTCGGTGCTTCCTAGCTGCTCGACCCATTCCTCCTCCTCGAGCACGCCCTTGGCGGCCGCCTCCTCGGCCCGGATGCCTCTCCAAATCGACTCAAAGTCTCCAAACTCGTTGGTTTCGGACTCGAGGACCTTCTCGTCGAGCTCGTTCAGCTCCGGCTCGAGCGCCGCGGCCTCGTCGTCTTCTTGCTTGTCCTGCAGCTCGAGCTGTTTGAACTGCTCCTCCCACTGTTGATCGTCGAGCTCGACGAGCTTCCCCTTCCCCTTATCCTGGGTTACGCTCTCCATCGGCTGCTGGGGTGCGGGGCGGTACATGCTCCCCCCGTACATGCCGCCCATGCCGTAGTTCATGTTCATTCCGGTCATGCCCATGCCCATGCCCATGCCCACCATCGGGCTCTGGTACGCGGCCGCGGAGGGCATCGGACTCGCTCGCGACGAGCTCGCCTGGCCGGTCATCTGCTGGAACTTGGCGTAATCCTCGGGGCTGAATTGAGTGCCTTGCGGGACCTTGAAGGCGTGCTCCATGGCGGCCTGGGGGTTGTGCTGGAATTCGTTGATCCACGCGGGCGAGGTCGAATTGGCTCGCAGGTGTACGCCGTGGGAGGGGTGGTCTAGTCGTATCTGGTTCATGCCCTCGAGGGGCATCGTGGGGAGCTGGCCATTCTGGTGGAGGAAGCCGTTTACCATCTGCGACCACAGCGAGAGTGGGGATTAGCCGCACGGGACAGGCAAGAGTTCAGAAGATTAGTCGCCTCGACACGGTCGAAGCTGCGGTGGTCGTGGCGGTGCCTACCTCGTCTTGCGATCCATGCTGGGCGCTGCGGAAGCCGCCCATGTTGCCCTGGGGAGCTCCATTTCGTAGGCGATCTCTCTGGAGACTCGTGTCGTCCTGGGTGTGCTTCGCGAATTGGCTCAGCGGGTTGCCCGCGGTCGAGCACTCGGGTCCTCCGAGGAAAGACATCTCTCCAGGACGATGGGATCAAGATCCGGGCGATGACGGTAGTGCAGCCTACCGAGTCGTCCTCGGGAGGGCGGTTGTGGCTCTGTGCCGTTGTTCCCCTGGTCCCGGGGGGAGAAGAGAATAGACGGACGGGATAGCTGGGATTCCGTGCGTGCGTGGATGGCGCGGATGGTTAGACTATCTATAACCTACGTTGGAGCGTTCGGCGGTGTGTTGTGTGTGGCGTCGTCGTGTCGTATCGTGTCGTGTCGTGTCTGTCGTTGAATTCGGATGAATGTAGTTGTAGAGGGACGAATGGTGGCGGTAGTGGTAGTGGTAGTGTTTGGCGTTCTGGCTGCTATTATTATTGTTGTCATTATTATTCTGGCTATTTTTTTTATATTACAAAGCCGGCCTAGGAGCTGCCCAAGGTGCCGAGGAACGTCACGGGGCACCCAGTCGGAAGAGGATTCGGTATTCACCGAGGTCCGCCCCCCACCCAACTTCGTGGTTCCCTTCCATTTGATCTCGAGGTACAAGGGCGCTGGCGAGTCGGTACCGTGTAGCGATCAGTGCGCTGCGACATGTACCCGTAAAACCCGCCCGGCTGGGCCTAACCTAGGTGCCCTACAGGTCCGCATAGGGTGTTATGTAGGTACCGGATCTACTGGGAGGATGCTGCTGAACAACCTTAGTGCATGTGCCCTAGGTACCAAGGTACATCACTGCTCGTTCCACGCCGCGTGCACCTGTTGAGGTACCTAGGTATCGTGGAGGGGAACCGGGCTGTTCTGCCATCGTCGCCTCCGTCCCCAGCGCAAATAGCGCAGAGACAAGTAGGCATACACCCAAGGCATCAACATAACCAACAGCGAGATGGATGACGCGACGGAGGACATGGCAAGTATTACTCGGTCACATGCACAGTGCCTACTGCTAGCAGGTGCCGGCCCAGGGTTCACTTGTAGAGTTCATTCGTAGGGTCCCCTTCGTACCGGAGCCGGAGCGGGGCTATCCGTTGATTCGACGACCCCGCGTAGGCAGGGAGATGAGACAGGTCCAGGTCCTGTTGATACTATGACCCGGACGCTACTTAGGACACCCCGTACGCTGGGAGCCTGCGCGTAAGCAGTAGCAAGACGAGGCCAATGACGTGCACCGATCTCGAGCCACCCGAGCAAGAGGCGGGAGAGGAGAGAGAGGGGAGATTTTGTATGCATTTCATCCATATAGGCGGACGTGGCCGTTTTCACCCTACCAGGCCGCCGAGACTATAAAATCAAGAGGTGGGCTGTTTTACACGGGGTTGGGTGGGGGGGGGGAGGGAATATGTTACATTAGTACACTGAGCCTAGTCTTCTATCATGATAGTTGACTGGAAGCTGAGGCTGGTCTGGTCGCCAACCTCTCCGGAGCTCCGTCCGACGTGTTGCCATTCTCGTTCATATCGCAAGGTCCCCGCCAAGTGCCCCTCTTTCCATACCGTAAACAGCAATTCTTCGTGAGAGTACACGGCTGCGGACGTCAGACTCAAAGCGGAGAGCCTTTATCGTGGGATGCCGCCGCCCTGGGTTCGTCCCGTCGCGTAGTCGATGCGCAGGGGGCGTCCTCCGATGTTGACCGTGGACAGCTTCTCCAAGGCCTTTCTGGCGTAATCGACATCCACGAAGTCGGCGTGGGCGAAGCCGCGGGGCCAACCGGTATTGCGGTCAACGGCGACACGGACGTCGATCACACCGTCCAACTCAGTGAAGAGCTTGTTGAGCTCGGTGTCCGACGTTTCATAGGGGATGTTGCCGATGTAGAGGGAGTTGGTCGGCTCTGAGGAGCCCCCCAGGGCATCTCGTCGGTTAGGCACGTCCTTCTTGTGTTCCACGTTGATGCGGCGGCCGTGCCAGAACGACTTGTTGGCCTCATCGACAGCGCGGTTCGCAGCCCTCTCATCCGCAAAGGTAATGAAACCAAAACTAGCCCACCCGTCAGCACCAATTGAAAGAAGGGAAAAAAAAAAAGAGTAGGCAGCTCCCCCTCCCCCCCTCGATAATTAAGTACGGGACCAAGAGGGGTGGTCGTAGAAGAACGAAGGGGGGGAGGGGGGGTCATAGGACACATTGGCTAGGGTCTCCGGAGGGAGAGAAATTCCAATGCATCAACGTACCCTCTGCTCAAGCCGCGGCCATCTCGTCCGATGCTGAGACCAAGAATGGTACCATACTTGGAGAAAGCCTCTCGAAGATGGACCTCGGTTGCGTCAAAAGTCATGTTGCTGATGAAGACGCTGAAGCCGCTCTCTCGGAGGCGCTCCGACTCGGTCGGGCTCGACCGAAGCGTGCTATCCTCCTCGGCGTCACGCCTGTCTCCGTCCTCCTCCTCCTGGGCGACCCGCGGAGTCTGAGAAAAGTAGCGGGCGAGAGGGAATGCTACAGCCGGGCGCGAGCCAGCCTTGCTGATTTGCATGGCAAAGGAGGCGACCTGCTGCCGCGGGACCGCGACAGCCATTGGCGAGGAGCAAGCCGCCCTAGCAGCTGCGCGACGGATGGCGTGCCTATGCGACGACATGGTTAGTTCTCCATTCCACCCTCGCGGGGGGAGGATACGGCGGTGGTAGAGGCAATGAGAATCTCACATCGTGTTGTTACGCGAGTGGGCTTCCTACGAAGATGGAATTGAGCCGCGTGGTCGATCTGGGGTTGAATGGAGGGGTGGAAGGTGAACAAGGTGGTTGTGGTTTTTTTTTGGTCGCAACACACAAATTGTCGTAGCAGAGTTTTTTTTTTATCTATCCAGAGGGAAGAAAAATTTCGCCTTTGCTCAATCGAAAGTTCTCGGTGCTGATTGGGTGCCCCTCATGTTCTGCTAGACCCGGGACGGCTAGTCTGCTTAGGTAAATTCACTTATCGGGGTCCGGCTACGGTTACGTAACCCAAGAGATTTCCGACCCCTCCTTGAGGTACTTTGTACCAGCCTCACCGTGATTAGTCAATCCTCACCACTTGGAGATGGAGAACTTGGAACCTGAGGCAGCGTCGGTACCTTGATGCCTATAGGCTATAGCCTATAGGTAGGTAGGTAGGTATCTCCTACCAACGCCTCTTCATTCACATCCCTCCTATATACAGTTATAAGCATATACGCAACTGCTGGTCAGCGTAGGCCTCTCCCCGCACCTCGGGAACGTCACTATACAGGTAGCCTCGTGCCGGCGATGGAATCAATTGCGTAGGTATGCACACGCGCTCCTGTGCCGAGCACAATCGCCGTCCGAGCGGCGGGCCATTCTACCTTGGCCTAAGAGAAATAAATCTCCTTCCCTCCCCAGCACCCGGCCTCACCTCACCTCGCCGCTAGCGTTTCCCATATAGAAAGCAAATCCCGTGCCTCGTCAAATTCGCGAATATAGACTACCTAAGGCGATGCTAGACCATACCGTGTTGCCCTTGGCTCGCAGGGCTGGATCTCATCCTCATCCAAGAGTCCCTGAGTAGGTAGTCCCCACGCTATCCCAACTGCGAAAACTCCTCCAGTCGCGCCACCCATGACCCCTTTCCCCTCCCAAAACCCCGTCTTTATTCCATACCAGACGTATCCTCGTTGGTACTAACGCTCACGGGTTTTAACCCCTCTCTCGCAAACAACCCCAAACCGTGACAAAAGAAAAATGCAAGCCGGGTAGCAAAACGGCGGGTATATGTGTATATGTACACTCCCAGGGAAAAAAATAAAATAAAATAAAAACGGGTCCACAGCTAGGGACGAAGGCGAGACGGCGACGATGCGCGATGGTCGGACCGTAACGAACAGTTTGTCGAGTGCCGGAAATCCCATATTCGACAGGCCGTCGTTTGTGTCCAAACCCATTACAATCCGTGCACCACGTCCTCCCTGCCTCCCCTCTCCCTTTAGCCATGACCGAAGATATATATAAAAATTTCTATCACCTTCCTCTGGCGACGGGAGCCCAGGGGGTCGAGATGATGGGACAAATATTAATCGAGTTGTCGACGACCATTGGCGAGCCAAGAAGGAATACCGAAAGCTAACGGTCTCGCACTTTGGCCAACGCCTGCCTCAGATGGTAGGTAGGGGAGTAGGAGTAGGCGTAGTAGGCATAGAAATAGAAGCAGGGAAGGGAGAAAAAAAAACCACTGGAGTACCCATATTCCAACCTCATTTTCTTCCGTACCGGTCCCAAGTGCGCCTCGAGAGTTCTCTTTTTTTTTCAAGTGCTCGTTGACAAGTGGGTCACAAGCAAGTCGCGCCGGACAGCAACAGTAAACGTGCACAGGGTATCGATGAAAACGTGCTCAACGTCTCGAGCATTTTTTTGATAACCGTCGTCCCCCACAAAGACGGCAATTTACAACAACGCAAGGAAATGTAAATGATTGGTGTCGTGGTTTGGGTCTAAAAGCGGTCCGGTCGGAAGCCGTTAGGCCTCTGGCCGTCGTATTGGACCCCGGTCATAGAGTCCGGTGCGTTCGGAAGGTTGCCGCTCAAGGCCCGCAAGGGCGGAAGTTCAGGCCGCGAGGGTGCTCTGCCGTACAGGTCCTGTCCGTAGGGGTCACCGGATGGCTGCGACGGCATCGGTTGACTTGGTGCGCCTTGGCCTGACTGCATGCTCGTCATATTCCCCCGAAGCTGCGCATTCTCCACTCGCACCCTCTCCAATTCGCGACGGAGCCCCTCCGCTTCTTGCGCGGTGTTATGGTAGTGGCTGTGGAGGGTCTTGATCGTCTCCGACTGCTTCTGATGCTCAGCGATAGCTGAATAGCGAGTTAGTACGCGGCGTAACGGTTGGCCAGCTAAGACACTCGTACCTTTGGTTAATATTTCCCATTTTGAGGCCTTGGATCCGCGTTCCTGCGGCATGAGGTCGCGAAGCTGCTCAAAAAGCTCCTTCATCTCCGTCCTTCGCTTCCGCTCGGCAAGCTTGTGGCTCTGCCGAAGCTCGGGGGTCCTGCTGTACGGTTGGTTGCCGCTATGGGGGCTGGATCCCTCGCTATGGAGACCCGAGATTTGCTTGTGCTGGAGCGTATGGTGGTGAATCGTCCGAAAGTCCGGTATCGAGCCGTCGTCGAGCCGTCGTTGCCCGGGGGGCAGTCGAGATTCGGACGTGAATTGGCTGCTGGCAATCGATTCGGTGATGCTGCTTCGTCTCGAGTCGAAGAAGGTATGGTTTCCAGAGGGCATCCGCTGGATTTCTTCCTCCGGGAAGGCCCAAGCCTGGCCCTTAGTCGGCTCCGCGGCCCTCGCGATCGTGCTCGTGGCAGGGCCAGTGATGGCGGGGGCGGTTCGAGCAGCCTTAGGATGGCCTTCGGGGGTGCGCTCGACGTTGGGCTGGTACCCATTCGATATCCTGTGCACGGACAAGTGATCCATCCCGGTACGAGGATTTCTCTGTTGCGCCAAGCCTCCCTGTATCGATGTTGTCGACGGATTCTGGCTGGTGTAAGGGGAGCCGCCCAACCTCATATCGCCGAAATTCAGGTTAATCCTACTGTCCACGCTCTCGCGCCGCGATTCAGGGCCGACGCTAGCAGCGCCCCCTAGCGACGCGGCACCTTGTATAGAGTCGAACGACTGGGGCCGATCAAAGCGCCCGTTGCCCAAGGTCGTCGGTGAGACCATTGACGCTACGCTCATGTTGCTCGCGGGAGACACTAGTGGCGGAGGGAGTACGGTCGTCGTAGTAGGAGAAGGGGTCTTGTCCTGCACCGAATGGTACACGCTGATCCCAATACCAGACGCGGCGGACGTGTCTACACGGCTGTCAGCAATCGGGCTCTCAACACACATCTCCATTAAGATGACCAGGCTACGTACGCTTGCTCGAGGCATCTGTGCTCGAGTAGTAGGCCGAATCACGATTGTCTTCGGGGGAATTGAGAACGGTCGCCAGCGGGAGCTTCTGGGAAGCTAGTCTGGACGGATCGGCGGCCATGGCGTAGATATAGATGCGGAGAGGTCTGTAGAGAATGAAGAGGTCTGTCGAGAGAATAAGGCGTAGAGGTCTATCGAGTACTTTCAAGTGGTCTATCGAATACTATCGGGAGGTCCGTCGAATACTACCAAGATATCTGCCGGGCAAGAGAAAAACACAAGGGAATCCTAGTAGCGCGGAGGTCGAGATTTATACCAGGATGATGGGCGGAAAGGTGGGTTGTGCTCGTGTCCACCGGCGTCGTCAGGTAACTATAACTATACTTCCGAGTTCATGAGACCGCTGGGCAAACCGTGGGCGTGTTCCGACTGCTCTGAGGAAGCGGATCAGGACAGCATCGAGGCCGGCCGCCTAAATACGTGTAGGGCGCGCGCAACCGGGACGGGACGGCGCCAAGAGGGCAGGACGTCAAACAGAGCGTGAATAGGATTCGGGCGGGCGGGCGGGAACGGGAAGAAGAGAGGATCCGAAGTCAAAGCACAAAGAAGACTGTCGTGGGAGGTAGTATAGTATGGAGGGTAAGTTTGTAGACGACGGAGGGAGTCGTTGTAGTAGCACCAGAAGAGAAGGTTTAAGGATGGGAGGAAACGTTCAGAAGAGCATATGCCAGTTCAGATCAGTTTGGTACCGGCGCCCAAGCGCAACCATACGACATTACGACAATGCGCACCGGAAGATTGCGAGCTTAGACCACGGACATGGGAAAGGGGGGGGGAGGGGAGGGAGAAAAAGAGGCTCAGAAAAATAGACAGAGTCAAAGGGATTGCGAATAAAAAAGAGTAGCAGCCGTGCCAGAAGAAGAGGAAGAAACAGAAGCAGAAGCAGAACGGCGGAGGACGGAAATTGTACAGATGTACCTAAGTCGTGTTCCCCCCCTCCCCCCCGGTCTAAGGGTTCCCGTACCAGAAAGTCAGCACAGGCCTCGACAGGGCTTGCCGGTAAAGACAGTAGGTTAGGTTAGCTGGGCAGGGAACGATGAATGGATTGTTGCTGTACCCGGGTATGTACGTACCTTAGGTACCTAGTACACATGGGTTGCAGGATGTAGGAGGTTGCCGTGAGTATATAGGTACCTACCTAGGTACCTACCTGTCCCCAGGTTAGGAGGTACCTCCAGACATAAGTGCCTGCCCGTACGTGATACATTATACATTAGGTAGGTACCTAGGTATATGAGGTATCCTGGTTGTCCTCTCTCGTTTGAACCCTACTGACAAGTACATAGCTAGGTACCTAGATCCATCGTCTAAATACCCTGCGGTCATGTATCTAGCCGGTATCTGCTCGCCCCCCGGGGGATGCGGAGGCACACGATGTATACACGCTTTGATTGTATGAGACCCGAGGCAGATATGTACTCATACACATGTGCCTCTCGTGGCCCATTCAGCCATGCCCACCGGGGTACCTGCCTACTTGTATATATCGATGGAACCTGAGGTCTCACACAGAACGTGAAGACTCGTGGAGGGCGCCCGCCTCATGTAGTGTACCGACCAAGTACGACGGCGAAATGCAGAAGGATGGGAGGAGGGTGGTTGGGTGGATATAATACTCTAGGTACCTAAGGTATACATACCTCCATGTGCCCTATGTCTCGTAGGTACCTCTGTAGGTACCTAAGGTAAGCTTCGTATGTATGCCTACCTTAGGTGCCTCCCTCTAACAATGCTCACTTAGGCACCTCAGGTCAGCATGTACTCGGGAGGTTCCTGGGCCCAAGAGGTCCCTCGAAGACAAGAGAGGGCCGATAGGCTTCAGTGCCTCTTCGGTAGGGGCGGGGCGGGCGGAGGCGACCCGGAGATGGATCTAAGAGGCAGGATATGTAACACCAACAAGTCTGTGGAATGTCGGGTACATACTGGCACGTATATGGCAAGGTACCTGCCCAAGGTACGTACGTACGTATCCTATAGAGGCCGTAGTGGCTCTCGTGCCTGAAGCCGATGGGCAGACGGGGAGGGTCTTTTTCACCTTGTCCCCTTCTCCTCTCGAACAGGTGGGATCTAGAGTAAGGGCCGGAGGGCCATGTGGGTATGGATGGATGTGTGTACAGAGAAGGGGGGGGGAGCCGACAACCACAGCTAACATGCCTGCTGTATCCGCCCCCTCCCCCTCTCTTTTTCTCATACGCTCGGTTTCTGTGCCTCTGCCCCGCCCTTGTTCGAGGGACCGGAGGAGGGAGAGTCCGTGTATGTGCAGGGCGAGCCTGCGGTGCTGGAGGAGCTGCCCACCACATGCTACCTAAGAGTAAGGTGGTAGATGTTGAGAGGTAGGTAGGTAGACAATCCCTTGGGCACCGAACCTAGTAGCAGCAGGGCAGGTGAAAAGAACCGCCGAGAGGGATAAGCTACCTGCCTTAGGAGGTACTGACCTCAGGTACCTCCCTGTCTGCGGCACATGTGAATAATGCCCTCCATATGAGTATGTGTAGATACCTCCCACAGCCAACTTGGGCCTTTTCTTTGTCCCTTCCAGCCCTCCCGTTTTCCCGTCGCCTGCGGACGCCTCCCTCCCTCTCCCTCTCCCTCTCTCTCTCTCTCTCTCTCTTTCACACACACAGAATGGCCTTGACGGGTGGAGCGAGTGGCAGGTATGTGGCCAGGTACGTAGTACGTCCCGCGGGTGCTGCGTAGGTCCTCTGGGCCGTCAATGGCTGGAGTCGACAGTCGCGGGATGGCATGGCCTTAGAGTTCTCCATCTCACCACATGCTTAGTCCATGTACGTACCTTGGAGATGCATCGGGCTCCCTGGCTAAGGATTCCACTGTCGCATGGCTATTTCCAGGAAGAGCTGCTTGCGACGGTACCTGGCCCTCGAGTATCGGGTACGAGCGGGGCCATCGACTCTGCCAGTCCGGAGGCGTGCCGCTAACCAGCCGCCGCCGTTTCTTTTTTGTCCCTCGTGGCTGACTGAGTACCAGGCACAAGGGAGACATGTCGAGCAGGGATCCCCGAGGTCCTGATTCCGCCCTTCTGCCCCATGCGCATGGGAAGTGGAGCGAACCATGGGCGGGCACAGCGATGGATGGAGGGATGGGCCATGGGGCCGCCGGGGTCCAAGTACTACGTAGTACAGCATGCACGCAGCTGGCCAATGGCGCCGCCCACGGGTACCTAGGGGGTACATGCCGCAGGTGCAGGCACTGAGTTGTACCCGCCCACCGGCTAGAGGACGCGCCGTACGTTAGGTACCTCGGTACTTAGGCTAGGTACCTTAGGTGCGCAGCCGATGGTCTTCGATAAAGCGACGTAGTCGGCTTTACCTGGCCAGATGGGGGGCGGGTATATCGCATGTGGCACGTCTGTGGATGTGCGAGTATGGTGGGAGGATGGATGCATCGTGTGTGTGCGTGTATGTTGTCCATACACACATACATGGCGTCGACGCAGTGCGTGTGTATACCTAATGGCGAGATATGCATGATTCATTTGCATCCGAACCTGCTATACGCCGTCATATGTCTAGGTAGTGTACCGTACTGGTGTATATGTATCGTAGCTGCGACGGCGTAGCCACCAGATTCTGTACGCCATTAATTTTGGACACTGCTCGATGGGGAACTCCACGTGTATTTAGGAAGAGTTGGGCCACAACAGAAACGAAAACTACTACCTCCACTTGTACATATATAGCGTCTCTTCTCTCTCTCTCTCTCTCTCTCTCTTCTTGTTTTCTCCTCTGCAACTCCAAAAGATCCTTGGGCCTTTCTTTTTTGATCGAAAACGTTTGACCATCCCCCTCTCGGTTGGATTATCCGAAAGGGGGGGGGGGGGGGGGGGTGACGAAGTAATAGAGAAAGAGACGGCTTGTGTCTCTCGGGTCTTGACTCCGTACTCTAGATCCCCTTTGCTCTGCCCGCCAGGCTCGAGACTCTATACGTAGATAGTGTGCCGGTGGTGGCGACTGGCAATCTCATGAAAAAGAACTACGCAGGGGCCTTGTGGTCTGTTGGGGACTTGTAGCGGGACGATTGATAACTGGCCTTAGGGATCTACCCAGCCTAAGCACTTGCAGAGCCGGGCCAGCCCTGATTAGCCCGGACTTGGCCCCGGAACGATTGTGTCCATTTATGTGGACTGGCGATTTGCGCCAACGGATGGCCGCGCAGAAGCGCACCTATACGCTTACCTTGGCTACCCCCGGAGCAGGTGTCTACACGCTACCTTAGGCAAACGTACTTGGTCTGCGTGGGTTGTGCGTGGCAGGTGGTCCATGGGGGAGGACTGAGGACGACAACATCCAAATGGTGTGTTAAATTATCCGCGCGTGGATCGTGGGTTTCCATCCCATCCACACATACCTCTGCCAGGGTGCAGCGCGCAAAGGCCCATCTCGATACAATTTGCCAATGGGTAGGAAACAACCCGAACCTCCCCCCCCCCTTTCTCCCCTGTTGACACCTCCGGCAGTTCGTACACGCTCCCAGTTCGCTACGTTAGTTTCAAGTGGCGAAACGATAGGCTGGTCTTGTCACACCGTGTTGAATCGCGCCCTCACGTCCGCGCAGGTAGAGATGTCCCATAGCGACACACGCAGCTTGTTGTAGTATATGCTGAGTCTCTGCATCTCGATGTGCAACAAGGAACCAAACCGCTACCCTGCGTAGCACGGAAATATGGGGAGAGACAGAAAGACAGGCAGAGAGAGGGGGGGCAGGGAGAGGAGCAAAGATTACTACTTATTAGCCTAGACGCAGAGCAGAGCATCACGCGCGGCTACGTTACCGTCGGGGTCTGCGAAGAGAAGCGGATGCGACCCTGCTGCCCGTGGGACTCACCTCGTGAACTTTAGCGAGACCCGTCTCAAGAGAGAGACAGAGTCAGTCACGTACGTATGAGCAGAGAGCGCGCGCGAATGGGTATGGTGTGGATGAACTCTGTGAAAGTGGACGAATGGGTGGAGGGACGTATTATACGAGGGGAGGAGGGTGGAGGGGCACCGGCAACCCTCCATCTCTCCCCACACACACACATACACAACGTGCATCATCAATACATCCTTACATAAGTTATGTAGGTATGCGTTGCATTCCCGTGCAAGCACGAGTTCTGCCAAGTTATACATCATGTTGGGTAGCGTATATTAGGTACTTGCCTCAGGTACCTGGGCCGGTAGGTACCTACCTGTATATACCCGGGATAGGGACCTCGGCCAGGTACCTGAGGTAATTCCCGTCCCAACAAGTACTAGGTAGTATACATAGGTACCTACCTCTACTAGAGGTCCTTCGGTTACCTAAAGGCACTACTGAAATGGGCATCTCTGGAGCCCTTTCGTGCGATCCCTTGGCTTGCCTGCGATCTTCCCGCCGCCACGTGAGGCATACATACACCAACCTTCCTACGTACCACCCCTTACTCATAGTTGAGTCGACTAGATGGGCGACTAAGCCCGATGCTACATGGCCGTGCTGCGCCGTCGTGTTGGTTGGCGAAGGTTGAAACGGCGTCGTGCACCAACGATTACCTACCATGTGCCATCGCACGTATGCGGGGTGCGTTCTCAGCGGGAAAGCTTCCGGACAGGCCTACCCAAGGCGATCGTGCGGTTCACAAGGCTGCTAGATACGACCGGAATCCCCCTCCACACACGCGCGCGCCCGCACCCTCACCCGCACACCAATAATGCCGCCGCCGCCTCACGGCATATACACGCCTCCCCACGGTCAAGATCGACGGAGGGACAAGAAGCTTCTTGCCTGCCTGCTCTGCAGACCTCGCGCGAGGGGAGGTGGGCAGGTAGGCGGGCGGCAGGGCAGGCAGCTAGCTACCTAGACAATTCGCGCAGGTGAGAATCTCGGTACGACAGGACGGGGGAGGGTCTCGGCTTCAGTGTCACATTGGGCAATGGGACGAAATCTTACCGTCCAGGCAAAGCAGAGCCTGATGCGATACGATGTGCAGCGGAGGTGACAGAATCTTACATGGTCCTGGCGAGGTGCAACGTGCTGCCTTTTGGTTTTATTTCCCCTTTTGAAGTACGATTTGCGGGCGTGCGAGAGGGCAACCGTCGAGGTTTCGCTGGGACCGGGCATCTAGGCTAGCTGCCCTTAACCGGGTGCCCAACCATCTGCCTCGCTGCGCCGACGCTGACCGGAGTGCCCGCCGGCAAGCCAGGCCGCCTCTCTCTCGACCCTCCAACACGGCATCTATCTACGCATGTCAGATTGTTGTTCTTGTCTTCGTCAATATGACTCATGGCACTGGGGCGTTGATGCTTCGACCATACAATTCCCTCCCTCTCTCTCAGCCACGCAGACGGTGCCGACCATGCGAAAGAGAGGGAGGGGGGAGAGAACACGTTACTTCTACGGGAATCAATCTCCGGGAGATCTTCTTCACCTTGAATAGGTGTTGCATACCTAGGTACCTATACGTGGGCAGGTAGCTCTCTCTGACATAACACACAATCCCAAGAGCCGCCGTGGTCGTCCCTATTCGTGGACAAGATGGCACCCTTCTGCACGCTGATCAGGTATTTGGGGTACAAGGCATGTCGCTATGCACCAGTACGCAGGTGGTGGGTGATTGGGGTACCCTTTTCCCTACTACTCTCTCGCGCATCGGCTCTTTTCAACCCTTCGCTCTTCTTCATACACGAGCGAGGCGGCGTTTGCATTCCCGAGACGAGACAGACATGCATGCGCATATTGCCTACGCACGAATACCGCCGGGTCTCGCCAAGGAATAAGCACGCGCGTCGGACGCCCAAGCAAGCAAGCAATATATAATATGGGAGGCCATCGTTCGCCATCACCGGCCGAGATGCGAGGCGTGGGTATCCAACGCCACACCTCCCCCCCAGTCCACTTCGGTGTGCCGCGTGGGCACTGCACTTCTGCGTGTTGGAGCACGAGATGCGGGAAGATAGCGAGGCAGAGGGAGAGAGGGAGAGAGAGAGAGAGACAAGAGAGGGGGGAGGGGGGTGAGAAGATAGCCGGATTACGACTGGACGAGAGCGTGTCTTGTCTCAGAGAAATCCCGCGCCCCATGTATGCGAGTCTTGGATGAGACCCTGCCAAGGGCATGGTGCCAAGGGCATTCAGAGCCGAGCGGCGAAGGGGCGCAGGCATGCAGCATACGTGCCTGATGCTCTCTCTCCTCATACTCATATATGTGTTATATACTACGTAGGATGTATGCGTGTGAGTACTACATGAGAGGGGAGATGTAGGTAGGTCGATGGAGGGATTAGGTAGGGATGCATTTCATAAGCCGTTCTTCTCCGCTTTGTACCGTCCGAATGCCTGCTTATGTTATGCATTGTACAAATCAAGCTCCCACTTTCACCTATCTACTAATAGGTACGTTTCCGAAAGTACCTCCATCCGACATACCTCCTATATTATGAGGTACCTAAGAAACCCTGTAGGAAGCACCAGGCAGGTCAGGTTAGGTGCCCATAGTTACCGTAGTTAGGTGCTTATACATAGCGCCGTAGGTATCTCATACGTACAAGTTAGACTCGATGCGATCTTGAACGATAGGTACCTACTAACATCCTCCACGTGGTTGGCGCTGAACGCTATTTTAATACCAGCCCTTATTCTTCTTCTGCTCCTCCGGCTACCACGATGCTCCTGCTAACAAGATAGTACTTTCTGTTGGCACGCACAATCTATCGACCCAAGACATCCTGGGCCAACCCATGCACACCTACACATTTGCATACACAGCTCCCTGCCTACACGCGAATGCAGGTATGTGAGCTCATGCCACGATACGAGGCTGCGTGTCTGTAATTTATTATTGCGGCGTCTGCGGCAGGAAGAGAGCGGCACGCGCACGCTGGTTCCCCCGGACGGCGCACCCGAACGTGGACCGGTCTAAAGCCTGCGCCGCCAGCTTCGCAACCGCCGGGGGGAGGTGAATATATTAGGTACCTCCTACCTACCTGATGTCGGTAGGGTAGGTCGGTACCTATTCCTGTACGGGCTTGGGTCAGTACCAGGTGCTGTCAGGTGAGAGAGGAGGGAGAGGGCGGCCCTTTGCAGGTCGGGTTAGGGCGATCGCGCTTCCCGCCCTGCTACTTTTTTTTTTCTCTCTCTCTCTCTGTCTCTCCTCCCTCTCCTCGTTCGCACGACCGACTCGCTCCCATCGACCAGTCTTCGCATTTCCACCCCCTCCAATAGCCGGGTCAGCGCGGGCACGGCACGCGGCATGCCACGTTCCTATTACACTCTAAGGGAAAATCCCTTCTACTAGCGCCTCTCCACTGCTATATCCCCGGTCTCCCCTCGTAGTAAGGCTAGCCAGACCAGAGCAGGGTTTCTCGGTGATTCTCGACATTTCGGGGGGGTGAGATCGGCGCCCTGGCAGGTCCTGGTTCGGTGGTTTCCCATACTTTTTTTTTAGGCCGAAGCCCTTATTCGGTAACGCCTCGATCTGATATTAAAAAGACACGGCAAGCCTCGCCAGCCTAGCCCCGGCGATGGTGGTTGGCGCGTGCCCCCCGGCCAGTCAGTTCATCTCTGCCCAGCGAATAAAGCCAGAGTCAGGCCAGACAGGTTCGCTGACCCTACGCGCGTCGCGCCATAGTCACGGTGCTTACCCGACCTCACCGAGAGGCCAGACGAATACCCACGAAACAGCACCAGCCGTTCCGCTCGGTCAAATATCCCAAGGGCGCCCGGGGTGCCACGCCCATTCCACGCTCACTCCACGCCCGCGCTGCCCAACACCCAATGCACCCCATCCGCACTAGTCCTACACCGGTAGCTTCTCGACCCCTTTTTTGGTGCTTACTGTACTCTCTACCTATAAGCGCGCTTAAGGATCGACTCCTAAGCACGGGATATACACAGTGTCTGCCGAGGAATACAGTAACCGCTCGCCTCCGCTCGCCAATGCACAGATGACAGCGTAGCGTAGCAGGTCATCGTGGTTACATGCGCACACGCGCTGGTCTGAAGAGAGAGAGAGAGAAAAGAAAGAAAAAAAAGAGAGATACGAATTCAGGTACCAGCATAAAACATCCATGAATCATGTCACCCGGGCGGCTTATGCGTGATCCGCCCGGACCGGGGGACGAGAATTGCACCTAATTGTCACTTACTACAATCATCCATGTCCATATAGGTGGCCATCCATCCATAGAGCTACTATGGATATGTGCCTACTAACGCTACTTACGCTAGATACACTAGGAGGAGGTACCTAACCTATGATGCGAATGTTAGGTGGTATTATCACTTGCCTGGACTCGACAGCAAAACCCAACCAACATGGATCTACCATGACGGGAATCCTCATGTATCTGCATAGGTACGTGACAGGTCTGCGTTTAGGTACCTAAGGTAGGCATACGCCAATGGGGCTGGAGGGATGTATTCTTTCTTAGCTTTGGTATCTAACGTGGTAACCACTTCTTATATCGGTACGTATATAGGGATGTATAGAGGTATGTATATGTGTGCATGTTGGGCGTCCGGAAATGGTGAGATGCTCAATATAATGCCTATACTATTTGCCCGACCTCGACTTATTGGAACCTGCCCGTACTCCACCCGCCCCTCTCCGCCCCCGACCTTTTTTTTTTTTTTTTTTGGAGAGGGGGTGGAAAAAGAAAAGAAGAGAAAAGCAAGAGAAAGAGGGAAAGACGAGGAGGTTTGGTTCGATTTTACCGGGGATCGATCTGTTTACTGATCGTGAGGAAAAGAAATTTGCGGGACGTTTCAAACTATCGACGGCGAGAAAAAGAAACAGGGGAGGGAAGAGAAGGGAGGCAGTGCACCTACACCTAGGGCGCATACCATGAACCTATGGATCGGATATATGTATGAGGTAGTTAGGTAGTATACGGATGCGTGCGTAGGTGGATGGGATGTAATATACCTACATACATGCATGTGTACAGCACAACCAACACACATGCCTGGTGGAACTGCATATACACATGTAGCTGAGCAAGGAAACCTGCCCGCTGCCGACGTTAGCAGGTTATTAGATTATAGTCTACGCACGCGCTTTGCTGCCCCGTGATGAGCTGGCCAGCTCGGGAGTTGAGAATGATGCCACCGCCGGGGGGGGACCGCCGAGGCCGGGCGTAGATGGGTGGGTAAAGGTAGGGTGTGCTTATAGTGTAGACAAACACAACACGGCGAGCCGATCTCTCGAGTCGCACTCTCGACATCGCGGATGTAAGGACGGGTAGAGGGAGGCAGGGAGGGAGGAGGGGGTGGATGGGGTGGGTAGGTAGGTAGATGGGGCGCGGCCATGGGACAGACAATTAATTGATCGTGTGGATGGGCGCGATCCGGGTAGGGATGCATGGGAAAGCCAGCGGCTCCCCGAGACATCTACCCCAATATACGAAGGACACCGGTGGCCTACTATACGGCATGCTCTGGCTGTCTGTCTGCCTGCCGGGTTGCTTTGCCTACCGGTCTGTGGAGGCATGTAGTACCTAGGCTATGTATGCACACACATAACATACCTATAACACACCAGACGTGCGCGCAGATAGCTACCTATATATCTATACTCATATATCCACACACACACACACACACACACACACACACATACTGCATCTACATACCTCCTACATTACACCTACATACATACGGCTGGGTCCACGTTACGTATGTGCGCATGGGGGAATGCCCGAATGGACAGAGCCGGTTGGACTATCACGCACGTGCTGGCCTGTCCTGCGTGTGGGGAGTTTCCAGCAAGTATGAATGCAGGTATGTATACACCGAACGACGTATAATAAATAAAATAAAAACCCCCAAATAAAGTAAAAATCGCCGACAGATCTTGTCCGTCTTGTCTTGGGTTCGGTGCCTACTGGTTCTATCTATCTACATCCCTTGGTCTCTATCTGGCCCTGCATATATGACAGGACCGGACCACACACACACACGCACGCACACATACACACACATACACACACATACACACACATACACACATACACATACATACACATACACATACACATACACATACACATACACATACACATACACATACACATACACATACACACGGTAGGTATACACCTGCGCTCGCGCTGGCATCGGCACCAGCACCGGCACACACCTACACGCACCCACCACGCAGACGTACGCGCGCGCGCGCGCAAGAGGAGGGCTTGGCTCTCTCTTTCTTGTTTCTCTCTCTCTCTCTCTCTCTGTATGTGTGTGCTGTGCGCTACCTATGTTTGGTGCGGGTTGCGCATATAGGCAAGGGCAGAATACGCGGCGCTCAGAATCCTTCGGCGGTCCCTGGACGTAATAATAGTCTGAACATATATCTGTAAGAGGTAGGGTGCGTTCGGTAGAGGCATATATCCGCCCGCCAGGTAAGCTCCCGCACCGCCACCGCCAGACGTAGTAATGGCCTCTAATATGTAAGCGCATATGTCTATATCTAACCTACCTTACCTACCTACCTACCTACCTACCTATGCGAGCGTAGTGCAGCCCGGTCCAGCACGCGAATAGCGACAGACCTTGGGGGCCGCATTCGATGCCTACCTACTGATCAACAGCCAGCTATACCGGGTGGGCAGCTCAACCCATGCCTGCATCAGAACACGCCTCTTGAGTTTACCCGAATCTAAGTGCTTATCGTACTGCCATGATGATGCACCACCCCCCGTCCGCCCTACAATTCGCCGCATGTCCTTGCCCATGTTCGACGGGCGGGATCACGTTAACCCTTGAACCCAATCCGGTCTGGGTCGCGGACATGTGCGCGCAAAGCGTGCGTGTGCTACCTACTCATACGTAAGAGTGCGTGTACGTATGTGGTGTGTGTGGATGTGGGAGCCGGCAGCAAAAATAGACACACGTTTCAACCTATTAGTAAAAAAGCCCAGATGGGAAAAGCGAAGACAGGCGAAGACGAGAGAACCAGGGGTTGGAAAGCGAAAAAAAACGGGGTGGGATGATGGGTAGATGGGTGAATTGGGGGCGAGGGCCCTCTAACTACCTACCTACCTAGACCTAACCTACCTGCCTACATGTCTACCTACATAGACGACAACAGGTATATACCCTACCTGCCTCCTAGCCTACTATACGATGCCATGCGGTGCCATGCCGTGTTCCTTTTCCCATGCTGCTGCTGTTGCTGCGGCTGCGGCTCGCGGATCCCGATAGAGGAACTTCCGTTCTCGTCCTTGTCCGGGTCATTCCTTTCGGACCAGCCAGCCCACACCCCATCATCGTCGTCGATCGCGACACGACCTGTCGCTCCTCCTGATCAAACCCACCCCTCCTCCTCCTTCCCGCCTCCGCCCAGCTGCGGAACCAGCTGACGATGATATTGCGTCTGGTCGGCCCCCCCGCGGATGCACGTGCAGGCAGCAGACCAGCTGGGGGGGGGGGGGGGTGGAGGTCTGCGCTACGGAGGAAAGCAGTAGGTAGCGAAGGTAGATGATGCGGGTGTGCGTGTGAGCCACGGCGGAACCGTAGATGATCGAAAGTTGAAACTGTTCCGGTCTACGATGGTCTCTGTCGTCCACTCTCCTAGCCTCTCTCGCTCGTAATCTCCCCCCCCCCCCTCTCTCTCTCGCTCCCTCTCGCTCACCCTCCGCCTGTCTAACTCGGCGACACGCCCTTCGGCTGGTAAGATAACGCCGAGGGAATCGTGGCGATCAGCGCGCCACTCCCGTCTCGAAGGGGGGTTCCACGCCCATTTTCCCCCTCGCGACGCCAACCTACATAGTTAGGCGCCTTCGCCCGTGCGCCAAGCAGGGAGAGGCGTCGTGCCACAGCGAGTAGGTATATGAGTACGCTCGAATCAACGCCTACGGCACCCTTATCCGCGTGCTCGGGTCCGCGAGCTCCCAGATGCAGCCAGGCCAGACGGAGAGGAGGCCGAGTCGCGCGGTCTGGATCCTCGCTTCCGTCCTCCCCCCTCCCCTCCCAGCCAACGACCCCCAAAACCATAAGCGCTTACCCATCTCCCTCCCTCCTCCCGTCGGGCGCGGAGGGGGCCTCAGTTAGTAGTAGTAACGTAGCCATCGTGTGAAAGCGTTCGTGGGTTCCGTATACCTACCTATCCTGTATTCTCGGTGCGGAGGCTTACGGCGGCGACCCGCGAGCTGAAGAGATCCTCCCTCTCCTCTCCCCCCTACGGCGCGACACATGCACGTACAGGTTTCACATGGGCGGATGGCTCCAGGCGCGCAACCCGGATCTGAAGAACCATGCCGCTTTAAGCCGGGGTCTGATTTGTCCCTCCGATAGGCGACGTAGAGCCCGGGATTTGTGAAGGGGAAAAAAAAAAGGAGAGCAGAGACGGAGCAGCGATGTAGCAGCGATAACTTCGACACATCAAACGGTCATTGCGGAGAGAATCATTTGCGCGAAACCTCCGCTCAGCGAATCTAGAGTAGGGATGATTTGGGGCTTTTTTCTTGGGTTTTCAGCGCTGAAATACTTTAGGCAGGTATCGAAAAACCGCCAGGATTTATTTGTCAACATGTTGAGGTTATGCACTTAGCGCTGAGTGTGTAGGAATGTGCCGGGTCCTGCGATGATAATTGGCCTGTTAACTACTTATACCGGCCGATCTATTTTTCCCGCCCCGGATTGCCTCTTAAATGTATCTAAAATTTATATCTCTCCTAGTGCAGAAGGACAGGCGGACAGAGAGAGAGAAGAGAGAGAGAGAGAGAGAGAGAGCAATTAATCGAGAAGAACATCTTCCAGAAAACCGTCAAAGACAGAAAGTGCCATCCGCATTCTACGATGGCGGACGATTCGGCGAGCCAGACTCATACCGAGTCTCAGAGATACCTTTCCACTCGGGGTGGTGATTACGGCGTAGGTCTCTCCGGATAAGCCTTACCTTCGCTCCTTGCTGATCCTTTCAAGCTCTCGTTCGAGACCATCGTCCTCAAGGGGCTCGCTGCCGATGGCGGCCTTTTCTTGCCCCACGAAGTCCCCGTTGCGGCAGACTGGGTACGTCCTGATTGCGCGGTGTAACCCGAAACCAGATGATTAATGATGCGATCATAGGCAAGTTGGAAAGACCTCTCCTACACGGAGCTGGCCCTCCGGATCTTTAGCCTGTACATATCGACCTCGGAGATCCCGTCAGATGATCTCAAGGCCATCATCGACCGGAGCTACTCGACATTCCGCGCCGAGGATGTCGCGCCGTTGATACGCCTGAAGGGGGACAATCTGTATCTCCTCGAGCTGTTCCACGGCCCGAGCTACTCCTTCAAAGACTGTACGCCGTCATGCGTGGCCGTCATGGTCGCTATGAGCTAACGTAGCTTAGGCGCTCTACAGTTCTTAGGAAACCTGTTCGAATACTTCCTCGTGCGGAAGAACCGCGGGAAACAGGGGAAAGGTAAGACTACGGAAGCCCCTGGGCGGTGACATATGTGACGATACATGCATCCCCACTTGGGTCAAGTCAGAGGTCGCAGTCACTGACGAGCTAGCAGACAGGCACCACCTGACGGTCGTGGGCGCGACGAGTGGCGATGTTAGTTATACACTTCAAACTCTGGGTCTAGTAACGTACTAACCGTCTCCGTAGACCGGTTCCGCGGCCATTTACGGCCTCAGGGGCAAGGCGGACGTGTCAGTAGTCATTTTGCACCCGAAGGATCGTGTCAGTCCCATCCAAGAGGCGCAGATGACGGCTTGCCTCGACGCAAATGTCTACAATCTCGCCGTGACGGGGACCTTTGATGATTGCCAGGTAGGCGGGAAAATAGGCCTGCGGGAGATGCGGGGCTACGGGCTAACAAACGCGATAGGACATTGTCAAGGCGTTGTTTGGTGATCCGGATACGAACGAAGCTCTGAAGCTCGGTGCTGTCAACTCGATCAACTTCTCGAGGATACTCGCCCAAATCGTCTATTACTTCTACTCGTACTTTTCCCTAGTGAAACAGTCACCCACCGTTAAGCTTGGCGACCCCGTGCGTTTTGTCGTACCGACCGGTAACTTCGTTAGTACCCTTCTCGCCCTGCTTATCTAGGACTCTTAACTGAGCTAGTGACATAGGGAGATATTCTGGCTGGCTACTTTGCGTATCGCATGGGTCTGCCGGTAGACAAGCTCGTGATTGCAACCAACGAGAACGACATCCTCGATCGATTCTGGAAGACGGGACGATACGAGAAGAAGCCCGCACAAGCTCAAGAGGCCGAAGGTGGCTTGGCCGTAGACGGGGCGAAGGCTCACGAGGGCGGCGTGCGAGAAACGCTCAGTCCGGCGATGGATATCCTCGTGTCCAGCAATTTCGAGCGGCTCCTGTGGTTCCTAGCGCACGCATTCGCAAGCACGGTCGGGTTAGACGAGGAATTCACCAGGAAGCAGGCGGGCCAGGAAGTTGGCGCCTGGTTCCGAGACCTGAAGACCAAGGGCGGCTTCGGCCCGGTGCAGCAGGACATCATGGACGACGCGCGGCGGTCGTTCGAGAGCGAAAAGGTCAGCGATGAACGGACCGTCGCGACCATCAGAGCCCTCTACCGCGACACCGGGTACGTCCTGGACCCGCACTCCGCCGTCGGCGTCACGGCGGCGCTCGGGTCCCTGGAGCGGACCGGGTCGAAGATCCCGCACATCTCCCTCTCGACCGCCCACCCGGCCAAGTTCGCGGGCGCCATCGAGCTCGCCCTCAAGGACGAGGAGAAGTTCCGGTTCGAGAGCGTGCTGCCGCAGGAGTTTGCCGAGCTCGAGAAGCGAGCCAAGCGCGTCGCCACCGTCAGCAACGACTGGAAGGCTGTCCGCGAGCTGATCAAGGCCCAAGTCGCGAAGGAGCGGGAAGCTTAGGCCGGCTGACGCTAGCCAGTATCGGACCGAAACAGCGGTTCTCTCAGCATCACGGTTTCTTCGCGAAGAGTAGAGTGCGCGAGGGGCGGCCGCGAGGGTGTTTCAGTGCCATGCTTTTTCTACCTAATTTTCTTTTTCTTCTACGCCGTGCCCTCTGCTCGGAGACGCTTCGGATCGGGGCCAGGACCATATCCCATAGAGCAACCTAATCCTGGAATGCCTATCCAAATCATCAAAGTTGCCAAGTGGTAAGCCTAGCTACGCAAGAGCGAGTGGCTGGCCGGGTACAAGTATAGTGGATGGGGGGGCATTCGGAATAGGGTCGGCGTCACATTAAATTCGGTTGTCAAAAAAGTCGCACAGACTGGTATATAGCAGACATACAGACACACGGATAGACGGACAAGACGAGACGTGATTTACGAAAAAAAGAACACGAAATTGCTGTGATACATACGGAAACCAGTAGTATCTAAGGGATGTGAGGATGAATTTCCTACTCTCTACGGTCAGCTAGTTCTAACTCGGCGGACCGGACCACGCCTCCAGTCCGCCACCCAGGCTTCGAGGTCCGAAGAGGGGGGCAGCCGCAGCTTCGGAAATAAGGTTATTTTTACCTATGTTAGGCATATCTATCACGGTACTACCTTTGACCTTGCTTCGTCAGATGTTACGGACGGCAACCCTCCTCTCCCCTCCCCTCCCCTCCCAACAGGTAGCCGGACGACGGCGGGGGCAAGACCAACGCGGTAAGAAAAGGTAGGTAAGCAGGCGAGTCGGGGCAGGCAACTAACCCCGTATGTATCGCCGTCGCCGCACTGCAGATAGGTGGTAAGCTGCCTGTGATGCCCGGGGGAGGAGGAGGGAGGGAGCGCAGGGGTCCCGCACGCGCATTCGCAGTGCCGAGGCCCGCGGCGGGCCAGGGGATGCGCGCGGGCGCATCCCGCGCGGCTTACTACTTCGCTCGTCTGAGGCAGGCAGGTAGGTAGGTAGGTAAGTAATACCTCGTAACGGCCCCCCCCGCGTAAGCGCATGGTAGCGAAGACCTGCCTGCGGATGCGACAGCATTGGGTATTGCACCTTTGGGGGATGTGGGCGCCTAGTGCAGGTGTCCTTTGCCTCGTGTTCGCAAGTTGTCTGGAAAGGGGGGAGGCTGCGCGGCGCGATAGGGGGGGTATAGTGGTAGTCAGGAGGAGCAGGAGCAGAACGCAACCCAACTCCGGCACTGCCAGCGCCCAGCCAGGCCAGGCCCGGCCGAGGTCAGCCTTCTTTGCACGGATTCGTCTCCTTTTTTTTTTCCCCCTTTCTCTAGGTATCTCTCTCTCCCGCGTTCGGGCATGCCTCTTTTAGGCAATGCGATCGGGCCGGGCCCAGCCTGGGACTTACCCCCCCCCCCCCCTTCCCCCCCTCCTCCTCCTCCCTACTACCGTAGGCGCCCAGCATACCTAGGTGGCCAGTCCGCCCCTTCTTGCCACGCGCACAGCAGAGAGAGAGAAGAGAGGGCGCGGGCGCGGACGAGACGAAACCGGGCGCGTGTGTGTGTATGTGTGTGGGCCGCGGCGGCGGGAGCGAGGGGATGGCGATCGAGAGGGCGGACGCGCGGGCGGGCGCGCGGACCGTGCCTGTTGCGCGCGCGCCTTTTTTTCGGTGCCTGGGCTAGGCGGGCGGGCGGGCGGGCAAGGTGTGCGTGCCGACGCCGGTCAGCAAGCAGGTAAGCAAGCCACTCTTCCCCCCTATCCCTCCCCCCCCGTGGAGGTCACCTACCCAGGTAAGCCGGCTGCGGTCAGCGGTGGCGCGCGGGTCGATTTCCGGAGAAGGCAATCCCCGCGTAAGCAGGAACGTCGGCTGGAGGGGACGCGGACTGAGAGAGAGAGAGAGAGAGAGAGAGAGAGAGAGAGAGAGAGCGACGTTCGCTAGGGCTTAGTATGTCGTACACCTGTTCCCCCCTTTCAGCTCGTTCGGCGGCCGGAAGGGCGCCATCCGGGAGTGGGTGGCCTCGTAGTTGTTGTTGTAGGTAGGTAGAGGTAGGTAGGTAATAGGGGTCTGCAATGGAGGAGTGGTATATTCGGAGGGCTGAGGGCTTTGAAGTAGGTACCTAAAGGACCTTGCATAAGGGATGGAGAGGTACTGCGGATGTAGGTACATGGAGGTATAAGGGTAGGTATACCTACCCGTTGATGGCGTCTATGTACCTACAGATGGAAGTGTTAGGTATGTAGAAGGTACCTACCTATCCACGAACCTACCCGCGAACCTATCTACGTATCCTACCTACGTAAGCTACCTACCTACGAGGTCGGTCCTCTACTCCCCTCTCCGCTTCCCTCCTCCTCCCCTACACCGTTACACCACCACTTAGGTACAGCCATGCGCATCTCAACGCCACGCCCGCCCTCGTCTGCCCTTGTCCCCGACAAAACATCGTCTGCCACCATCCCTTCGCTGGCGCCCAGCTTACTTATGTGTGTGCTTGTGTGCCAAGCCTTCGTCCTTCCCTCGTCTCTCCGAGGACACGCAAAGCGTTGGGCCGCGTCGTAGCACATCACGCATGGCGGCAGGCCGACGCGCAACTAGGAAACGGTGGTCTCGTCTTCTACGTGCGTACGTACGGACGTGTTTGCCCAAAGCGAAAAGAAAGAGAAGAAAGGGGGAGAGGAGAGGCAGCCATCAATGCCGTCGCCGTCGCTGGCATCCCTCTCTCTCCTCCCCCTATATCTTTTCTCGGTGGGGAAAAGGGGGGACACGGCCGAGTCCTCGACACCACGTTGCTGCTTTTTTGGTCTCATCCTCGAACCCTGACGTACGCAACGTGGCAATATCGTGACGTGCGTGCTTACATTGGACGCCTGCGAGGCGACCACCTCTACCGAAGTGTCTAGTGTTGTCTCGGACGCGGGTGCCAATCGCGCGCCCCCGTGTGCGTACATTCGGTACTTGAGGCAATATTCTTTACCTATCCGGAGGAAAAAGAGTAAGTTGAACCCACTCTCGACCGAGCTGGCTTTGTAACCTCATCCGCATTCCTTTCCCATACCTACCCCTTGTTCCTTTTTAGTTTTCTTCCCACACCCGCCTTCCGGTTTCCCGCCTCGCGGTCGTCGCTCGAGGGCCGAATCAAACACCTATAGCCTTACCCGATTCGGAACGGATCTCGAACAGGTAGCAGTTCGCGGCCCGGCCTTGTCCGCCTGCCTATCTGTTTCGGGACGGGAGAGAGAAGGAGAAAGAGAGAGAGAGGATGGGCCGCCAGGCGACACTAGCGCTGCGGACCCGGGTCCGGTCTGCGGTGACGAGACAAAAGAGAAGAAAGTCTCATAGCAGACGGCGTTTTCCGCGACACTCTGCGACATCCGCCCTGCAGCCGAGTCCGCTACCTTACTTAGGTTCTTTGCTGCTACGTCTGTACATGCATGGGCGTGAGCCTACGAGCGCACGGCATGGGTCCGCGAGTGAATAGACAGCTGGCTACTCATTACGGCTACTTGGTACAGGAAGGGAGGGAGGGGAGAGGATCTGCTACTAGCCGCTCCGCCGTAGCACGACGGACGTAGTTGTCGCATATGTGTAGCGGTACCGGTGTGTCTGGTTCGATTCAGAGAAAGGTAAGCAGGTGAGAGTGAGGGCAACGCATGCCTGCTGGCTGACTGGCATGCCGTCGTGGCCGGCGAGAATGCGAAATTCCGTCTGGACCGTCTGTGGCCCTCGCGGACACGATAGCTGCTGCTAATCACGGGTGTGATCCCGAGTAAATGATGTGTTTGTTGACGTCGCAATCGTGGCCGCTCCGTGTTAAACCTATCACCAACACCCCCATGTCCATCATTACCATACCTATCGTCATCATGGCAGCATAGAGGCCACTTAGTGATGTACTTACCTGCCCGCTTCCTTGCTAAGCAGGTCTCAGTACGGCATGTATGGTGCCTAACAATGGCGCCTGGAAAGAGCCCATCTCGGCAGAAGAGCCGTAACGCATGTGTGAGAAGCAAGCGATCTTGCGACAAGCGGGCGCCGGCATGCGGCACTTGCGTCAGGAGGCGACACCTATGTGTCTACAGCGGCGGCCAGCTCGAACTGCCGCCGTCGAGCAACTCCGCCGAGCATCTTCCGCTGGGCCTAGACCCCGTCGTCGATCCCTCCGCTTCCTGGCGAGAGAGCGCTGCGCCAGACCACGCCGGCATCTCCCTCTCCCTTAACGCCGACGGGGTTCTGCCGCTCGACACGCCGTCCGCCGTCGACGGCGCGTTCCAGTCTCTGTTGAATGCCGTGCCCGAGAGCGGGTTTGGCGACGTCTAGGGACTGTTCGATATGCCGACGGAGAAGGCGCCGTCGCGGCAAGACTACTCTAGGATGGTATTCGTGTGCGTAGGTCGTTGCTGTAGTAGATAGATATACACGTGCTCTTCCACTACCCGCCGGCGCTCACTGTACCGATTCCTACCTATCATAGGACAGCTACACGCCGTGGCAGCTCGCCGATCCGTCTACCAAGATCGCCTGCGCGATAGGCGCCTTCAAGAACCTGCATGTTCGGCGGCGACATATCACTCGGCTAGTAGGCTGGGGACGAGATGGCGCTGCTGGAACCCTGGAACGGCGACCTGAGGAAGATCAGGGATAATCTCGAAGAAAGTCCGCAGCAAGCCGCCCGAGCCTTGGGAGGTGAGTTCAGAAGAATGAGGAAGTGGAAAAGAGACTACCTACCCTGTAGAAGCATTTGAAATACCCCTAACTGCCCGTTGTGTAGCGCTAGATGTTCGCCGAGAGCGTCAGGAGGACGTATATCGTATAACCTGCTCCCTGGAGACCTTCATTGAAGTGCTGAGATGCTGGAGGATACCGAGTAAGGCCACACACGCCTCTGCGGCCCTTCTAATTCCGCAGAAGACGAGTTCTAAACTAACCTCCCGCGCATAGCTGAACTCGGTCACCGGCGATACATCCACCGATAGACGCTGTCGAAGCACTTACGGGACGCCACGAATCCCCTGGATTTCTCCCCGGTGTGGAAGGAGAAGCCTATCCGGGTCATATCCGCCTTCTGCTTTGACGAATTCTCCAAGACCGGGACGGGAGGCGGCGTAGACGGGTTCGCCTCGGTATATCTAACGCTGTAAGGCTACCAAATGCTTCGCACTTTTCAATGTACTGAAATTGATACGTACTTATCCTACAGAGCTTTAGGCGTGAACGAGATGGGGACGTTCTGTCGCGAAACAAGCGGCCCTCGACCAGCTCGGGCGGGATACGAGAGACCTCGAGCGGGCCGCGCTCTCTGTCTGCCATCTCCGTCTCGCAAGTTCCAGCCGAATTCTTAGCGATTCCAGAACTCCGCAGTCTACCGGGGCCCCCGCTCCGAGTCCGCATACAGGGCGAGGAACTCCGTAGCGCCAAGATCTGGTCAAGCAGGCCGGCCTCTTCCTTGCGACGACCAAGTTCGGCGGCACGCCCGTCGAGCACGTCGTCGCTGCGATGGGCCCGGCCCCAGGCGTGAGAGTCCCACCCGCCTTACCCCTTCGGCGGCGGCGCAACCCTGGGCCGACGCTGAACGTGGGAAAATAAATAAATCGGGAGAGTAAGACCCGCCGCTTCGTCCGCCGGCTCGCCGCGCGCCGCCGAGCCCGTCGAGGGCGGCCTGCGCGAGCACCACATGGTGAAGGGCTGACGGGGAGGGGGAGGGCGGCGGTCCCGTTTCGTGTTGGTTTCTCGTGCCGTCGATTCCGTGAGAGGGTCGCCTGCTCAGGTGTATAGCCGGCTCCTCACACGTCGGGTTTATGTCTGCAGTAGTAGTCCCAGCACAGTAAGCATAGCATATATATATGTATGTATGTATGTGTGTATAATTTCCCCTACATTAAGCGCAGTTGCCCCGTCTCTTGGTGTATATGTGTGTATATAGCTCATGCAGTTAGCCAGTCGGTCGGGTCTCTTCCCTACAGATATATGTATATCACTGGACGTCACCGTCACTGGCCGCTCGGTACATTCTCCCAACCTCCCCATACCTCCCCCTTTCGTCGAGATTGTCCCAGCCGAAATTTCGCTCGCGACACCGTGCTCATAGCTTCGACCGGACCCTGTCCCACAGCCCGGGCGCCTCCAGTCCCGCTTCTCCGTCGAATATGTTCCGCTCGACTTTCCGCGCGTTGACCTGCGGGAAACGGAAAAAAAAAAGTAAGCACTATGCGGGCCTGAAGGCGTTGAGGCAGAAGGGCGAAGGGGTTACTCACATGTCTGGGACTCAGCTCGCCCACGTTCCGCGCCCCTAAGAGCCGCATGCACGTCTCCGTCTCCGCCTTGAGGACTAGATGAAAAAAAAAAAGGTTAGCACGTTAGATGGGGGGGAAGGTGTGGCGGGGGAAACAAGACGGTAACGGAAATGCCCCGACGTACTCTCGAACGTTCTCTCGACGCCCTTCTGGCCGCCGGCGCCGAGCCCGAACAGGGCGGCGCGGCCGACACCGACGGCGCGGGCGCCGAGGCACAGGGCCTTGACGACGTCGGTGCCGCGCTTGATGCCGCCGTCGACCCAGACCTCGAGGCGGTCGAAGACGGCGGGGCAGTACTTGCGGACCTCGAGGAGGGTGTGCAGGGCGGGGGGCGCGGTGTCGAGGGCGCGGCCGCCGTGGTTGGAGAGGAGGACGGCGCGGACCTGGGGCGCGTAGCGGGCGGCGCGGTGGACGTCCTCGTGGGTCTGGAGGCCCTTGAGCACGACGGGCAGGTGGGTGTGGCGGGCGAGCCAGGCGAGCGTGGGCTCCCAGGTGAGGTCGGAGGCGGTGCCGAAGAAGAGCTGCTGGCCGACGCCGCCGCCGCCGGGGCGGGCGGGCTCGCCGGCGGTCTTGACGCCCGAGGCGACGGTCAGCGCGCCGCGGCCGAAGTTCTGCTTCTCGTCGAGCTCGCGCTTGCCCGGCACGGGCGCGTCCAGCGTCAGGCAGATGAACTTGAAGCGGTCCGCGAGCTTGTTGATGCGCGCGAGCATCGCCTCGCTCTTGGCCCGGTCGTTCTGCACGTACAGCTGCCACCCGAACACCTGCCCCGGCGCCGCGCCGGCCACGATCTGCTCCGGCGTCATCGACGCGTTGTTCGACACGATCTGCAGCGCGCCGAACCGCGCGCACGCCCGCGCGATCCCGGCCTCGCCGTCCGGGTGCCCGAGCCGCGCCATCGCCGCCGGCGCGACGAAGATGGGCAGCCCGACCGCGTGCCCGAGCAGCGTCGTCGACGGGTCGCACCGCGTGCAGTCGACGAAGACGCGCGGCCGCAGCAGGATGTCGCGGTACACGGCGTTGTTGTACGACTTGGAGAAGGTGTCGTCGCTCGCGGAGTAGTAGTAGGCCCAGGCCTTCTCGGGCATGCGCCGCGTGGCTAGGGCCTCGATCTCGTCGAGGTTGAGCAGGCTCTCGAGCGGCGGGTAGCTGTCCTCGTCCTCGCCGCCCTTCTTCTTGCCGTCGTCCTTCGTAGCCGGCTCGCCGGCCGCGGCGGCTACGGTCTGGGGGTCGATCTTGCCCAGCTTGGCCTCGGGCTTGAGGTTCTCCTCGAGGATGCCCGGCGGGTGTATCGGGTCGTACTCCTCGGTGGCGTCTCGGCCGGCGAGCTGCAGGATGATCCTCGAGCCGCCGGGGTGCGAAGGCAGGAACTCGGTCACGTCGTAGACGTTGCCGTACAGCACCACCCAGCAACTCTCGGGGGTGGTGTGTTTTACGACTGGGGAGAGAGAAATTGGATGTTAGCAGCTTGTCTGCGTGTGTCATATCGAGAGAGAAAGAAAGAGAGCAACAGTTGAGCTGTAGGCGTCTTACCTTCCTCGGCGCTGATGAGCTTGTCCGACATCTTCATAACATGCCGCGACCACCTGATAGCTACGGGGATCTCGCGAGACTTGCTGCTGTCCGGTAGGCAGCCCGCACACTACTCACTCGCCTGCCCTCTTTTGATTTTCCTTCCCACCTCCCGAGCGATAATGAGAACACTCTGTAGTTTTTCTTGCTTTCCCTGTTCCTCTTATTACTATTAATATGTTAGACCTCTTCTCTGCTCTTCTTCCTTCTTTTCTCGATAATTTTTTTCAGGCCCCAAAAATGCTTCCTCCCGGGGCGATGAGAAAGGCAGCCAACTCCGGGAATAGTTTCGCTCGTAGGTGCAGCTCCACGAAGCTCGCCGGGGCGAGTCGAGCTGCCAGGCGAAGTGGACGAGAGCGGGCGTGTTGTCCCCACGAATTGAGCCACGGCAGCTCTCGGCTGCACCTATCCCGCCTGCCTGCACCCGGGGCTCGATCGCTCGATCGGCAGCGTGAGGAAAACGAGGGCTCGAAGGCTGGCGAACTCGGGCCTGGGATTGTCAGCGCTTAGTGGGCATAGGCACACCATGTTAGCAGGTCGTAGTGGGTAGTAGTGTTTTCGTAGCGTCTTGGTTAGCGAGGGCCCAACCCCCCATAGCCCCCCACAGGCCCCCATAACACCCTCGTAACAAGCCTCCCGTAGCATCCCCATAGCGTCTCCATAGCGTGGCTCTGGAGGGCGCCCTCGTAGCTCCAGCGTTGGGCCATTGCGCCGCTACAAGGCCTATTACTACCCGACGTCTCCCATTGGCTGCGTGCTCCGGAGTCTGGAGAAGCCCAGGTAGGTGGAAAAAGGGGCAATAGTCGCCGACTTGCTCCCCGATCGCCATCCCAGGGGGCACCCTGCTGGATACTACCCTAGCTGCCTTGAGCGCACCCATATCCCATCCATACCGCCGGTTTTGCGTTCGTATTGGTGGAATTATTTGTGTCGTCTCAGTTTTATACTACCTACATACCTAACTCCTCACAACGCTCACCTCGACCTACTTTGACTCGTCACTGCTCGTCCTCTTCCTCTCGTCGCCGAAGCGGTGCGAAGGATACGAAGAGGCCGACCAAGGCGCACATGTATGTGGGTGGGCAAGGTATCCCGGCCCAGCTCGTTCCGGATTCTTTCTTATCTATGCTCGTAGTATACCATCCGTCCCCGCGTCATTCGAGTCGCCGATCCCTTACAACACTACACTCAGAACCCCATCATCTTCGTCCACAACTCCTTCTCCCTACGCAGGAGCTCTTGATCACTCGCCAGCTTCCTAGGAAAGCTGAGACTTCTTTCGGTGGTTGTCCGAGGAACGTGGCCGTTGTTGTCGTTTTTCGCGATGCCTCCTCGACCAGCTCCCGGGACGCCTATGATGCTCACCAGATCGTCACCGGGTTGTTGCGTTGCTAGGCTCGGGACAGGTTGCCGGCCGCGGGTTGCTCTAGATCCGCCGCTTGTCTTTGCCGACTCGCCCGATTGCACTTTGCCTCTCGTGTCTCGGGAAATCCTGCTACGAGTAAAGCCAACCTAAGGCATCGGCGCAGGAACCGGCGTCTGCCTAAGACATTTCGCTGGGGAGCTTGCTAGCGTAGTTGGCGCAGGCGGTGTTTCAAAATGCGAGAACCCAGTGTTAGTGATACCCCTATTCGCCTGCTTTCCTTTCTCCCCAAAAGGCGTCTCGGGAGCAAACGTGACAACGTCCGCCGGAATAGCTCGCGGGAGTACTTTCGGAGGTCGAGGCCCGCTAATCGGAATTGGGGCGGGCGGCTTACGAGGTCGTAGGCTTTGCTTCGTCTGGGGCATTGGTGAGCTCGTTGAGATAGGCGGACCGGGTGCTGAAGTAGCGGGCCCAAGTGCATGGCTGGTTGGTTCGCCATGTCCACTATGCTCCGAGTCTGAGCTGGCTGCCGACGTCGAGTTCCTATCTCCGCCTTCCTCGTCCATCTGATCGCCAGAGATTTCCTTCACCCTCTCACCCTCGATACCTCCACCGCTCGGCGTGCTGCTGGCGCTCCTTCTCTCACTGCACGCGTGTGCGAATCCCGAGATCATTTTGCTCGAGGTGCTGCTTGAGTCGTTGGCAAGCGGAGGGGTGGTTTGAGGCGATGGCGCACCTGGCGTTGATACGATACTACCCGACATCATCCACGTGGCGTTGGCGCCGAGGTGCGCATGATGAGACAGGTCATAAACGACCCGCGAATCGTCCATGTGGCGCTGTACAATCTTGTCCAGACGATGTCTCTGTCTGCGTATTTCCGCCTCGGCTCCCCTCTGCTTGGTAGATGACGACGAGCTAGCCGACGGCAAACCGTCGCTTGATTCCTTAGTTCTATGAAGAGTCTGGCTTTCGTCTGCCTCGGGGGCCTCCCTGTCCAATGATACCTCCTAGACATCATTGGGTCGGGCTCCCAGGTCTGTCGGCTTTTCCCTCTTCCGCCTCTTCTTTGCGTCTGGTCTCGCCGAAGCACCGTGCGCGTCCGAATCGCCTAGTTTGCGCTTCTTCTTATCCCTCTTCTTCTTCTTTGATCTTTCACGCGCTTTCTTTAATCTCTTTCCCATGTCGATTTTGCTATCGCTTGCCTCATCGTCAGCCAATACACCAGCGATGGGGTCGGTGCTATCTGCGCTTTGACGAGGCACTGGGGCATCGCTGCTGGCCCTCGGCCCCGCGGCAATTCCCCCATCCATGTTGTCGAGATCAGTAGGTATTAATTCTCCGCGGGTTGCGATGGCGCGTGCATCGATGCCGAGTCAGGACGCGTCTTGGGCCCGCTAAGATGTTTTCGACCACACACCCGATCTTTAGAGTAGCTTGCTCCCGGGTAGGTAGCTTGTCCGCTTGGATTTGGAGTCGTCCTCCTGACTTGGTGTAGGAGTCGTTCGGTCGTGTCTGGTAGGTATGCTTCGAGGTGAGCCTCTCGCTTTGGTTTCTGGGAAAGTAACGATATCTTCTCTACCTGAGTAGGCAAGTAGAAGGAATCTCCTCGTAGGATCGAGGTAAGGTGTCGAGGGACCAAAGAGGCCGCTGATGACGTCGTGTTAGATTTTGTCCGCCGGCACAAATTTTCACCAAGCACGCTCAGGGCTGCTAAGGTGGACCTACCTAGTAAGGTGACGCCTGTGGACGCGGACCGCCGGAATGTAGGTAGGTGGCTCTGTGATCCGACTGAAGCAGGGCCTATCCTCATTGAAGATGCGCAATGGGCTGAGCGCTGTCTGACGGGTGCAGGATGGATGAGGAAACGGGACACTGGCAGACTTGAGCAGGCAGGCAATTACCTACTTATGTTTGAATGATAGAATTGCCGGCAGAAATACGGCGGTGTGGGGGTGTCGGCATTTGGAACTGCCGGTTACGTTACTTCAGGCAGGCGGTGACCCCTCTAGGAATAGCTTGGCAGGCCAGAAGCCTATGCCTAACTAAGGAGGTACGTAGCGGCAGTACGGCGATGAACCTCGGCTTATGGGGCCGGGCACTTGAAGAGCTCACTCTAGGGCGCGCCTATATCGGATTGGAGGTGTCTCCCAACAACACCGTCTTTCAACACCGTCCACCACCAACTCCAATTGGTATCGTTCACGCACGGCGTATATATATAACCATATATCGTAGCTCGTGTCGAGCTGTCTATTCCAAACCTAGACCCAATTGGAGTCATTATACCTGCTTTACCTCTTCACCAAATCCCCCCTTCCCCCCCAGACCACCGAAAATGAGCGGCCCAGGAGCTGGTTTCGAATACCCCCCCGAGGAGGTGTCGTGGGTGAAGCGCGACGTCCTCCTGTTCGCCAACACCATCGGCTGCACCACCGACGAGCTTCACTTCCTCTACGTCAGTCTGCCTTCGAGAGTCTATAGACTTACTTTTCTAACGACCCCGCAGGAACTCGACCCCAAATTCTCCGTCTTCCCGACCTATCCGGTCATCCTGCGTACGTCGCGCCCACTCTCCCGACATGTTCTTTACTAATTAGCCGTGGCACAGCTTTCAAAAAGACCGAGCAAGACGTTGTCGACTTCTACGCCGCGCAGAAGGCGACTAAGATTCCCGGGGTCCCTGACTTTGATTCGCGCCGGGTCGTCGACGGCCAGCGCCTCATCCAGTTCCTCAAGCCTCTACCCACCACTTCGGCCGGCAAGAAGTTCGAGCTTCGCACCAAGGTCCTCGGCGTCTACGATAAGGGGAAGCCGGGCAGTGTTGTCGAGATACAGCAGGACCTGGTCGAGGCTAGCACGGGCGAGGTCTACTCGCGCGCCATCGGCAGCTCCTTCTACGTCGGCCAGGGCGGCTGGGGCGGCCCCAAGGGCCCGGCGACGGAGAATGTCCCGCCACCGAAGGACAAGAAGCCCGACGTCGAGTTCGAGGTGCAGTCGAACCCGCAGACGCCGCTGCTGTACCGGCTCAACGGCGACTACAACCCGCTGCACGCCCACCCGGAGCCGGGCAGGAAGATGGGGTTCGGCGGCGTCATCATCCACGGCCTCTTCTCCTTCAACACGACTTGCCACGGCCTGCTGCAGAAGCTCGGCGGCAGCGACCCCGCCAACATCAAGGAATTCCAGGCCCGCTTCGCGAGCCCCGTCCGACCGGGGGACAAGCTAGTCACGTCGGTGTGGCGGACCGGCGAGCAGAAGGACGGGTGGGAGGAGGTCAGATTTGAGGTTAAGATCGCGGGCGGAAAGGTGTGCTTGAGCAACGGAAGGGCGCTCATGAAGGTGGTGGGAGAGGCTAAGAGCAAGCTGTAAGTGGGAGAAGGGAGAGGGTATTCTAGCAGCTATTCAGCAGTGAGCGTTGAGCATTGGGGCGGCAATCTGTAAATCGTCACAAATCTTGCATATTCAATTAGCCTTGGATAGCCTGCGAAGTGAAAATAGCAACAATATGGTATCTTCACTTACACAGAATAAAAAGTTCATCCCACGTAGAAAAGGTGTTGGTTGCTGGTAACATTAGTGTACCTATTAGCGCCATACGTAACGACGTAACAGCATCCCCGTAACAGCCCAATTTCGTTGCCTGCCCAAAATCTTCCGTATCTGGCCAGAGCGAAAATATTAGGCGGCCAACACCAAAACACGAAACCGTGAGGAAACTTGGTTGGGAGCCGAATTTCGCCGACGAACTTATAGCGGTATTGTTGCGTGTGTTTCTGGGGCTGCCATGGCTACGGATCGCAAAGTCGGCGACCGGCTATCCTACGAAGGCGCCCTCTGCACCGTCCGATACATCGGCCCAGTCAGCGGCACTGCCGGCAGCTGGCTCGGCGTCGAATGGGACGATCCGGCGCGAGGGAGACACGACGGCTCTCACAAGGGAGTGCGATACTTTACCTGTGAGTCCCTAGGCCCGCCGTCTCCGTGACGGAAATAAGAAGGAAGATGGAAAGGAGAGGGGGGAAAAAAGAAAAGAAACGAAACGAAACGATGGCTAGATTCTAAGAGCGAAGAAGGCCTGTCCAACGCATCGACCGCCGCATCCTTCGTGCGGCCCGCCCGCCCGGCGGAGACGGCGCAGAGCTTCGTGGCGGCGGTGTACGAGAAGTACGCGTCCGAGCCCGCCAAGACGACCATGATCAAGTTCTCGAACAAGGTGGCCGAGGAGGTCGGGTTCGAGAAGATCCACCGCAAGCAGGCCCAGCTCGGCGAGCTCAAGTACGTCATCGTCGACGGCGCCTGCATCGTCGAGGCCTACGCCGCCGGCGAGGAGCCCATCCGCCAGGTGTGCCCCAAGATCGTCGAACTGGACCTCAGCCGCAACCTGTTCCAGACGGTGGGTGCCGTCGTCGGGATCTGCTCCGAGCTAGCGGCCCTGCGGAGCTTACGCTTGAAGTGAGTCCATTTTGCCGCCGCCCAACCTTCCTCCCTTCCCCCCTACCTCCCGCATGCTGCCCCCGTAAATGCTGAACGAAGACCAGCGGCAATCGGTTCCAGGACGTTACCAATGACGGGGGGCTTGAGGGCGCCGAGAGCGCCTTGGGCGGCGTTAAGGATTTGGCGCTCGAGGAGACGCTACTGAGCTGGCCGGAGATATGCCACGTCGCAGCCAAGTTCACGTCGCTCTCGGCGCTCTCGGCGAGCGCGAACCAGCTGACCGCTCTGCCGGCAGCCCCGTTGGCGGGGCTGGCCTCGACGCTGGTATCCCTGAGCCTCGAGTTCAACAACTTCACCGCGCTCGCCGACGTCGCCAGCCTCGCCGGGCTGACATCTCTGCGCAACCTGCACCTCAAGGGCAACCGCATCGCGGCCGTCACGCGGGACGCGTCCGACGCGGCGCCCGTGCTCTCGGAGAGCCTGCGGTACCTCGACCTGTCGTACAACGCGGTGGCGTCGTGGGCGTTCGTCGACGCGCTGCCGGCGTGCTTCCCGGGGCTGGCGTCGCTGCGCTTCTCGCACAACCCGGTGTACGACGACCCGGACCCGGGGTTCTCGGCGCGCGCGCAGGCGGCGACGGAGGAGGCGTACATGTTCACGGTGGGGCGGCTGGCGGGGCTGCGCGCGCTCAACTTCGGCACCGTCTCGGCCGCCGACCGCCAGGACGCCGAGATGTTCTACCTCGGCCGCATCGCCAAGCACCTCGCGGCGGTGCCGGCCGGCCGCGAGGCCGAGGTGCTCGCGCAGCACCGCCGCTACGCCGAGCTGTGCGCGCTCTACGGCGCGCCGGCCGTCAACCGCCGCGCCGAGCTCAACCCGGCCTTCCTCGAGGCGCGGCTCGTCACGGTGCGCTTCGCGCTCCGCTCGGCCGACGGCGGCGCCGAGCGCACCGCCCGCATCCCCAAGAGCTTCGACATCTACGCCGTCAAAGGCATCGCCGGCAAGCTGTTCGGGGCGCGGCCGCTGGGCCTGCGCCTGGTCTGGGAGACGGGCGAGTGGGACCCGGTCGCGGGCTTCGACGACGAGGTCGAAGACAGCAGCGACGAGGAGCAGGAGGATAGGGAGCGAGAGCAGCACGAAGAAGAGGCGGAGGCCGCCGCCGCCGCGCAGGCGAAGGCGAAAGCGGCGGACCTGGGCGAGGGCTCCCCGCAGGACAGCGGCAGCAGGACGGGCAAATGGGTGAAGCGGGAAGTAGAGCTGCACGACGGGCCCCGGCAGCTGGGGTTCTGCGTCGACGGCCTGGAGGCCAATATTCGGGTTGAGTTCCGGTGACACCCGCAGAACGTGCGCCGCCACCTAGCTCGCTGTGTAGCCGCCTTTTTGTCCTAGCATACGGCGGCACATGGGCAGCAACTTCGATAAGAGATATAGGTAGATATACCATGTACACCGTTTCTAAGCTGGGTAGACACGGCCTCCCCTAGACTTTCTCTCGGAAAGCATAGTAGGAGGCGGGGAGAGGGCCGCTAAGCGCGGCATCTTCATGCGCCCCGGACACCCGGGAACTAAGGTATGTAGCCGGACAGCCCTCCGCTTTCAGCGGTCCGGTTGCGGCACCTCTACAAACTGGCAGGGTCTCTCGCAGCGCTGATGCCAACGCGCGGCGCAGCCTACGCCCGCGCGCTCTCAGCCACTACGTCCCTCCTTTTTTTTCTCCCGGAAGAGCGGCGTGGAAGACGAGCTGGCCAGAAGGGTAGGGCGCAGCGGGAGGATTGAGAACGGCCCGGCGCCCGCGCACCTGGGCAACTGGGGCCGAGTACGCTCGCAAGCCGACCCCCAACGACGACCTCCCACCCCTCCCCACCCGCAAAAGTTCTTTTAATGTTATTTTTATTCTTTAGAGAATGTCTATTCCGATATGCCCCCCCTGGGTCGAGCGCGACGACACAGGTACAACCCACGGCGCCTATCCAAACCGCAATAGAAAGGGGAGAAGACGGGGGTGGGGGAAGGGGGAACACCACACCGTTCACCCAACTCCGACCATGCTCGTGTACACAGGGCAGACGCCCGCACGGCTAGCTAGCTAGCTGGCTAGAAGCCGCGCAGCGCGCGTAGCCCAACCGACTCGCTCCTCTCCCGCCCTAGACAGCCTCCCGACAGAAGGGGGTGAGCGAGGGAGGAAGGGAGGCCGCCGCGCCATGTAGCGTACACGTAAACCTCGTCGAGAAAAAGACCTTTGTACAGTGTTTTTTTTGCCTGTCGTCGGCCGCATCCCGCATCCCTATTCCCGTGCTCGACTGTTTCTCTTCTCCGCGTCGTCCTCTCGCGAGCCCATCCCATGTAGCAGCAGTAAGGGTAGTAGCAAATAGCAGTAGCAAGCTCATACCCCGCGACCTGTATCCTCGTAGGGCCCCATACTCCCCTCCCTCCCAGCCTCCATTCCCATAGCTCATTTTTCCCCCTCCTCCCTCTCGACTGCACGTCCCTGGTTTCTCCCCCCCCCGCCCCGTCGGGCCTAGCCTATCAGAACGACATCTCCTTCTTGATTTGGGCGATGGCGTGACCGGGGTTGAGGCCCTTGGGGCAGGTGCGCGTGCAGTTGAGGATGGTGTGGCAGCGGTAGAGGCTCATCGAGTTGTCGAGGGCGGCCTTCCGCTCGGCCTTGCGCTCGTCGCGCGAGTCCGCCAGCCAGCGGAATGACTGTAGCAGGATCGCCGGGCCCAGGTATTCTTCCGAGTTCCACCAATACGACGGGCACGACGTCGAGCAGCATGCGCACAGGATGCACTCGTATAACCCGTCGAGCTTTTTCCGCTCGGCCTTGCTCTGCCGGTACTCCCTGCCCTGTCGGAGAGAACGGATGATTAGCCATGGGCCTATGACAGGCGCAGAAGCCAAGTGGGAGGGGAGGGGCGGAGGGTTCCGCCCGCACGTACGTCTGGCGCGGGAGTATCTCTTTGGAGATAGGGCTTAATCGACTTATATTGCTTGTAGAAGTGCGTCAAGTCCGGGACGAGGTCCTTCACGACGTATGTGTGGGGTAGAGGGTAGATCTTCGTGTCCTTGCTCGTGTCGGTAGGAATGCGGCCTGGGAAAAGTCGTCATCAGTCGCTGCTGCTGGGGGCGGAGGCGCTGGCTACATACATGGATGTATGCATCGCAGCCAATCGCCCAGTCCCTCGTCGCTAGGGGCGGAAACTCACACAAGCACGCCAAGGTATTCGTCCCGTTGATGTTCATGGCACAGCTGCCGCAGATGCCCTCTCTGCAACTGCGGCGGAACGTCAGGGTGGGGTCTTGCTCGTTCTTGATCCGGATCAGGGCGTCGAGGACCATGGGCCCGGTCTTGTTCAAGTCCAGCTCGTACTTCTGCATCCTGGGCTTCTCGGTCGGCGTGTCGGGATTCCACCGATAGATCTGGAAGGTCTTGATGCGCGTGTCGCTGCTGCTCGTCGGCGTTGCGTCGAGGGGAGCGCTGGATACGGACGCCATAGACCGCGCGAATGCGGCCGGGAGCGCCGCTGCCCGCGACGGCGAGGCGAGGCCAAGCAGGCGAGAGGTAGAGCGGAGGGCTGCCATTGCGGGCAATTTCGGGAGCTTCCTCGGCGGGTGTCCGGCTTGGCCGTCGCTAGCAGCAGAGACGAGAAGACGAGACGAGAAGACGAAGGCGGTCGGGCGAGAGAAAATGGTGTATTTATTATTCGCTGGGAAAGTAGAGCAAATAGGCCGCCGAGCAATTATAGCCTGGGGAGTTGGGCGGGAATAGTGGCAGGAGGATGTCCTCATCATCGAACTTTCCGACCCGGGCGGGTTTGCCCTCGGCTATTGGTTTGGGAGAGGGATCCGGCCAATCACATGCTCGCCATTAATCAACCCCTTCGGTCCGTCTGTTGCTCCGGCCTGCACAACGGAGCGTCGACCCACATCCCCAGAGCGGGCAGGTGGCAGCTGAGCCACCCGTCCGAGGAATGATGGCTCACGGCGAGATTGGCCAATGGGCTTCGGCCGCCGCTTTCGACGCTAGAAGGCGGGCCCCGCCGTCGCCCATCCGGGCTTTACCTGAGGTACCTCTTACTATATGGTACCTACCTGTATACACGGCTGTGCACAATACATGTTATGCAATGCCGAGAATACCTGCATACCTGAGTCCTCTATACGCCTCCTACCTTGGGTACCTATCTGCCGTTTCCATTCTCTCGGTAGGTACCTCCCATCTCTCGTCCAACCTACCCATCTCAGTGTCCGAAGGGATATAATATTCCATCGCGCCGACATCCTCCTCTGGACAACACAAATCTGCTGTGTATTCTGCATTAGTATGCACCTAGGAGGTAGTCGGTCGTGGGATGGGCAAAGCTGTAGCTTACGTAGGTCGCGCACGGCTGCAACGTCAAACCGCAAGCCCTCCAACTCTTCCCTCAGGTTGGAGCCAGCGTAAGAGAACGTATGAGAGACCCGACTACCCTGACGAAACTGCACCACGACATTCCGCCCGGTGGCTTTCCCCAGCAGGTGAAGTTTGACATTCTCAAGGGGGCCGGCGAAAGAGGAAAGTTGGCTGATGATAGAAGCCACATGGAACTTGCGGAAGTTGTGAATATATACATGATTGATAACTAGTTTTCGTAGAATCGGCGAGAATTTGCGGATAATCAAAATTATCTCTTGGTAGTGTATATCGGGGCCGTAGACCTCAAGCTCTCTGAGGTTTGCGAACATCGGAGAGTCCAGATGTTCCATATGCACGGGTCTCTCGTCTAGCGAGACGATATGCGTAGGGCTATGACACTGGGTTGGGCGCGCTAGCCAGGTGAAAAAAAACCCCATCTTCCGCGTCGTTGATTGATAGGCGTAGGTACTTGATCTGGGTCATTCGCAACAATAATTTGCGTAGATGGTAAGTCCCGATTTTCCTCACCTCCCCCAGATGTTCTTCGTAAGGCACCTCGCTGTATACGTAGCTAAGCCTAAGGCAGAGATGTAAACTCTCGACAGTAGAGGGTAGAGGCAAGACTGGTTCTCGCATGAAGCTGGGGATGTTGAATACTTCGTCCTCGAAATCTGCATATGGGAGGTAGATGTCCAGTAGCTTCGGATTGGTGCCGGATTTCCCTAGCGAGAGCAATATGCTTTACACGCAGCTTTTACTTACTAAAGGACCCTTGGGGAGGTGTTGATAGATCGAACTGTGGAGGAGACCTAGATGCCTCGGGTCGGACTTGGAGACGCCAAAGTAACGGGTCAAGATATCCTGAAAAGGTTGTATACAAAGCCGCTCGAGTGTAAGGTTGCGAAACGCTTCTGTGAGCATCTCTGTAAATTGACCAGTGTTGAGAAAGGCATGTTGATCCTGCGACAGCTGGGTTAATCTGTAACCAGCCAGCGCCTCCTTGTCCATCGTTCCGTGCTGAGGTGTTGGTCGGCCGGGTGCCGGTCTCCAACGGTGGATTGTCGTGCATACATCGATGAATACGCATCTCACGTAAGGTGACAAGCGTGACTTGGATATGTCGACGAGGCCTTGGAGGCTCAACTCGGCGCACAGAAACGGGATGGTGTCAAAGAACCTCCGGGCAAAGTCGATAAGAAGACCGACTTCAAGGTCTTTGCAGGTCAGGCGAACGGCCGCATAATCCAACACGTCGAGGTACGAGACGATCTAGGTTCAATATATCCAGGGGGAATGTGACGAGACTCGGTGACTCCATTGCTAACCTAAGGGCGGGCGATTCTGGGTAGGAGGCATGAATTCTGTATAACGCTGCATCCAAGTGCCTATTGCCTATGCCGTAACGGAAGGAGATGGGTGTAGTGTAGGTGACGCGACGAGATGTGGGTGAAAGCAGTAAGGTAAGGAGGGAGCGGTTTTGTTTTCCGGTTTGATGGAGGTGGACCTGTGACAAGTGAAATTACCTATGCGGTGCCAGAAGGCATACCTCCTACAGGCAGGGTTGCAAAAAAAAGTTTAAGTTTTTAAGTTAAGTTTAAGTTTTTTAAGTTAAGTTAAGTTTAAGTTAAATTTTTTTCAGCTTAAGTTAAGTTTAAGTTTAAGTTTAAGTTTTTTTTAAGTTTTTTTAAGTTTTTTATATAAGAAATATATACGAATTTTATTATTTTTATACATTTTATACATTTTATACATTTTATACCTTTATACCCTTATATATTTCTATAAAAATCTTTAAAAAATAAATTTATCGTCATTATTAATTAATTAAAAATATTCCTTTAAAACTTATATATTTTTAATATAAAATTTTATTAATAGATTTTTAATTATGAATTATTAATATTAAGATTATAAGTTTAAATTTCCTTTATAAAACTTTTTTATTTTGAAGATATTACTATTAGATGATTTTAATACTACTTTACTTATATTAAATTATTAAAATATAGAATAAAATTATAATATAATGAACAGGAGCAGCGTGGGCACGCTGTGATGGAGGCACGAAACAAGGACTGCCCAACTGCCAACAACTGGCCCAGTGCTGATCAACCAAGATCACAGCTGTAAACAGCTGTAATCGGTTGATCGGCCAGCTGAAAACGGCAGCTGGGAAAGGGGACTAGAAACGGGTAAAGGAGGAGGGCTAGAAAGGCATGGCAAAAGGAGTGAATGGCTGTAGGTCGTGATGTCTACAGGTCTAAGTCTGACTGATGAAAATATAAGTGCGCGACCCATATAAATACACATCGAAAAGGCTACGTGGCCTAGATCAACCGCACGACTACAATAAATATATAACGTCTAAATAAAAAGATAAATATATCAGAATATAAAATTATAAACATGAAAATATTAAAATATGTTTTAATAATAATATAAATATAAAAATATATACAGTAAAATAAAGTAAATATTTTATATTAATAAAAAAAATTAATTATAATTAGGGTACTGTAGTGGTGCGGTAAGACATGCCCTCTTGATGCATTACGTAACACGCTACGATAGGCCTTATGCCTATATAGAGTAACTATAGTTCCCGTAAGTACGGGATATGCTATACTTATTATTTAATTCATTACCTAGCTAGATTATTATCTTTATTATTTTTACCTTAATTAAAGATTCGTTTTTATTATTAAATTCGTCGTTTTTCGATTAGTATATCTATCTTAGTTACGGGCGCTTAAGTTACTTCGTCGTACCGCTATAGCTGAATAAGTGACTTTTGCGTTTTACTTCTTTTCTCCCCTTACTTCTTATACCTTCGGGCTAGCGACTATTACATTTCTACGACTAAAGGGCATAGCTAAAATACGATAACTACATTAGATTCCTTATCTCTCGATTAATATAGCGATATTAGTTTTATTTATCTTAAACTATCGTACGTATTATAGTCTTCGATAAAATGTACTTTCGAGTAAACCTATCCGGGTTTTTAATATCGCGTACGCTTTATTCCTCCTTAGTAGCGACTATCTTATAACTTTTTCGATCCCTTAACCTTTAATCTACGGAGTTTTTATTACGCTATTAGGATTTAAAGGATACCGATCGCCGTCGGCGCCGCTATTTAACCCGCGAAATAACCCGCGTTTTACGTTAAATAAAGTATCCCGCCTTATGGTTATTTATTTACTATAGGGAGGTACGTATAAGCCCGGGAACTTTTATAACGATATTATAGTTATTAGGATAGCGCTTAGCCTTTAATACTTATAACGCTAATAAGCTATCGATATTACGATATAATACGACGACTAAACCGTATTTATACCGATTAGGATATCCCTCGTATAGTTATTTATTTACCATACGGAGGAACTCGTAAAACTCGGGAGAACTTTCGTCGTAATACTACTATTACTAGGGATAGTATTTAGCCTTTAATATTAACCGCTTCCTCGAACCGCTAATAATATAGTATATTTCGTGCGAGTAAATAAAGCTTATAGCGATTAAGGCAGCCCCTTTATAATTATTTATTTACTATATAAACTAAACGTACGAGCGCCTTAATATAAATTACGATAACCTATACGACCCGTTACTCCCTTATTAATACTAAGGGCGGATAAAGGCTAATAGTAATTATACCTTAACCGATCTTACGATAGCTTCTTTTTCCCTTTAAACCTATTAATCGATATAAATTAAATATATAGATACTAATAACTTATTATACTAAAGGTATTTTAGGATATCTAGGCGTAGCGATTCGACGATATAATATACGATATAATATAGATATTTATATTAATAATATAAATAGGAATTAATAAATTAATAACTACTAATAACCGATAGTTTTAAAAAGAATTAGGAATTAATATTAATAAGACTACGTAGATATAAAGGATTAGGGAAACGAAATTAAAGTCGAGCTAATAGGTATACCTATATATAAACTAGCCCTATATTACTAACTAATAGCTAGCATGGCGAGAAGTATTAATATAAGCGTAAAACGGCGCCTAGCGGTAATACCGCTAATATTATTAAATAGCCTTCGTTAGATCGAAACCGGCTTATGGCTATAACCGATATCGTATTTAGCGCGATTCTTTACTCGGGATTTATTCCCTATACGTATTACCTTAACGAAGATTATACGTTAGGAGTTCTAGACCTTAATAGGAGGGATTATCGTCGATTTATTTATAATAATTAAATTATTAATCTAAGGAATACGTATCGTACTTTAATTAGGCGTTAACCGATTAAAGAAGCTCGTATAATATCCGGATTTTATCGATCGGAATAATATAATAAATAATAATATACCCATACTAAAGGAAAAGCATTAAGATATAAATAATAACTATCTTATCTTTATTCCTATATTAGATAATAAGATCCTTACTACCTCCCTTTTTACTTTATACCTCGTACCGTTAAACTAAACGGAATCCATAGCTAAGAAACGGAGTAAATCGCCATCGGAACTTAAAGTAATAAAAACCAAACTACTAATAAAGACCTTAAGAGTCGATACTAGCTCTCCGTCCTTATATCCGCCCGAAGAAAAGGAGAACGACGATAAAACTCTTACTTAACTACCCTTTAATCGCGGCTCTATACTTATTCCGTTAATTCTTATGGTATTATCTTAAAATAATAATAACGGGGCCTTTAGTAATTAGAATATACCGGTAGCTATTCCGATTATCGTAATACTAATTATTAGATTCCCTAACCTTACCGATTACCCTAGGCTTAAGTTTAATAAATATAACGTAACCTAATAGCTAGAAAGAGTAAATCGATTATTTAACCGCTACCGTATAAACGACGACGATAAGATTAAGAAGATCGGCGAATGGATTACGATTAAAACCATTAGGGAGCGTATTAACGACGTTACGAAGGATTAAACGATCTAAAGAGTTATCGTTATAGCCTTAAAGTACCGTTTTAAAATTACCGATAAACTAAACTAAGCTAACGTTAAACGTAAACTCGTATAACTAAAACGAAGTAACGTAATTAACGATTCTAAGGCGATTTTTACGTATCTTATAAACTATAAACGTCTTTCCAAGCTCGTAAACGATAACGGAAAGCTTCTTTAAAAAGTAAGATACCTAACCGATAAACTCCGGATATTCTTAATTATAAAGTTCTATAAGACGGGAGATTATAACCATAATAAGATCGGAAATATCGACTACCGGATTCTTTATACCTAGCTTTATAAGTAGGCGGAACGTCGTATAGTAATATAAATTACCGATAGGGCCTAAGCCGAAGAACGACGATAATAAAAAACGGTAACTTTCGAAGAACCCGAGAAGCCTATAATGTAAATAATTTAACGATTAGCGACTCTTAGCCTTTAAATACTTTTACTATCGCCTCTTTCGTAACCTAGACCTTCTTACGGCTACTTAAGTATTAGTTAGGAAGCTAGTATATAGGTCCTTTACGATTAACTTAACGCTCTAGAAATAAAGATAACTTCGTAGAACTACCGTTAGGAAAGTAGCTCTTATAGCCCTAGGGATACGTACGGCGCCGATTAATAATATTAATAGGAAAACCCGTTCCTAATAAACGCGGTTCGGAACCTAAGTCTTTATAACCTATAAACTAACGGAAGAACCTTAATAAGCTTTAAACGTAATATTATATTAAATTACCGAGACATACGTAGTAGGATTTTATTAACTTAAACGAGTAATTATAAGAAATTCGAATATTAATTTTATAATACTTTCGATCGGCTTTATAACTATAGCCGTTACCCGCTACTAATAAATATAACGTAGAATCGGTTCTACTATAAGAATAATAAGCGATTATATTACTTCGAGAACGAAAACCCGGATAAGTTAGAGTTAACGCTAGTTTTAGGATCGATTATTACTTAAGTTAAGCGTAAAGAAGAACCGATCGCTTATTATATCTTATTTTACGTATATTAAAGTAAGAAATCTCTAGAGTAGGTACGTAGGATGGTATATTATTA